GGGGGGGGGGGGGGGGGGGGGGGGGGGGGGGGGGGGGGGGGGGGGGGGGGGAGGAGAAGGCGGAGCGGGGCAGCTTCGGACTGGCAGCGCCAGAGACTTGTGCTTTGAACGCTTTGCATCCGAGTCCTTTATGCTCAGACCGCTATTTTTACTCGCTATCTGAAAGCGCTCGCGACACACTCTAACCGCAGTCGGCGGTGCAGCAGCGCGCGCTGCGCACGCTTAAACAGAAGCGGATGTACGAGGAGCAGCTGAACCAGCTGCAGCAGCAGACGTTCAACATGGAGCAGGCGGCGATGACAACGGAGAACCTGAAGAACACAATGGCGACGGTCGACGCGATGAGGATCGCGAACAAGGAGATGAAGAAGCAGTACAAGGGGATCAACATTGACAAGATTGAGGTATGTCAGGTCTGGAGGAGGGCCATGGTTTTCCGGCCTACGCATCAGCGTCTCGCGACACTAACCCCAGTCCATCCACTACGACATGGAGGACCTGATCGAGCAGGCGAACGAGATCCAAGAGTCGCTCGGGCGGAGCTACTACGTCGCGGACGAGGTGGACGAGGCGGACTTGCAGGCCGAGCTGGACGCGCTCGGGATGGACGACGAGCTGCTCGGCGAGAACGAGACGCCGAGCTATCTGCAGGACAGCACGGCACTGCCGGACTTTGTCGATGCTGCGCCGGTGGAGGAGGAAGTGAGTGAGGGCTATGGAGGGAGCTGACAACAGGCGGCCAAGGAGCCGACGGCCGAAGTCGCGCGTTAGAGTAGTCGAGCAAGCGAGCAACGGTGTCCGTGGTCATGACCTGCATGTATTCTAGATTGTCGGTTGTTAGATGTTGGTAGCAAGCTCGGAGGAACTGCTCGACGCATTGGTGAGAAAGTCGAACTTTTGCCACCCGAATTCAGGCACACAAAAGTTGTGTCATCAAGCGATCTCAATTACTCTGCAGCTCTTGACATCCACCATGCCATCAACCGACGACATCTTCGACGACGCGCTCAACCTCGAGGGGCGGTGAGTCCCTCACTTCTGTCCCTCCTATACTCTCTCTTCCGCCTGCCCTCTTCTCCATCCGCCCCTCTCCTTCCGCCTCTCTCCGCCGCCTCTCTCCTCAGCCTCTCCGCCGCCACTGACCCAAGCTTCTACGACCAAGGCTACGCAGACGGACACGCGCACGGCGCGCAACACGGCGTGTTCGAGGGCCGGCAGCTGGGCCGCGAAAAGGCGTGGGAGGTATGGGACGAGCTGGGGTTCTACGAGGGGTATGCGGGCGTGTGGGTGCGGCGGCTGCGCGGCGGCGCGGGGCGGAGGGAGGCCAAGTGAGTGCGCTGTGGTGTGTTGGCGTGGGTGGAGAGGTAGACGGGGGGCGGGGGTTTAAGAGAGGGTTAAGGAGGGAGAGGAAGAGAGGAAGAGAGAGGAGATGAGTCGAAGGCTGACATCAGATCCGCAGCGCACGCGACAGCACTTTTGGCTCTCATATCGAGCTTCCCGACGACCAATCCCTCGGCCGGCGCGGCGCCGACGACGGCGCAGGATGTCGCGATGGCTGCGATCGAGGCGGACGAGGAGGCGGGCGAGGCGGGGAAGAACGACGCCCCCGCCCCCGCCGGGCGTGGGCGATCCCCCGACGTCGACCTCGAGGCGCTCCTCATGTCCATCCGCGCGCGGTATCGCCTCCTCTGCACGAGCTTGGGAACGCGCCCGCGGCTCACGGCCGCCAAGGATGGGAGTGAGCGCGCGGCGGTCGTGGAGGGGATCGAGGGGCCGATGAAGGGCGTGGATACGCGGCAGCTGCGGTTCTAGAGTGCCCCACTCTCTTCTTGGGCTGTCCTAGCTTCTAGCTCTCTGGCCTTCTGTAGCATGCTCCCCCGCAGGCTTGCAGCGACGCGCGCGACGCTCACCGCGGATGACACATCCCACGAGTCGGCGACGCCGTATGCATAGTTCAAAGTACAACCGATAGCTCCAGCGTATGCCAGAGAAAAATGCCCAACCCGAGATGTCCTACTCCGAGTCGTCGCGCCCTCCCACCGCACTGAGGAATGCAACCTCCTCCTCCGAAATACCCATACCCGTGCCCAACTGCTCCTCCTGCGCCCTCGCGATCGCGCGCTTGGCAATGTGTGTGAGGTACACGAATAGGATGCAGCAGAGCACAATGCCGCCCCATGTCACACCAGCCTTGACGCGCTCGTGCTGCGCGTCGTCGTGCGGCGCGGGTTCGGCGCCCTCCTCTCCCGTGCCGTAGGCAGCAGACAAGTCGTGGATGCCGGCACCAATCCATGTGTGCAGTACCAGCTTGCAGAGCGAGAGAGCCGTGCAAGCCGTATATGTCTGCAGAGAGAGCGAAGGCGCCGACGCGAGGACCACGTTGAGCAGGTTGTACGGGTACGGCGCGATGCGGATGAGCAGCAGAAGGTGAGGGTTCTGCGGAATGATCTGGAGAAGAGACGTGGCAGTGGGTGACGATGCTAGTCTGAAGTCAGCAATGCGACTGCGGAAGGAAATGGGGTGCTTGCCGGCTAACTCACGACCGTGTCACAGCATCGCGCAGCATAGTGCGCGACACCACAAAAACCGCCACGGCTCCGACGAGGGACGCAATGTAGCTCGCCACGAATCCGTTCCACACGCCAAAGGTGTAGCCGGACAGTACGATGAGTGTCGAGTATAGTGGCAGCGGAGGGATGGTGGTGATAAAGATTAGGACGCCAAACACGAACAGTCCCCGGTAGCCCATGTCATATAGATCCTTGCTCAAGTGGTCAAGAGCTGGCGTCAGCAAGAGTTGCACTCACACCTGTAACGGTATTGGGATCGGGTTCCGGCAACAGTGATTCCCATGTCACCGACAGGCGGAACAGGGATCTGAGACAATCCCGCCACCTCTCCAAAAGGCTAAGAAACAACACTCACCAGCAAATAGCTCGCCCTTCCAGAATGCTGTGGCGGCCAAGAAGCCGACAGTTGTGAGCACCCAGCCGATCATGAGACCACGGCCTAGGGCGCCAGAGCGGTTACCGCAGCCGAGACGATCACGGGCGGCGCGAATCGCGAGCTGGCGCAGCGGGATTCGGCTGCGGGGCGGTTCATCCTGCACTGCATGCGCCCAGGATGGAGGGAAGGCGGCAAAGTCATGCGAGGGACGGCCAAAGTCGGTGGACGGGCGAGTAGCACCGAAATCAACGCTGGGGCGGAAATCATGAGAGCGGCGAATGTCATGGCTTGGGCGCATGTTGAGCTCGCGGAGGTCATGTGAGCGGCGCACGTCGTAGCTTGCACGCGGCGATGGCCCAGCAGTGCCGTTGCCACCGGTTCCCTTCTCTGCGTCGAGAGAAGCGCCACGAGCCATGCTCACGCTTGCTGGGCGAGAGTGAGCACGGCGAAAGCCAGATGCCGAGGTAGTTGCAGCGGTGTCGGCGGCCTGGGAGACGATGACGCTGACGTCAAGGGCTTGGGGGTGGTAGGCAGGGTATGCTCTGTAGCCGAGAGAGGGCTTTGACGCTGGAGGTTGAGGTGGGGGAGGGGCGTGGTAGGCTGGCGGCAAGGTGGGGAGATGGGTTGGAAGAGTTGAGCCAGCGGAGAGGGGGGAGGGAGTGCGCACTACCGAGGCCATGGGAGCGGGTTTTGCGAGGGAGCGGGGCGGAGTGTACATGGCGACCACGCCGCCCGTTGCGAGATGGGAGTGTTGGCGTGGGTGCGAGGGTGTGGGAGTGCGGGCGAGCGAGTGAGGAGAAGCCTGCTGTTAAGGCGAGTGGGTGGGAGGCAAGAGGGAGGAGGGAGGAGGGAGGAGGGCGAGAGAGGTGAGTGGAAAGAGTGATGGTTGATGCAATGAGCGATAGGAGGGTGATGAGATGCGAGGGGTGATGGATGGGAGAGAAAGAGGAGACGGAGATGGATGGAAAGAGAAGATAATCAAGAAGAGAGATGAGAGAGGATGAGGATGATGAGGAGGTCGTTGCGTGCGAGATGGACGACGACGAGGACGACGATGATGAGCCTTCCCCACCCCAGGGCAATGGCATCCAGGGGGGGAGGTTGGACCGAGCCTCGATCATGTACGCCCAGGGTCGGCATTTTACACTCTGCCAGTTAGTTACTGTACATCCTCTCTCGACACTGCGGCACATGCATTCATGCATGCATCGCTCTCAGCTCTCAGTCCTCCGGACTCCGGTCGTCTTTTAACGCAGTTCAACTCTACACACCCAACCCCATTCTCCTCCTCGCTGCTCGACATGCAACGGAGACACCGCCTGAGTTAGCTTTACGCTATGACCAGTTAGGACAGTCCCATCTCCAGGCCCTGAAACATCCTCCACTCCCTCCCTCGCACGTTTCTCCCCTCTCGTCACCTCCATCTACTGTAGCCGTTCCTAGTGACTCTTTTGAAACGTTATACATGAGAGATGATGCTAATAGTAGTAGTGGGAAAAATGCTATTATGCTAGCGAGTAGACCTTGAGATGTGTCTCGCCTCTGTACATTGCGCACCCAATGTGCCTATGCGCTTGATCCTCCGTTCTTCATGGCGGGTGTCTCCGAGTGGGTTGACCATCAGAACGTCCTGCTATATTGCTGTCCGCCAGCGCGCCAGCGAGCGGACCCAGCATGCGGAACGCGCACGACAAAGTACACCAGGGGTCGCCTCGATGGCCCATGGCCCGATGGGTGGGACCCAGCCAGCAGCCAGCCAGCCAGGTGCGCGGCCAAGGGGTGTGCAGGCCGGCATCAGGAACTCATCCTGGTGGCGGCCAGTTGGCCAGTTGGGAGTACATCCAACATGACATGACCTGCGCTCACCTGCTCACCTGATCACCTGCGCCTGGACGACCCCTCTCCCTCGTCACTGCTCGCAGACGTCCACTCGCTATTACCGCTCCCGGACGCCTCGGACGCCTCAGCCTCCGTCGCACGGAGCACCTCTGTCGGATCGGCTCCCCCCCTGATGGCAGCCTCGACCTCTGCCGCCCTCAAATTGCGCGCGACCGCCGCATTCCGCCGCACCGTCCGCTTCCACTCGCGTTTCGCCCGCTTGGCCTCGGCCGTCCGCTCTTCTTTCAGCAGCATCGCCCGCTCTTGCAGCGACACCTTGCGTTCCTCCAGCGACAAGCGGCGCGCCTCCAGCGCCTCTTCTTCGGCCTCGCGCACAGTCTGCCGCACGCGCGGGTACACCGTGCCCCCGAGGCCGCCGACCTCGGCCTTGAACTTGACCATCTGCACCAGCATGCGGTTTACAGGCGTCTGCACACCCAACCGGTGGCCCAGGCTCGCGAGGTGCCCGTTGATATAGTCGATCTCGGTCATGCGGCCATTCTTCACGTCGTTGGCCATGCTTGAGGTGTTGCCCTTCGTGGCCGTGATCACCGACTGCACGCGGTGTAGCAGGCTCTCATACGAGAACAGGCGCACTGTGTCTGCCGGTGCGGGGTGCGGCGCGAACAGGTTGTGCATGTACGCCGTGAGCACCTGCGACGACTCCTTCGTCACCTGCTGCACTAGGCGGTGGCCTGGTGCGGAGCGGCTCAGTGAGCCGTTCTGGAGATATCCGCCGCCAAGGACTGCTGTCAATGGGTTGATCGCGGCGTTCAAGGCTAGCTTGATCAGCAGCTCGTTGTACAGCGTTGGCATGGGGAGGAGCGTTGGCGAGAGCGGCGTGATGGACAGCAATGCTTCGAGCGTTGCGTGCAGATTCTCTGTACCGGGGCCATCTGGTGGTGTGCGTAGGGGAAGGGAGGGGGATTCGGGAGGCGTCAATGTTGGCAAGTCACCGACTGGTCGGCCCCACAGCCAAGTCTCAAAGTCAATCTGCTTTCGCGGGTCTGGCACCACGCCCCACTTGATCGCGCCCTGTCCTGGTGGCGACATGTGCAACACACTGCCGGTCTCGCCAGCAGGAGCGATGCCGTGCGTCGTCGTGCCCAACACAAAGTTTGGTCGTGTGACGGGGTCGGGCCAAAACTTGGCGCAGAGCTCGTCGTACACGCCCATGCCGTTCTGGAGGAGGGTGATGACTGATGACGAGCTCAGGCGCGAATGCAGGCCTTCGATGGCCTCAGCCGTCGCTTGCGTTTTGGTGCACACTATGAGCGAGTCGATCGGCCCGCCGGCATTCACAAAGTCCATTCCGTCTTGCTCGGCCGCCTCCACCAGTGCGGGAAGCTTTCCGGACATTGCGACGTCGACATCGAAACCGTCGGTCATGAGCGTGTCGCCCTCGGTGCGCGTGACCTTGAGTGTAGGCCGGTTGACGCCGTCTTTGCGAAAGCGCTTCTTGGAGAAGGCGGCGGCATTGCGGAAGACGAGGGAGATGGGGGTGTTGGGATTCGCGAGGCGGAGGTGATGGGCTAAGAGGGTGCCGACAGAGCCGATTCCGAGCTGAGGAGGGTAAGTGATGAATGCAACGAGGAGATGGGGAAAACGTACAACATGGAGGCGCATCATCCAATGTCCTCTCAACGTCTTTGGCTCTGCATGCAAGGTGGGGGGATGTGTGGATTTTGTTTGTGGATCAGTAGAGAACGATGAGGGCGAGATGAAAGATGAGCTGTGCCTCCCAGTCATCTCGGAGTCAAATCCCGATACTCCGCCTACATAGCTCCATACACCTTCGCCACCAGGCCATGATAATGGCAGACGGGAGCAAATTACAGTGGTCGTGTGGGAGGAGGAAGCAAAAGTCGGCTCTCTCCACCATCAGCCTCGACCACTCCGCTCCCTCTGACTCCTCTCTCTCACTCGCACTCTCACTCTCGCTCTCGCTCCTCCTCGCATCCCAGCACATCAATCTCCTCCAAGCGTCGCCCTCAACAGTGAGTAAGCTCTTCACAGTCACCCCTCCCCACACCTCTCTCCCCCCCGCCCACGACCACCGCCGCCGCCGCCGCCTGCCGCGCAATTCAACTAGCACTTTGTTCAACATTTGCTCCCAACACGCGCCAACACTCGCGTCTCGCGATCTCAGCCCGCCTCCATTGCCACCGCACCATACTCCGGCGTCATTCCATTGTTCCATGTCTCATCACCATCACAATCACAATCACCCATCACCTTAAAACTCTCCTTGGACTTTTCCTCCTTCTCCTCTCCTCCACTCACGAAACTCTTCACTCCAACTGCCATTGACCCATCCACTTTTTTTCCTTCTCTCGCTCACACTTCCAGATGTCGATTCACTTTGCTCCCCAGTGGGTCAAGCCCATCAAGCCTACTGGATCGGCCCTCGCTGCCGCATCCGACGCCGCCTCAAACTCACAGGCTCCCAAGCAGCCCGCTGCACCCGCGTCGCCCTTTCCCGCCTTGGGCCAGCCCCGCGCCGGCTCACCCACGAATGCTGCAACCTCGAACCCTCCCCTCTCGTACTCGCGCGTCACCCACACCCCCGCCTCTCCCTCCTACTCTGGTGAAGGTTACTTTCCCAATGCTGGAGACGGAGTAAATGGAGGCGCCGACCCCAGCCCCTTCCCCTTCCGCTACTCGCGCGACCATATCCTAGGCATATGGGACGAGGACAAGTTCAAGGAGCGTCCCATCGAGCTCATGCAGATGGCTGAGACGGAGAGTGGCTCGGTGCTCGTTAGCAAGGGCGTGGTCCAGCCCATCGGCCTGCGCGACCTGTCAGAGGTGGAGAAGAGGGTGAGCCTCGCAACCGAGTGCGAGTGCTGATTTTTGCAGATCCTCTCGACCTCTGTTCACCCACCTATGGCAGCTCGCCGCCAGAATCAGGCGCATTCTGGCGCGACGCTCGGGAATAATACTGGCGAGGCCACTCTCCCCCGTCGCGTCCCCCAGCCAGCGATGAAGGATGCTGTCAATACCAGCACTGCACCTTCGCGTGGCCCAGGCTTTGGTGGCTTTGGACGGGGCGAAGGCGGAGCATTCGGTGGCTCCAAGTACACCGCCGGTGCTTTGGGCGAAGGCCGTCAGCCCGGCGCCCTCGGCGGCGGATTTGGCGGTGTTCCCAAGCGTGCTCCCCGTCGCGAAGAGGACCCCACCCGGCCATCGGCGGCTTCGACGGCGCCCTCGTGGCGTTCTGTGCGCAATCAGTCGGGCACGTTTGAGGGCGTCCTGGGTTTTGGCACCGCGTCGGCGGCCTCGCCCGTTGACACTCACACCAATGGCAGTCAGGATGCGGACCGCGTCTGGAATGCTTCTGCTGATAAGCATTGGCGTGCCGCCCCGAGCGACGAGCGCCCGTTGACGATTCCCACCTCTGAGCTCTCGACGCAGTCGGTCATCGCCACAGCTTCGGCCACACCTGTGGGCGAGCGGGATGCGCAACTTCGCGAGAATACCCCTGGTCTTCGCAGTGGCACCCAAACTCCTCAAGCGCAGGAGCCTCAGGACCTGGGTAGCGTGAATTGGTACTACCGCGACCCCAACGGCAAAGAGCAGGGTCCTTTCACTGGTGCCCAGATGCAGGATTGGTACTCGCACTCGTACTTCAAGGACGACCTGCCGATTCGCCGTGAGACGGAGACACCTTTCCACAAGCTCTCAGAGCTCAAGGTGAACACCGGCAATGCCGTTCAGCCATTCCTCTCAGCTGTTCGCCCTCGCCTTCCTCCCAACCTTCCGATTCCCCTTGCCGCCCTTCAAACTACCAACGCCGCGCCTGGAAGTGTGCCTTCGCCGGCGGGCGGTCTCAACGACTCGTTTGGCAGACTCAACATGGGCGCACTGCCCGCGCCGCAGGCCCAGTATCCCCCCAATGCCTACCAGGGCAGTCACTTCGGCCAGCAGCCTCAGTACAACAACCAGTTTGCGGCCGTGCCGTTCGGAAGTCAACAGTGGAACCCGGCCCCAGGCACTCAAAGTCCCGCCCGCCTCAACGGTAGCTTCGGCTCGATCGGTCCTCAGTCATCGTATGCACCGTACGGTGCCGCGATTGGCACCCCTCCTATCCCCCGTCCAGACGTTTTCGCATCTCCCATCGGCCAGACTTCGCCGTGGACCGCTGCGCCCGTGAACCCCGCTGCAGCCTGGCAGCAACCGCCTCTCCAGCCGCAGCAGCAACAGCAGCAGCAGCAGATGGCTCCCGCTCCCATTGCTCCCCAGCAGCACCAGCAGCAGTATAACCAACAACAACACCAGCAGGCGTCCCAGCAGCCCGCTCTTACCGAACCTTCCTACTTCCCGCCCACTGAGGAGATCCGCCCGGAGCAAACCGCCTCCACCGGAGAGTACGATGGGGTGGGCGATGAGTCCATGGTCGATGACTTCCTCGGCTCTGACGGGGCGCCTGAGGACGACGTCCTGTCCCAGGCTGGGGTCGTCGACGAGGAGCAGGAGGAGGAGGAGGAAGAGGAAGAGGAAGAGGAGTATGTCGAGGAGACCCCTGAGGAGATCGAGGAGCCTGCCCCCAAGCCTGCTCCGACTTCGGTCTGGGCCAAGGCGCCCCAGGCTGCCACTCGCAAGCCCTCCGCCGAACCCACTCCCGCCCAGGCCTCCCAGCTTCCCCCTCCCCACGCCTCTCTCCCTCCCAAGCCCTCTACGGGCCCCATCAAGACCGAATCTTCGAAGGAGACGTCCCGCGCCTCCGCGACGCCCGTCGAGAAGACAGCGCCCAAGGCGGCTCCGTGGGCTACGGCCGACAAGCACGCGCACGGCCCGTCCCTCCGCGAGATCCAGGAAGCCGAGGCCCGCCAAGCGGCTGCGCGGAAGCAGGCGCGTGCCGAGGCGCGTGCCACTGCGCCGGCCTCGGTCGCCGCTGCCGCCGACGAGCTCCCGACCTCAATGACTTGGGGTCTGCCGACGAGCAAGGGCACCGCCCCGCCCCCTTCGTCGACGCCGCCTGCGCCTGCGTGGGGCGGTGGCGCCGAGGGCCCGAAGAAGACCCTCAAGCAGATCCAGGAAGAGGAGGAGCGCCGCAACCAGAAGCTCGCGCGCCAGCAGCAGTCTACTGTCGCGACCGCTTCGCCGGCCGCCAAGCGCGGGTACGCCGACCTGGCCGCGAACTCTCCGACGCCGGCGCAGGCCGCTGCCGCCGCCGCTGCGGGCTGGACGACGGTGGGTGCCGGCGGCAAGTCTGCCGCTGTGCCAGCCAAGCCCGCTACGCTTCCCGCCAAGCCCGTCGCTGCAGTCAAGCCCGTGGCGGCCGTCGCCAAGCCCGCGGCCAAGCCGCCCGTCGCCGACGAGCAGCCCAGCATCGAGTTCATCCGCTGGACCAAGCAAGCGCTCACCGGCCTCTCGGTGCCCATCGACGACTTCATCTCAATGCTCCTCACCTTCCCCGTGGACCCGCCTGCGTCAAGCCGCGCCGAGGTGCAGGAGATCATCGCCGACTCGGTGTACGCCAGCAGCTCGACACTCGACGGCCGCCGTTTCGCACAGGAGTTCATGACCCGCCGCAAGGCCGACGCCAAGCGCGACGCGTCCAAGCCCGTCGCCAAGATCGGCAGCCTCGCCGACGTCGTCAAGACCCAGCCAAAGGCACCTGCCGCAGAAGTTGGATTCAAGGTCGTCAAGGCTAAGAAGAAGCGCGGATAGATGTCTGGGCTCAGGCCGAGGGGTGTGGCATTGCCCTGTATGCATGCTGCTGTGTTACTGCTCAACAAAGGCGTTACTGCTCCACAGTTGCATGATCGAGATCTACTGACCGCTGCAGCTCCTTTTATGCCAATAGATGAAATCAGATGTACAGCCGAGTTCGACGGTTTGCAACCGCTCAGCCCTCCCACTCAGGAATTTCGGTCCAATCCTCGGCTTCGCGATCCCAGCCAAGGAGGCCTGGGTCAACGCTGAAGCGCTGAAGCATGGCGCTCTTGTCCCACACACGATCGGTCTTGGCTGGCCTGTGCATGTCAGCAGACGCTCTCGACGTCTCGGTGAGAGAACTCACTTGTGCTCCATGGAATGTGCCTCGTAGGCAGGAATGTAGGCGTCGGTTCCAGTGACTTGGTCTGTGAAGCTTCCGGGGTCACTGTAGTCACCAAAAATGGGATCACCTCTCTCGTCAAGCACATCGCCGTTCGCGTTGGTGGGCGCGTTGCGAAGATACTCTAGCTGTCGAGAGCTGAGTCCGGCCGAGTTCGAGTCGTTGCTGAATCCCCAGTCGTCCCAACGCGATAAGGGCAGGTGGGGTGCAGTATCGTCGGGCGGCTCCGGGATCAACGCAAAGAGAAGGTCGGTGACGTCGCGCCCAGCCTGGCGCCAGGTGTGGATGCGGCCCTGGATAACGACGTCTTCTCCCGTGTGTTCGAGATGAATGGCCTTGTGCAGCTGACGGAGGCGCTCCTCTAGGGAGGAAATCAGATTGCGGTTGAGGTCCGTGGCCCTGCCCCTGCTGACTCGGGTTTTGCTGAAGGAGCCAGGACGCGAGACAGTGGATGAGCCGTGTGCAGCCATGGTAGGCGGGATGAAAGGCTTGATGCGGGTAGTTTTCGCGAGCCGACGAGTTGGACGACTGAGCTGCTTCGTTGCGGGCTGGGTCTGCTGGCTGGGCCGGAGTCTGACAGCTGGCAGGTTGACGACAGTGGGAGGCTTGAACGGCCGCTTAAGTACGCGGGAAGCCGCAACTTCAAGGTCGTGGAGCTAGTGTCAGACAACTACTAAAGTGTGGTAGCTTACCTCGCGTGCAGCGTCGGAACTTGAGTCAGCCCGCCGCTTCTGGGTGGGTCCGTGATGCCGGCGGGCTTTGCCCGCACACCACTGCGTGTCCTCAGGCGTGACCAGTTTGGGAGGTCGGAAATCTCCTAGTGTGCTTCTGGGTTTGGGGTGCAAGGAAGGGGCTAAATCAACAGCGTCGCAGACGGGGGCATGGCACGGAGGCATTGTCGGCGGGGAATCGGGCATGATGTTGTGAACGCAGAGACTTGGAGCAGGCGGTGGCTTGGAATGAACGGTCACATCGGAATCAAGCTCAGCACTCGGGTGAGATCGAGCGTCTTGGGCGGACGGATCGATTTCCATTGCCTTCATATCATCAGGCTCGACTGGAAGAGAAGGAAGCACACTGGGCAGCATAGACTCGCGCGCTTCGCCGACGGTCGCATTCGTCACAGCACACTCGCTCGCTGTGACCAGCCCAGGCGACTCGTGAAGGCCTGGGGAGCAGAAACGCGTCGTGCTCTGGCTTGGAAGGGGACTCCGAGTCGCAGCATGACCACCTTCCTCGACAAACTCGAGTTGTGCCGCGGGCGTAGACGGGCCGCTGGTGAGAGTGAGACAGGGGGTGAGGTGCGGGAGCGAGCTGGCCAGACTTGGTGAGCTGTCAAACAGAAAGGAGAGGTAATACGACTCGATGGAAAATGAGGGGGTCACGCCGCGCTGGGGAAGGCGTCGGGGTGCTGGTCTGTGAGTCAAGGTGAGGTGAGGTTGAAGGGTGTGATTGAGGTGGTCAGCATCGTCACCGGGGAGGGGCGGGGGAGCTGGGAGTGAGTACGCGTCAGCGCCGACAGAGTCGGACTTCATGATGGAGTGATAAGAGGAGGAGAAGCGAGGTAGATGGAGAACGGAGAGATGTCAAGATCAGAGTTACGATGCGAGGAAGGAGAAACTCGGTGAGAGCGCACACGTCATCACGAATCACAACGCGCGTCAACCATCTCTTCAACTCCTGTTTCCTTTAGCTCTCGCCTCCCGTCCACTACATGCACTACTCCACCAACTACCGAGAGGTCGGTTGCAGTTGCACAATTCACAAACTGCCAAGGAAAGAGCAGATTAGCAGACTCAGAACCACCACCACCACCACCACCACCACCGCTCCCAGAGCAACCATTTCAAGTCAGGGGACACAAGAAAGCATACCATGAGCTACCTGTGGGTTTCGAGCCATATACCCGGTCTAGGCTAGCGTCTAACACTGATCTACTTCCTCTTACAACTATACCGGCCGCCGTCCCATACTATTACGTTTCGTTTGCTTGTTTCTTGAGTGTTATGTTTGAGGGTGCGCCGCCGCGCACCAAGACGTACAGGGGTGACACCAGTCTAGATGGTGTAAAAGAACCAGTCGACGTTGTCGCCGTGGTCCTCGAGGGCCTTCTTCTCCTCGGCGGTCCAAGGGCGGCCGCGAGCCTCGTTGCGCTCGACCTTCTTCTTGTTGGCGTAGGCACCGTACCACCACATAAGGATGGCGGTGAGGATGGTGAGAACACAGTAGCCGAGGCAGACAGCGTGTCCGAGAATGTAGCGGGGCTTGTGCTCCTTGGGGTAGATGAAGGACGAGACGATACCACCGCAGTTACCAAGCGAGACAATGATGGCAGTAGCGACACCCTTCTTGAGCGAACCACCGGCGTTGTTCGAGCCCCAGGCAGTGATGACGGGGATCAGGGGGTAGATACCTGACGAGGCAAGGAAGAGAGCAAAGTAGTCGACCTTGGTGTTGATGTGGCAGAGAAGGAGGATGTAGCCGAGAGCGCCAACGGAGCAGAAGACGATGGTGATGACGCCACGCATCTTGAGGCGGTCAGAAAGCCAGCCAGCGAAGACAGTGAAGAAGGCGGCAACGACGTAGGGGGGGACCGACATGAGCTGAGCCTGAGCAGCGCTGTAGCCAAGGTTGGCGACGAGAGTGGGCGAGAAGAGCGAGAACGTGTAGAGGGGGCAGAGAGCACCGTGGAACATGATGGCGTTGACCCAGACCTTCCAGTCAAGGAAGGCGTCCCAGACGAACTGCATCTTGAACTCGTTGGAGCAACCGTCGTTGTCGAGGTGGAGACGCTCAACGGTGTGGCGACGCTCAGCCTCGGTAAGGAACTTGGCTGTGTCGGGGTAGTCGTACATGACCCAGAAGGAAGCAAAGGCAACCACGACAGTGGCAATACCCTCGAGGATGAAAATCCAGCGCTGGAAAGGTCAGCCAGCCTCTGAGGTTGAGGAACACGAGAAAGGTTACTCACCCAGCCCTCATAACCGGCAGCGCCATCCATGAAGTTGATGAGGCGGGCGAGGAGACCACCGAAAGCACCGGCGGCGGTGGCGGCGGAGAAGAAGAGAGCAATGCGGAGAGCGATTTCGTGGCGACGGTACCACTGAGACAGGAAGTAGGAGACACCGGGGAAGAGACCGGCCTCGGTAGCGCCGAGGAAGATACGTGCGACGAGGAGGCCCTCGAAGTTTTTGACGAAGCCCATACCGGTCATGACGCCACCCCAGGCAATCATGATAATCGGGAGCCACATGGAAGGGCGCCAGGCCTTCATGACCATGTTCGACGGGACCTCACAGAGGACGTAGAACACGAAGAAGATGCAGAGACAGGTGGCGTAGTCGGTCGAGTCGAGGTTGATGTGCTTGGAAAGACCGAAGAGGTTTGCGTTTCCGATGTTGGAACGGTCCAGGAACGAGAGCAGATAAAGAAGGGCGAGCCAAGGGACGAGGTGGAAGTCGCTGACAAGTGTTAGTTGGTTGAACTCGAGTCGTGTCCGTCTGTGCACTCGGTGCTGCACGAAGACTTACAGTTTGCGCACAAGGCGCTTGTCGTCGACCTCCTGACCCTCAACCTCGCGGATGGAGTTGCCGCTCGAGACATCCTTCACGGTGTACTCGGCATAAGTGGCATCCACCTTCTTGTCGTCGGCGTAGGAGTCGTGGATAGAAGGAGAGTTTGTCATTGAAGCCTGACAAGTGTGAGCATGTTTACGCCGGGGATGGGGGGGGGAGAGGGAGGCGCTCGTCGAGCGAGGGACCCGCAAGGTGTGGCTGGAGATACATCGAGAGGAGTAAGGTGTGGAGATGAGGGGGTCGGTGACGTGAGGAAGGCGAGATGGTAGATGGTGGTGGTCAATCGCGCTCGGACAGTGCACTTGTGGGGTGGTGAAGGGGTGGCGTGGGCTAGCACCACCAGATCACCGGACCACGGGACCACCGGGGTCGATGCGGTGAGGAGATGATGAGGCGATGGGATGGGAGGCGGCGGAGTCGCGAGGAATGGGAAAGGAGAGAGAAGAGAGTCGAATGGAGAGAGAAGAGGCCACTCACTGAGTACTGAGAAGTGAAGATGTGAGCTGATGAAGAAAGACTGAAAGCGCTGACCACCGAGTCCTCTTATACAACTTGACAGGCCAGCTCGGCCAGACGACAAGACGGCCCAGCCATGGCCAGCCAGCCAGCTTCGCACCAGACTGCTCCTGGCCCAGCACTTGGGCCTTCCTCGCTGCTGCTGCTGCGCAAGAAAAAAAGCTTTGGCGCCACTCGGCCAATCTCAGCACGCACACCCATGGGGCCTCCCAGTTGCCGCAAGGTCTTGCCCGCCCCACGGGGGCCGCCTCTCGGCAGGTGCAAGACACTGAGTGTTGGTGCAGATTGCATTCCCCTCGGACACCGGGCTTCGCACTCGGACCGCTTTCAAGGGATGATTGTGAGATGAGATTGAGATGAGATGCAGCGGGTGATGACAATGAACTGGCTTGCTTCGCCTCATCGACGACGAGGGACATGAGGGCATCAAGGGCTTGTTCACCGCTCGGACGCTCAGACGCTGTCAGGGATGGTTGTCAGAGCTCCACAAATCCTCCTCTGCACCAGTACGAGTAGTGGGGCAGCACTGGTCAGCAATAATCAGTAACCAGTCAGCACGAGCAAGCGCAAGCGATCACAAGCTTTGCCGCGGAGGACCACATTCCAGGAGGCTACAACATGGTTATCCTGCTGGGAACAAGGGTAACGCAGAGGGGAGCTGAGAAGGAGGCGGTTCCGAGGACTGACGGGAACCCTTGTTGACATGACAAGGCTTGTGCGTTGTTAGTCGAGGATGAGGCTAAGAGAGCGAGGAGCAAGAGCGCGTGAGATCGTGAGAGTCGAGGGAGAGGGAGAAATCGAGAGAATGATGGCAAATTCGGGCGATTAGCGAGGACTCGGGCCGACCCTTTGTTTACGGAACGGAATAGTATTTTTGTATTTCCGCCACCCTCTAATTTCCTATTGTTATACATAAACTCCCAAGTCAGGCGATCAACGCTCGGACTGCTTCTTACCAATGACCTTTGCTCCTCCAAGCCATTCTCAAGCCACCTCCTCCCCTCGACCACTGACCCATTCCTCCTCGACTCCGCACCTCTTGTCGGCCATCGGCGATGAGCGATGCACGCGACCCCCCGCCTGCGCAACCTGCTCATGCTTTCTCATGCTAACCCCCCCCGCACTCACCACCCCTAACCTTCAGATCTCCATCCCCTCGCCTCCGCCGCGCCTCACCCGCATGACCTGACACGCTACCTAACAATGAATGTCCTTGCTGTCCTGACCATCGCCCCTCGTGCTCGCACTCGAGGCGCCATTGTCTGTCCAGCTGCTCACGCAACGCCTTACAGGTCGTGCAGAACGCCTCTGTGCGGCCTCTCATCCTCTCATCCTCCTAAACCCTGGTCATCCGTCGCATCCGCGCGCACCTCGCCACCTCGCCTCCTCGCGGCTTCTCACTGCTCTCACCTCTCACCACCTCCTCACCCCTCACCCCGCACGCTCTCGCCGATGTCCCGACTCCCCACACCCACGCTCGGACGTCAACCCTGCTGTCGCATCTTCGCATTCGCACAAATCCACTCCCCTATCCCCACCAACCCCTCACGCGTCATCCTCTCACATCTCCCCCTTTCGCGCCGCCACTCGGTACTGGGCCATGTTGAGACGGATGAGTGGGCCTTAGTCGGCCTTGACTCTCCACATACCGTCTTCTCCGTGGGGCCGTACAGCGGCCCAAAACGCGCGGGCCTCTATCGCTCCCGGCAAGGACTACCCGGTCTTCTCATGCCGCTCATTACCCCCTCTTGCCCGCACTCCAAGGGGTTGGGGGGGGGGCGACATCAAGACGAGCGGCAGCCGACTCTGCCGAGGCGAGTGCGACAAACGACAAGCCTCGGCGCCCGCTACGCACAGGCAGTGGCGGCCAACGTTAACTCCCACATACACCGTCCTTCTGATTTGGCCGATTCATATCTGTCTGTTCATTCGCCCTGCCCCGCTGACCTCCGCTCGCCCGTTGCCAAGCAGCCAAGAGGAAAGAGCAGGACCAGGAGCCGTTTCCGATTACATACCATGACTCATAAAGTTGGGAATGCTAGTCGTCCGAGTCGACGCGGAGCGAGAGGGCAAAGCCCGTCGACACAATGCGACTGGACGACCCCGCGCCAGCCCCGCGGCGCGGCAGTGGCAATTGGTCGTCGACACGTCCGCGTCTGCGTCGCCATGAACGGGTAAACTTTTCCTGTCATCACATCCACCTGTGGAATGTGCGATCCCGCACTAATGGGAGTCACTACTACCAACATGCCCGCAATGACCAAGGCGGCCATATTCACACTGGAAACGCGCTCGGCTGGGGATGCCGGCGGGGCGGATTGGGGCTCCGATTCCCCGGAGGCGGGGACGTGGGTGCGATGTCAGCCCATAAGATAGTGGGGAGGCAGGGGAAAGCGGCGGAGGCCGCTGATGACGAGACGCGAGCTGATGCTGGCGGCTGCGTCGATCTTTGGGCTGACATGATGTGGTTGCCATCACGCTCCGGTGTGATGGCGAGTTTTGCTGAGTTTTGGGATATCCAACTCACTTGCGGAAGTTGGCGGCGCGCGATACCCACCACATTGCTCCGCCCTGCCCAGCTTGCCCGCCCAGCATACCTGCCCACCTGCTGCTCAGAGATCGCTCACATGGACCACGACGCGATCGTCCATCTCATCGCGCGCGACACACTATCCTGTGATTCCTACGGTCCGTTCGCGTGGCGGCGGCGGCGCCACCGCCACTGACGGTTCCTGTGAGCTTCAGGAGCCGGAGATGGGGGCCGACGGATACGGATATGGAAGACGAGCGCGCGGATTGGATATAGCTGCGTTTTCCCGGACGTGCCGACGAAGGCGCAACGACGTGCCCCAACGGGTCAGATCGATAGAGCGTGTTGGTGACATGGCGGCGATCGTCGCGCTGCAGCCACAGACTCTGTGACTGACAGTGTCGATCGCAACGTACTTTGCATTGACCGCCTGCATGCCGCCTGGTCACCTGGTAGGTTGAGTGCTCGCCGGGGCCTTGGAGGTCAATGTCATCACGCGATCACTGGCAGCGATGCCTCATGTGAGCGGCGCAGGAGATGGTTGCGGCTTCTCAGATCTCATCTCGAATTGCCTCTCGCTGTCCAGGCACAAGAGTGGCTCGAATAAGCCTCTGGTCACCCACGTGGCGACGGAGTTCTGCGGAATGAAGTGATGACGCAGCCACCACTGGCACAGCTAACCGCCACCGACTCACCTCCAACGCATCAACACTCTCTGCTCGCGATCAAGCAACGCCAGCTCTGACCGTCTGAGCGCGATCACGCACGCCCAGCCCTCCAGCCTTAGACTCTCGATCGTCCCGCCGGCCAAACAATTCTCCACCAGGCGCCCATTAACCACAATGGACGCGATCGTCATTCCAGCCGACAACGTCCCCGCGGACCTCCGCCCCATCGAGCAGACGCTCAAACGCGCCGCAGAGCTCAAGAAGGTCGACCCTGTAGTGTCTTATTGGTGTAAGCTGCCCCTCCTTTTCCTCAGCGTCAATGTTTGACACTAGGCTGCTTCTGGGCGGCGCAGAAGGCGCTCAAGATCCCCAACCGGTCGCGGGAGGGCACCTCGTTCCTCATGCGCGTCCTCGACGCGCTCGAAGAGATGAAGGCCGCGCTGGGAGACAACGAAGCGGTCACTAACGAAGCTGTTGGCAGCGCGCACGTCGAGAGCTTTGCCCTCAAGGTGTTCTTGGGTGCGGATAACGCCGACCGCGCGGGGGACTTCAGCAAGTGAGTTAGTGCTCTCCGCCGCCAGCGAGGGGGCGCGCTCCCGCGGCGAAGTGGCGAGGCTTGGAGGGTGGCGGCGGGTGGCAGGCTGACACCAGAGCGACGATCCGCAAATTCGTCGTCGCCGGCCAGTTCATCGACGTCCTCAACGCCTTCGAGACCGGCATGTCAGAGGAGGTACGCCTCGCGTCTGCTCCGCTGACCCAAGATGTCGCAGAAGGCGAAGTACGCGAAGTGGAAGGCCGCAGATCTTGCCAAGTGCCTGCGCGAAGGCCGCACACCCGTCCCCGGCCCACGTGAGTATACCTATGGCACATCTAACTCCAGCCGTGGACCCGATGGAGGCCGAGCTCGCCGCCCTCGCGGGCGACGTGGGCGACGCGGGCGACGCGGAGCGGCGTGAGTCCGCCTCGCCGGCTCCCGGCCCCAGCGCTGGCTCTGCGCCAGCCTCCCGCCCCACCTCCATCGCCGCGTCACCCGCGCGCTCCCCGCTCGCATCGCCCTCCCACGACCTCCCCATCCTTCCTGGCGTCCCTCTTGACCGCGCGACGTCCGCGACGTCCGCCACTTCTCTCAACCCAGGCCTCGGCTCGCCCCCCGCCGCGCTCAGCCGTACCCTATCGGGCGGCAGCGCGCGGTCGGGCGGTTCTGGTTCGGGCGGCATGGGGCTCCCCTCCTTCCCCCCGCCTGCTCTTTTAGGTGCAGGCTTCTCCACATTCGACACCGCGTCCGACGACGCAGAGGACCAGCCTCAGGCCATGCCGCGCTCCAGCGCCAGCAGGGTATTCATCGATCTTCTCGCGCCCTCGCCGGACCCGCCAGCGTCACCACCTGCGCCCTCCCCCGTCGCTCGCGCGGCATCGAGCGCGCCGCCCCTGTCCCCGCCGCGCGCAGTGTCGCCGCCACGCGCGCCCACCTCGCCAGCCCGCGCCCCGCCTCGTGTTGTCCCAGCTCCCGCCCCCGCCCCTGTCCGTGCCGCACCCGTCATCCCGCCTCCTGCGCCAGCATCCGCGCCGCCACTCGGCGCAGTGCGCGAGCTCACCCGCGCCGAGACAGAGCGGTGCCAGAAACACTGCCGATGGGCAATCAGCGCGCTTGAGTTCGAGGACCCAGAGACAGCGCGGACCGAACTGCTCAAGGCGCTCGCGATGCTGTCGTGAGACCACATGATTACGACTAGTTGCATGGATACAGAGCTAGGGCTACTTCTTCTTGGCGGCCATGGCCTCGTCATACGCTATCCGGCACTTCTCCTTGGAGCGCTTGGTAGATGGTTTCTTCTTCCTACCCGGCTCCTTGCCCTGTCGTCAGCCCGTCATCGCCACCTTTGCTCACCGCTAAGTATATCTCATCTGCCTCTCCGCCCAGTGGCACCATCTTATCCTCGGAGACCCAGCCGTACGAGCCCTCCTTGTCGTAGAAGCGCACGAGCGTCACAGGCCCGTTCTTGGACATGTTCTCCTCCAGATCCAGCACGCTTTGCGGTACTGTCTGCCAGTCCTTGACGTGGTTGATGATACGCGCTGGGAAGTATGGGAACGACGTCGCCTTGGCCCAAACTGATGTCAGCTGAGAACAGCTTTTGACCTACCCTGCATGCCTGGTCCGAAGTTAGGTTTCGCTTTGCGGGCTGTGGATGAGGCGGGGCGCGAACGCGAGGAGGCTCGCGCTGAGGCCGGGGTTGCCAATGACGCCAATGACGGTGTTGTTGCGGACGTGGTGCAAGGAGGATCCTCCGCGGGTTCGGCTGAGGCGTCCCCCTCAAGCACCCCGGCATCGCCATCATGTGTCGTCTCCGCTCCCCTACCAGCAGCGTCCTCGTCTAGTGAGCCATCTGAGCCCTTTCCCTCCTCGCGCTTCACTTCACCACCGGCTTCTCCCTGGGCCGTTTCAGCCTCCGCAGCCTCTCCTCTCTCGCCCTCGTCCGCCGCTGCAGACTGTTTCCCTGGTGCCTCTTCTCCGGCGTCTCCTGCGCCCTCAATTATCACCGCCTTCGGCGTTGCCATGTCCTCCGGCAGAGGCGATAGACTGCTGCGGTCCGGAAATCTTGCCTCGGTGGCAGTGGGCGGCGCGCTGTCGGGTACCGGGGTGAGGTCGTCATCGCTCTCCATTCTGCTGCGCTTGGCAGGTGGCTCGGGTGGAGGCGAGGCTTTGCGTTTGCTGGTACGCGAAGTAGCTGACCGCGCAGAGGACATGGACGCCTTCCGTGCACGTCCCTTCGCCTCTTTCCCTTTTCCCTTGACATCTTTCTCCTTCGTCGCCACAGCCGGCGGTCCTCGTTCTTTGCCTCGCGCCTTGGACTGGGGAGAATCCGTTGATGACTTAGAGGGCTCCTTGACCTTCTTAATCTCCCTGGACTTGGGCTTGGAGATGGGCTTGCTCTCCTGCGACACTCGCCGCCGCTTCGACCCCTCTGGTAAGATCCAACCGACGTTGAATCGCTCGTTCTGATGCCGTGCGTCCAGCGAGGTCGTGACTAAGTCAAGTCTTTTCTCTTTCGCGCGCCGCTGCGCGTCGGTCAAGATGGGGATGCTCTGGAGGCCGAGGACGCCCCTTTGCGGGTTTCTCATGGGTTTGATGCTGCCAGGAGATGACGCCGCTGAGCTGGCCTCCTCCTCCGCTACGGTGCGCCTCGTGCGTCGTCGAGGTGTGCCGCTCGAGCCGCTAGGCCCTGCCTCTGGTTGCACTGCCGGCTCTGTTATTGCCGCCGAATCTGGCACAGCCGCAGCGTCGGGCGTTGCCTCTAGCGCAGGTGTCCCTACTGGCGATGATGCCGACGTGTTATGACGGCGGCTGGCGCGCACCCCACCCAACACCTTCCGCTCCTTGTAACGCTCCTCACGCTCTGCGAACAATTTGGCACGGTTGACAGCTGGGCGCTTTGGCCGGGGCGGGGACGGCTCCTTTGGTTTCTCGACTTCGGAGACGAAGATTGACGCGAGCATATCACGTGTGGAGTCGCTCGGATCTGGCGCCACCAGGGCTTGCAAGCGCACGAGCGACGTCTCGAGGTCGCCGACAGCCCCATCTGCTGGCTCAATCCACTCGTCGCCAAGTGGTTGAAGGGAGGATTCAGATGGGATATTGTCAAGCTCGGTGAGGATGGGCTCGGACAGCGCCTTATACCGCACTGCTCGACGGTAGAAGGCTGTGTCAGACTTGTTGTACAGCTGCGCATTCGCGAACAACAGCCTGATATCATTCTGACGTCAGCCACTGCTGTCTGCCAACAAGTCACCTTGAACTCAGCGACATTGCGGTACCGGACATTCTCGATCTTCTTGTCGATGTCGGAAAAGCAGATAGGTTCTTTGACAACTTCGTAGTAGTCGGGGACCTCGTCCTTGTCGACTGGGTGCAAGAAGATGTCCTCGCGGTCGAGGGCAGAAATGCGGTCGAACACACTTCGTAGTACCGTGTAATGCGGCAAGACGAACCCTTCGACGACATCCTTGATAACCTGAGCCTGGCGCAGCTTCTCCTTTTCACGCTTGCGCACGAGTTCAGCGAGCAAGCGCACCTTTTCGAGGTCATTGCGCAATGCGATGAGAAACTCGAGCTTCTTGGCCTTCTCCGCCTCTGTCTCGTCCCGTGACTCCGTTGTCGCCGTCCACGGCTCCAAATGTAGGCGTTTGAGCAGCGGCGCGCCTCGTCGTGCCTCCCGCTTCAAGCTCCAATAGCGACAAAGCCGCTCAATAAACAGCTGGCGCTTGCTGATCGTCACCTTCGCAACGTAGTCGAGCAGGCGATTCACGATCATGCGTGGCACGATGGGAGGACCAGGTCTGTACGACTTGGCGTGCGCCCTCGCGGACTTTGTCGTTATCGTTGTGGGGCGAGTAGTCAAGGAGTCCTTTCGCTTCCGTTTGCGTGCCGGCGCCGGAGACGGCAAATCGTCCTCGTCTTCCTCAGATTCGTGGTACGAGTCGTCATCGACATCATCTGGTTCGGAGGCGAGTCGCCAGTCAGCCTGCTGTCAGTCTCCTTCGATTTCCGAGGTCCTCACTGGCAGGTGTTTGTCGCAATAAGCCTTCAACTGCCCGTCCGCGCCCATCAATTTCATGCTCATCAGCAATCCAGCCTGCCGCGCACAAGTCACATGGAACGCTGTGAAGCAGCTTGGCTTCTCGCACTGGATGCAGGCGCCGACGCGCTCCTTGCAAAGCGAACACACCAGCTTCCAACGGCTCTTGGGAACGTTCTCGACCCCCTCCACAGGCTCCATGTAGATTGCGTTGCCAACGCCGAGCTCAGGTATCCATATCGCACAGAGGAGGTGAGCCCACAAGCCGGTCGTGGTCTGCTTGAACGCGCCTCCTTCGTTTGGGCAAAACAAGCATGACTGGCATCAGAAAGAAAGGCATGGATACGCACGGCAGGGTTCTCCGGCGACACGGTGCACTTCCTGCACAACCACTGGCCCTCGGGGATGTAAGGGACACCGTAGCAGTCCTGGTGGACGGGGAGGTTGCAGCCGTCGCAGAAGACGATGGCATTCGAGTTCTCGCCTTCGCCATCGTCGCAGATCGCGCACTTGGAGTCCTCGACGGGCATGTGGCTCTGCGGCTGCGGGATGCGCTTGATCTGCCATGAGCTACGGCCTTCCCTCGGACTCACGAGGTTGAACCACTCCTTCTCGAGCTTGTCGATGAGCACTTCGAAGAGCTCATACGACACAGGCGCCTGCTGGTCCTTCTTCCGCTCGGCATTGACGGCATCCAGCCATTCCTGGTCTTTCGTTAGTCCATTCCGGGCCGCACAGCTCACCCTGCTCGTCCATGTCGTACTCGACCTGTACGGCGAGCTCGCTCTCGATCGGCTCTGCCATCAGCATCTACCGTAAAACGGACTGACCGATGTAGCGAATGTAGTGCTCCGGTCGCTCAAAGTAGGAGAAGTCATTATCTGTCATTAGCGAAAGTGGGTCACTTCAAGCTCACAGCCATACGACCGCGCCTGTTCCTGGTATCAGCTGGACACCCTCCACCGACTCACGGAGTGCACGCCCGCAGGCCCGAGCAGCGCCTTGTCATCGGTGATGACGCGAAAGGAGACTGTGGGGACGTCCACCTTCTTGCCCGGCGAGGTGGCCATCGCGGCGGGATGGAGGTCGTGGAAATGTAGATGACTGGGCAACGCGGAAAGTGCGAAGTCAGTCAGATGGTCACAACATGGACCTGGACGCGTCGGTGGCGATTTCCACGTGGCAAATGACGTGGTCTACGCGAGCAGGAGGGTAGCGGCCAGAGCCGATCGTGACTCGAGTGCATGAGTATGCATCACAGTGCGCTATTGAGGTGGTGCGAGGAGCTTGGGAGCGACGGAGACATGCGTGGTGCAATGCATTATGGGCGTAATGTGGGAACAGCGGGCGGCAGAGGTGGAGCTGCAGATGGGCGATGCTAGGTGGAGGTGCAACAACAACATCTTGGCATTTGAATACCGTCTGCGCTTCTTTCGACCATCTCCTGTCTTTCGATCGCCTTATCCTCCTCGATTCTTCTCGATTACCCTCTCGTCTGTCGTCGTCGTCGAGTCTCATCCAGCTCCATCAACTCGCTCCAACATGGCGAACACGCGCCCGAGAAGATCTAGACCCCCACCCCCGTCGTCGCCGCTCTCCTCAGCACCTTCGAGCCCGTCGAGCGTGTCGAGCCCGCCCTCGGCCCCATCGAGTCCGTTCAGGCCGTCAGCGAGGAAGCGGGGACAGAAGACGTACAAGAGCAGGAAGGCGACAATGAGGGCCGCGGCCGCCCCCGCGCCCTCCGTGCCGCCCGCGAGCCTCGATGACCTGCTGGGGAGCATGGACCAGGACCGTGAGGTCCAGCTACAGCGGAGCAGCATGCGGCGCAAGACCCTCACGTCTATCGACAGCGCGCCGAACTCGCAGCTGAGTGGCACGATAGCCAAGCCGAAGCGGAAGCGGAAGGCTGCTGACGTGGGAAAACGATCAGCCAAGAAGCGTAGTTTGTCCGTGGACGGAGAAGAAGAGACGCCTCCGCGGGACAACCCGGGCTCTAGTCAGGCGGGGGCATCGACGGCGGCGTCGAGCCCAACGCCCTCCTCGCCTTTGAGCCCACTACGGGCTCTAGCAGGCCCATCGGCGTCGACGGTGTACAAGTCGGACGGGGAAGAGGGCGACGAGGACGAGGACGAGGAGATCGACCTCGGCACAGCGCTCAACCGGCATAAAGTGGAGATGAAGATAGTTAGAGTCTTCGGCGACGACAGCGATCTTAGCGCTCCGTCATCGCCAGAACCGCCGCGGTGGAAGAAGACTGTGCATCCAGGGTAAGGCGGTATCTGTTCTCGCTGACCACAGCGTGGAATCAGGCGACACCTGTCTGGTGAAGCACTCGCGCTGCTGGTTCCCCGCCAAGCTGCTGCAATTCAAGCCCGGGAAAGCGGAGGGTGAGAAGGACTTTTACGAGGTCGAGACTCAAGACGGCTGTGTCTACCACCCCAGCCGCAAGGCCGTGCTATTTTTGTACGAAGGAGACGCGATCGCGCGCGCAAAGGTGCGTTTTAATCGAACACTGCTGATCCAGATTGGGCATTACGCCATCTCGCCCGATCCCAAGAGCCGGGTCACGCCGGCGCCGCTCGCCGACGACGCGACCGAGTACGAGCGCTTCCGTGCGCTCGAGCTACCGGAGCAAGTCGGGCGGCTGCACGCGCACCTCGAAGCCGTCGCGGCGGAGCAGTACGCGCCCGCGCAGTGGCGCATCGACGCCTTCCACGCCGGCACAGTGAAGCGTGCGGAGCTGAACGCCGAAATCGCTTACGGCGACTTTAGAGACGGCGAAGCACGGACGGTGAGCGCGCTCCTCTCCGAGTGGGTGGGGCGACACGCGGGGAGCGGCCGCTTCGCTTCGCTAGCGGAAGACGAGCGGTCGCAGTTCGCGGGCTTCGTCCTCCTCCCCGAGACCATTATCGCCATCTGCCGCCGCAGCTTTGACTTGGATAGTGCTTCGGCGTGGCTGAGACTGCGCGACATCCCGCCGCGCGAGGAGGACGCGGAGCGCGAAGAAGCACGGATGTACGCCCTCGCGCGCGACAAGCTCGCCGAGCTGCGCGAGCACGACCACGCGACCGAGTGGGAGCGGCGCCGCGAGGAGGTCAAGCGCACGCAGGTGATGGCGCAGAAGACGGCAGGGAAGCTGGCCGAGCCCGCAAGGCCTGAAGGGCGGCGCGCCGCACGCCTGCGCCACCCCGAGGAGGCGGAGCGCGAGGCGCAGGCGACGATGCTCGAGAGGTTCGCGCGGAAAAAGAATCAGGCAGACAGCCGGAAGGCCAAGGCGCTGACGAGCGCGAGTGCGGATGGCGTCGCCAATGGCGAGGAGCCAGGGGAGGGGGCCATGGCGGATACTGCGGAGTCGTCTCCGCCCACGAACACAAAGCCGAAGCGGGTATTGCGGCAGCGGAAGTACTAGGGTCACAGAACCATGAGTAGTAGGAATGTTCGGGCCCGCTTGTTGTTTTGCAGATAGCATTGGTAGAAGCATCATGTACTCAGCATCGCACCACTGTCCTGGATATCTTGAGTCATGATTCCAAGCGCCACGCGCGTCACATCGTGGCGTCATGATGAAGTCAATCATCGCAGTGTGTGCAATTGAGCTGCGCGATGCACAGACATCCTTCTCGACTTATTTTAACCGAAGGCCTCATCACCACCTCATGTCAAGGAGGACGCACAGCTCCTCAGATCATAAAGACTGGCCCAACCAAGCACCCTCCCATACACATGCTCAATAAGCTTTCAATCTCGATGCATTTTTTCCAGAGCATCCAAGGCCCGACTAGCTGTAGACGTAACCTAGACTACCCCTATTCCCCTATGTTGGCGGCGAGGCGCTTAGGCGGCGACAAAGTCGGCGACGTGGCCCTCGATAACGGCCTTCATCTCCTTCTCAATCTCGGGGGTGAGGACACCGCCCGAGAGCTTCTCGAGGAGGGACTGGTGCTGGTTCTTGAGGACCTCGGTGAACGACTTCTCCCAGGCGGTGATCTTGTCAGTGGGGACCTTGTCAAGGAGACCGTTGACACCGGCGTAGATGAGGGGAGCCATGATCTCGGTAGCCATGGGCGAGAACTGGGGCTGCTTGAGGAGCTCAGTAAGACGGGCACCACGGTTGAGGAGGTAGCGGGTCGAGGCGTCGAGGTCCGAGCCGAACTGGGCGAAAGCGGCGACCTCACGGTACTGGGCGAGGTAGAGCTTGAGCGAACCAGCGACGGCCTTCATGAGCTTGGTCTGGGCAGCCGAGCCGACACGCGAGACCGAGAGACCGACGTTGATAGCGGGGCGGATACCCTTGAAGAAGAGCTCAGCCTCGAGGAAGATCTGGCCGTCGGTAATCGAAATAACGTTGGTGGGAATGTAGGCCGAGACGTCACCACCCTGGGTCTCAATGATGGGGAGGGCGGTAAGCGAGCCACCACCGTACTTCTCGTTCATCTTGGCGGCACGCTCAAGGAGACGCGAGTGGAGGTAGAAGACGTCACCGGGGTAAGCCTCACGACCGGGGGGACGACGGAGAAGGAGCGACATCTGACGGTAGGCAACGGCCTGCTTGGAAAGGTCGTCGTAGATGATGAGGGCGTGCTTGCCGTTGTCACGGAACCACTCGCCCATGGCGCAAGCCGAGAAGGGGGCAAGGTACTGGAGGGGAGCGGCGTCCGAGGCGGTAGCGGCGACGATGATCGAGTACTTGAGGGCGTCGTTCTCCTCGAGGGTCTTGACGAGCTGGGCGACGGTCGAGCGCTTCTGGCCGACGGCGACGTAGACACAGTAGAGCTTCTTGGACTCGTCCGAGCCGTCGTTCCACTTCTTCTGGTTAAGGATAGTGTCGATGGCGACGGCCGACTTGCCGGTCTGACGGTCACCAATGATAAGCTCACGCTGGCCACGGCCAATGGGGACGAGCGAGTCGACCGACTTCATGCCGGTCATCATGGGCTCGTGGACGGAGCGACGGGGGAGAATGCCGGGGGCCTTGACCTGAGCCTTGGTACGGGTCTCGGCCTTGATGGGGCCCTTGCCGTCAATGGGGTTGCCGAGAGCGTCAACGACACGGCCGAGAAGGCCGGGGCCAACGGGGACGTCGACAATCTCGCCGGTACGCTTGACGGTGTCACCCTCCTTGATGAGACGGTCGTTACCGAAGATGGTAACACCGACGTTGTCGGCCTCGAGGTTGAGGGCCATGCCGCGGACACCCGAAGAGAACTCAACCATCTCCTCGGCCTGGACGTTGCGGAGACCGTAGACGCGGGCGATACCGTCACCGATGGCTGAGGGGGTCAGTTGATGGGAGGAAGAAGAAACATACTGAGGACACGGCCGGTCTCCTGGACGTCACCGCCAACCGAAGTGCCGGCGATGCGGCTCTCGAGGATCGACGAGACCTCCGAGGCGGCTGTTGGGAGAGGTTGTCATGAGGGGATGAGTTGGATGTATATGGAGGATGGAGGATGAGAAGAGTGGTTGGATGATGAACGTGTCAGGGGCAGGTGTGGGTGGGGATTTGGTGATTTGGTGGAGGGCCGAGGAACATGTCGGGAGTTCGGAGTAACAGATGTGCGAGGATGGTGCGAGGCCATCAGTAAAAAAGACACAGCGTCAGCAATAATGCAGGCATCGAGCGGCGCATAGGACGACGTACCGGGCTTGGCAGTCGCGTACGAGCGAACGGCCATGCGACGCTGGGAATGTTAGCAGTGATTCTGGAGGATTTGGTGGAAAGGGGAACACCCCGGCCGGCGCTTGGCGTGGCTGATCTCCGAGCTCGCCGCGAAATCGACAGCGAGCTCGGCGCTGCAGCGGCGCGCGCCAGTCGGCAGGAGGAGGAGAAGAGGCGCAGCGGGGGCGCAGGCACTGCGAGGCAGAAAGCGCATCGCACATTGCCTTGTGTCTTTTCTCTTCCTCCTGGCTGGGCTCGGCGTTTTCGCTTTGGCGCGCGAGGAGGCCGGGGAGTGCGATGGAGAGGAGGGAGTGTGTCGTACTCACGCCAGAGGCCGCGCGGAGCGACTGGGCAAGAGCGGAGCGCATGGTTGAGATGGGGAGAAGGAGTGGGGAGGAGTGGTTTTTTGACGAAGAGAAGGAGAGTAGTAGTAACGGGAGATGAGGATGGGGAGGGGGGAGGGGGAGGGGGGAACGAGCGACGCAGGGGGGGGAGCGAGGTCGGCTCTGTGTGGTGGGGGGGGGGGGGAGGAGGGACACGGGGGCTTTGGGCGGGGGACGTGTGGCAGCCGAATCCAGGGTGAGCCCCTCCCAAGCCCGCACCTGGTTGGGTGGCATTTCGGACCAGAACGGACTCTCCAATCCACTCCTAGGCCCATCCCCTCAATTCCCGACTTATAATCCCGACTCACCACACGCTCAATTTCTGTGTGGCACTTTGCCATGCTCCTACAGAGACCTCCACCACGAGGCTCACAAAGTCGGATCTCCATCCAAGTCTTGAGGACGAGACGACGCTCAACTGGCATCGAGCATCCAAACAAACTCCATCCATGCCGCCCCGACCAGCCCTCCCACAAAGTATGTCTACTCATGCAAGCACACAAACAACGTCTCTGACACCCAGACCTCTTGCGCACGCCGCTGCGCGCGCTCGCGACCGCCTCGGCGGCCTCCACTTCTTCGGCGTCCCCCTTCGCTGGCCTTCCTCCCCTCGCGCCCGCCGATGCCGCCCCCGTCCTCCCCACTACCATGCCCGAGGCCGTTCGCAAGCTCCGCGAAACAACCACTCCCTCCAAGGGCATCTACTGCGTCGCCCGCCTCCACAGTCGCAGTTATCTGCTGCACCCCCGCGACATCCTCACCCTGCCGACCCTCAAGCCCATGCAGGCCCCCGGCACGACCCTGTCGCTCACGCGTATTCTCGAGGTCGGCGGGCGCGAGTTTGCCATCCGCAGCCCGGCAGCGGACGGCAAGGAGTTGCGCAAGAGCTTGCCCAAGGGGCCTGGTGTTGACTCGGGCTTTGAGACCATCCCGCCTTGGGTTGCCAGCTGCGAGCTTACTGTGCTTGAGCACACCAAGAGCCCATTGACGCGCACGCTTCTCAAGAAGCGCAGGAAGGGGTACCAGAAGACGATTGAGAACAAGCAGGGCTGGACTCGCCTGCGTGTTGGAGACATCGTCCTCGGAAGTGGGGTCCCTCCCTCCTCTTAGCGGCGGCGTCGTCTTTGTAGAGTATTCAGCGCATCACTCATGGCACATGGCATAGATATACAGGTTGTGGGCGGGAAGGGCGGGGGTGGAGGGAAGGAGTTGGGACGAAGAGTGGTGAAGACGCTGCGTGACCTTGAGCTGACGGACTGCTGACGCGCTACGCCTGACTGCAACCCCGCTCACGTCCCACAACAGCATACATGCACAACAATGTCCATCTCTACTTGAGGTTACGCCGCGCAGTCCCCGCCGGCGTCGAGTTGACCTTTGTCGCGAAGCGCAAGCTGCACACCGTCTCGCCGAGGTGCGCGGCGAGCGGCGAGATATTACACAACATAAGTGTCTTACTCGACCCACTCAGGCTGGTCTGGAGGAGCCGTGTGAGCGTCGAGTTGCGGTACGGGACGTGTGCCGCGGCGGCGCCCGCGCCCTGCCCGAGCGCGGAAATGACGTCCGCAAGCGCACTCAAGCTCTTGTTGATGTTGATCGTCTCTTTGAGGCGCACGGCGTCCTTGTCCGCGCCGCTCGAAGCCAGGCGCTCCGATCCAGCGAGGTCGACGAGGTTGAGGATACCCTCGCTCTCCTCGCCTGTCGCGTCGTTCCATCCGCGCACTTTGAGCGCGAAGACGGAATGCGAGCGCGACGAGCGCTCGTTCATCAGCGTCGCGGCGACAGCGCGCCGCGACCGCGCCTTTTCCAGCAGCGACGAGACTTGTGCGGGGTTCGCGAGCGGAAGCGACACCGTGTCCGTCACCGTCATCTTGTCCTTGTCAATCTTGATCTCGTGCTTCTTCGTGTCAAACTGCCCGCTCCCAAGCAAATCGTTGATCTAGCGTCAGCCCGCTCGCCACATCCCCCAGACCCACCTCGTCATTGTACACCTCGAGGAACGAGCCTTCCATCGCGTACGTCCACCCGCGGTCCTTGAGCTTGGCGCTCTCAGCAAAGATCATGTCGATCGCGCGCGGAATCATGCCGGCATGCAAGCCCTCGCCGCCCTCCATAGTCCACGACTTGCCCGAGCCCGTCTGGCCATACGCGAAAATACACACCTGTCATCAGCCACGCGACGCCGCAACTCACGTTGTACCCGTCCAACACGCTCTGCGCGAGCATCGAGATCTCCTCGAACACCTCACGCTGCCCGTGCTTCGGCTGGAACACTTTGTCAAAGTTGAACGTGATGGCCTGCTCGCGCTCCTTGCCCATCGCGCTCTCGCTGCGCGACCGCACCGTGAGGTGGCTCTGGCCGGTTTCGGCCGCCACACGCTCGTCGCAGTACGCAATGTCCGCGAGGCCGTCGGGCGCGTCGCGCTCGTGTGCTTCTGTCAGCCACGCCACACATGTCCGGGGTAACTCACCCAAAGCCGGACGCACGCGCGCAAACACCCGGATATTGCCCTTGAGCTCCTGCACCTGGTTGTGGAGCTTGCGGCGGATGCTTTCCGCCGCGCGCAGCTCGTCCTCGATCTCCGCGACGCGGCGCTCGCACTCGGCCTGCGCGAGGCGGATACGCTCTTCGGCTCCCAAATCCGCCTCCTCACAACGCTTGCGATATCCCTCCGCCTCGGCCTTGCTCGCGCTGACCGCGATCTCGGCCCGCTCGACTTCGGCCTGCAGGAGCGTGGCGTGCGCCTGCGCGGCCGTCAGCTGCGCGTTGAGGCCCATGTGCCGCCTCGCCTGCTCGGCGAGCTCGGTGCGTAGCTCGCGCGCGACCGCGCGCTCCCGGCTTAGCTCGTCGAGGTTGCGCGCGAGCTCGTCTTCCAGCGCCCGCTTTTCGCGTTCCCGCCGCTCGAGCTGCCGCTCCAAGTCTTCCACTTCGCGCGTGTGCCGCGCCGCCATCGCCGCCTTTTCTTCGCTCGCGTTCGCGAGCGCACGCCGCGCCTCCCGCTCCTCGCTTTGTGCCGTGAGCAGCGTCGTCTGCATCTCCGCCCGGTGGCCTTGTAGCGCCGCCAAGCGCTCGCGCCTGCTGTCAGCTCCGTTGGGTGTAGGCTCACTCCTGCTCGAGCAGTGCTTGGATGTTGTCGGTTATCGTCTTGCCAAAGTCGCCCATGTATTCGCGCAGCTTGTCGGGGTCATCTTGGCTCTGGCGTCAGCGGTCGGGTGTAGGTCACACGTACAGATTGGGTAGAGCTTGCTGAGCCTCGGGCGGCTGGTCGGCTCGGCGCGCCCGGTCGTCTTGCTGTGGCTGCAGTGGCGCCGATGCCTGCCCGCGGCCTGACGGCCACCGGGGGCTTAGCAGGCGCAGTCTTTGTCGCGGGTTTCGGCGCAGGCTTAGTCGCTGGCGCACGGGTGGCTGGAGGCCGCGCTGCGGGACGAGTAGCGGCAGGTGGCCGCGCAGGCGCTGTTCGTGCCCCAGCAGCTGTGGCCGGGCGCATCCCGTTACGGCTGCTGGACCGTGTCTCCGGCCGAGTGGGGGGCGCTGCCGCTGCCGCTGCCGCCCGCGCCTTCGCTGGCGGTTTGATGCCGGTGGTACCACCACCAGATAACCGCTTGGCGGGCGGCAGGTCTGCGGTGGGTGACTTGCGCTTGCCGACTACTGTTGTCGCGGCCGCCAGAGGCTTGCCGGCAGGGAGCGGAATGCCCGTCGCCTTCGCGGGAGCCGGCAAGCGCGAGGCGGGGGGTGATGACGGGGGCTGGGTTAGGGCATTCTCGCTTGGATGCCTCACAATGTTCTCCTGTTCTTCTGCCATGTCTAGTACACTTGATGGTCACAGAACAAGTGGGTGTGGTGCGGATGTTGTTGTGGTTGCTTGTTGACGCGCGGATGCTTTCTGTGTCCATGTTGATTTCGCCCAAAGAGGCAAGTCCAACCCAGGTCCTGCTTCCCACGTGGAGGTCATGACGTGTCATTTACCACAATCAAGGGTTATCTCGATTACGAACATGGCAAATGAGGCACTTGAAATGGGCGCAGCCACCGCCGTCCCTTCGCTCGCCCTTTGCCGGTCGACGAAAGGATTGGCTCTCGGTACTCGCTGCCGACTCAGACGCAAACCCAGGCTATCTCGCTCACTCGATCTCCACACTTGATAACTCCCAACGCTCCATCCTCTTCTGCTCACGTCCTCACACTCACAGAGGGCAGCAGCAACCACCATGCTTCCCCGCCTCTCCAAGCTCCCCCGCCCCGCGCTGGCTCGCATCGCCCGCCGCGCCTACGTTGCGCCAGCGACTTCCAAGCCCGTCCTCGAGCTCGACGCCAAGAAGGTCGGCTCGGAGATCCGCAAGCGCGGCCTCACCAATGCCATCTCCAACACGCGCGACGGCGGCATGGACCGTGTAAGTGAACGCTGCCCAACGCTGGCCGTTGCGCTCGGACCGAGGCGACTCACTGACATTGCAGGACACGATCATCCGCCTCCTCTACTCTCTCGGCTCGCGCCACGAGGTCGAGCGCTACCTCCGCATCTTCACCCAGAGCTCCAAGGCCGGTGCTGGCGGCGTCCTCCCCGAGGCCAAGTTTGCCGTGCTCAAGTGAGTCCGCTGTCGTGTGCCGCTAATGACGTAGGGTCGGCGGCGCAATCCTGACCAACGAGCTCGAGGACCTTGCCCTCTCCCTCTCCTTCCTCAACCGCCTCGGGCTGTACCCCGTTGTGCTGCACGGCGCTGGCCCGCAGCTCAACGAGATCCTCGAGGCCGAGGGTGTCACCCCGGACTACGAGGATGGCATCCGTATCACGGACGCCAAGACCCTCCAGGTCGCCCGCCGCGTCTTCCTCCAGGAGAACCTCAAGCTCACCTCGGCCCTTGAGCGCCTCGGCACACGCGCGCGCCCGATTCCCACGGGCGTCTTCTACGCCGACTACCTTGACAAGGACAAGTACAAGCTGGTGGGCAAGATCCAGAAGGTCGACAAGGCGCCCATCGAGGCGGCTATCCGTGCCGGCTGCCTTCCCATCCTCACCTCGCTTGCCGAGACTGCCGATGGCCAGATGCTCAACGTCAACGCTGACGTTGCCGCCGGTGAGCTCGCCAAGGTCCTCGAGCCCATGAAGATTGTCTACCTCAACGAGAAGGGTGGTCTCTTCCACGGTGTCACCGGCAAGAAGATCTCCGCCATCAACCTTGACGAGGAGTACGAGGGTCTCATGAAGGAGTCGTGGGTCAAGTTCGGCACCAAGCTCAAGATTCGCGAGATCAAGGAGCTCCTCGACACCCTTCCCCGCACCTCGTCGGTTGCTATCATTTCGACCGACATGCTGCAGAAGGAGCTGTTCACCGACGCCGGTGCCGGCACTCTCATCCGCCGTGGCTACAAGCTGTACAAGCAGCCCGCCGCCGAGGCCATTGCGTCGACCAAGCTCCGTGAGATCTTCACTGAACGCGACCCCGAGGTTGCCTCCGGCAGAAAGTCGGTCGCCGAGATCTTCGGTGAGATGAAGGCGACCCCTCACACCGTGTACGGCGACGAGCCGTTTGACGTCGTTGCCGTCGTCTCGCACCCTGAGGGTCAGACGCCCGTCATGACCAAGTTCCTGCCCTCGCGCAACGGTGTGCTCAACAAGACGGTCGACAACGTCTTTGACTCGATCAAGAAGGACCACAAGCGCCTCTTCTGGACCGCGCAGGCCGACGATGAGAACCGCGCGTGGCACTTTGAGCGTGCCGACGGCTCGTTCACGCGCGCCGGCCGCTCGCTCTTCTGGTATGGGGTTCCCGACGTCAAGCAGGTCGAGAAGATCATCGAGGGTTTTGAGAACTCTGGCCGTATCGACCGCGTCTTCCTCCCCGTTGGCCCCAGCACGCCGCCTCACCGCCTCGCCGGTGCGGCGCCGGGCACCGCCCGCGCTTACTCGACCAGTGCCCGCCCGTCGCTCTCTGCGGCGGGCAACTATTCATTTCGCCGCGGTTACGCCACCGAGGTCCCGCGCAAGCGCGTCGCCCTGATCGGCGCGCGCGGCTACACGGGCCAGAACCTGGTGTCGCTGATCGACAACCACCCGGGTCTGGAGCTCACACACGTCTCGTCGCGTGAGCTCGCCGGTCTCCCGCTCCAGGGTTACAACAAGGCGAACGTGACGTACTCGAACCTCTCGGCCGAGGACGTCAAGAAGATGGAGGAGAACGGCGAGGTTGACGCGTGGGTCATGGCGCTGCCTAACGGCGTCTGCAAGCCCTTTGTTGATGCGATTGACGCCGCGCGCGCCAAGGGCTCGCAGGGCGTGATTGTCGACCTGTCGGCCGACTACCGCTTCGAGAACGACTGGACATACGGTCTTCCTGGTGAGCGATAGCGAGGGGGAAGAGAATGGGAAGAAGGGCGTGAGGCGTAGTGGGCGCGAGCGATCCGTAGCTTGCTGCGGAGTAGTTACACCCCTAGCCCCTAGCCCACCGCCCGCGTAGATCTGAATGAAGCTAAATGCCAGAGCTCTACGGCCGCGAAGAGACCAAGAAGTCGAAGCGTATCTCGAACCCGGGGTGCTACGCGACGAACACGCAGCTGCTTCTCGCACCGCTCCTGCCGCACCTGGACCCTGCGCAGGCGCCCACGATCTTCGGTATCTCGGGCTACTCTGGTGCGGGCACCAAGTCGGGGCAGAAGGACGCCGAGGGCCGTCCGCAGACGGTGCCCAAGATCGTGAGTCGCCGCGCTTCTGTCGCTCACGCCAGTCCGAGGCGGACCTGACGGGCGGTGTGCGCCCCTACGCGCTGACGGACCACATCCACGAGCGCGAAGCGGGCCGGCACCTGTCGACTCTTGGCCGCGAGCTCAGCGTGAACTTCATCCCGACCGTTGCGCCGTGGTTCTCGGGCATCGTGTCGGTGCTGAACGCGCCGCTGGCGCAGGAGATGCGCGCGAGCGACATCACGGCGCTGTACGAGGCGAAGTACGCGTCCGAGCCGCTCTTCCGCGTGCAGAAGGACGCGCCGGATGTGCGCGACGTCGCGGGCAAGCACGGCTGGCGCGTCGGCGGCGTGCAGGTGCATTCGTCGGGCAAGCGCGTCGTCGTCGTCGGTGCGCTCGACAACCTCCTCAAGGGGGCTGCAACGCAGTGTATCCAGAACCTCAACCTTGCGTTGGGGTACGACGAGCTCGCGGGCGTGCCCAAGGATGCGTACTAGGTGCTAGGCTGGCGATCTGAGGAATGTATTGCATGGCATAGGCAGGCACGGCCTGGCAGGTGGCAGGTGGCAGGTGGCAGGTGGCAGGTGGCAGGTGGCAGGTGGCAGGTGGCACGATAGGCACGGCGAGAAGATGAGGTGTGGCGTGAGAACATGGATCGACGACATGGCGGGTGCAGGGTGTATGGAGATAACATTGTCAGAGGGCGTGCAGGGGTCTCGGATGGGGAGTGTCACCAGACGACGAACAGCATGTAATGAGGCGCAATGGGTGCGTGTAGGAACGCGCGGCTCCATTAGCGTACTTATCGCGATCCAGTACACTCCGCGCACTTTGCCACACCGACGTAATACCATTACGGCATGCCGCGTACTGTACAATAAGCTACAACAGGACATGAAAGGGAAGCAGGAAATTGAGCCAGACGGAATCGAAGCCAGAAGCACACAACGCAAAGAGGAGACTAGAAGGGAGTGCCGTACCGCCGCGCCGGGCGCTCTACTTGCGGCCCGATCGGCTTGACGATGAGGCCGGAGGGGCCGCGCACGAGCGCGAACTGAGGGGGGGAAGGACACTCGTCGGGCGTGCGCGGCCCGTCGCTGCCCAACGAGCTCCCGCTGTGCTGTGCCGCGAGACTCGCTGTGCTCCCGCGACGCGCGCGGGGTGCGTACGTCTGTCGCGCCGCCGCGAAGGGATGCATCGAGTAGCCGTCAAAGTCGGGGGCGCAGGACTTGACGCGGCGCAGCTCTTCCACGCGCTCAGCGCCTGGAATGGGCACGGGCAACGGCGGTGATGTCGGCATCGGCAACGGCAGCGTCGGCATGGTGAGCGGCTGGAGCTTGCGCGGCGACATGTCTGCCGGCTTGGACGGGCGGCGGACGAGCGGGGGGATGGGCCAATCCCATTCCTCGGCTTCGCGGATCGCTGCGATGGCCTCGGCCAGCGTCTCTTCGCCGTTGGCTGCGTGGGCTGCCTCGACCGGCTCGCAGGCGGTCGGGAAGGACGAGGCTAGCGTCTTGGCGCGCGAGCGTGCGCGGTAGCGCGCATACGCGGAGTCGGGACCCAAAGCTGCAGAGCGGCGGGAAGAGTTCGATGCCGAGGAGGAGGAGGGCGCCGAGGGTGCGGGCCCTAGGGGTTCTGGGATCGCCGGGGAGAAGAGCGCAGGCATCACCATCTTCCGCAGTGGAGGGATGGGCGGGAGCTCGAGAGGAAGGGGAGGGAGGGCGCTCTTCGGCGGCGGGCCTGGAGGCGGGGGCGGCAGACTCCTTGTTGGCGGCGGCCTGGCGAGGGGCGGCAGGGGGAGAGTGGGAAGCGCGGGAAGCGCCTTTGGCGGCGGAGGGGGCGATGACTGAGAAGGAGGGGGAGGAGGCGATCGCACACGTTTGGCATTCGCGTTGAGGGGAACGACTATGGGCGGTGGGGGAGGGGCGCGGCGGGGGATATGGAACGGCATGGGCTTCGGTAGCTTTGGAGCGGTGCGCAGGCGCGGTTGGGGAGCGCGCTGGGACATGGTGCGGGAGTGGGAGTGGGGGTGGGGGTGGGAGTGAGTGAGGGGAGTGGGCGGAGTGAAGACCTGGTCGCCTCCAAGCGAAGTGGAGCGACGATGCTTCTCGCGAGGCCAGGACTGCCAAGGATGCAGGGCGGGTTGGGGGGACTTTGGGACAGAGACAACGCGACGGCGCACTGCTACTTGTGCGGCGCAGGCGATGGCGAGCTCGTTATCCCGCTCGAGGGGGTCTGTGGGGGGCATGGAGGGGATGGGCGGCATGGGCTTGGACATGGACATGAGCAAGGGGGGTGAGGCGGGGCGGCGCGAGCGCGAGCAATGGCAAGGAGCACAAGGAGTGCAGGGAGGGCAAGGAGGGACGCCATATGCACTACCAGATGGAAGATGTGGGAGTGGCGGCTGGGGGTGTTGCGCACGCTCGGGCCGGCCAGCGCTTGATCTTGTTCGCCGGAGCGAAGTCCCTGCGCGAGGCACCGCGTTGTTCATGTCGGGCTCGGGCTCGGGCGTGCGTGCGGGGTGGTAAGAGGGCGTGGACGAGGATGAGGGCGAGGGCATGGACGTGAGCAAAGCGAGGTCACTGTCGCCCTCTCTCCATCGCAAACCAGGATGGATGTCGATAGAGAATTTAGCGAGGTGTGGAGCTTGGTTGTTGCCACCCGACGCCCTTGACTCTTGGTTGCTTGGCGATGCGAACACGGCCGCCACGGCAGGGCGAGCAGAACCTACACCATCCTGCAATTGCAGCCCTGCTTCTGCTTCTGCTTCTGCGTCTGCTTCTGACATTGAATGCGAGGGCAGAGGAAAGGGCACAGGCAGGCGACTTCGGGAGAGCGATCGCGTATGTGTGTGCTGCACGCGCTTCGGAAGAAGATGATCAAGGCCTTGATGCCGCGCGGCAGCGGCGAGGGCGAGGGCGCGGTCGTGCAACATTAGCGGGGGGAGGACGGGCATGGCGAGGTTCTGGTGTGAGATGTGCGTGCAAAAGCGCAAGAGGTAACGCTGCTGCTGGGCATGGACCGCTTCTTGTACCATGCAGCCAGCACGTAGCCTCACCGCAAACTTACGTCGCACGAGCCGTGGATTGAGTCAAAAGACCCAACGGAGGGTGTCTCGAGTTGAAAGTCGCCCGAGGACGAGGGGGTTGATGCTGGCGACATGCCGGGCAAGGACGCAGAGCCAGAGGACGCACAGAGTTGATGGTGGACGTGGATGAGGGTTGATCTGCATCCATCAGGCGCCCACTGAGCCTGGCTCGGACCCCGTGGCCCTCGCCTCCGTGGGGGTCGGGGCGGCGGGGCGGCCTTTGCCTGTGGCTCGAATGGCTCGAATAGCTCGGGCCTCATGCTGCGCAGGTGCAGCGGCGCGGCGTTGTTTCGCCTGCTTGCAGAAAGCGAGAGAGAGAGAGAGCAATGTCGAGGCGTTGAGGGAGGAGGAGCGAGCAAGGACACGCAGGGGGAAGGAAATAGAAATGCAGGGCGCGAGGGTTTCGTGGCGCTCGATTCAGTCCTCTGTCAGGCCGACCAGCGCTGTTAAACGGCTTCCAGCGAACAAGAGAGGGAGATCTGGGGATGTCGATGTTCCAGTGCTTGCAGTGCTTGAGAGGGAGGAGGGTGCAGTGGCCTGTGCGCTGTGTCAAGTGTTGAGCAAGATGAACCGTGGTTGCAACCAAGGGGTGAGGTATGGTCTGCTCGGTATGAACGTGCGCAGCTGATTCAGTCCAAGCTTGGAATGCGGGCGACTGCGATGTGCGCGCGCTGCGAGATGTGACAAGCGATGCAAGCGATGGAGAACGTCAAGTCGTGATCGTGAGGTCGTGCGTCAAGGTCGTCGGTGGATGTCGTCGAGGTGTGTGAGAGGGGGTCGTGCGATGGCTCAGACCTGGCTGAGGCTGACGAAGGCGTTCAGCCACGTCTCTCTTGCAGACTGAAACAGATCGTGAAGATGTAAAGTCAACCAAGTCACCTCGAGCAAACTACAACCAGTAGCCTGCATTGCATCCTGCACACCGTGACATGCAAAGGCAGTGGGGAGGAGAGGGATGGAGGCGTCGGCGTCGACGTGCGTACTCCTCGCCTTGCTGAGTTCTGCATGTGTCGAGCCTTGAGGCCTCGAGGTCTCAGAGTCGTGCGCCGACATGCTCTCGTAACGCCTCCAGGGACATTCCAGCGTGCATACCATCTCTCGTCCCGACGTTTCTCTCTGCCCGCTGCTCTGGCAGGTCTGCCTGTCTCAGCCACCACGGCCATGTTTCACTCCATTCATGCTGCGCTGCATGCAGCGTGCACGCGTCGGCCGACGGCGCGTGTAATAATACATCTCTGCTCTCGCCGCTCTACACGCTCCGCACTTCTCGGCTTACACCACCGTCCTGTCGATCCGTTCCTCATAATCCAAAGCTTGTCATGCACCCGCGGCACTCGTGCGCTTGCTTCCATGCGCATGCTCATGCTCATGCTCATGCTCTTGCTCGTGCTCCATGCTCGAGGCGAGGCAAGCCCAGGCGAGACGTCACGCTGCCCGTTCTGTTTGGGCACTCATTACGCCTGCAGGCAGCGTCACGTGAGTTACGGCATAGGGATGCTCGCAATGTCCGCACTCTTTCGGGCAGGCACTGGAATCGCGTTACGTTGGCATTGCGACGTCTTGGTACGTCTCGACGTCGTCACCGCCAAAGCACGTGGGCGATGATAAGATGCAGAGTCGTCGTTTCGTCGCTCGAAAGACTATCCCACCGTGTCGGTTGCCCGTCCGATGACGCCCAAGTGCTTCGGGTCGTTCCCGCCATCTTCACAGACAAGTGCCGAGATTTACATACGTCCAAGTGCCGACGGGCGTTCCAGCTCGGCCTCATCGGCCACACCCGAGCCTGGCGTGACCCGCGCTCCCCGTCGTCCACGTACTGTACGTGCGTCAGTCCGTACAACATGCATCTAGGATCTAGCCGGCAATACGCCCTCTACCTCCCCACTCCGCCGTGCTCAGTGCTTGACCTTGCCCCCCTTGTCCCACTTCTCGTGCAAGAACGCCGTCATCCACTCATACAGCTCGCGGTACGCGCCGCGCGTGCGGATGCCGTGGTCCGAGTCGGTGAACATGCGCATGCGCCATCCGCGCACGCCCGCCTGCGTGAGGCGGTCGACCAAGCTCGCCGTATTCGCAAAGTGCACATTGTCGTCGCCGCTCCCATGCGCAATCAGCAGGTCCTTGCCGTCAAAGTTCGTGAGGTTGTGCACGCGGCTCGCGGCGTAGCCGTCCGGATTCGCCTCGGGCGTGTTCATGTACCGCTCCGTGTAGATTGCGTCGTAGTACCGCCAGTCCGTGACCGGCGCGACGGCCATGCCGAGGGTAAACAGGTCCGGGCTGGCTTCGAGCGTCTTGAGCGTCGTGTACCCACCGTAGCTCCAGCCCCAGATACCCACCCGCTCCCGGTCAATGTACTTGCGCTTGACGATGTCGCGGGCCAGCGCAGCCTGGTCCAGCGCCTCGAGGCGCCCGAGGTCGTCCATGATCGGGTTGCGCAACGCGCGGCCCTTGAAGCCCGTGCCGCGCCCGTCGACTTTGACGATCACATACTTTTGCTCGCAGGCCAGGAAGTGGTGCCAGTCGCGCCCAAACATGTTGGACACCTTCTGCGAGTACGGCCCGCCGTACACCTCGATCAGAACCGGGTACTTCTTCCGGCCAGAGGTGTCGACGTTCGGAGGCAGGATCTCCACCGTGTTCAGCTCAAAACCGTCGCTCATCAGCGTGCCACGGTTCACGATCGGGCGATGGAACTCGGCGAGCGTCGCGTTCAGCGCCGCATTGTCCTCGAGAAGCTCGTCGATACCGCCCTCGCGCACCTCGATCAGCCGCTGCCACGGCACCAGTGGGCCCTCGTATGAGAGCAGGTAAAAGCCAGCCTGTGCGGAGAACGAGGCGGCGTAGTATCCTGGCTTGTTGGTGTCTGTGAGCGCCTTGATTGATGGCTTGAAGTCGGCTATCGACGCCGCGTCCGGCAGCTCAACACTGTAGATGTGCCGGTCGATCGAGGGGTTGGCAGCCGTGAAGAACACGATGCCCTGCTCTTCGTTGACACCGTTGATCCGTGTAACCTCCCACTCGCCGTCGGTCAGCCAGATGGGATCGGTCGCATCGACGGGATGGAAGAATGCAATGTGGTTCCACCCCTTCTTGTTGGGCACAATGTCAAGATATCCCGACACGGTCCCGCCAGTTTCGTGGATCGCGATAAGATTTTGGCCGTGGTCGATCCAGCCGTTGTCACCCTCCTCGCCGTCCTTGCCGAGCTTGCGCACAGTCTTACCCTCGACCTGCCCGCCCTGGAACACAACCACCTGGCCATTCCGGGCAGCGCGGTCAATCTCCTTGACGAGCAGCGCATCGTTGCCGACCCACGAGACCTCAACGACGATACCGTCGCCTGGCGGCAGCTGCCCGGGCCAGTGCAGCGTCTGCTTTGCCGCTTCCAGCCGCTTGTCGCCCAGCGTCGCCGCAGCAGCGTTGAAATACCGTGTCAAGTCGAAAGTGTGCACAGAGACGTGCGGGAGCGGCGTCCCCGGCTTCGGGTAGCGCATGACCACCTCGCTCGTGTACGGGTTCACCGTCTCGGCCTCGTTGGTCGGGTTGTACACCGGGTACGTGTACTCCTTGACCTCGGTCTCGTTGGAGCGGAGGTACGCGACGGCATGTGCGTCGGGGGACCACCACAGCGCGCTGTCGGTCGAAAACACCTCCTCCTCATACACCCAGTCCGGGACGCCGTTGAAAACGACCTTGCTCCCGTCGTCGGTGACGCGGACGGCGGTGATGTTCTCGGCGCCCTGGTCCAGCTCAGTAGCCGCCACGACGTACAGGTCGTTGCCGGAGACATAGGCGATCGAGTGCGACACAGGCGACCACTCGGCGTACGCAATTGAGGGCGGGATGCTGGGCTCATGCAGCGCAAACGTCTTGTGGTCCGCCAGACGGTGCACCCAGAAGTTGCTGTGCGAGCTGTGGCGCCACTGCTTGACGTAGTCGGTGCTGAAGAGCACGTACTTCATATCCGCGGACAGCTTCCAGCTCTGCCAGTACAGCGTGTTCCCCGAGCGCGGGTCGACGATGTCCTTGGCCTCGACGAGGATGCTGGTGTTGTTCGGGTCAGTCGCGGACGCGAGCACGATGTTTCCCCGGGGGTCGGTGGTCGAGTACGTCCCGTCCTCGGCCTCATGCACCCAGTTCCGCTGCACCCAGTTGGCATTGAAGGTGCCGTTGAACAGGTGGTCCATAGTCATGTGCTTGTGACCGGCCTTGGCGACGGTGACAGGCCCAGAGTACCATGTACCGGCGAGGATACCGATCGCTGCTGCGCCGACGACGATAAATACGAGCACCGCGAGGATGCTGCGCGACTTCCGGCGCGGCCGGATCTGGTGTCAGCGCTCTTATAGGTGGGCAGGGCAGGCCAACTCACGCGACTCGGCTCAACGGTAAACCCCTGCTCCTCGTCCTCGGCGTATCTCGCGCTGTACCGCTGGGCCTCGCCGCTCTTCTCGTCGAACGGATCTTGGTCCAGCTGGTCGCGATATACGATGTCGCTCCCGCTCCCGACGGTGTCGAGGCTCGCGCGCGCGCTGTAGTGCGCTGCGGGCGGGTACGCGTGCTCGTCTGGCTCGGGAGAGCGGAGACCGACGCCCTCCCCGCGTGAGGGTGGGCGATCGTCTGTCGCGAGTGCGTCGTACTGGGCCATGATGTGGATGAAAGAGAAAGATTGTAGGCGGGTCAATGTAGAGGTGGCCGGTGGACGGGTACGGCCGAGGCACGACATGCCCTGAAACCGCACCTCGTCACCATCACGACTGAGCTTGTCAATCCGCGATCATCTCTCGCTGTCTCCTCATCTCCATCTCGCTAACTCTATCCTCGACGTTGACGGCGCATCAGATACCCAGCGAGGCCGCAGAGTCGCAAGCCTGCCTCCTCCCCTCCCTGTCTGCGACGAGCACCGCCAACTCCGTCTCCCTTCCTCTCGACCTCGACCTCGATCCATCCCCCGACTCCCTCCCACCTTGCTCATCTTGAGATGATCAAGTTTATTCTGGTACAGGTATGCTCTGCCGGAGCTAGTGCACATCCGAGCCGACGCCGCGCCAATGCTGACTGCAGAACCGTCAAGGGAAGACGCGGCTGTCAAAGTGGTATGCACCCTACGACGATGATGAGAAGGTGGGTACGGGTGACACTGGGGGCTGCAAGAGCTGTACGCGGACTGCTGAACGCCCTCTCAACCTTATGCAGCGCCTGTCTGCCTTCATCCTCCTCAGCTCTCCGCTCACTCCAGGTCCGGCTACGCGGCGAGGTCCACCGACTGATCGCGCCGCGCGACCAGAAATACCAGTCCAACTTTGTCGAGGTGCGCTACCGTCGCTTCACACCTAACCGCAGTTCCGCAACGACAAGATCGTGTACCGCCGCTACGCCGGTCTCTTCTTCTGCGTCTGCGTTGACTCGAACGACAACGAGCTTGCGTACCTCGAGGCGATCCACCTGTTCGTGGAGGTGCTCGGTACGTGCTTCTCCGTGCTCTGCTCACCCCAGACGCCTTCTTCCAGAATGTGTGCGAGCTCGACCTCGTCTTCTCGTTCTACAAAGTGTACGCTATTCTCGACGAGGTGTTCCTTGCAGGCGAGATCGAGGAGACGAGCAAACAGGTCGTGCTCGATCGCCTCGACTACCTCGAGAAGCTCGAGTAGGTTTGGCTGGTCCATCATGTTGTACAGTGTGAAGGGTGCATACAGGCTCGGTGATCGGTGAGGCGGGGTGCATGCAGGCTACGGTGACGGGGTTGAGAGGCTATGTGTGCAGAAGATCGGGGTGCGCAGCTAGCTCGACTGTGGTCGCGGAACGCCAGCGTTGTCCGCCTTGCGCTGCTCGACCCACCGTTTCTTGCATTCTGCAGTCAGCGGAAGTGGGAACCAGCGGCGATTTCGGCCGCCACCAGGTGCACACCAGGCCGACGCCGGCGGCCGCCGTCAAGCCAGTCGCACTCACCCCGGTACGCCTTGAAGTACTCGTAACACTCGCCGCGGTTATACCGCGTCTGCTCGAGACACTGGAGGCTCGCCTTGCTCGCCTTTGCGCAGGGATCCTTGAACTGCCATCAGCCCGGCCTTCCCCTCTCTCACCTTGCTCGCGCCCGTGTGGCTCTTGTGCTCCTGGAAGGTGAGGCGGTAGTCTTCGGGCTCGTACAGGTCCGCGGCGGGGGGCAGGGGCTTGAACGCGTCGGGCGTTGGCTTCGTCGAGGGCGGGACTTGGGATGCCATACTCGTGAATGCGTGGGGGTAGGTTGTGAGCTGCGAGAGAGCGGAAGATCGAGGAGAGGAGGAGCGGAGATGGAGTAGACGAGGTACACTTTACGCCTGTCGTCACTGGATCGCGGTGACACTCGTGTGGCAAATTCGGGATCTGTGCGGGGCCCTCATCTCTCGTCCATGTCGCGTCGTCCATCGCCATCTTGTCTGTTGCTCCATCCCCATCTCTGCCATCATGGGTATCGTTGGGACGCTAGCGTCCGTCGGCATGGCCGTGGGGTAAGCCGGAGGTGCCCTACGCGTTGACTCCAGCCCGCCGCTCGTTTACGTCGACCAAGCGTACAGCATTATCCGGAAACGGTCCGCCCCACCCTGGCCGAGCTGACCGCAGTGACTCGTCCGGTTTCTCGAAGGACGTCTGCGGCGTAGTCATCATTGCGAACATCATCCGCGTGTTCTTCTGGCTCGGCGAGCGGTTCGAGCTCGGTGCGTCTCCGCGCGCCTCATCTCCTCTCCAACCTTTCTCACCTCCTTCGGGCTCCATATCCCCTTCCCCCTATTAACACCAGCCCTCCTGATCCAGTCTCTTCTCCTCATCGTCTCCCAGCTCGTCCTCCTCTGGATCTGTCTGTACTACACGCCGTCTGCCGGCCCAGGCGTGGCGGTCGGCGACGGCGACGAATCCGACGAGCTGCTCGAGCCCGACACCGCGCCACCCGCCCGCCGCCCCTTCGGGTTCTGGCAGTGGCCGCGCCTGGGATCGTACCTCGAGTTCCTCGCCGGCCTGATCGTCCTCCTGACAATCACGCACTTTGTTCTCGGCCGCTTCAAATGGTACATTGCCGGACTGGGGTTCGTGGCCCTCTCCATCGGTGTGTTGTCCAGTTGGTTTACGCTTACGCAGAATCCACACTTCCGATTCCGCAGTTCCTGTCGAATTATCGGCGCAAGAGCTGCTACGGCTTCCGCAGCTCCACGCTCGCGGGGTGGCTGTTCGGAGATTCGTTCAAGACGGCGTATTACTTCGTGCGCAACAATCCGCTCCAGTTCAAGGTCACCGGCATCATGACGATCTGCTGGGACCTGGCTGTGCTTGCGCAGAGGATATACTACGGTGCCGAGGCGCCACACAAAGTTGCGTTGAGCCACGACGAGGAGGAGGCGTAGATGCGGAGAGGACTACAATATGCACATCTAGACCCGCTACCCTGTCCGAGCTACCGCTCATCCATCGTCGAGCCGCCTCCTCTAACCCCACCTTCCACCTCCCATCTCCCACGTCCGTAGCATTTTGCATCGTCTAGGCTAGGCTTTTAATTAAACGGCCTTGCGCTCGACCTCGATCGAGTCCCACTTGGCGCGCTCGGCGTCCTCGGCAGAAACCTCCTGGATGTAGGGGGTGAGGTAGCGCACGTCGTCCTCGGCCTTGAGCCACTCCTCCTTCGGGAGGGGGCGGCGCATCAGGTCCTGCTGGAACGCCACGCGCATGCGGTACACGCGGTCGTAGCCCTCCTTGGAGGGGAGGCGGGAGAGAGCCTGCTGTCAGTCTTGTCACGCACGCGCGCACCTTCTCGACGTCGACGCGCTCCTCAATGATCAAGTCGTCGTACCGCAGGCCGACCTTGCGGTGGCCGGCGGCGCGCGCGTACGCGTTCGCGAGCGGCTTCAGCGAGTTGTACAGGCCCGCCGAGTACTGCTTGAGCGTGCCGGCGAGGCTGTTGCATTAAGAGGGCCGGGGGGGGGGGAGCAAATGTGTCGAGCGGCGTCGCGCAGTAGAATGGTTGAATGGGCGGCGGGGCAGACAGGGAGGCAGCGGAGACGACCGCGCAGATGCGAAGGAGGGAATGACGGCAAAGCAGATGCAGTGCGCCATCGTTGGTCGAGGAAGGAAGGCAAGGTGAGGTGAGGTGAAGGATTCGGAACGAGCGCAAAGCGGCAGCGCAAGGGACGAGCATGAGACAAAGCATGACGAGAGGCAGACGGAGAGGGACACGGTCAGCATATATTCCACGAGAAGTGCGGGGTGCTCACGAGATGCCGAGGGGTCCGCCGATCAGAACCATGGTGATGAGTGGTGATGCGGTTTCTGTAGATGAAGAGGCGGGGGACGGCGGGATGGCGAGGAGCGCGGGGGCGAGTGGCAGGGGGCGGGGAGAGTGGAGGAGTGGGCAGCGCAGTAGACGGGCGGGAGTGTAGACGGAAACGGAGGTCAGCCCGGGTTGACGATGGAAGCGCGCTCGCGATCACGACTTACCTGGTTGAGGATGAAGACGGAGACTGTGGCTGCAGACCTCGGCTTCACTGTCCCACCGTAGAGGCTCGCCTGCAGCCAGGGCCACTCCACCCCAGGGCCAGTCAGATTGGGTCCATCTCGCAGCCCGACCTCCGCCGACTCTCCTCGGTGCCTCCATCCCGGCGTTTCGGCTATTTCTCCGTGAGGCGGAGTGGGGTTGTTGTTGCCATGTAGAAGCAATGCATACGTCAAGGCGACGACATGAGACATGGAGATGAGATGCAATCGCGCTGTTCAGATGCAGACGGTTCGGATCCGCAGAGGCGAGAAGGGATCGAAGAGAGAGAGCTGCAGAGAACAGCGTGGTGTGAGCAGGCTGCCTGTCGCCGATCTAGATAACCCAGTAAACCTCCACGCCCATTCTCCAATACCACACCCCTTGGAATGATGATATGCATGAGTACAATGCTGCCGAGAGAACTAGAAGGGAACAGCGTTCCGCCCCATGACCTTGGTGCCCTTCTTGGACTGGTGTTAGCGACTGTGTCGGTGGCTACCTCCTTCTCCGTCTCCGTGGCCATCTCCGCTCGTGCATCTCCGCTCTTTCGGCCAGAAAGATCAACTCGGGCTCTTACCGCAAGCAGCTGCGCGCATGTCACTCGCAGCCGCCCAAAGCATGCGTAGCGAGGCGCATTCGCTGCTCTGTTCCTCCCAGCCACGTGTGCTATTCGCCTCCCACACCTTCCCTTCCACTACTCACCTTGCGGAACTCCTCGATGCGCTTAGCCATGCCGGCCATGCGCTCCTCACGCTCAGCCTTCTTCACCGGCGCGTCACGCTCCGCCTTGGTCCCCTTGAAGTACGTGCCGTTGGCCTGCAAGCGGCGCGAGGCATACAGCGACGTCTCGGCCTTGGCCTTCCAGCTGCCCTTCCAGGTGATCACGGTGCCGTCGTTCCACACGATGGGCGGCGCGTGCCGGATCGGGTTGGTTTCAGACGGCGGCAGCAGCTCGGCCGGGTACTTCTGCAGCAGGAGCTTCTGGTGGCGCCGATTGATTGATGCGCCGGTCCAGAGGAACTTGCCGCGCATGTTGCTGCAGTTAGCGATTGGATGGCAGAGTCGTGGATGGAGCGCGAGAGCTACTGCTAGCTGATTGCGACGTGCGTTTGATGCGCACAATCGCACACAGCTCCGCCCCGCCAGAACAAACTCACGGGTCAGGCGACGGCCTCCAGAAGCTCAAGAACGGGTTCTGGACCATGACGACGCCGTCAAACTCCTCGCCGCGCTTGGCAGCGCGCTCCAGCGCCGCAGCCTTCGCGCGCTCGAGGTCGCGCGCGACCTCCTTCAAGATGGGTTTTGGGAGCTGGTCCATCTCAATGACGCGCTTCTTGGGCGAGCGGAAGCCGGCGGGGCGGGCGTGCAGCGGCGGCACCGAGGCCGAGACGGAGGCCTCGGCCGCGGCGGGAGCGGGGGCCGCAGCGAGGCTCGAGGTCGCGCGCGCCGAGGAGGACAAGAGCCGCCGGGCAAAGTTCATGGTGCCGGAGTGCGGAGGGCGGAGGAGAGTGGTGGTGGTGGAGGAAGGAGCTTTGATGGCCGAATGGGTCGAAATATCGAGGAGGCAGCGACTTTGTCGCGGACGTTCCTGACGGCTTGGGGCAGATGGGTCTCACGTGGCAGGAGTGGAGGGCGTCCAGAAGTGAATATCTAATCGTAAATAGCCCCTCTTCGGGCTCGCATTACTTTGTGCCTTGAGATTGGAATGAGAGTGTACTTGGGTCGAACATGCTGTTCTATACTCTGGTTGTTGGTTGATAAAAGACCTTCATATCTTCCAAACCAGGTCAGCCAAGTAGCCGACACAAATCACTCAAAGCCACCACTATCTGCCCTCTGCTCAATATTTCTATGAAGCGTTGTGGGCGGAATAACGGCCTTATGGCATCAACGACACATACTCTCGCTATGTCAATCTGTCCGAGCGGTCTGTAGACTGCTGGCAACCGAGTCGGCATCAACAGATGTTGGCGCGTGTCCTTGGGAGGACAGCGCAATTAGTTCCTGCCTCTCTTCTGAGGAGGGCAATGACATTTCTGGAGCACAAGGTGCAATGCGTGCTAATGCCGTGACTCTCATCGGTTGTGCAGCTGCTGAAGCTCGGCTTTCCGCCAGATAGCAATGCCACAGACACACATCTTGATTATACATGTACGTAAGCCGGCGTCGCGACGCGCGACGTGGATGTACAGGACGTGTCACGTGTCAGCTTGCAGCTCTTGTCCGCTTGTCTGCTCCACCTTGGCATGCCTATCTCAATTGGCTTGAGGTGCGTTGGGACGCCTAAGCCGCTCGGCATTTTGCCATATCACCGCTGTGGCGCCACGGAATCCGTCCGTGATGCCCCGATAGAGCACCCAACCAGATGCAGCGGTCGACTGCTCTCACCCTGGAACCCTTCGGCTCTGCCTTCTCCCCGCCAATCCGCCAAACCCCCGCCAACCGCAGCCGCCCTTCCCCCCCCTCCCCTCGCACCCGCCCACCAGCCCTCGCCCCAGCGCCCCCCCGTCCACTCCCCCCCCCCTCGGTCCCCATCTCGTCGTCGTCTTTGACTACCTCCTCATCTCATTCACCTCTCCACTCCTCACTCTTTCCAAAACTCGCTGGGGACAAAATGACCCTCGTCACCCGTTCTGCTCAGCGCCTCGCCTCGCGCCGCCTCGCCGCGGTCAAGAACGCGCGCGCCAACGCCGCTTTCTTCACCACTGCCGCCAAGGTCGCTGTCCCCGCCTTCCAGGCTCAGGCTCGTCCCCAGGTCGCTGCCAAGGAGGGTAAGTAGCTCTTCTTTTCTCTCCTCTACATGCCCATCGCTCGACTGTACCGCGCGCGTAGATCCGCGAGCAGGTTGTGGCTCGCCCGGGGCGTACAAGTTGTCTTTTTCGTAGCCCCAAAATGGCCGAAAAACCCAACCCCGGGCCAGTTCGGAGCATTCGCACATCACGCAAAGAAGAAACGTGTAACTAACCACCGTCGCAGTCAAGGCCACCCGCTCGTACGCTGCCCCCGCGTCCGGCGTCACCGGCACCATCAAGACCGTCATTGGTGCCGTCGTCGACGTCAGCTTCGAGTCCGACGACCTTCCCCCTATCCTCAACGCTCTCGATGTTCAGTTCGCCGAGGGCCAGCCCAAGCCTGAGGGCGGCCGCCTCGTTCTCGAGGTTGCCCAGCACCTCGGTGAGAACACCGTCCGCTGCATTGCCATGGACGGTACCGAGGGTCTTGTCCGTGGCCAGGCCGTCGTCGACACCGGTGCCCCCATCACCATTCCCGTCGGCCCCCAGACCCTTGGGTGAGTGACCCTATCAGGCACATGAGCCTGCCTGCATGCAAGACACCAAGTTTGCTGACCACTTTTCCAGCCGTATCATGAACGTCATCGGCCAGCCCATTGACCAGCGTGGTGAGATCAAGGGTGTTTCCACCCGCCCCATCCACGCCGACGCCCCCGGCTTCGTTGAGCAGTCGACCGAGGCTGAGATTCTCGAGACCGGTATCAAGGTCGTCGACCTCCTCGCCCCCTACGCCCGTGGTGGTAAGATTGGTCTCTTCGGCGGTGCCGGTGTCGGCAAGACCGTCCTTATTCAGGAGCTCATCAACAACATCGCCAAGGCCCACGGTGGTTACTCCGTCTTCACTGGTGTCGGTGAGCGTACCCGTGAGGGTAACGACCTGTACCACGAGATGCGTGAGACCGGTGTCATCAACCTCGAGGGCGAGTCCAAGGTCGCCCTTGTGTTCGGCCAGATGAACGAGCCCCCTGGAGCCCGTGCCCGTGTCGCCCTTACCGGCCTCACCATCGCCGAGTACTTCCGTGACGAGGAGGGCCAGGACGTGCTTCTCTTCATCGACAACATTTTCCGCTTCACCCAGGCCGGTTCGGAGGTGTCTGCCCTTCTCGGTCGTATCCCCTCGGCCGTCGGTTACCAGCCCACCCTCGCCACCGACATGGGTGGTATGCAGGAGCGTATTACCACCACCAAGAAGGGTTCCATTACCTCGGTCCAGGCCGTCTACGTCCCCGCCGACGACTTGACTGACCCCGCGCCCGCCACCACCTTCGCCCACTTGGACGCCACCACTGTGCTGTCGCGTTCGATTGCCGAGCTTGGTATCTACCCCGCCGTCGACCCCCTCGACTCCAAGTCGCGTATGCTTGACCCCCGTGTCGTCGGTGAGCGCCACTACCGTGTCGCTACCCGCACCCAGCAGATCCTCCAGGTGAGCCACAACCTGATATTGAGCAGCCAATGCTGACATGACAGGCCTACAAGTCGCTCCAGGACATCATTGCCATTCTCGGCATGGACGAGCTTTCCGAGGAGGACAAGCTTGTGAGTATCTACATCGGCAACTCCTCTCGGGCTGGTGCCTGATTGATCGTGCCTGTTTTTTGGCCGTTCAGAAGTTCCAGTCCGGTTTAATTTGCTTCCGTTCCTTTTGATCATGCTAACCTCCAGACCGTCGAGCGTGCCCGTAAGATCCAGCGTTTCATGTCGCAGCCCTTCGCTGTCGCCGAGTCGGTAAGTCTACTGCACGCATGGATACCCAGCGACCAAAGGCTAACTTCAGTTCACTGGTATGCAGGGTGCGCTCGTCCCCCTGAAGGACGCCGTCACTGCCTTCGAGGAGATCCTCGACGGCAAGCACGACGCCCTCCCCGAGGCCGCTTTCTACATGGTCGGCGGTATCGCAGATGTCCAGGCCAAGGCCCAGAAGATTCTCGAGGACTCGTCGAAGTAAGCGATGGGTAACCACGGGGTCATCACTTCATAGTGGAAAGATGAAAGTCAAAACGGAACATTAGCATGGGTGTGGGGAGTTATGACTGCGGTGTTTGGTGAGGTGCGTTGAGGCTAGCTGTGGGTGTGTTGTCGTTGAGTTCTCGAGCCTGTCTGATCAGCGAGGCCTGCGTAGGGCGTGAGACGAGACGTACTGCTGCGAGGAAGTGGAGTGTTGGTCCAGGTCGAGCGAAGCGAAGGAGCTGTCCCTCGATATGCGCCCTGCACATTTTGAAAGACTGTTTCGCTATCTTAGCTGCGGCGCCGCGGCACCCAGTATGTAGCACGAGCGGTCCGGCGATCGTCGACTTGGGATGTTGAGAAGACTGATAGGGGCTTGCTGGGGGTGTGCCAGACGATCAGGCGAGCTCTCTCTCGCGGTATGTTGAGCTGCCCTAACGTACGACATGGACGAGATAATGGGTAGGCAAGGCCTGCCCTATTTTGCCCACGTTTCAGGCCTTTACTCATCGTACTGTAACAATCAGCAATCAGCGAAGTGACGACTGCGCTTTGAAGGTTGTTGACCAGGTTTCACGCCAACTACCAAGACACCGGTCGGCCGTCGGAAGGCTCTCGTCTACGAGGCCAAGAGCATCGAGATCATGTGCGTACGATCATCAGTTTTGGCACGTTGGCATGGAATCACACGAAGAGCCTAGGCTCGCGACGAGAGCGGTAAGTGATGGATGATGGATGATGGACGCTGAAGGGAATGCACGGTGGCATGGACGGGTATTGTTGATTTGCATGTAGGGATTAGCAGCAGTGAATGTGATCGGATGAGGTCATCCAACCTGCATCTGCCGATCCCGGTTGCTGGTCCGGGGATCCGGGGGCAACTTGGGATCATTCACTCTTGCACGTATCTCTTCCATCATCTCTCATTACTTCATCATCTGCGCCTCTCTCTCCTCACTTTTCCTTTCTTCTGCCCCTCTACTCACCCTCATTGAAACTGTGGGCGCAATACAATCCCATCTGTGTGCTCGAGCGCAGATCCAATCTCTAGCAGGGCCGCGAGGGCCGCATCCGCCCCCGCCCCCGAGCCCCCAGCCCCCAGCCCCGAGCCCCGACAGTGGCGTCGAGGGTCTCGTTCTCACCTTTTGTCCAACTCACAAACTTGTCTCTTCCCTTCACACGTCGGCGCTCGGACCTCTTCACAGATGTCGAGGTCAGCGAGCTTACCCCGTCGCTGCTGCTGTTGAAGTGCATGTCGGCGCTCATCAGGGGACGCGGTGATACAACTCATGCCAGCCTCTCCAATCACTGCATTTACCCTTCCTCGCAGTCCTCGCTAGAGACGAAGCGACACTCACGTCGATGGCCAGATGGGAGGGATCGATCCCTCCGCTTCCCCGCCCTATTCCCACTACACCGCCCCCCTAGCGCTGGGATTCCGGCGAACCGTTGACAAGACAGACGCAGACGCCCTTCCAGGCCTCCAGGCCTCCAAGTTCGTGATCGTGAGGCTTCGGGTGGCGGAGCACGCGCCCTCCCACGCCATCGCCACACATCTCGCGCGTGTGAGTCGCGAACCGGCACTGGTCGGGGGTGGGGGCGGGGGAGGAGGGGGGGCGGAGAAGGAGCGAGGGTGACGAGCCGCAGACGACAGAGCAACGGCAATTGACCTACAACCGCCACTGTTAAACTCCTACTTCACCTCATGGATCATGGAATGGCGGTCATGCCCACTGCCGCCACCGCATGTCCATCACGAACGCAGCCGCGTTCCCCAAGTTGCGGCGGCGCCGACTCGGGTAGGTCCGACGCTTGGCCCGATGCGCCCATAGATGCGTGCGGCGCAAGCCACGCCAGCGACAACTGCAGTACCGGCACCAGATCCACAGATGGAAACAGGACAAGCACTGGTACAAGCCCAAGCACTAGCACAAGCTCAAGTGCAAGCGCCAGCACATGCCCGAGCTCGATCGGTATAGGTATCCGCGACAAGCCGCCCCTCCTCGATGCGAACATCTTACGCTCATTAGCCGGGAGCTGCGACTGGCCGCATAGTCCGTGCAACTCGCGCCCAGTGTCCCCGACGTATCCAGCCGGAAGCTGCACCCTGGGTGACGAGGACGTCTGGATCGGCTTGGACTTGGAGGGCTGCCTGGAGGGAATAGAGGGCTCAGAGGGCCTCGACCATGGGTGAGTGCATGGCCGGCATGCCCGCTGAGTAATGACAGATGGGAGTCATTGGATGACAGTGACGTTGATCGTGCCTCTGGTCTGGAGCCGCAAGTGGGGCATGCGGGGTCGGGGTTGAGTTACGACCGCGTCAAGGACAACGCATGGGACCGTCTTCCACCACCGCCGCCGCCCACTGCCCCGTACTCTTACCCAACAACCCCAACCACATCAACGGTTTCACTCTGGTCGACGACCCTCGAGGGAATATGGGTAAAAGGTCTTGAAGGAGAGGCCGATGAGGCCTGTGCGTGCAACGAATGCCTCGGTCTCAGGGGTCTCGAGGGCTCTCTGGATAAGCGTGACCCCGGAAACGCCAGACACGCCGCAAGCCACCGCCACATTCTCCGCCACCAGCGTCGCCACACTGCTCCGTACGCTCCGTACCCATCTCATCCACCCCACCCAGCACACCTCGTCAAGTCTCCAGGCTCACACCGGCGAGGCAGCTCCTGGGCTCAACCTCATAGTCACTACCACAGCGACAAACATCACAGCCAGCAACTTTCACGGTCTCTCTATCCGCCATCGCCAGCTCGACACCGCCTTCCCATCTCTTCTCGACCGTGGCCGCCGGCCGCACTACCACATAACTCCCTCCTCCTCGTCGCGGTCGACGGGACTCCCCTACACCACGGCCCCATGCACAGCGCACATCACAACCTGAACGAATCTTTCGACCGAGACCTTTTCGACAGGTCGGACAGGTCTGACCGTGACCGCTGGCGCATGTCGATGCAGTCGCTATCGTCTCTGCGCAGGTCACTCTCACTCAGCTCCAACCAACGACACGGCCAACCCACAAACCGCAGCCCCACATCGAGCGCGTACCCCCATTCCGACGCCCGGACCAACTTCGGCTCTGCGTCGCCTCTATCGAGCATTCCACGCAGCGTGGCGAGCAGCGAAGGATCCGGCGGTAGTAGTGGCCCAAGCTCTAGGGCGCGTCCGCAGTCCGTCCTTCTAAGCTCTTCCCCGCATCACCACCACCCTTCGCCCCCCTACTACTCCAACCCTCCATCCCGGTCCTCGTACGTCGGATCACATCCCGGCCACGGCCATTACGGACACGGACACAGTCACGGACACGGACACGGTCACTACCACGGCAGCCCTCCATCGCTTCCTCAGTCGCCAGTCTCATCCCTCGACACGTCCCTAGCCCTGGGATCGCCGGCCTTTCCTAGCGGCGGCGGCGGCGGCGGCGGCGGCGGAAGCCATTACCCCCCGTACCCCCAGTACCCGCACGCCACCCCGCACGGGCCACGTGGACCGAGCTCCGGCTACCACTTTCACCCATCATACACCTCGCAATCGCCACCCTCAATAGCCTCGGTGAGCGCAGCCAGTACCGCCGCGAGCGCCCACCATCGAGCGCCCCCGAGCGGACCCTCGTCGCCGCGACCCGATGTGAGCTACACGAGCATTCCGTCAACAGCGCTTCGCCTAGACGGGTTCGACACTCGCATGTTCGATCAGTCGCCGCCTCTGATCACTAATTCGCCACTGCCGCGCGTTCCCAGTCCTGGACTGTCGATGGGATCGTTGAACGGAAGAGACAAACGTATTAGTGTCATTTCCAGCGTTGGAACTGACACCACGGCCAGTCGGTCCGTGCGAGAGCGAGAGTCTAGTGACACTACGAGCCCGAGCTTGAGCTCGAGCACCCGGGGGAGCAGGCATCCTTTTCCCCCGTCAGACGAGTACGGTCTGAGCGACTTTGCCATCCAGCACACCACCAGTCCTCCTGCCACTCTCCACAGCTTCCACGACACTGTGCCGACCTCCAACGCCATCTCTCCCCGCACTCTCGCTGCCCCTCTTGTCACTCCGCTACAGCCATCGCGTACCGCCGACCCTCTTGCAGACTTGTCTCCGACTCTTGCGCCTACCTCCACTGTACACACTCCGCTCGCACCTCCCTTGGCCCTTACCACGCGGCATCATCTCGAAGGCGACGCGACTCCACCGTCCACCGCGCGTGGCGCCAGACCGATTCCAACAGACGGTCGTGTTTTTACTCCATCGCCCAACCTCTCGCCTTCCAGTCGCAATCCAACGCCACAGGGGTCCGTCTTATCCACGCCTTTCGAAGAGCGGGACCACTACCCCCCCTTCGAAGGCCTCCCGCGCATCCCCATCCACCCACTTGGCGCCGTGTCCTTTGGCGGCTCGGGTGCTGCAGCAGGGGCCCACGCCAACGCTTCTTTGTCCATCCCGCGCGATCCGCGCGACCTGCGCGACGCCAACGACCGCCGCTCCGATTTGGAGAGCGACGCAAACATGCACGGGGGTCTCCGCGTTCACAAGCATCGGGGCCAACATTCCTCAGGTCACTCCCCTGACCCATCGCCCAAGGGGTCCCACTCTCCGCTCCAGTCAGACGCGCGTTCTATCAAAAGCAACAAGCAAAGGCGTGCCCCACCTATGTACGATGGCGGATACCTCGGCAGCCCAGGCGACAACTCTGACACTTTGACACGTGAGTCCGTGGTGAACAAGAAGTTTTAAGCGACTGGCGCCCCGCCTGCCTCCTCCTAGCTCGCGGCGTCGGGCGCCTTTGTTCGCGACATTGGTGTAATGTTCTGCTTCTCACAAACTTTGCGTAACTTTACTTTGTTGCTAACTCACTAGACCACCCTCAAGCGCCTGCTCCGCCCAGCCCACAGCCAAAGCCGCATCATCTGTTGCACGCTCGCGGGCCACCACTTGTCCGCACCGCACCTAAACCGACGACAATCGAAACCGACTTCCACAGTTACGACCCCCACCCTGGTCCTGGATTCCGCAACTCACAGTCTTCACAACACCACGATCTTGCCCAGTTCCAGCCCGCCCGCCACCGCGGCAATCGCGCCTCCCAGATGACGACGTCGTCCATCTCAAGCGACACCTCGACGGCGATGTCCCCATCTGGGATACGCCCAGGTCAGCCATGGGGTCTGCCTGCTGGCTTTGAGAAGCGCCCATCCGTCGCCACTGTCTTCGAGGACGAGCCTTTGGACGACCTCGAGTACGACGGCGCCACAGGCGTCCACGAGTTTGGCCAGCGCACGGCCGAGTGGCAGGGAGACCGCGACAGCTTTCATAGAACATCGGGCGGCGGATTACAGCTCTCCCATTCTGCGCCGTCCGCAAGCAAGATGTACGGTGGCCCGCCGTCCGCCTACGGCAACCCATCTCCTCGGCAGCACCGGTCCAGTACGGTGTCCAACGCAACAACATCGTCGAACAAGAGCAAGGGCTCTGTCCATCCTTTCGCCGTGAACCGTGCTCCGTCACCCCTCCTCTCCGTCCCGGAACAGCTTGCGCCCCCGGGCCAAACCGTGACTCTCACCCGCTCCCTCCCATCTCTCTACGACGACTTCAAGGCGCATACCACCCCTGCGCCCGCCCATCAAGTTGCCCTTGTGAGCACGGAAGATGAGCAAGACGACGCCATCTGCCCGCTCTGTACCGAGAGCTTGAGCTTTTCCTACCGTTTGCCGGGGGAGAAGCCCCACATCATCCCGGAATGCGGACATGCGCTGCACAATGTGAGTGGCTCGCGGCGTCGAAGGCTGACTTGAAGGACTGCTTTGTCGAGTGCTACGGCCGAGTCCCACCCGAGGGGTCACGCCCCACTCTAGGCGTCTGCGGAATGTGTCGCCAACCTATGGTCGTATCCAGCCGAGGCCAAGAGCACGGGTCCGGCAAGAACAGTGAGTCACATCCAGGGCGCAGGAGCTGACCATCGCAGAACTCGCTGCGCTGATGGGCGGCGACGAAGGTCCGTCCATGGGAGTCACGGCGCAGGACACGAGAGGCGGCGATGATGCGCTCGAGGCTAAAGAAGAGCGGGCCGCCAACGACACGCAAGTCATTGTGCCAAGCATCACGATCAAGTCCGAGTACCCGTCGGTGCGACGGAACGCCAAGGGCAAGCTGATGCTCACGGCGATGCTCACGATCGATGTGCCGAGCGGACTTAACCGGACTCTATACGCCCCGCGATCTCGTCGCGAAGCCTCAAACGGTGGCGAACTGTCACCGCCACTGCCCCCTTCTCCGCAGTCGGCTACATCCTTCCGCGAGTCGATGCTGGTCATGGCCAACGGCGGTGGTCCCAGCCACTTTGCCAACATTGAGCTCGAGCTGCGAGACCGTGTGGAGGACTACGCTACGTCAGGCATCGGCTCACTTGGCCACCTCAAGTTGTACGACATCCTCAAGGTCCGCAAGCGCGACGTCAGCGGCGAGCTGCAGCTCTACTTGTTTGACTACGGCCTGGTGTGCATTAGCGAAGAGCGCCGCTCTTCAACACTGCGGCACCTGTTTGGCAACCATCGTCACCAGGTGGAACGAAAGAAGGGGCCGAAGACATACCTCAAGGTCCGCGGACGGGTGCACTTGCACCACATCCTGGCAGTTCAAGACACCTCCTCGAACAGCGAGCACGTCCTCACCCTCGACGTCGAGACGGAAGACGACGGGCACCACCTTTTCCACATCTACTTCCGGGACAGCGGATCACTCGAAATGTGGCACAAGACGCTTGTGCGCCTGCACCAGGAAGCGATGGCCCACACCCAGTCTAAAGCCTCCAAGCTCACCGGTGTGGTGCACATGGGCAACCGTCCTGGCCGCGCTCTCCCTCTCACCCCCACCATGGCGCCATCGTTCACCGACTTCACCGACTCGTGCTTGGCGACCTGTGGGGCGCAGTGCCCCGGCAACCTAGCGTTCCAAATCCCCCTCGCGCCAGTCCACACCCCCATCGACCTGGTCATTGCAGTCTCCACGGTCCCCCTGGCGCAAGGCGCGCGCGTCGGGCGCAAGCAACTCACACTGCGGAACGCGTTGCAGTGCGCACTTGCGTGCATGGGCCCGCGCGACCGCATCGCGCTCGTCTGCACTGAGCTGGGCGCGAACAGCGTCATGCGACGAACGCCGCTGCTGAACCCAACGCACCACGACTCGCGTCTGCGCTTGGAGACCTTTATCGACATGCTCTGCCTCGGCGAGATTGAGAATGACGAGTTTGCTGTGCCTCCACGAGGCGAGGAGCGCGCTGATGTTGCGACTGCTGTCAACCTGGCCTTGGATGTAGTCCTCAGCCGCAAGGCCAAGAATCCGCTTACGGGCGTGTTGCTCGTCAGCGATTTGCCCGAGCCAACAAGTCGGGCCCACATGAGCATGGTCAACGCGCGTCTCGAGGCAGCGAGGTGAGGAGGAGATGAAGCGTCGCTGACTTGCAGAATCCAGATCCACACCTTTGGGTTTGGCAAGGCGCACGAGCCATCGCCATTGTGGGCGATGACGAACCAGACAAGCGGGACGTACACCTTTGTGCGCGAGTGGCACGATCTGCGCGACGCCGTGGTCGGCTGCGTTGGCGGCCTTATGTCGGTCGCCGTGACGAACATGAAGCTGCGGTTGAGTTGCCAGGACGAGCAGTTCCGCGTTCAGAAGGTGACTGGGGCGACGTCTGCGATCGTGCATTCGTCCGGCAAGACGGTGGATGTCGAAATGGGCGTGCTGCGCCACTCGGAGCGGCGCGAGATCCTGATCGAATTCGAAGCGAACGAGTCCGACGACCCGCCGTCGCCCGAAACGGAGCGGCGGCTGAGCGAACACCCCACGTCGCCAGTCGACGACGACGTGCGCTCGCACCACTCGCTCGCCCTCGCGCGCAAGGAGAGCATGGTCAGTGGCGGGGCGAGTGTGCGGTCGCGCCCGAGCATGCGCGGCCCCGTCGGTTTCGGCATGGACATGATGCACCCCGAAGACGGGATGGTGGAGGAAGTGCCGGTGCTCGAGGTAGACTGCTCGTTCCACGACCCGGCGGTGGGGCGCTCCGTCGCGCGTCTCACTAACCCCGTGCTTCTGACGGTGGCTGTGCTCCCGGTCGCGACGCAGACGACGGCGATGGCGGACGCGGCGATCGTCCGCCGCCGCATGGAGCTCATCTCGAGCGACATGATCACGCGCGGCGTTATGGCGGCCACGCGCAAGAACTGGGTGCAGGCCCTGTCGATGCTGCGTGGCACCAAGAACACGGTCGAGGCGCTGTGCGACCAGCAGCGCCAGCAGCTCGCGATGCTGCAGGCCGCACGGCGCGACACGGGACCACGCACACGCCGTGAGCTCAATGTCATCTACGCTGTCGAGGGCCTTGCGGCGACGGCGCAGGACGTGGAGGCCTTCGTGGACGGCCTCGAGGAGAGTCGGGAGATGTTCGAGGCCGACCACCGCAATTATGCCGCGCAGCAGGTGAGGTTTACACCGGCAACGCTGATTCCAGGCCGTCATCCTCCGCACGCAGATCAGCTGGACGATGCGCACCCCCACAGAGCTCCACTACGCTACGCCGTGCGTGCAGCAGCTCATCCAGGCGGGGCGCGAGTGGAAGGCGCGCCAGGGCACCAGTTAGTCATATACACGTATTATCACACCCGACAATATTGTTGTCCGTCCACGATCCACGAGATTGTATATTTGTGTCGCGGGCCTCGCAGCACCCAGGGTGCTCGGCTCTATTCACACATGCATGTGTCTACCAGATCGAAGTGCACAACGAATGAATTGTTCTGGCCCTCGAACCATCGGCCTTCCCACCTTCCCTTGGGAGATCCTAGTTCGCGCCGTTGAGGAGCGGCGCGCGCTCGTCGGCGCCATGCTCCGGTACAGACGAGGGGAGGGGGTTGCCGAAGTCGTCGACGCCGAGCCACCTCTGCCGCTTCTTCCAGAGCAAGCAGATAGCCTGGTGTCAGCGCCAACGGATGTAATGCTCACCAGAAGACACGCCTGCATCATGCCCGTGACGGCGTAGGGCATCCAGCTCGTCCAGTCCGTGTTCTCGCCGAGCATGATGCTGATGCAGAACACGATGCTTCCCGGCACCTGGATCATCATTGTGCCGATGCTGAGCGCGCCGACAAGCCCAGCATTGGCAGTCTTGACGATCTGCGGCGCGTACTGGCAAACGGCGAGAGCCGTGCCGCTCAGCCCGCAGAAAGTCGCGAGAAGACGCAGAGGCTCCTGAGGCGGCCACGTTGTAGGCAGCTTGTTGAGGAGGACAAACGTGAGGGTCGTGAGCGCGGTGCTGAAGTCAGCTGCGCTCCGGGAGAGACTTACAGGTGCAGCCCTACCACCCACGCCACTCCCTTGGCGGTGCGCCACTCCCTGTCGTTCTGTTCCCGCAGCTTGCGGAACTCCTCGGCGGTCGCAGGAGACGGCGTCTCGGCGTCCACGGCATTCCCTCGCGTCGCGCCGTACTCTGGGATCGGGGCGCCTTGCAGCACGAGCGGGCGCATGTGTGGCGTGCGGGGGAAGTATGCGATATAGAGGATGAGGCTGGGGTCAGGTACGTGGGCTTGCAAGCGATAGGTCCGGGTTACTCGCCGGCCTGGAGTGGAGATCGGAGAGACAAGTGGGCGCATCATCATCCCGATCGGCGATCTTTCGACTCAGAGCCTAGTACTCACATGATGGAAAAGAGAAGCCACTGCAGACCGACCTGGACGAAGCGGAGAAGGCTCTCTGCGCACTGGCCGCCTGAGACGACGCGGCAGCACTGGAACAGCGGCCACTGCAAGATGAGGAGGTTGAGCATGCCCGACGCGGACGAGGTCGCGCCGAGGAGGAGGAACCACTGATGTTAGCGGGTGAGCCGTCTCCTCTCAAGGCATGGCATGGCGATGGCGAGGGACGTCGGCCTCCTCCGACGCGACTCACTGGCGACAGGCCCTCGCTCGTGCCCGCCGAAATGATGCGAAAGTGCTGTCGTCAGCGGGGGGACGGCGGGCGGGGGCGAGGGCGAGGGCGCGGGCATCAAGCTCACTTGAGGAAGGTAGCTGATGACGAGGCCGGTGCAGAGGAGGATGCTCAGTGTGAGGGTGTACGGGTCATGGTTCTGGTGTGAGCGGGGAGCTGGGTAAGGAGGTACGTTAGGACACTGAGCTGGGTCTGGCGGCGGGGCCATCGCGAGATGGAGAGTGAGGAAGAGAGAGAGAGAGAGAGAGAGAGAGAGAGAGAAGTGAGGGAGTGTCAGATGATGGTGAGGGAGATGGAACGAGCGATGGCGGGGATGCGGGAGTGAACGAGTGCGAGTGTGGGGAAGGTGAGCTGCATCACGCGCGTCATTCCTCGCGAGGAACGCTCTCGTTGCCAGGCACAGTCTCGCTTCACTGGGTGGCAAATCTACTTCCGCCCTGCGTGTTCACTCCAAATCCCTCGGCGTTCCCGCAGTATGCACCACAACTTGCATGACCCAATGATACAGACTATGCCGAGGTCGGAGGCACGTCGGGGACGCTGGCGATCTGCTCAGTGACACCGCCGGTCGCGCGGACGGTGACGGAGCCGTCGTCATTGCCGAAGTAGGCGGCCTTGGCCATGCCGCAGAAGAGGCCGACCTCAACGACGCCGGTGAGCAGCTTGATGTCGCGGAGCAGGGCGGCAGGCTGCTTCATCTGCGGCTCGGGGAAGACGCAGTCGATGATGAACATGCCGTTGTCCGAGACGACGGGGCCGGCCTTGGCCTTGCCCATGCGAAGGATGGGGGTGCCGCCCATCTTCTGGAGCGCGGCGAGGACCTGGACGTAGGCGAAGGGGACGACCTCGATGGGGACGCCCTGCTTCCACTGTGGTTAGCGGTGGGGAGGTAAAACAAGGGAGGAGGGTGAGAATGGTGTCCAGGGGAAACTCACGTTGGTGCCGAGGACAGTCGAGTTCTTGCGGTAGTCGGCGACCATGACCCAGGTGTCGGCCATGTCAGCGAGGACCTTCTCGCGGAGCTGGCACGCGCCGCCGCCCTTGATAGCGTTGAGGTCGGCGTCAACCCTGGTGTCAGCGGCTGGGAGGGAGGGAAAGTTGAGGACAGTGGATGCGGCGGTGCGGAAGTGCCCCTTCAGCGCCCACGGGTGCCGCACCCCCTCACCCCGCCTCCCACACTTACTCGTCCGCACCGTCAATGCACACGTCAAGGCGCGTGAACATGTCGACGTCACCGAGGGCGAGGCCAGCGCGGAGGATGAGCTCCTTGCTCTGGAAGCCGGTGGGGAAGAAGAGGCGGCCGGCGTTGGCCTTGGGGCCCTGCTGCACGATGCGGTCGACGACGTAGGGGACGGTCGAGCCGGACCCGATGCCGATGAGCTGGGGTCAGCGAGGAGACGGAGGCGCGGAGTCGTCGCAGTATCCCCCTCGGCCCCCCCAAGCCGACGGCGGACAGAGCTCTCTGCCCGCCTGCCCGGGCCCGGCCACCAGTTTACCCACCTTGTGCTCCAGGCCGATGTGGCGGTCCACAGCGGCGAAGGCTGCCAGTCGCTTAGCGATCTCGACGGGGGGGGGCGCGGCAGTCATGATTTTGCGAAGAATGGTGGCGAAGAGGAGTGGGAGAAGGTCAAGTATTTGTTGTGGGAGGGGGTGGAGGGCGTCGAGGATTTGTTGACTCGCTCTTCCCACCGATCCACCGAATGTTCGGAGATGACTTCATTTTCCGGCGCCCTTGTGCCCAGACCCGGCGTGGGCGCACATGACTTACAAGCCCCCGGCGTCGTAGCTGCTGCCCGCTCTCGTCACTGCTTGTGCCTGCAGACTGCATTCCGCTCGTCGGCCGTCGTCGCGTCGTCGCTGGGCCTGAAAACTTGGGAGCTCGGTCCCCGATCGACCTCCACCATCCCGTAGTGGGAGGGCCGGATAAGGGTACGCCCAGGCTCGCGCTCATGACGCACCTGTCTGTTGCTGATGCCGTCCAAAATCTCTTACGCACTTCACAACAAACATGCAGCGGCAACAACCGGGAACACATATCAAGTACGTCGATATGATCGTGGTTGAGGAATGGAGCTAATGGCAGGCTGACGAATGTGTCGATTGTGCGGATCAAGAAGGGCGGGAAGCGCTTCGAGGTGGGTCTGGGCGGTGGCGGGGGGAGGGGGAGGTAGATGACAAGGGAAGATGTGGAAGGCTGAGAGATGGAACTGTGGACATCTGAAAGACGGTCGGACGTCTAGCCTCACTAGACGGCTCGCCACTCGGACTGGTCCGAGCCAGCGCCACCCGGGCACCCCTACACCTTGCACTCCCGCTCACACCACAGATCGCATGTTACAAGAACAAAGTGAACGAGTTCCGCTCCGGCGTAGAAAAGGACCTGTCCGAGGTCCTGCAGATTGAGCAGATCTTCACAAACGTGCCCAAGGGCCAGGTCGCGAAGAAGGACGACTGGGTGAAAGCCTTCAAGAACGAGGACATGGGCGCCGTGATTGAGGAGGTGAGCTCCCCTTCCTCCCTCTGCCCTAAACTCACTCCAGATCCTCCGCAAGGGCGAGCTGCAAGTCAACAACCTCGAGCGCGGCGCGCAGCTCGCCTCGCTGAGCCGCGAGATCGCAACGCTCGTAACGGAGATGACGGTGGACCCCACCACCGGGCGGAAACACACGGTCGGGCTGGTCGAAAAAGCGATGGCCGAGATGGGATACAGCGTGCGCGGGGACAAGACGGCCAAGGCGCAGGCGCTCGATCTCATCCGGCAGCTCGGCGCCGACTCGATCCTGCCTGTGCAGCGGGTACGGATGCGCGTGCGCATCACCATGCCCGCCAAAGACGGGAAGCGCGTCAAGGAGAAAGTTGTTGCGCTCGTCGATGAGGTCGAGGAGGAGGACTTGGGCGCCGAGTGGGAGATTATTGTGCGTGTTGACCCCGGCGCGTTCCGCGCTATCAATGAGCTCGTGGCGGAGGAGAGTAAGGGCAAGGGACGGGTGGAGAGCATGGGGTCTGTGAGCACGTAAGCGTGGCGTGGGCGTAGGCATTGGCGCGAAGGTGAATCTAGACGTAGATGTACATGATAATCCTGGGATGGCATTATGGTCGTCCCCTGCGCTCGATTATTACTTGGCAAGCTTCGGCCGCATCGCACAACGGCACAGCGGCCCGAGCACACACCGACGTCGAGCGTTCGACCCGACGCACATCCCCCAATGACGACAACAAACATCTCATTACATTCTTCTCCGCAGCTCGCAATGAGGAACCCATGTTCTGCAATACCGAGGGGCTTTTTAGTCCTGTGCCAGAGCACAAATATATGCATGAAATACAACGTCTACCGCCTGATACCACCCGCCCGTGCCGGCGGCGGCGGCGGTGGTGGTGGTGGTGGGGCGCGCTGGCCGGCTTGGGGCGGCGGCGGCCCCCCACGTTGCTGCCGCGCCGCACGCTCCTTCCACGCAGCGCGGATCGAGTCCTGACGTGCGAGTACGGCGTCCATCTCAACGCCGTCCGCGATCGACTCAAGCACCTTCTGAACTGTCGAGCTGTGATTCCCGTGCGGCTTGTCGTCGCGGAAACGCATCATGCGCCACCCCTGCCGCTCATCGCTCCACACGCACTCGATAATGCGGCCGTGGTACTGCTCCCCGCTATTCTTCATTCTGGCATTAGAACCGGCTCCCGGCGGAACTCACGTCTCCCACTCCTCGTCCTCCACGTCCATTTCGTCGAAAAACTCGTATTGGCTCCCGCCCATCCACTGGTTAAGCAGGAACACCGGCTTGGCGTAGAGGTCGGGGTCGCCGCCCGGCCCTGGCGGGAAACGGAGCTCAATGCGGAAATCGATCGAGTTCTCGCTCGGCGGCTTCCACTTGAGAATCTTGTGGTCTGTTCCAGGGACGTACTCGCTCTCTGCGCATGTAAAGATGAGGCCGTCGTGCCCGTGCTGCAGCTTTGGGATGTGCGTGTCGAGCACCTGGCGCACGCAATAGCCCAGCTCCTGCGGCTTGGCGATGATCTCGAACGGCGCCTTCGCCTTCCACTCGGGGAAGCGCGCGAAGGCGCGCTTCATCGGCGCGATCACCCACTCACGCAATCGCGCGTAACGCTTCACGAGCGGCTTCTTCATGATGTTCTCGCCGCCCAGGACGAGGCAGTCGAACGCGTAGAACCGCAGCGTCTCCTTTTTTGTTCTGGGGTCGATGTCGATGACGAGCTCGCCATCCAGGATCGTGTCTGTCAATGGGTCATCTAGTCGTTCCCAGTGGGTAAAGTGGAGATTTTCGATGTTAAAGTATCGCTGCTTGCGGTCGATCTGGGGTTAGTCGGGGAAAGAGGGAATGGAGGACGATGAGTGAAGGTGCCGCCGTAGAGACGCTGACGAGACTCACCAACCACACCTCCTGGTTCTGCGTCATGCCATTGTACACCACAAAAAGCAGCACGCGCACGCCATCACTCTTCTCGCACACCCAAAAGCTAATGTCAGTCGCGTCAGTACCGAGACAACTGCACTCACTCGAGCTTTTCCAATAGATCGAGCGAATCGTTCGAGAACGACACGGGCTGCGAGCCGGGGAACCTGGGGTCAGCTTACAGTCAAGGTGAGGCGACGCATCCGGACGCACTTGTTGCTCGTTTGTCCGCAGAGCCCTGCGATGTGCTGGTTCAGGAAGTCGCGCGTGTCGTAGTCTTCCAGCAGCACGCCAGGGATGTCCGGGATGGGCCAGCCGGGGGCCATTGTGATGATTTGGAGGACGCTAGTTTGTGCAAGCGATGGTGATGCGAGCCTACTTTGTAATCCTTTGCACGAGATTTGGGTGGTAATGGGTAATGGATTAATGAAGCGACGAGAACGGAGATGCGAAATCGGAGTGCTTGAAGTCGAAATGACGAAGTGACAACCAAGTGGCAAGTACAGCGGAGGCATTTGGAGGTGGAGGACGGTCAATCTCACAGCAAGCTGCTAATACAATCATTACATCCCTAATACAAACTATGATACGGTCAAACTGCCTAATGGTAGCGGGCATCGCGGTCGTCGGCGGCCGTTAGAGGAATTGCCTCGTAGTCGTCGCGGCTGATGATGGCCGAAGGCGGGGCGAGGCGACTGAGGGGCGTGCGGTCGATCAATCGGTCAAGGCCTGGGACGCCGCGTGCACTCTGAACAGCGCGGTATCCCCAGGCCTGCGTAGCGGCAGACGCGGCATCACGAGCGGCAATCAGCTCCGCGAACCCGCGCTGAACGCCTCCCGGCTCGTAAGTCCCCCCAGGCGGGATGGAGACGAGCGGCCGGCGCCACCACTTTAGAGTAAGAGAAGAGCAAACGACAGAGACCGAGCTGAATGCCATAGCGGCGGCGGCCATCATTGGGTGCAGATGGATGCCCCACGGCAGGAGGATGCCCATTGCGAGCGGGATCATGAAGACGTTGTAGCAGCACGCCCAGATCAAGTTGGTCTGGATCTTGCGGAAGATGGTGTGGCCGAGGTCGAGCGCCGCTACCACGTCAAGAAGGTCGTTCTTCATGAGCACGACGTCTGCCGCCTCCATGGCCACACTAGTGCCCGAACCCAGTGCGATGCCTAAGCTTGCGGCTGCGAGTGCCGGACTGTCGTTGATGCCGTCGCCGACCATGGCAACGCCGCCCCCGTCCGCTGCGTCAAGCTCGCGGACGATGGTCGCCTTGCCTTTGGGGCTGACACCTGCATAGACCTCGTCGTCATCGATGCCAACTGCGCGAGCGATCGCACGCGCCGTAGCCTCCGAGTCGCCTGTGAGCATCGTCACCTTGACGCCCATGGCCCGCAATGCGCTGATCGCCTGCGTGGATGTTGGCTTGGGAGTGTCCGAGAGCGCAACTGCGAGAAGGGGGATGGCCTCTCCGCCGCGCAGCACCGAGACGTATACAACGATGTTGGCGTCGGACGTCTGTTCCTCCTCAAACGACTTCAGAAGCGGGGGTACAGGAGCCGTACCTTCCCCAGCCTTTTCGCGGAGCACGTACAAGGCCTTGCCAAGTCGCACCCGCTCATCCTGCCCATGCAACTTGATGGTTGCTTCAATGCCCTCGCCCGGAACACCCTCAAAGTCGGTGACATTGCCGCTGGGCGGAGGAAGGCCAGCATCCGAAAGCTGCTCGCGCGCCCATGCGGCAACAGCGACAGCCAAAGGGTGCTCAGAGCGAGACTCAGCCAGCGCGATAAGCGACATGACGGCGTGGCGTTGCAGAGGTGGAGCCGCGGTGGTTAAGCTCAAAGCTTGCGCGGAAGTGAGTCCAGCTTCGGTGACCGGGCCTTGTGCGGGAGCCCAACATGCCTCCGCGACAACCATCTTGCCACCGGTGACAGTGCCAGTCTTGTCCAGAACGACGCGGCGCACATCCTTGCACGCTTCGAGGGCTCTTCCGCCCTTAATGAGGATTCCGTTCTGCGCTCCGACACCAGTACCAACCATGACCGCAGTCGGAGTAGACAGGCCCAGCGCACATGGGCAAGCGACGACGATGACTGAGATGCAAAGCTTGAGGCAGACGCCGAATTTTGACTCGCCGGGTGCGTCAAATGCCTTGGGAAGGTGGCTCTTGAAGAGCGAGATAGCAAGCCATACGAAGAACGTGATCAGGCTTAGCGTGATGACGATCGGGACGAAGATGCCGGCGACGCGGTCAGCAAACTGCTGTATGGGGGCCTTGGAAGTCTGCGCATCCTCAACGAGCTTGACGATGTGCGAGAGCGTCGTGTCTGAGCCTGCGCGCGTCACATGGAAGGTGACAGTGCCGAGACCATTGACGGTGCCACCGATGACCTGTGACCCAACCTCCTTAGAAAGGGCGAGCGACTCGCCGGTGACCATAGACTCGTCAACGGTGGTCGAACCAGCGACGACGACGCCGTCCGCAGCCATCTTCTCGCCTGGAGTCACGAGCACCATGTCGCCGACCTGAACCAACTCGGTGGGGATCTTGCGCGTGGGAGCGTCGCCGAGGTAGTTCTCGGGGTCGACGAAGATCGTGGCGGACGAGGGGGAGAGTTGCATCAGGTGAGTAAGCGCGGCCGAGGTCTTGCCCTTGGCAAGGTTCTCGATGTATCGGCCGAGTGAGACAAACGTGATGAGCATGGTCGAGGTGTCGAAGAAGGTCTTCGGCCTGTAGTTTGGGTCCGATGCGAACATGGCGAAGAACATGGACAGGACCGAGTAAGTGAATGCGGCAGTTGTGCCGAAAACGACGAGGACGTCCATGGTCGCGGAGCCGTGCTTCAAGCTCTTGTACGCGGCGCGGTAGAACGCGCGCGCAAGGAAGCATTGCACGGGAATGGTGAGGAGAAGACACACCACATCCCCCAGGTAGATGCCCTTGATGAGCTTCATTTTCGTCCACCCCAGGAAAGGGAGGTACATGTGCATCATGCCGATCATGAAGTTGGGGATGGCGAAGCAGAGGGCGATGAAGAATGTGCGACGCCAGCGTGCCGTTTCGCGAAGCTTGCGGAGGGACGCGAGCTGCGAGTCGCTCTCGCTCGATGTGGGGAGGGCATAGAGCTGGGGGAAGATGGAGGTGAGATGGTCGAGGATGACGCGGAGGTTGGCGAGAGTCGGCGTGTGGAGGAAGGACAAGTGCTGGAATGGCGCAACGAGCACAATGTCGGACACTCCTGGCTGCGTGCTCAGTTCCTTGATCACGTCCGGCGCGATGTCTGGATGTCCCTCGATGCCGTACACGCGGAGCTCGACTGGGATGATTGCGCTCTTCTCCACCACCTCGGCGTCGAAGCCGACGTCTTCAATCTCCTCGGCGATGCGTGCGTCTGTCCACCCCTCACCTTTGGCGTCGACGTAGTCTGGGTCGTACTCTACGACGGCACGCTCTGCTAGCAGTGACACCTGGACGCTGAGAATTCCGTCCATTCCGCTAATCTGGCCTTCAATAGCGGCGACGCATGCCCCACACTGTCGTTGTCAGCAATCTTCCTTTGCCGACGGATGACTTACCGTCATGCCCCCAATGCGCAACTCGACGCGCTGGCGGTCCTCATCTTTGACTACACCGAGCGCTTCTTCGTGCTTTGTCTCTGTGGGGTCGTTGGGCGGGAGATTGAGCAATGCTTGAATGGGCGACTTAAGGAAAGACAGTGACTCGGAGACGGAGCCGTTGCGCCTCCGTGACGCCCGCGGAGACCTGGGCGATGATGGTGTGCCCAGGAGTGGTGAGGCGAGCGACATGGGTGTCGGAGGAGGATGTGTGAGAGGAGGAGGAGAGGAATTGTTGACGCGTCGTGGTTATGATGGGCGGAGTGTTGATGGAACAGGAGGGGAAGAGCGTGCGTGATTGTGTGAAAGGGGGAATTGAGCAATTGACGCGGGATGTTTGGGTGGCGTCGAAGCGGAATCGGTTGGCCCTCCCGTAAGGTGAATGCGGGTCCAGTCGTACCAACGAGATGAGAGTGAGGATGAGGATGAGAAAAAGAAGGAGAAAGAGAGCGATGCAAGTGATGGCCAACGGAGTGGAGATGATGGTGGAGCTGTGCACAAAAAAGGCGACGAGGAGCACTGCCCCTCTGCTGATTGCTGGTTGCTGTGATTGTTCGCGTGCGACGCTCAAATGCCAAAGTTGATCAGACTCTCCTCACGTTCCTCCGCCTTAACCGCTTTAACAGCCTTAATCCTTACTATCTTCCACAATGCTCCCGATTAGAAAGCTGATTACTGTCCACATTCATTTTGGCTCCGAGCCTATTATCCAAGCTGTGCGTCACCCGAGCACGAGCAGGACCGTCGTCTCTTCGATCTTCAGATCCTTGGCTTTCGGCCGACATGATCTATCTATGGCACTACCCGTTCTCCTGTTCTCCTGCTGTCTCGAGCTTACCATATCGCAAGAGTCCAATGCGTATGGGCCTCACCCTGCCAAGGTATCCTCGTTACCCAGGAATAGAGGCAGTCTACCGCTCGCCTACTACAGTGTTACTCCGCATCTCTCGTCGAAGCCGACGCGGTCGTATGAGCAAAGAGGACAGACAGTACATGTGTCCCTACCAACCCCAGATCCTCAAGGTGGATTGCAGTTGGATCTTTCTGGATGAGCCTGAATCGAGAAGGCCCCGGCTCTGTGGTCCCAGATGGATGCGACATGCATACAAAAAGCGCCATCACAACAACCACGGGTCCATCGTGACCGCATGACTGCAGGCGGGGAGAGCTGACACGTGGTCCAGAGATTGAAGAGTGGGGCAGTATCCTCCGGTTGCTTGGATCAGCACACTCGGGGATGATTACCGCGGGCGGAGAGCGGGTGACCTCCGAGATCAGCAGCCTCGGATCAGGCATGCAGGCAAAGAGCAGCTCTGACAGCTTGGTGGCAACACGGCGATTCTGCGTGTACTGCACGACCTCCTCACGTCGTAGGCACGGGGGCACAGCATGGACGACACATCTCAGCATATCTCTCTCTCTGCTCCAGTCTCCGCCCCGGAGGTTGGAGATCGGAGACCCGCCACGACAAATCTTCCGCGACCACCGCCACCGCCATCACCGAGCGATGGCCGGGGCTGATACGCCCGTCTCCGTAATCAATATATGCCCCCATGCATCAGCCAAGTCGCCCTCTGCATGGTTGACGAGGTTTGATGGCGAGATTATCATGGATGATTGGCTCTGAGCCAGGATATCCGGTGTGCCAAGCGCAGTTCGGCCGGGTCGAGCACAATCTAGCATCCGTCAGAACTGCGCCAAGCTGGCCGAAGAGGCAAACGTCACTCGCAGTCAAGCTGAGTCCAGTTCAATTCTCCAAGATTATGCATTCCCGCCCACGTGGGAGGGAGGAAAGATTGCGCAATGACATGCATGTATCGATATCTCGGCCGCTGCAGGCGTGGATGACCTACGGTGGAGTCACCTTTGTTCGCCACCCAGCACCAACCTCGGCCTCGGTCGGTTACAGCCTTACCTAACACCCGCCCTGTCTCCACCGCAGCTTGCCAGCCAACGTGTTTTTCCGTCCAGCTTTAACCGCCATCCTCGTTTTCTTCATCTCTTGATATCTTCCATCTGCTTTTACTCTGCCCAACATCTCTCCACTCATTCGCAACTCTCTGCGGCGCGTCTCTCTCCCAGCACTCGCACGCCCTCTCCGTCCAGCCCGTTTCGCGCGTTCAGTCCACTCCGCCCCGCCCACCCAGTCCGCCCCTACGCGTCTGGCTCCCATCTCTTCGTTGGATCTTCACGACATCAAAACAACTTCCATCATGGCGCCCATCCCCGCGATCCCCTCCAACAACGGCCCTCGCTCGGCTAAGAAGCACTCGCCCGTCGTCATCATCGGCTCGGGCCCTGCCGGCCACACCGCCGCGATCTACCTCGCCCGTGCCAACCTCAACCCTGTGCTTTACGAGGGCATGCTTGCCAACGGGTAAGTTTGTTTATGGTGGCGATATGCCCCGGGCTTGGGGGTGATGCGAGGAGGCAGATACCGATTCCCCGACCGTGGGCGGAGACGGCGCCGAAACTCCCGTCCCCATTCCCTGTCCCGATATCCGAGTAGTCCAGCCCTCGTATGAACCACGCTGACACCTAGCTTCGCCCCCGGCGGCCAGCTCACCACCACCACCGACGTCGAGAACTTCCCCGGTTTCCCCGAGGGCATCACCGGCCCCAACCTCATGGACAAGTTCCGTGCCCAGTCCGAGCGCTTCGGCACTGAGATCATCACCGAGACCGTCGCCAAGGTCGACCTCTCGCTCCGCCCCTTCAAGTACTGGGTTGAGGGCGAGGAGGAGGACCACGAGTTCCTCACCGCCGACACGTGAGTATCCCTATTTCGATGAGATTCTGGCGCTTGTGCGGTATGGTGAAGTGGGCATGGCGTGATATCTCAAAATCCCGAAGAGCCTCTGCTGACGATCCAGCATCATCATGGCCACCGGCGCATCTGCCAAGCGCATGAACCTTCCCGGAGAGGAGACGTACTGGCAGAGCGGCATCTCGGCGTGCGCGGTCTGCGACGGCGCCGTCCCCATCTTCCGCAACAAGCCTCTTGCCGTCATCGGCGGCGGCGACTCTGCGGCCGAGGAGGCGATGTACCTGACCAAGTACGCGTCGCACGTGTACGTGCTTGTGCGCCGCGACGAGCTGCGCGCGTCCAAGATCATGGCGAAGCGCCTCCTCGCACACCCCAAGGTGACGGTCGTGTGGAACACGGTGGCGACCGAGGCGTGCGGTGACGGTGAGCTCCTCCAGAGCCTCAAGATCCGCAACGTCAAGACGAACGAGGTCGCCGACCTGCCGGTCAACGGCCTGTTCTATGCCATCGGCCACATCCCCGCCACCGAGCTCGTCAAGGGCCAGGTCGCGACCGACGAGGACGGGTACATCGTCACCGTGCCCGGCACTGCGCAGACCTCGGTCCACGGCGTCTTCGCCGCCGGCGACGTTCAGGACAAGCGCTACCGCCAGGCCATCACCTCGGCCGGCTCGGGGTGTATGGCTGCGCTCGAGGCGGAGCGCCTCCTCGCCGAGGAGGAGGACGTCGTCGACGCCCCCACGCCTTCCGCTGCCGCCGCCCCGTCCCCCGTCACCAACGGCCACTAGACTAGATAGAGATGTATGAGTGCAGCAGTGTTGCCGTGCAGCAGAGAGGCTTTGCGATGGGCGAATGTGGGTTTTGGAACATTACGCAGTCCCGCGTGCAATTACTTCCGCTGCTATCTCCCGGTGACGTGCCGGTGGAGGTCGGTCATGTCACCGATCGCCGACGCCGTCTCCGTCTCCATCCACTCAATTCCACCCCACAACTTTACAATGGAGGGTTACTCACAAAGCGACATCATGGCGGCGCTCGCCGCGGCCGCACAGCGCCCCAAGCCGGCCTCCACCCCCTTCTCCGAGCTGTCCAAGGACGCGCTCACGACCAAGGGGAGCTTCGACGGCGCGTTGATCAACACCCGCCGCCTCATCTGCCCGCGTGAAGGCTGCGGCTGTGTGATTCTTCGTGCAAAGAATTCGTCATGGGAGGAGTGCGATGGAGACATTGTGAGCTCTTATTTCTCCCTTTCCTTCCTCCTCTCGCCCAGTCTATGACCCCACCCTCCTTCCCCCTTCTCTCCCCCCCTCTTCCACTGCCTCTACCTCTTCGTCATCCTCTCTATGCGATGATCTTTCTGACGCCAGCTCCCGCACGACTCCGCCGCACCCTTCTCCCCGTCCGCACACGCATACTGGCGCGTCGACGGCGGACCCTATACCTTCGAGAACATCGGGTACTCGCGCAACGTGGACGCCACGCTGCCGTCCGGCGCGCCTGGCGCCGGCGCCGGCAAAGTCAAGTGGCTGATCTGCGCTGAGTGCGATATGGGCCCGTTGGGCTGGAGCACCGAGGGCGGGGATAGCTCGTGGGTTGCCGTCGAGCGCGTGCGGTATGGCCAGGATGCATAGGGTGGATGGGGCAAGGTACGATTGAGCCGGCTGAGTTGTGGGAGATGGGGTTCTTGACCTTGGACAGGCAGGACGCGCGGACGAGGATACGACGGGACGAGAGCACCACTGAGGAATACTGGCAGGCTGACCTTGTCTGAGCAGGGTGATCTATCGGGAAGGCGTGGAAGCACGAGATCAAACGGAGAGGGCGCCTCTCCGACGATCCCCTCGCCAAGTCGCTTGGTGAGTGCGTGATCACGGACGCATGGAGAAGCGAGTACTGTTCTAGCCAGTTACGTTCGGGCGCATTCATACCACGTTCAACTCCCCCGCTATCTGAACTTCGACCTCCTCCATCCAACTCCTCCCCATTACCACTGGACAATGGATCTCAAAGCGGAGGACAGATCCGACCGCCGTCTGTCGACAGCACGCTACTCCCGCGACTCAAGCGTGTGGACGGAGGGCGACTTTGAGGTTATTACCTCGGACCGGGTCCGCTATCTCGTGCCCTCCTACCACCTCTTCGGATCGAGGTGAGCTCCCGCCTGCGCGCTAACGCAGCAAACTGTTCCGCGACGCGCAGAACTTCGAGTCCCCACCTTCCTGGCCGGTAAAGTACTCCGTCACGCTCCCCGACCCCGAGTTCGAGACCGCAGCAGTCTTCGACCTCTTCCTGGACCTCATAACCAACGTTCCGCTCTCCGGCTTGCTCATGCACATCCGCACCCTCTCCTTCCCCGACTGGCTGTGCGTCTGCGGCCTCTTCAAGCTTCTACACAAGTGGGAGGTCGCCCGCCCCTTCCACAAGTTGCTGCGGCACAATATCGACACCGAGCTCCGCGACCCCGACATGGCCCTCGAGTACTTCGCCATCGGCGCCATCGCGGACGACGCGGATATCTGCCGCGCGGTGCTCCAGCATCACGCCGCCAACCTCGCGTCCTTCAACCCCGCCTACTTCCCCTACTACATGTGGAAGGCGTGCCCGCCTACATATCTCGGGGCGCTCGTGCGCGTGTGGGCCGACGCAGGGGGCAACGAGAATTACTGCCACAAGGTCGTCTCGCGGTTTAATCTTCACCTCACTGACTTTGCCTTCAGCGAGGCGCAGCTCGCGTGAGTCGTCGAGGAGCGCGCTGAACACCAGGCTCCGCGCGTCGAACTCTGGTCGCGGCTTCGCCGGGAACGGATAGGCGAGGCTGGCTGGATGCGGTGTCTATAGGGGACTGGTTTGGGATGCGCAGCTTCGCGTCCGCTGCGCCCTACGCTTCCTCATGTGACATGAGGTGTGAAGTGCGCCCTCCATGTCAAGTCAGGCAAAAGGCTGTCTGCTCGTAAGGTGCCCGAAGTTGATGTTACAGTATCCTCTCACCCTGCAGCCCATCTCTCTCATCACCCCTTTCTTCACCTCTCTCGTCATCATGAGCCAACCCAGACTCAGAAACGCTCAGTGTAACTGCGACCGCGAATCCGGGGAGTGGAAGGATGGCGACTTTGAAGTTATCACTGCCGACCGCGTGCGATTCCGCGTCCCATCATACCTCCTCTTCTGGGCGAGGTGGGTTTGTGCTTCGCACTTCTGACATCAGCGAGCTCTTCCGCGACGCACAGAAGTTTGAGACTAACTCAACGTCCAAAACGGCGTTCACCGTCACGCTCCTCGACTCTGAGATTGAGACTGCAGTCATCTTCGAACACTTTCTCAAGCTGATCACGGACCTTTCGTTGGACGATTTACTCATGCACGGCCGGGATCCCAACCTCGATGATGCCCGGCAGTGTAACGGCCTCATCAAGTTTGTGATCAAGTGGCAATGCTCGCCAACAATTTTTCGAACGATTCGAACCCTCCTTGAGGCGAAGGCCAGCTTATCGCAAGCGCACGCGCTGCTCGTGTTCACTGCAGGTGCTGTGATGGAAGACGAGACGGTTTGTTTCAGAGCGATTGCCTTCTGGGATGCCTCTCCCAAGTTGGTGCCGTCCAAATGGCCTTTGTGGGTGTGGGAGCACTGCCCCTTCCGTTACGCTGCAGCTCTCGCGCGATCCTGCAGCTCTCGAGAGGGGCCATTGGCGGCTCTGTTCACGCTCGAGCTCGACGACCTGGCTGATGAATGAGATGTAGGGTAGGATGCAGACAGTGTGAGGTCGAGGGCGGCGACACAAGGGGAGGAGCAAATTTGGTCAATGAACGAACGAGAGATGCGGAGTGAGCGACGAGGCACCTCGATGTGGGACGGGTTCATGTGTAATGTGTGTAATGGATGTGTGCCCTCATCGCCTCATGTCGGAGAATCCAGCCAGGTGCAGTCAACTGCAATCCCACATGTCGAGTCGTCACCACATACTTTCCAATCATCACTCCCTCCCTCGTTGCTGGGTGCACCATGAGCGAAACCTGCACGACCGCCACGAACACCCCCGCGCTTTCACCCGCCCCCGATGACATCCGCGACTCTAAGTGGACCGTCGGCGACTTTGAGGTAATCACCGCCGACGGTGTGCGCTTTCGTGTCCCCTCGTACTGCCTCTTCTGGGCTAGGTGCGTCGCTTCTGCAGCAGGCTCCGAATATCCGCTCGGTCTTACACTAGCAACATCTTCCGGGACGCGCAGAAATTCCAAGCGCACTCAGGGGCATCGACGTCGACGTCGACGCCGTATGCTGTTACGCTCCTCGACACGGAGATCGAGACGGAGCGCATCTTCAGCCTCTTCATGAAAATGATAGTCGAAATGCCTTCAGATGGCCTTCTTTCGATTCAAAATCCACCTAGCGTCGCCGACTTTAAGCTCTGCTCCGCCCTGTTCGCGTTTCTCCACAAGTGGGCCTGCGAGCCTCCGATCTTCGCAGTCTTCCGGGCAAACCTTGAGCACCTTGCCAAGCGCACGGCTTCCCATGGGCTTTTGGTGTTTGTCATCGGCGCATATGTCCAGGACAACAATCTTTGTTCGAGCGCTCTCATCCATCACTGCGGTAGCAGTTTCAAGTTCAGCCCGGCCAAGTGGCCCTTTTGGGTCTGGAAATACTGTCCACCCTTCCATGCTGCAGCTCTTGTTCGAGCCTGCAGCGATGCGAAGAACACCCGAGGTCACATGGCGGGTCTGTTCAAGCAGAATCTCGAGGAGCTGAAGAAAGAGTGCCAAAGTGCGGAGGTAAGGAGAGTCGCGAGTGAGCTCTGACAGGCCCAGAGTTTGTGCGAGGATGACGAGGACGAGTAAGCGGGGCGAGTAGTTGGCAAGCCACGTGCAAAGATCGGACCGAAATGATTTAGACTAGAGATGCCGCAAGAGTGCGTGTATGATGTTTGCATTACTGCCTCACCTGTCATAAAACACACATGCTCGCGCCCCGCTTTGCTGACGTGAACGGCGTCGTTCAATAACGTTGGGTATTTCAGCTCAGATGCCTTCCATCTACCTCCGCTCTTTGGCTTAGGCATCACATCCTGATCGACTAGTGGCACGGCTCACACGCTTACGTCCGCTTTTACAGAACGGGGCTCATCGGCACGGCCTCTTCTCTACGATCCAGCTTCCTACTATGCTCTCGCCACACTGGTGCTCTTCCCAAGTACATTATCATTTCGCTCGATCTCTTCTCAAGTTCGTGTTTGCCACGTTTTGCCCTCGCCACGCTCGTGTTCATACCACACTCGTATCTCGCCTCGCTCGTGCTATGTGCGCTCGCCCAGATCACGCAATCCACCTCCGCGGACCCGCGTCCGTCGATCTCAAGCTCCACTGTTCGGCCTCGGCGCCGCACATCATGCCTCACTGCCCGTGCTACACTCGCCGGTCTCCTTCGGAGGCCTCCCGCTCCCATCCCCTATCCCCCCGGAGTGTCGGAGAATATGTGAGACAGCGGGATAATGAATACCACGGCATGGCCGGCGGGACGCTCGGGGATGGGGATGAAGGGTGAGGGTGGGTGATCGGCGGGCGTGGGCGCGCATGGATAACGAGTGGGAGCGGTATGTAGGTGCCGAGATGCCGGCGGCAATGCGAGCGGCGGAGATAGCTCTAGTGCCGCATTCGCATACTGGGGGTATTGTGGTGCATGCAGGGTGTTGGTGACCGCGTTCTGTAACACTGTGCATTCGCCGTGGACATTAGTAGATGTTATACGACATGCAAGCGAAGTGCACTATTCTTGGACCCGGCCCAGGAGCCGGCACTGTGGGTATGGACATGACAGGTGGCTCCGCCCCAGCGGATCGCCAAGCACATGCATCCGGAGTGGCAGATCTAGAGCCTTGTGTGTTTGTTGATCGTCGACTTGTTTGCATCTTCCCACGCTCCCACGTTGCCACATGTACTCGTTTGCTACAATCTGATTTTCTGAACCAGCTATAGTCTAGCCGTTTGGCAGCATCAATAGCTGAATAGACAAAATGCAAGATTGCGACGGTGACCACAGATCGGAGTGAATCTGGTATGTCTCTGGTGATAGCCGAGCAATTCGTTATCGCTTGTGGACCTCGGAGCGGACCGGGGCTTGCGCGCAAGGTGACGGATGCTCGGAAGGTGATGGATGCACTGCTGAGCTGGGCTGAAGTGCAAGTGCACCAATGCAAGCGGTATGGATGCCCACACACCGAGCGGGCTGTGGCGCCCGACTTGCTTCACTTGGGCAGTCGCCGGTGACGCCTGACTGCTGTGGGTGCCTCGTAACCCACCATACCCAAAGCGTGCTTGCTTGCATGCGAACAGGCCGGACTCGCGTTGTACCGAGTGCTGTGCTCGCAGCACTCAACACGTCACCTTGCTCAGGATACGCCCAGGATATCGCGATACGATCGAATATCGTCAGCATCAATATTCGGTCGGCGTTTGCTGTAATTGCTGGAGAACATTGTATCCCATCCAGGCACGTAAGCAGCAGGGCACCGCGTGGCGACATGGCTCCGTGGATGGGATCGGAGACATGGAGATATGGTGTAACAATTGGAATGGGGCGAAAGCAAACTGCTCCACACGCGACGCCACGAGCCGAGCCACCCATTCAATACTAGAGTCCTGACGACCTCACCAGTCCTCATTAAGCTTCCTGTGCGGCTGCCATTGGCTTTGCACGTCGAAACGCCTCGAGAACGCGCCACCGCGGACCCTGTAAAAATGAAACCGATGCAGGGCGGAGTATGCAGTGAATCCGTAGGCGAGGTATGTTGGGTAAGACAAGTGTGGTCGACGCTGTCTGCATGTCTGAGATGAGACTCCGTGCTTGCTCGGCTGCACCGGGTAGGATCTGACGGCATCGTCCGAGCGGGAATGGGCGGAGCTTCCGCCGCATCTGAGCAGCTGCACAGCTGCACAAGCTGGCCATCTGAGGAGCAACGACATGTACGCAGCAAATCTAAGGCACAAGGCAGCCCCAACCCAATACCCATCCCTCCCGCATACCAGCATCACGTTGGACAGATTGGACAGCTATGACAATACCAAACCGCTGACATGTGCCTCTAGGCACGCGGCACTCGGGTATCGGTAAGCCCACAATGCGTCTCAGGCTCAGGCTCAGATGTGAGGCTCAGATGTGAGGCTCAGATGCGAGGCTCATAGGTGATCTCGTGCGCTCGGTGATGCTGGCCGTGCACCGAGCCATGTGAGGCGAGGTGAGCGTGGCACGTCACCCGCGTCGGAATCGCTGGATCAGAGACTAGCATCCGCACCCGCGCCGGGTGGCGGTTCTTGCCGCTGCGAAGGCAGCGCACCCGGGAGCCACCCCGCACTCAGATCCGAAGGAGAGTCGGCATCCCAGGGCATGTGCCTGGAGCGAAGGTGAGAGAATAATGGAAGACAAAGAGCGTCGGATGCGGGAGGGTGGAAGGGGAAGAAGGGGTACGGTATGAGCGGCAGCATGGTGCCGAGGACACGGGTGGAGGGGGATCGTGGTACGACGTGCAGCGGGGGATGACAGAGGAAGCAGAGGTCAGCGGGAGAGAACAGCACAGAGGCGGAGTACCGAGCGGGGGGGGAGGGAAAGACGGAAGAGGGCCACAGGACGAGGACAGAGGAGGAGTAGGAGCACCCAGCGGAGATCAGTGGGCCAGATGGGGACACCATCTCATTGAGTCGGCTTGAACCGAGATGGCGAGTCAATGCACAGCTTCTACAACCCAAAGAATATCGATGAGTGAGACAAGAGACAGGCGCCGGCGAGCGACAACAACACAGCGCAGGACGGGGCAGGAGGATGCAAGATCGAAGCGACGACGAGCACGCAAGTAGGCAAAGCGAGCGCACGAGGAGGGTAACCTCGGCAGATGCCACAACGCTCCCCACAAGCCCCGCAAGCACATGACCATTTGTACGTAAGGGGACCCAAGGGACAGTGCATGCACCCCACGTACCCCACGACTCGAGCTGCTGGGCCTCCATCTCGAAAGCCTGCCAAGCCCCCAGATAACGCAGGTCGCGCGGATTCGCCAGCGCCCAGTAGAAAAAAAAAATGGACAGAAGTGGACAGCCTGGGGTGGGTTGAATGGTCAGAATGGGATGAGTGTGCAAGATGCGAGAACGGAATTGGGGTGGCAAGGGGGTGAGACATTCTGTCCAGGGTCAAACCTATCATTCCTGAGTGAGAGCCAAAACCCCCTGATCCCTGTTCCCCCAGGCACTACGGGTGTGTTCAGGGCCGAGGAACGGAACGCAGGAACGAGCATGTGTCCTGCATCACTCGGGTGTCTCGGCGGAGAAGTGCCACCCTTTCAATCCTCCAGCCGCCAGCGCCGCCAGAACACGATGGGCAACTGCAAAAAAAAAAAAAAGAAAAAACGACGTCAGGCCTTGGTGGTTCAGGGCCCATGCCTTGCCATGATCGAGCACCGCACCAGCAGGCTGCAACCGTCGGCTCTGTTCGTCGGCGATCAGCCTTCGGAGCCCTCGGCATACCATGCCTCACCTCAGCCTGCCTCCTTGGCAGCCGCGCAAATGGGCAGCTGGGCATATTCCCTGCGGATGGGTATGTCACCTCCCTTGCCAATGCCTTGGCAGATGGCGAATGGGGTCTGTCATCTGTCATTCCTGCAGCAGCAGGACGCAGGACACAGGACACAGGAGAGATGGCAGAGGCAGAACGGCATGACGGCGACGCAAGCCGTAGGCAAGACACTCCGATGCATTCGCTCAGCAAGGCATTCTCGGAATCCAGGACTAGTCTGGCGAAAGTGAGACATCTGCCGAGGGTGTTCGCGCGTCGTGGGAAGTCGCGAAAGTGAATGGCTGACCATGTGTGTCACTGAGCTGAGACATTGCGGCACTCCAACCCTGGTGAAAGGCCGACCGCTCTACAGCTGAACGATACGACACCACTCAGAATCGGACTGCAGGCACATCAACTGCGTTCCTCACCCTTCACCTCTGCTCTCCTGCCCACCATCCCATCGCCTCCCCCCTCCCACTTGTCGCCGCCCGAATCACCACCGACGCGCCGATACTTAACCCGAACCAGATATCTCGCAACCCCGTCTAGTGCTCATCCTCATCCTCATCCTCATCCTCATCCTCATCCTCTACCTGCCTCTACCCAGCCCAATCCCCATCATCGTCTCCAACCTGAGCCATACTCTCATCCTCCTTCCTCACCCATCTCATCCAACCTGAGCCTGCTCATATTGTTCTCGAGCCTCCCCCCATCCCCGCTCCTCGTCTCCCCCTTCTCCCAAGCGGAGGGGTAACCTTTTTTACTAGATCTTTCATACTATCTGCCCCGCGCCTCCCCCGCCCACCCACCGTCCCTCCGCTATTCCGTCAGCCATCGTGTACCAAGTCGCCCTTCTCCGTCTCACCTGTCCGTCTCGTCCACAGGTCTACCTCTCCCTCCCCCCTTTCATTTAAAGATCCACTATGTCGTACATGTACGGCCCCAGCGCCGGTGCCCCCAGCGCCATCGTCACCCTCGCCCCTCCCCCTCCCCCTGCCCCCACCAACCCGACGCCCAAGCAAGCTTCGTCCGGTCCCAATGGCGTTGAGCGAACGCGGCGTACTCGCCGCCGTTATGAGGAGATGTCTAGGGATTACAAATGTAATTTCCCGGGGTGTCCGCGCGGTTATTCCACACTCAATCATCTCAACACCCATGTCCATAACAAGGTGCATGGGCCCAAACGACGGCCAGCCGGTAAGTTTGGTGGTGTTGAGCAAGCATTGTGTTGGTATTAACATCGTCACAGAGTTCGCCGAGCTGCGCGCCAGGCTGCGCGCCCAGGCGCGCCAGGCGCAGACGGAGGCGGCAAACAAGAGCTATGTCTCTTCAGTGACAGCCATAATGGCCGGCGGTCCCACGGCCTCGGCCCCAATGGACGGACACCGTCCCCGCGTCCCTCCTGTGACCGTCCCCGGGGCGCCGTACAACGTTCCCGCCTCTGTTTACCGGTCACACGTCGACCACTATATATACTCTGCTCCGGCCAGCGCCAATCTCTACTCTGCTCAGGCCAGCGCCGCGTACCCTCCGACAACGGCCATTGGACCGCAGTCCGAGTTCAGCTACTCCCTGTCGGGCTACCAGCACCATGCCCGCGGCCAACCGCAGGGAGAACAGACCGCATGGAACCCGACATACACCAACAGTTACAGTGCCCCGGACGCGTTCGGGCGTCCTCAGTACGCGATGGACCCACAGTATGGGCACTACTCGCATCCCAACTACACCTACCAGCAGGCGGACTCGGTGCAAGCCGAGTATCCCCCGGCAACCGCCTGGACGCCTACCATGGTGTCGCACCCCCCCGCCCCGGCGCTGCCGCAACTCCCCGCCCCGGCGGCGGCCACGGCCACCACCTCCGGTGGAGTGTCCCAGCTACCCGCCACTGCAACGGCCACCTCCCCTGCCTCATTTGTCTCCCCCGCTTCCTACGGCTCCCCCGCCTCGTACGCCGGTGGACCGTCGCAGATCCCCGTCGCCAACACGACCATCTATTCTGACTCCTATGGCAGCGGACCGGCGCAGCTCGCCTCCCGCGCCCCGTCGCCGCCGCATGCCAGTAACTGGCGCGACGGTCCCGACAATTTGCAGTCGAGCATGTCGTTCTCCCTCACGGGCGAGCACTACCAGTCGTTTGCGACTCCGCCCCCGTCGGGCACCGCTTCGGGCTCGGCTTCTGGATCCACCAGCGCATCGCCCGACGGCTACGCGCCGGGCATTCTCACGCGCACGCGCGGATCTGACGCGTCATCCGACACCCGGCCCACAACTGTCCAGACCCCGACGGACGCGTACCGTCTTAATAACGGCAGTACTCCTTTGGAGTCTCCTATCAGCGGGCCAGTGTGTATGCCGTCCTCCTCATCCAATGCCGAGTATGATTTCCAGCGCGACATGTCGCGGTTTTTCCCAGGTCCTTCGACCTCATACGATCCGAATCAGTGATTCACGTCAGCATGGAGTTACAATGTACCACTTTCCCCGATACCACGCGAGGTCCTGAGTAAGACGCATCCTATATTCTGCTCCGCCGCCACGCAACGCCCCACATTGTCCACTCGCCATTGCGCCTTATTGTTGTCCTTTGTAGCTTATGCGATATGAATTGCCACTCGCCTTCCCGACTACTACTAGTCCGCGTACTTTGAGCTCGAGCATGTTTGTGGTCGTGGCTGGACTGAACGCGTTGACGCGTTGGCTTCAGGCTAGTGCCAGCAATGCCAGTGGGCAAGTAGAAATGCCGTCAAATGCCGGGTTGTCAGGTCCCCACCCTGCCCCCAGGTCAAGCTGGGCCTGCCCTCTACCCTCGGCGACCGTCAGCTGTCAATGCTTTCTACATCGCTCTACCTGCATGCATCCATGCATGCATGTATCGCTCCACACAACCTCCCGCATGTTCGTGGCCGTGCACTCGCTCGGCCGAATACTGTCAGTCCACCTGACCGGCTCCAAACCAAGCCCGAACTCCACGACCCCACGCTCCGCCGCAAGTCCGACACCCCACGCCGCCGCCGCATGACGGCATGTGCCTGCCAGATCGAGCAGGCGCATGATTGCATGAAACACGGCACGGCCAGGGACCAGGGAGAACATTCATGCCCGACCATCCCTGCCGTGCCGTGCTCGGCACGGGCTGGGCGGCTTGGGCGGCGGCGTGCGTTGTGGGCATGCTCGATCGCAAGCCGCCAGCGATGCAGCCGCGCAGGCAGCAGCGTGGATGCAGCGGGCTGTCCTCGCCGCGGCCCGCTTTGCGACCAAGATTGCGATAGCGATAGCAATATGCTTCTCTGCCACTACGGCCGCTAGCGCGGCTACGGCCGCTAGCGTGCCGAGGGGGAGGGGTGCGACGGCCGAACTCTGTACCATGTGTGCCAGCGGCGTCACACTCTCTCTGTCGCACTCCACGTACTCCACCCAATTCTTGCCTCCGCCCCCCGCCCATGCCGCCGGGCATCCCCACCCCCCAAACCCCGCACCGCTGCGCTGGAATCGCCCCATTTAAAAATTGGGTAGTCACCTCCCCTGCACAGGCACAGAACAGGGACAGATTGGCAGGGATAAGCATGAATGTGGCTGACATGCCCGACGTCAGTGGCGTGTCCGGCCACGTGCGCTTCCTTCCATCCCCCTCCCCTCGACTCCCCGCGTCCCCGATCCCGCGTTCCTCGCATGTCTTGTCCATCCATCGCAGACGGCGGCCACCGTTCGACACCCCGCAGAGAAGCGTCTCCCGCGCTCTGAGCTTAAAGTCACGCGCGCGGCAGTCTCCGCCCCCTCTTCACCTCCAAGCGGCAAGCGGGGGCGAGATGGAGAGATCTATGGCTGGGAATAACGGCGCAGACTGGGAATGCTTATCATCTCGGCGGGAGGTGCCGCATCTTCTGAGGGACGAGGGGAGGTGTGGCGCTGCCCCTCGCTGTTATCGAATGCCGGAATTCCGCGCGGCTGAGGTCGAGTCGGTGCGCTGGTAGTGAGGGGTGCCGGAGCTCAGGCTGCTGTTGGTGCAATCTCAGCACTGACCGGAGTGAAGGTCAATCGCAGAGCTAATGGCCGGATGAGCTACTGAATGACCTTACATCATGGTGAGTAGAGATGTGAAGACAAATGACCTGTCGAAGACGGAGAGGGAAGGTGACACAGCGAGCAGCACAGAAGGAATGGCAAAGGAAGTCCGTGGAACACCCCGCTCAGGCCTCAAGAACATCGGGGCGCAGGAGGCGTAGAACAGAAGAATCGGAGAGGTCCTTTGGGGATCTGCAGCGAGGAAGGGGTGGTGCCACGTCGTGTGAGCCTCGTTTCTTGGCTGTGGTGGATGCAGATAACCCTCATACGTCCTCGGTGCTGCACAGCAAGCAGCTGCACCCTATACATCCAAGATCTGCATAGCTCACTGCGATCCAGTTCTCCATCCCCCCTCCACCCACGTCTCTTCCCCCCTCCAATCCATCACAGGAGCTTCGTCGCCTCACTCGCAGCCTGGGTGAGCGCTGTTCCCACGCTGAGCACAACTCACGGAAGCAGATGTCCACACTCCGCCCTCCAAGCCTGAGGAGATGCATCTTGAACTTGTCCAGAAGCTCCTTGGAATCGTACGTCTCCTCCTTTGCGACGATCAGAGAGCCCAAGTACGTCGGCGGGCACGTGCTCCAGAACCAGGACGGCCATTTGCTCGGCGTCATCAGAATGTCGTCGCCTGTACTCATCTGCGAGGCGGTGGCAGACCGCGCGATGGCGGCGGTGCACAGGCCGACGTCATGCGTGAGTGAGCCTACGAGAAAGGCGAAGAGGATGTGAAGGCCGCCGTTTTCGAGGACACCCATGCGCAGCTCGCATCCCAGAAGGCGGAGGCCGGTCACGCTCTCCCACTTCTCGAGAAACTTGTACAGGTCCCGATATACGCGCGCGCGTTGAGGGAAGCGCAAGTCCGGGCCGGGTTTCTTGTCCTCAACCTCCAGCTCACTTTTGGAGATGATCGCCATGAAGAGACGGAAGATGGCCGCCGTCTCGTACTGCTTCTCCCGAAGAGTGGCGCAGAAGCTGACTTCTTCCGATGTGTGGACTGCGAACCTCTCCGCGTCCCGGAAGATGGGGCTGGGGTCAGTCGCCCCCCGCAGCCGGCTCACGGCGCTGCATACATACCTCGCGGCGAACAGGAGGAAGGAGGGGACGCGGAAGCGCACCCGGTCAGAGGTGATCACCTGAAAGTCGCCATCTGTCCAGGTAGTGTCGTCTGAGATGGGAGCCGCGAGCGCCTGTGAGGCCGTAGGTGAGACATTAGACTTTGAGGGGCTAGGCGTCTGGGTCTTCGCGCGTGCGGCCTTCTTCTGTTTCGGCTGAGGCGTGCTTGGGGAGCTCCTGCCGGACGCGATGGCGGTTGAGATGCCAGTTGAGATGCCGGGTGAGTTGCTGGACGAGCGGCGGGGTGAGGTGCCAGTTGAAGAACCAGAGGAGGGGTCGACTGAGTCAATTGGCGGCAAATATGCCTCGAACATGGTGAAAGCGCTAATGAAGAGAGATTGGACTATGCCAGTGTGGAGATGAGAGCATGCGCAACGGAGGCTTCGCGGTCAGTGATAAAGTGAATGGCGCCCAGGCTATCATCGTCCCATGACGACTACCAAGGGGCGCAGAGTTATGACCCCATCTTCTGTGTCCAGAAGCGAAGGGCGCATCTGAGATCTCAGAAGGAGGAGGAAGGACGCGCCGACGCGGTCACACTCATGACATCAGTTCACACACACGCGAGACCTGGGGTTCTCCTTCTTGTCATTCACCTGCCGTCGGGTGTTGGCAGTCGCGAGGTGTACTGCCAGGGTGCAGAAGAATATCGGTCAAGAACGGTAGGTCTCGCGTGCGTGTGAACTGATGTCATGAGTGTGCCCAGGCGGCCGGGCGCAGAAGAAGCGCCCTTCGCACTCCTCCCATACCTAGTGCTGTGCGTTGGCCCGCTACCGCCGCTCGAGCACAGCACACAGGTGGGATGTCAACAGTGCTTCTCTCCATGTTAAACCAGATTGGTCGAGTTATCCAAGTCAAACCTGTGATGTACTTGACAGGCAGCGTGGGTGAGTGAGGTGACCAAGGACCACGTAACCTGTCTTCGCTCGACTTCAGTGCTGCAGCTCGCATCAACAACTCTGGCGACTCACCCTCAAGGCGAGTGCCACGCCGTGAAGCAACAATTGAGATCGATCTCCCATCGTCGATAAATCTACCTGCTGTGCTCTTCCACACCTCCCTTCCTATGCCTTCCAGTACCACACCGGTCCGTGTGCGATCCCCTGCTCCTCCTCCCAGAACCCGCACCACCCCCTGGCGCTCCCCACGCCGCCAATCTGCACCCCGTTCATGAGCCACTGGTCGTGGCCCTCGTAGTGGATGACGAAGCTCCAGCGTACACAGTCGTCCGGCGTGAGGCGCACCACGCCGTACATGAACGCGTCCATCTCGGCGGTGACGCCGCCGCCGGCGCATCCCACAAAGTAGATTGGCGGGAGGCGGTCGCTACTCGGCAGCGCGGTGGCGAGGGAGCGCGGTGTCATGCCGGCCGGTGCGTGAGCTTGGATATCCGCCTCGGACGACACAACTTGCGTCACCATCTCGACCATGTCGCCCACGTTCTCCTCATAGTATCGCAGATGGGCCGGTGTGAGGCCGGACATGTCGGGTTCGTTCAGCGTGACCCAGTCTGGATAGCTTGTGTCAGCGAGCCCAGATACTCTCCTCACTGCATGAATGCGTATGCGCCGTGCCATACGCCCGCAACGCCCGCCCAGTCCACCGGGTTAGGAGACGCCACGCCGCGGATCTGGTGGATCCCCGCGAGGGGGCGCAAGGCAGACCGCCACTCGTTCTGTCCGTTTTTCACGAGATCAAGTATGTTGAGGTCTGCCATCAGCATGTCCCTCCCTCACCTACACGTACACATCAGCGTGCCGATCGCGTCGACCTGCGACCACGCGACAGTGCCATCCCTCCGGAACGGCGTCTCGGGCCACATCCACTGGCGACAGTATACCATGACGCGGAGCCAGCCGCGGTCCGCCTTCGCATCCACGCGCAGGAGGTGGAGGCGGCAGAGGGCTTGGTTGAAGACCACAGAGCGTGGGTGGGGGCGCCATGTCCGGCCGTTGCTCACGGGACGGTTATTGTACCTGTTGCAAAGTGGCTGTGCGGCGCAGTGCCGGTACAGATGCAAGAAGGCGGGGGAGTGGAGGAGTGCCTCAAAACACCGATCGCCATTGGAGAGGCGCGGGTTGTACGGAGGATGCAGAATGTTGGCGATGGCAACCTGCACATCTCCCACCTCTGCTTCCCTCATAACCACCTCATCTACCGCTCGCACTGACACGTCGCGCATTAGACCCATGAGAACGTCACACAGTGCCCCGGTGAAAGTCACATCGGGGTTGGAGTCTCGCATGGTCCGCTCGGTGAACATGCGCTCCTTGAGCTCTACGCACCACCAGGGTGTGGGTGGGTATGGTAAGGGCTTTGGGTAGTTGTAGCGCGCAAGATAAGCCGCGCGCCACGGGGTGATGCTAGCCTGTTATTAGCAGAGGAGAGAGAGAGAGGGGAGTTGGGAAGGGGGTGTGTTCCTGAGGACAGAGGGACGTAGAGGGCACGTAAGAAGACTCACTTGGAGAAGATCATTGAACCGTTTCGCAGTTCGGCTCAGACACAGAAGGGCGCACGCGTCCTCTGCGCCTGCCATTTCAAAGATATCGAGCAAAATCTACGGGTAGCAATGCGAACAACTTCGGACAAGCAGTGAGCTTACCTCATCGGGAAGGGAGAAGATGGGCGTCGTCGCATTCAGGGGTGAGAACGATAACGCTACAGCGCTTGCAGAGGCAGCTGAAGGCGCCGTCATTGTGGTTTCTCTGAGGTCGTTTTGCTAGGCCGGAGGAGCGGATTTAGGAGGGCGGGAGAGGAATTGGTGGTGGCGAAAGGTGTGAGGGGCTGAAGAAGAGCGGGGGGATTAGACTGCAGAGAGCGCCTTTTTATGTCCTACCCGACTGGATGTTAGGTGTAGACTAAGCGAGGGTGAGACAGCAAGTCAACGAGTGCAGACATTGAATGGTGATGTTTGAGTGGCTGAGTTGGTGGGTGGCGCATCGCTTGTCCGGGAAATGGTGAAGGAAAAGTGGAGGTGGGGAATGTGGTCGACATAAAATCGGCGAGGTACGCAGGATGCTGACGCGATGACGCGCGCGTTCTCCTTGTAATCTACACGGCAACCACTCCGCAATTCATGTCGGGGGTCTGCCCGCCATCATCAATTCGCAACCACTACTACTATGAATTAGCGTCGCCGGATTTCCACCTCTGACGTCTCTGAGGGTCGTAACTGCATAGGTATCTCCTTACAGTGGAGGACGTTTTCCGACTCTGGACCGTGCATCTACAAACGACGAAATGAGCCACCAACCCGGGATAAAGGCGACGTCACCCTCTCCCGCCTTTCCACTTTGGGGACGACATGATCAACCATGCATAATATGCTACCCGAGACCAAAAAGAACGCTACAAACACCGTGATACACTCAACTTCGCTGCTTCTTAACGAACCAACACGGCTGCCAGAAGTTCTGCTTGACAAAGATTGCGCGGGGGACAAATTCTTCTGGATTGAGCTCACGCGCAACCTGATGTCAGCGATGCGCACCTTCCAACACTCACCCCCAAGATACCTCGACGTGACCCCAGGCCACCAACCTGAACGCCCTCAAAGCGCACAATATCCTGCCCGCTTTTGCGAATGATGATGGTATAGCGGATCTGGGGTGGTGCGTCGGACGTTAGGCGCGCGACGCCTCGCACGCCAGGAACCTGTGAACCCCGGTCGGATTCGAGATGGCCATAAAAGTACACCGGCGGAAGGTTGGCAGAGGATGGCAGGGCAGTGTCGAGCGACATGACGGGACCAGTGGGGATATTGAGAGCGCGCTCCAGGTTCTGGATCAGAAGCTCGAGGCGCGTAGGATCGGACAGCCCGATAAGATTGAGGGTGGGAGCAAGCGATTGGAGGCGCTCTAACCCGGGAAGTTCAGATGGGCCGATGAGCCCATACCAAACTCCCAGCACTTGAGGCCAGTTGCCCGTGTGACCAAGCGACGTCGGAAGGTTGTACAGAGGTCGGGCCACCATTATCGGAGCGAAATATAGAGGGAATGCTTTGTCCTCCTTGCAAGCGTCCACCGGCTCGTACGAAGCCCGGTCCTGCTTCCTGACGTATTCATCTGGGGTTAGATGTTCTTTGCGCTTGGCCAGCTACTCACACATGGTACGTTGAATGGGAAGGACGATCTCCCATAGAACAGAGCCATCAAGGTCGAACACTGGATTGGATGAGAACGCGTGGATGGGCAGCAGGGCGTCGGACACCGCTCTCGGGTGCTTGCAGGCGTGAGTTTCGACTTGAAGGGGCTCCTTCGCCCGCTCCTCCGTTTGCGAGTCGATGTTCTCCGACCGCTGAGGTGAGAACATGGTGAGGAACAACGCTTCCAGATGACACAGCGGACGAAGGGCAGGAAGAAGTTCGTGGCGCAAAGGACGAGTGCAGACAAGTCGGAGCAGGTTTGAAAACTCGGGCTTCTCAATCCACTTCTTCATGAGACCGATTTGATGTGAGTCGTCGACTGGAGCTGCGTGATACAGTTTAAGAAGCACTTTAGCGAGACGTCGGATACGAGGAACAAGCTGGCAGCGAAAACGATGCTCATCTGGTTCCATTTTTGGCATGACCCAAGGACAGGCGAGGTCGTCAGGAGTTGACTCGTGTGCCCCTTTGGTTTCCGCTGCGATGGGAGCAGAAAGCTGCGAAACAGTGGAGCTGCGGTGGGAAGCGTTCAGCACTCTCGAGTCGTGACTTGTTTCGGCGTCGTAGATGAAGGGTGGGGACGCTGGGCTTGCAGGAGTCAATTCTGCCCCGAAATCGCCGTCCATATCCCTCGCTTCGCCTGTGTCGATCGACATCGGAAGAGTGTCATGTTCAATAGTGAGCCAACTAAGCAGTCTCGGATCGTTCCACGTTGCTTCAGCTCCGCGAGTGCGCCGAATGAGCTCTTGGAGCTCGCGCCACTTGTCCGAAAGGAAGGCGAGCTCGTGACCGATGAGATGTTGCCAAACGGAGTTGAAGCAGGGGTTCTGGGGTCAGCTGAGGAGTCTCCCACAAGCATTCCTTCATGCGTTCGTGCAGTCTTCGAGATGTTACTGCCAAGCGAGCAATAGCGGTGGCGTCGCCATTCTCGGTTGAACACTTGAGGATGATGATAAGAACCTGTTGTTCAGCATGCCTCATGTCAGAGCGTACGTCATCCACGAGATCAGGCAACTTGAGTGATCTGGCCTTTGGGCGGCTCTTGGAGACATTGACGCTGCGTCGCATACTGTTGACACGTGTGGTTGTGGGACGACGCCCCGAGGCGGGTGCAGCAGAGCACGCCGGGAGACTACCAACGGTCGCCACTGGCATGGGCGGTAACGGAGGCAAGGCCGGCATGACGAAACCTCTTGAGCCCGACACCTTCCTCCTCTCCTTAGCCCTGGTGCCAGCTTTGTGCACATGCGGCGTAATCTCGGGTACTTCATGAATGGTGTCAAGAGCGAAGATGGTCGTCTCCGTCGAACTGCTCGTGCTTTGAGGCGCGACCACCGAGGCTGGGGGCTCGAATGCCTCCAGCTTGAGTTGTGCAGTGGGAGACAGGGCACTACCCATGGTGGCTTGGAAACACGAAGAGTCCACGGGTATCGAGGTAGAATCGAAGACGATACTGCGCCTCGATGGTGGAGGGCCAAAGGTTTCCCCGGAGGAGCGCAGGGGGTTTGATATTGAGGTGATGCCGACAACCTCAGCATGCGGGGGCGGCGGGGAAGACAGCGGCCGTGCGGAAGGACATGAGTTCTTGAGGAGAGCACCAGTCTCTGGATCGAGAGAGTATGTGCGTCCAGGGCGCCGGGCCGCGATGATGCTGAGCGAGCTTGAAATGCCGAGCTTCCACCGTGGGCGACACTCGAGGGAAGGGTGGTCGAGCTGATGGGACTGACTGCGTCGTGTGGCACCGCGGGTGAAGCTGTCGTGAGATTGACTGGACAGCTCAGCTCGCCGTGTCGTCTCGCACGCCGAGAAGCAAGGAGCTACATTGGACATGGGTGGGAAGTGGTGCGGGGAGGGCGCCGGAGCTGCCCTCATACTGGGACTGATCGGCCGGCGACGAGTCTGAGGAGAGAGGAGGGAAATGCTAAGTGGAAGAGGGAAGAGGGGATGGAAAGGTTCAAGAGTGGTGATAGCGGTGGTCAACAAGAAATGCTTGCTGCGGTGCTGGGGGAGGGGTGCGTAGATTCACACGATGAGAGAGCAGGGTTGTCAAGAAGGAGTGAGGAAGTGGATGATGGTGAAATGGTGAGATGGTAAGACGTAAGAAGAGGTGAGTGAGGGATCCTTGAGCAAGTGCGAGGGAAGGTCGAGTGCCAACCGTCAACCCCGTCAACGTGAGGTGACTCACAATGGCTGTTTACAGCTGCGGGAGCCGTGGGTGACCCTCGGGCGGCGGGCGGCGGGCGGCGGGCGGGCCGCGGGCGATGATATGATCGTACAGCTGTTTACATTCAGGTATCCGATGCTAGATAGAGCGGAAGTTATGGATGCGTACTAAGGGGGAGGGGCTGCTGGATGCCTATGTGGGGTACAACCTCCGGATATGATGATGGGATGGCGGTGGATGAAAATGGGAGAGAATGCAAGCGGGCCTGCCGCGCCCAGTGGAGTGTCCGTAGTCGTACAGTGTCGGCCGGCGGAACTGCGCGCGGCAAGCATGCTGTAATGGATCGCGAGTCGTATTCCTTGTCTTCGCCAGAGAGGTCCCGCGTCTACTCCTGTCTGCCGTCGAGGTTGACAAGGAGGGTCTGGAGGCAGCGCTTGGTCACTAGGTCGCCCTTGAGGAGACCCGCGAAGGTGCCGTCGCGGAGGGGCTCGGGAAGACAGGCGCGGAGCGCCTCGCGCGCGCGGGGGTTGTCGCTCATGCGGAGATAGCAGCGGACAACGTGCTTTAGCAGGCGGACGGCCTGAGTCTCGACGAGCGTGGAGACCATGTTGGCGAGCACGGCGCCGACGGCGTAGAAACGCTCGTACGTCTGGCAAATGTACTGCAGGCCAAGGTCGTCAAGCAGTATTTTCTGGACAATGAAGATGGCGACTGTTTTGCTCAGCTCCGAGCCTGTCTCCATGATGCGCAGACAGAGAGGAATAATCTCGGTTGAGAGGAGGAAGTTGATCACGTCGCTGTTGTCATTCTGCTTCACGAGCGCGCCGATGACTCCCAGCGATGTCAAGCGCAGGTACTCGAAGGGGCGCGTCTTGGAAGTCGTGTTGAGGAAAGGGTAGAGGAAGAGTGGGATGTGCGCATTGAGGAACAAAGAGCGTGTCTCTGAATGCGACGCCACGCATTGCAAAAGGGCGAGCGCGTTGCAGACGCGGTTTGACGCGTGAGCTGTGAGAACGGGGGGCGACAGCGCAGGGTAGACGTTCACAATCTCAAGCAGGAGCGAAGACATGATGCCTGCTGTTAGCCATTGCACCTTTCTCGAGGGCGAGGAGGCTGCCCGCGCTGCCCGCCCGGTGTCCACTCACCAAAGCCGCCCCACAACACAAGGGCCAAGTCCTCGTACATCTCTCGCTTCTTGCTGAGCTCTAACAATGCAGTCTCGCGAGTCTCGGGGTCGAGGAGCTGGATGATGAGCTCATAGATCTTTGCTTCCTCGCTGTTCGCAGGCGGCGGGTTGCCGTTGGGCAACAAAAGAAGCTTGCCTGTGCTAGCGGGGAAGGGCGCGCCGGAGTTCCCTATCTGGGCGACAGCCGCGGAGAGTTGATGCGCCTGCTGCGCGCCGCTCGGTGTCGTCGGGACACCAGGCGTGGGCGGGGGCGGGTTGTTGAGGTGCTGCGCGAGATTGTTGAGAAGGAGGGGCGGTGCTTGCTGCGATGTGAGCGAAGATGGAAGGTTCTGCTGCATGCTTGAGCCGAGGGTCGCCAGAGGAGATTGAAGGTTGCCGCCGCCGCTCATTGCAGACTGAGCTTGTGCTTGTGCTTGTGCTTGCAGTGCAGTCGAGCGAGGAACGTCTCCGCCTGCGGCGTACCCACCGTACGCGCGGCCGTACATCGAGGTTTGGGCGTGCAGTGACGAGGCAGGAGGTGTTGATATGAAGGGGGCCAACAACTTGGCTGCAGAGCGAGGTCAAGTTGAGGTTCGACGGGAGTGACGCGAGTTGATGGAGAAGGAGTAATGAAAGCAGTGACGCGAATAGAGGGGTGGATGCGGGGAGATGCGCGACGCCCCTAGCGGGGCAGAGAATAGATCAGGAGGGAGGGAGGCGTGGGATGGACGGATGGGGGCTGTTGGTGTGGAGGGTGGTGAGGATTGTGAGGATCGATCAAGGTGACGAGTGGATGCTGAATGATAGCGACGGGGAGACAGTGGTGCGCGGGTGCGGGGTGAGCAAGCGATTGGGACCAACAACTGGATGGCCGGGTGGTCATCCTCACCACCAGTGAATCCGGGCATCACCACCCAGGGTTAGACGCGAAACGCCGAGTGTGGCACATGTCTGCCGCCCTCAGTCAATGTCACCCCGTGATGTGCTTCGCGCGCGCAGCTTGAGAGCACGCCTCAACGGCCTCAACGCCTTGCTTGCAAAGAACCATGCAGGTGGCATGTCCGGAATACACAAACACCCATAATATTCTATAAGCTATATGACAACGAGAAAAGCCATCTTCGCTTGCCTCACCCTACTCCCGTTTCCTCCTCCCCTCAGGCTCTTACCCCACATCCTACTCAATCTTGGTACTGAACGCGCGGCGAGCAGTGCCTATCTGCCCCGAGAACGCATTTCCGCCAACACCCATGCGCAAGCGATTCGAGGACAAGGGGCCGGAGGTCAGGCGAGGCGAAGGCGGGGCCAGAGGTGAGTGCGGGGAAGGCGGCCAGGCAGGAAGCGTAATGTGCGAGCCGACGGGTGAAGCGCTAGTGAGAGGCGACAACACGCGCGAGGCGTTTGAGCCACTCGACGGCAAGCCAACAGTTGAAGCGGCACGCTTATAGGAACCCGCGCGAATGTACTTGGCCGGATTGGCTGGCAGGACCGCATCCGGGTGCACCTGCGATCAGACGACTGTTCATCTTGAACATCCCTCACCTGGAAATCGAGCGACATCGTTTGCTGGTCCTGCGGGTCAAAGCCGATCACCTCCAGAATGCGGTTTCCAATAGCATTGACGGCGTCAACGTCGTCCTTGATGCGAGTCCAGACCTGAATGCGGTCCGCGCGTGGGCGGGACGATACCACGATGCCAGTAACGTTGTTCTCAGGATCGAGCTGTTCACCAACCAGTGCGAGAACGAGGCTGGACCACACCATGTCGATAGTGAGTTCTTTGTTGTTGGCCTTGATGAACAGCGACCACTTGCCACCGTGCGAGTTCGCTGGATCCTCATAGGACTGACATTAGGCTGAGCGTGACATGTACAGCTTACTGGGCGAATGTTTTTCTTGAACATGTGGTAGTTGCCGCAATTAGTTAGCTTACTGGGCTGACGAATGTTGTTCATCAGGCGCCAGAAGCTCTGAATGGTGTCAAACGAACCGACGGGCATCATGCTGGCCTCCCACTCGGTCATGCGCTGGCAGCGCTCCTCGAGCACGTCGGGTGGCGGCTTGTAAGTCCTAGAGTCGTACCAGATTGACCTGAGGTAAGCGGCGACGTCTGCTTGAGGTTGAGACACCTACCAAGAGTGCTCAAGTGGCAGGCCGTTGGCGATAGAGCGAGGCGATCCAGGCATTGGGGAGCTAGATGTGGATCCACTGCTTCCAGCGGCTTTGCTCGTAGATTCGCCTGGGGTCGAGCGCTGCACAACGATCGACGGAACATCTTCCTTGGAGCGAGGTGGAGTCTCCGGGAAACCGTGGCCCAGACTGGCTCGGGACTTGTGACGCAGCTCGGCGAGGGTTTTGGGCTTGAGCGACCCGGCTGCCTCTGCTTTAGTGGTCTGGGTCTCCGTGGGACTCTCGCATGCCACAATCTCCTTCATCAACAGCGATCCTCCGCGAGAAGGGGTGGGCGAATCCACGCTCTCGCCTATGGAGAGGGCGAGCGAGTTCGAGTTGACGCGCTTCGAGGGAGCATGGCTTGATTCCGAATTCTTGAGGGTGTCTGTTGAGGAGCGATTCGAGAGGGCCTTGGTATGAACCTCAGCCTTGTCTTCACTACCTTCCTTTCCAACCTTGGAGAGCTCGATGTTCTCATTCTCGTGAGTTTCGTGAGCACCCACACGGGCAATGGGTGAAGCCGTGGGTGCGAGGTTGGCGCGGGCAGCAGCACTTGCGGGGAGCTTGAGACGCGACTGTGCAGCAGGAAGGTTGGTCGAGGTGGTAATTTCGTTTAGGGCGACCGGCGTCGACGTGGTGAGGCGGTCGGAGATGTCCTTGAGGGAAGGAGGTCTGACACCGCGGCGCGATGCCATGCTACAGGTTAGGATGGTCTGATGGATAGATACGTACCGGTTGCTACTCTTCCTGATATCGCCCATTGTCCTTGGGGAGGACTGAAGATGACAAGGAGAATAGAAGGAATTGAGAGCAAGGGGGCGGACGAGAGTGTGGTGCTTTGTGTAGTGTTTTGAGGTCTGTGAATGGGGATGGAGGGGTTGTGGGTGATCAGCAATCGAACCGTGATCCGTGATCCGTGATCCGTGACAGTCACGCTCAACGTGATCCCGCTCGACCGCGCTACGATGCCGAGGCCAATTGTCACGTTGCGGACGAGGATGAGGGGAGTGGAGTGGAGTGGAGTGGTAGAGAGTGAATGAGTAAAGAGAAGAGAATGGATACGGCAGAGTGAGTTGTGTCGTTGGGAGCCAAGGAGAGAGAGAGAGAGAGGAAGGTGAGCAGCTGAGCAGGCAGACGATCAGAAGATGATTGTCCAGACTTCCCAAAGTGGAGGCGGGAATACACAAACGCATACAAGGGAGGGGAGGGAGACAGTGGTCTGTGCATAGTACAGTATGCAGGCTCCCCTTCTCTTCTCTTTCCCCTCTGCCTGTGATCCGAGCAATGCGCCATCACTGTGCAGGTGCTCGACCTCACTATGTATGTCTGCATGCCGTGATCCATCAGCAGCACCACCAAAGAGTCCTCAAACGGCTGCAAACGGCCAGGTCGTCGCGCGTCGCGTCGATGTTGATTCAACTAGATCACTAGAGTAGTAGTTGGATGTTAATGAATTACGGTCGTAAGCGAAGCAGCCTCTGACGTCACGTGTATCCATCTCTGTCACACTTTGGCGTTTTGCCACTCAACTCGTCCGCATCTCCTCCGCCTCCTCCATGTTCCTCCGACACCACGGCATTCACGCCATGCACGCCATGCACGCCATGCACGCCACCTCTTCCCATTCTGCCACTCGCTGTCACTTTCACATTACTTCTCCCACATTCTCCCGTCCATGCTGGGCAAACTGCGCAGTGCATCATCCATTCATTGTGCCTCGCTCCGGGATCGCTCGGCGTGATCGAGCTTGCGAGCGACGAAAGAGGAGAATCCTAATGGCTTCAGCATGTCACAGTTCACACAACCCCATCCACTGGCGGGCATCCGGCAAACATACACTCTCTGCAAACAAACAAGCAGAGTGCGTACTAAGACGCTGTTGACCGTGCTCTGCCACTCGTCTACATGCGCTGCTCCCGGATTTCATGTCGCCAGCTCAATGGAGCAATGTAAGGCAGGCGACCTGGCACAGAGGTCAGAGACGTGCACCCATCAGTTGCAACCATGTTATTCTGGCTTCCTTATGATCAAAACCCATTCGATTCGTGGGTGGCTCCATGGTCAAGACACAGCAGAGATAGGCTAGTGAACACCGCAACACACGCAATGGCCAGACTCACCTCACTGCGTCATGCGATCAAATTATATCGAAGGAGAGTCCCGCAGCTCAATGTCCCCTGCACTGCCACCTGATCAGATAAGATGGCAGCCGTTCCCATTCGGCCTGACGCCTTGCGCGGCCAGGAAATGGCCTGAGGATCGAGCGCTGTGCAACGGCAGCGAGCAAGGATGGGGCGGCGGGCGCGGCGCGAGTATGCGCCCATGCGCGGCCTCCCGCGTAGCGTATTAGCGCAGACGGTGGTACTGCAATAGCATCAAGTCAGGCTTTGCCGCGTCAGAAGCACTCTGCCATCCCAATAATACATGCCTAGATTACACTACAAAGATGCCGGCGGCACCCATGCCCGAGCCGATGCACATGGAGGTGACGAGGACCTGCTTGCCCTTTGCCTCGCCCTCCTTCTGGCGGCGGCGGAGCTCGGACACGCCCGTGACGACCTGGCGGACGCCGGTGGCGCCGAGGGGGTGGCCGAGGGCAATGCCGCCGCCGTTGGGGTTGACCTTTGCGATGTCGAGGCCGAGCTTTTCGACGCAGTACGCGTACATGCTCCCGAAGGCCTCGTTGATCTCGAAGAGGTCGACGTCGCCGACCTCGATGCCGGCGCGCTTGAGCACGGCCGGGATGGCCTCGACGGGCCCGATGCCCATGACGCGTGGGCTGACGCCCACGACGGACGTGCCCTTGTGCGTCGCGAGGACGGGGAGGCCGAGCTCGTCAGCCTTGGAGCGGCGCATGAGGACGGCCATCGCCGCGCCGTCCGTCACCTGCGACGAGTTCGGGCCCGTCGACCGCTCGTCGCCCATGCCCTTGAACGCCGGCTTGGCCTTGACCATCTTGTCCATCGTCAGGCCGTGGCGGATCCCGTCGTCCTTGTCGACCGTGAGCGGCGTGCGCTCGCCGTCCGGCTTCTCGGGGTCAGCGAGGACCGTCGTCTCGATCGGGAGGATCTCGGCGTCGAACCGCCCAGCCTTCTGCGCCGCCTCGGCACGGTTGTGGCTCAGAAGCCCATACTCGTCCTGCTTGGCGCGCGAGATGTCGTAGTCTAGTGCGAGCATCTCCGATGTCCAGCCCATGGGCTTGGCACAGTCGATCGACGACGCGTTGTCGAGGATAGCCGCCTCCTTGAACACGGGCGTGGGGCGGGGGCTGGGGTGAGCATGTGATTGATAATCCTCCAGCGCACCGTCCCCGGTCGCCAGCGCTTGTCACTCACTTGCTCGACATTGACTCGTAGCCGACAGCGACACCAATGTCGATGTCGCCGGCGCGGATCGAGTCCGAAACGTGGCGGAGGGCCATAAGGCCCGAGCCGCAGAGGCGGTTGACGGCCTCGGCGGGCGTGCTCTCCGGGAAGCCGGCGGCGAGCGACGCCGCGCGCACCTCGTAGCACGGCGACGGCGCGTGGCACGTGCCCGCCACAATGTCCTGCACCATCTCGGGCTTGACCCCGCTCTCGGCCATGCCGGCCTTGAGCATCTTGTACAGCAGCCCGTCGGCCGACGTGTCGCGGAACCCGCCCTTCTTGCCGCGCGTGAGCGGCGTGCGCCGCGCATACTGCTGTCAGCGTGGACATGCCGCCCACCCACCGTGATGACGACGTCGTCGGGCGACTCCTTGAAGAGCGCGTCGCGCGCAGCGGACGCCATGCCGCGGCGCTGCACGAAGCGCAGAGAACGGAGGGGGAGGGCCGAGCGCATCATTTTGGATAGAGTGCAGTTGAGAGACGGCTGACGTCGTGACTCTGTATATACATACGGCCGGACATGTGCGGTGACTCGCGGCACCGGACGGCGGTGGCGGCCCCGGTCGGGTGTTCCGACCCTCAACCGCCTACCACGGTACTTCGGACTGCCGTATCGGTCTTGGGCGGGGCCTGAGAGAGTGGGGACACTCCTGCGATCGACAGCAGCAATGGGAATGCTTATGCATGATCATTGCGGGCGGGGGACGCTTCGAAAGCTTCGAGGTCGTTCAAGGTCTTTGCTGATAAAGCTTCAGTGATCGCTGGTGAGTCGCGCCAGCTGCTGATAAACCGGTTTTTAGATTTCCGGACCCGCGGAGGCACACCCCGATCATCTCCGCTTCCTTCGCTTCCCATTACGCACGAACACGCGAACACAGCAGAAGCATACTTATCTGCGGATACACTACAGACGGCGCCCTGGCGCACCGCCTACTAATACAGACGAGCCTATCTAGATCTGGGTGGGGTGGTTGAAGCGGAGCGTGTTCTCGCCGTACTTGGCGTCGACCTCGTCCTGCACCTTCTCGATGCTCTTGAAGTACTTGACGGTCTTGACGCGAAGCTCGGCGGTGGCGTCCTCGTCGCACACGACAAGTGCCCAAGGGTGCATCTGCAGCGCGGATGCCGTCACCATGTGGTTGACGCCGCCCTCGATCATCTGCGCGATGGCGAGCGACTTGTTCTGCCCCGTCGCCAGGAGGACAACCTCACACGCGTCCATGACGGTCTGAACGCCGACTGTCAGCGCCATGCGCGGCACGAGGTCGAGGTTGTTGTCGAAGAAGCGCGCGTTGGCGATGATCGTGTCGTACGCCAGCGTCTTGATGCGCGTGCGCGACTTCAGCGACGACCCCGGCTCGTTGAACGCCACGTGCCCATCCGCACCAATGCCGCCGAGGAAGAGGTCGATGCCGCCCACCGACTTGATCTTGGCCTCGTACGCCTCACACTCTGCGTGCAGGTCCTTGGCGTTGCCATCGAGGATGTTGGTGTTCTTGGGGCTACGTGTAAGCGTCGCTCAAGAAGAAAGAGCCACTACTGCACGATGCGGACTGCTGTCTCAGGCACAGGCAGAGATAACGAGGGACGCGCGGTGGCAACGAAGCCAGTCAGTCAGGCTCCCGTCCGTCTCCAGTCGGAGCCGTGTGATGCGCTGGCGTCCGTCGGTTTATAGCCATCGCCCTCGGTGCGCTGCCACCGCCATAGTCGCGTCACCGTCACCTGCTGCGCACAAGCCGTGCCTGCACTCCACCACCAACACTCACTCAATGTCAACCAACGAGAACAGGTTCTTGAACATGAAGGTGTGATACGACTCGGGGTGGTCGCGGGGAATACCGACATACTCGTCCATGTTGACTGCCGTCAGCCGCCCGCCACTGTTCCTACACATCACACCAGGTAACTCACAGGTGATGACATCCTTGAAAGAAACCTTGCGGTCGTTGTACAGCTCAACAAGACGCTTGTACACAGGAAGGGGCGTCCCGCCAGTCGGGAGGCCGAGCACAAAGTTGGCGTGACCCTCCTTGGGAGTAAACGCGTTGATGCGCTTGGCGATGTAGTCGGCGATGTAGGCGCCAGCCTGCTCCTTGGTGTCGCGAATAGTCAGACGCATGTTTGTGTTTCAAATCGGTGAGATGGGGAGCTGGGCGAAGTCGAGCAAAGTTCTTAAGAGAAGCGTGTCCAGCTAGCAACGTGCGCCGGCGTCACCCAGTGCAGTCAGAGCGGCGATGGTAAAGTCGGCTTCATGCCCGGGCTGAAGGGGGTGAGATGGATGAATGCGGGGCCTAGGCGCAAACAATTTCCGGCGCTTTCGCCGTAGCCACCCAGCATGCCCGTATGCTCAGGTATGCCGGCGGCACCAGCGCTCCTCATGCTGTCGGCCAAGTCGCCGAGTTCTGTCATACCGTTTACAGGTCCCAAGTCGCGGCCTCAGATCTTGGCCCTTCAGCACATTCAGCATTCATCGTCTGGCCAGCCAGACAGCGGGACAGGCGGCACCCCGGAGGAGTCGAAATTGAATCCCCCGGACAGCTGCCGCTGGATCGTGGTGAACGTGGGGCGCGGCCCTCGGCGGCCTCGGCGCATTCGGCGAGAGATAACACAACCGTGGCCCAGGTGCCCCGCGTCGTCCGCACGTTCCAACTTTGTGCAAGGCTGCTCCGCAAAGAAAAAGGCCAGGTGACGCGGCTCTAACCTCCATCCCCCTCATCAACCATGTCCGACATTGTGCGCTTCACCAACGGCTTCCTCGCCCTGCCAGACGGCAGCGCCGTCAAGGGCGACTTGTACGTCAACACGACGACTGGCGTCATCATTGCGGGACAAGAGAGCTTCTTCTCGACTGGCCAGCGGCCATCGCGCGTTGTCGACCTCGACGGAGGTATCCTCGCCCCGGGCCTCATCGATGTGCAGATTAACGGCGCCTACGGCGTCGACTTCTCTGACCTCGACCTCAGCCCCGGCGGCGACGACAAGTATCTCGCTGGGCTGGACCGCGTGGCGGAGCGCATCGTTGAGACTGGCACGACCTCGCTGGTGCCAACCATCATTACCCAGAAGGAAGAGCTTTACGCCAAGGTGAGTGGCAAGAGGAGAGTTGTGGTAGTGTCAAAGGACGGGACGCAGTGGTAAAACGCTCCGAGAAGCCTTGTCTTATCGATGGTGGCGGCCCCCAATCGTCACTTCACAGCATAGATCGAATATTGCTTTCCTCCATCACCAAGTCCCCATCTCCAGTGCACCTATGTTGACACCAGCTTCTTCGCCTGCTCGCGCCCCGGTCGAGTAAGGACTCAGCCCACATCCTCGGTTACCATGCTGAGGGCCCATTCCTCCACCCCGACCGCAAGGGCATGCACACCACTGAGCTACTTCTCACCGCGAACACCGAAAACCCTATCGACGTCTTTGACACGGTTTACGGCAAGGACGGGCTTGACCAGGACGGCGTTAAGATGATCACGGCTGCGCCTGACGTTGAGGGTGTGATGGAGTGCGTCGAGCCGCTCACCAAGCGCGGCGTGACTTTCTGCATCGGGCACTCGGACGCCAACCTTGAACAAGGCCAGATGGCGGTCGCGCGTGGCGCCAACATGATCACGCACCTGTTCAACGCGATGCCTCCCGTGCACCACCGCGACCCCGGTGTCGTTGGCCTCCTCGGCGAAACAGGGGAGCGCCCATACTTCGGTATCATCGTCGACGGCCTCCACATCCACCCCAACACGGTGCGGATAGCCTACGGCGCCGCCTCGGACCGCTGCATCCTCGTGACCGATGCTCAGTGGATCCTCGACCCCTCTCTCCCCGACGGCGTGCACCACTGGCGCGGCGGCTTCAGCTTCCACAAGGAGGGCTTGCGCGTCGTGCTCGATGGCACGAACACGCTCGCCGGCTCCGCCATCCCTTTCTACCAGTGTGTCGCCAACCTCTCGCAGTGGGCCGGCATCACACTGCCCCAGGCGCTCGTGTGCGCAACATACCACCCGGCGCAGATGCTCGGGGGCCGCATCGCGGAGAAGAAGGGCCGCCTCGACATCGGTTGCGACGCCGACCTCGTCGTCTTCGGCTGGGACGGATCGCTCCGCTCCACCTGGGTCATGGGCAAAGAGGTGTATCGCAACCCCGAGATTGCGGGTGGCAATGTCCTGCGGCCGCGCAACCAGGTCAACGGCAAGGCCCACTAGGCCCCTGAGGGAGACTAACCGACCGGACCGGGTATTTGGCCGAGAGCGCATCCTCCAATTCCTTCATAGAGATTAGGCCGCCGCGGCCACCGCGGCGGCATTTGGGCACATCGTGATGGATCCGCATTGTTGTTCTGTACCATGCGCAGTGGCGTTAGGACACGCGCCGAGTCTCTAACGAACCGCGTCGACGAACACGGCGCGATACGAGGCCAGTGCCCGGAAAATGTACGGAAACTCGGGCGGCGCGCCCACGTCGGACAAGGCACGCCGACTGCCGAGACATGTCGCCGATCGGGTCATCCGACACCCAACATTGCGGATACCTAGCCGCGGGGCGGATCAACTCCACAGGCAGGTGCTTCACGACAGTTCATATTCCAGGTAGTGCAGATGTACAGTAAACTTCTCTCGACGTTGCACACTCTCTGACCATGTTCAGCTCAGACCTCATCACTCTCAACGCTGAGCGCAAGATCCACGTCGCCCACTCGGCGCCGGCGTCGCCTGCGACCAAGACGCCAGTCGTCGCAATCCACGGCCTCGGCGGCTCGTCCCAGTTCTGGCTGAAGGCGCTCGAGGCCTCGGGCCTCACCCAGGACCGAGATGTGTACGCGTACGACATGGACGGGCACGGCAAGAGCCCACGTTCGGGCCGCGAGCCCAATATTCAGAACTACGTCGACGACATCCGCGAGTTCCTCGACAAGCTGAACCTCAAGCGGGTGGTTCTGATCGGGCACTCAATGAACGGCGTGAGTGAGCAGGGAGTGGAGAGGTGCGGGGCGAGGTGGGGAAGAAGTGGGCTCGACGCCACCGGTTGTAGCCGGGCCGTTTGCGGCGGCTTGATGTCATGGCGGCCACCCTCTGCGCTGGTCCCAGCAGCCTCTCCAAGCTCTAAGCAACGGCTAACAGCAGATTATCACCTCGCTATTCTCCGAACAGAATGCCGACCGCGTCGAGCAGCTCATCTTGCTCAACCCCGTGCGCAACCTCACACCAGAGGCGCAGAAGATCATGATCGCGCGCGCCGAGACCGCCGAGACCAAGGGCCTCAAGGAGATCGCGGACGCTGTCGCAGCGACTGCCGTCGCAAAGGCCGTTGCTGCCTCCGACCCTTCTGCCTGCGCTCTCATCCGCGACCTCGTTGCATCGACCGACAAGTCGGGGTACGCCGCTGCCTGTCTCGCCCTTTCTACGGCACCCGTGATTGATGGCTCCAAGCTCCCCGTTCCCCTCCACCTTATTGCCGGCGCCGAGGACTACCTCGTCAAGCCAGAAGCCGCGCGAGCGTGGGCGGGCGAGGTCCCCAACGGAAAAGGTAGCGCCATCGTGCTCGAGAACGTCGGGCACTGGGGTGCGATCGAGGCGCCGGCCAGGGTTGGGCGCTGCATTGCCATGGCGCTCGCGCCGACGTCGTACGACATCCTCATGGGCACGTTCCGCTCCCCTTACCTCTATACGCTTACGTTCGACATGATCTCGCGCAAGCTGCAGGTGCGGCACGTGAACGAGGCGTCGGGCGGACACAACTGGCTCGACGTTTCCCCCGACGGCAAGACGCTGTACGCAACGGTGTGGGGTGAGCCGCCCAAGCTTACCAGCTACGACATCGTGCGTGACGGCGAGTACGCGACGACCAAGCTCTCGCGCAACGTACCCTCGGAGTACATGTCGGGGTATGTGTGCAGCAACGACAAGGCGATGTACTCGGCGTGTGGGCCGCAGGTGGACACGTTCCTCGTCGACGAGAAGGGCACGCTCCGCGACCAGCCGGCGGTACAGAGCTTCAGCCTGCTCCAAGGGCAGGAGAAGAACAAGGCGAACGGAACGCTCGACTTTGGCGGCCTGCGGCACGGCGGGCACTCGGCGGACCTTTCGCCGGACGGTACGAAAATGTACGTCGCCGACATTGGGCGGAACTGCGTTTGGATCTACCACGTCAACAAGAAGACGGGGCTGCTTACCGAGGCGTCGAAGAACGTCGCGACGCGTCCGCATGACGGACCCCGCCACGCGTGGCCCCACCCCAATGGCCATATCGTCTACTCGCTCCAGGAGCACTCATCATACGTCGACGCGTTCCGCCTCACGGACGACGCCACGCTGGAGTTCATCGAGGGCGGCTGCATCATCCCCGACCCCAAGGACTGCGACAAGTTCTGGGCCGACGAGGTTCGTCTCTCGCCCCTCGCCGACGTCTTGTTCGGCTCGACCCGCGGCCTTAAGGAGGGCACCCGCGGTTTTGTCACTGCTTGGAACCTCCGCCCAGACGGCACGTTCGTGACCACCGAGCCCACGTACCGCTTTGAGACCAAGACGTCAGGCGGGTGGGCCAACGCCATCGCCGTTTGTCCCAACCAGGGGCGGAATGGCGAGGTTTTCATGACCCTCACAGACTCAGAAGTAGGCTTCGTTCAGATTCTCATGTACACGAGCGACAAGGGCTTCGAGATCGTCGACGAGGTCAAGATCAGCACCGAGAAGGAGCACATCATGCCCGCCACCACTGTCTGGTTGTAGATTAGGTACATCATGCACATAACATTAGCATTGGGCCAGCGATGTTGAAAAGCCAGAGTCGTTGAGCTCTACGCACATGATATTGACACAGAGTGCGGAAAAGTGAACTGCTGGAAATCTCGACGGAACAACCGCGGTACCCCGCGGCGCCCCAGATACCGCTTTATCGCCGATCCCGATCCGATCGGGAGGACCCGATGCCGTGTCGCGCTCGACGCCGAATGCCTCAATCACGCCGCAACCTCCGTCGACCACTACCCATCAGGGATGGCGAGGCCGCCTTCCAGTGCACGGGACGAGTCACGGCGCGAGGATATACACCCCGCCAACAATGACGGTACACCCGAGCTGCCGAATTCCGCGTGATTGCCGGCATTCGGCCCTGGCGACGGATGCTGATGATGGCATGGGAGCTTGAAGGTGGGCGGGGCCGGCGTTCCCGCATCGCCGCAACATTACTCCAAACGCATGCTCGCTGGCGCCGTCCGTCTTCTCCATCGCTCAGCACGCACCATGACTAACCACAACGTCTCCAACATCAACGGCGACATCTCGCCGAAGATCTCGTCGCTTGTCCAGCGCCTGTATTCGGCGAGCGACGTCGGCCCCGCCGGTCACCAGCACTACGTCGACCTGTACGCGCCGGACGCGACGCTGGTCATGGGCCCCGCGACCTTCCACGGCCACGACGGTGAGTCCACCCCGGACGAGCTGGCAGAGCTGATGACAGGCATCCTCGGCTGGCGCCAGAAGGGCTGGGAGGCTGTTGCGGGCCGCACGCACATCTGCCAGGGAGTGTTCGCGGGCAAGAACCCCAATGAGGTCATGATGCACGGAACGGTCGCGTACGACATGAAGGACGGGACGCGCAAGGAGGGCATCGAGTGGGCCGCGCGCCTGCTCACGGACGGCGGTGACGAGCCCAAGATCAAGTTCTACCAGGTGTTCATTGTGAGTGGGGCGAAGTGGGATGTGGGCCGCTGGCGATGGCTAAGCGAGGCGGCAGTAGGCTGATGGACAGACCCAGAAGTAGGCAGAGAAAGAACATGCAGTCATGACCCAACCTTGCCAAGACTCGCGCTTACCATGCATAGCAGATGCTGATCTCTACTTACTACAGACTGATTTCGGCTAACTAATGGGCGTTACAAAGTGATCCAGACTTATGGCAATCGGCGGCTAAACAGTAATACAGTGACGCTTGCTGTGCCACGGTGACGAGATGTCTCAAGCTTCCACGGATCCGGGCGAACCGAGATAGCGTGGTCCGCAGTGAGGGCTGTACACTTTCTCGTCATAGCTGGCATGCTAATCCTGCATCGGTATTCGCTTCCGCAACGGCGAGGTATGGTCGGCCAAATGCACGTCGTAAGTTCCACCTCGCCGACTCCGCTCCGTCCCAATACACCGCGGGAAATCGCCGAGCCGGCATGGCCTCGGTCGATTGCTCTTACGCAAGGCCGTTTGCTTGGCGCGTGCGAGTAGGCACCGAGCACACGCCTTGTCTGATACTAACACATATATGCTGTGCGACGGCATCCGAGACCCTCTCGGCGTTGGACGACAGCCGAGTCACCTCTCACGCCGCACAGAGAGCCGCAACTGGGAATGCGGAATGCGGAACTGAAGCACACGCCGAAATACTGCTCCATCGGTAGCGCGCACTGCCATGACACTATTTTCGGGGCTTGGAAGGAATGTCTTGAGGGTATCTTGGTGCGTCACCTTCAGGACGGTCACCAGACCGAGCCGTACGTGCTGCCACAACGGCATGTGTCGGTCGAGCCTTGTGGCGCTGGCGCTGTCTTTTGCTGCGACCTGACTCATCGGCACCGACCTTGGCGAGCGTGCGCAGGCCCGTAGAGAGCTTGCATGGAGGTGGTAGCATTTATGAAGCTCAACTTTCTCGTTCTCATGGGGCAGCAAGTCCATCGGCTCACCATACACGAAGGTATGCTGGCGATCTTCCTGCTTCTTAACGCGGTCGCGGCCACACCCATCCCCGACGCCGGACACGCCCTTCTCAGGGGCACGTTCGGCGACGCCACGCAGTGTCTGGCTGTCAAGGGCGGTCTTCTGCGCAACGGCTCGCCTGTAGTCATCACCGACTGCAAGGACGTGCCCACCCAATCATGGGTGGTCGCTCATGGCATGTCGGGCGTGGTTCGAGTCGCGGGGACTAGGTTTTGCCTCGACGCTGGTCAAGGTATGATGCCCAGTCTTCTACACATATTGATTAACGCAGACCCGAAGGATGGACACAAAGTTCACATCCGTGAGAGGCACGTCGTCTGGACTAATCCCAGAAACGTGCAACCCGCACCTTCCGCAGCAGAACTGGCTCTGGACAGACGACTCCCGCCTTCAGCTTGTTGATCTTGGTGAGCCCATAACCTTCCAATCTCAATGCTGATATCAGGTTTGTGCCTCGACAACACGGACGGAAAGGATATGAACGGCAACCAGGTGCAAGTGTGGCGCTGCGTCCATGGCAATACGTGGGTTTTACAAAGGACGACCTGATTGTAGAAACCAGATATGGGGGCCGCCAGGCCATGGAGCGTGTGGGGCGTTCCCGTGCCACAAGAACCCCGGTGGCTCTCGCCCGAGCCACAAGCCTCGCCCAAGTCATTTGCCAGGCTCTCGTTCAATCCAACAAATTCACGTCAAAGACTTCTGAGAACATTGCTATAGGACATTCAGCCGAGGACAGTGTGTGGCGATGACCTTCTTCTCCTTCTCCTCTTCCCCCCTTTCCCCCTCCTCTCCCGTCCCCTCTTATCTCCCCTCACCTCTCTCTTCGTCTCTCCGAGTAGGCTAGCTGACAACGCGAATATGAATCGAGCTTCTAAACAATATACGAAGGCTGCCTTGCGTGTTGATGCTCCCGTACATTTTCTTACTATTACTATCGTTTTCCAATCCCTGATAATTGGGAGTCTACATAGAGCAAGACTAGGGGAGCTTGCCTGTGCGTGATTGTTTCAGCTGCTTCCTCAATGATCGTCTGGATGATGGGAGGCCTCCTGACATAAGCAGCACCGAATTCGCTGCAAAGTCCAACAATTACATCAACATGTAATCCTGTCTAGATCCACAACCCATTGCCCTTTTGAACAGCACCCTACTCCAGACCCAGCTCCCGGCGCTTGTCGTGGATAGCCTCCGCGAGGCGCCGGAAGCCTTCGGGCGCCTCCGTCTCGAGGTCGATGACCGAGAACGAGACACGGACGTGCGGCGACGGCCTGCCTGAGGGGTAGAAGGCCTGGCCAGGGACAGCGAGGACGCCCTTGGCGAACGCCTCATTGCGGATGAGCTTGTAGCTGTCCGTGATACCGGCCGGCGACATGTCGATCCACAGGAACATGCCCGCGACAGGCGAGACCCACTTGGCCAAGCCGTCGAGGTGCTTCCTGGCGGCAGCCTCAAAGATGTCGCGGCGCTCCGCGTAGAAGTCGGCGACGCAGTGCGCGTGGCTCAGGAAACCCTCGATGCCCCACGCCTCAAGCAGCTTGAAGGCGACCGCCTGAGAGAGCGCCGACGTGTGCAGGTTCGCGCCCGCCGTGTTGACATCGATGCCGTGCAGGATGTCCTTGGGACCCGTGGCGAAGCCAAGGCGGATACCGGCCGAGAGGAGCTTGGAGAACGAGTCAAAACGCAGCACGTGCCCGCCCTCGGGGAACACCTGCGTCTCGAGCTCAAAGTAGGACGGGATGAGGTTCTGAGTGAGGTAGTCTGCGGTCAGTGCGGGTGACATGTGGTTACGAACAGTAAGGGTCATCTGCCATCAGCATTATTCTTGGGAAATGCGAGCCTCTGCAGAGAGACTCGCATCGCGCTGAGCGCTACTCACCCTCCATCATGAGCAGGTCGTACTTCTTCATGACAGCAAGCACGTCGAGCTTGCGCTGCTTGCTGGCCGAGCAACCCGAGGGGTTGCAACCGACGGGGGTGGAGTAGATAACGCGGGGGCGCTTCTGGTCGGCGGGCCAGTTGGCGAGGATTTCCTCCAGACGTGTGGCCGAGAGGCCCTCGTCATCGACATCAACCTCGACCATCTTCGCCTGAAGGAGGCGGAGGGTGGGGAGAACACCCGAGTAAACGGGTGTCTCCATGAGGATGGGGTCGCCGGGGTTGAGCACGGCGTGGAATGCCTTGGGTCAGCGACTGAAGTGTGAGGATGACATGGAGACAACATGTGCGGGCAACGACGACTGGCAGGGCGCTGGTGATCTGCAGACTGGGCCTGATCTTCGCCTCTGGAACTTTCACGGATCGTCGGATCGTCGGATCGGTGCGCCCCCCGAAACTTTGCAGGCAGCCACCTGTCACCGTCACTTGAAGGGACGCGAGTCACCAAGGCTCGTCACCTTGTCCGCGGGCCGCTAGGTGTCCGCTGCCGACCGTGAATGCACTCACCTTGCTCATGAGATCCTGCGAGCCCGAACCCATTGAGACAGCCCAGTTTCCCGGCGCACGCCCGTGCACGTGCGTCTGAAGGTCACTGAGCCACTTGCGGATCTGAGGCAGACCCGCCGAAGGGCCGTACTGCATCGCGGCGTCGAGAAGCTCGCCGTCAAGCTCAACGTCACGCTTCTCACCGCCGCCGAGAGGCGGCTTCATGTGCAGCGTGATGCTGTCGAAGGGGAATGTGGTGGGGTTAGGGCGGCCGGCGCTGGGGTCAGTTACTAGCAAGTGATAGGCCGGGGATGGCAGAGCGGTCGAGAAGTCTTAGAGACGCTTACAGCTGCATGTTAGCTGCGGTTGTTCCTAGCGGGAGTTGCTCACGAAGGTGATGATGCCGGGACCCTCAAGCGGCATAAGACCGCGGACTGGCGTTAGTGACGGCTCACCTACTCCCTATCTTCCGCTGTCACTCACTGCCATCGATCTCGGTGCTCGCGGCACGGTCTGAGAGAAAATCATTGCGCTGGCCGTTGACCACAGCTCCGTTGGGCTTGGGAGTGCCGTTCATAGCGCCGAGCTTGGGGCTCTGCACGAAGGGGGACGAGACCGCCGAGTCTTCCGAAGGCGACATTGTGTGTTGTTTGAGTAACAAAGTAATCGAGAAATGTGCGGGATGACGCGAGTCAACTTCAAGAGAGGAGTCTCGGATAAGGTCGAATTCTGGACTTGCCCGCAGCCTCGGGTTTGCGCGATACCGAAGGGCACTGTAGCTCGGATCTCACCGCCGCGGGAGAGGTTCCCGGATCACTCGGAGTCCAGCCGCGCTTTGCCGCGCGAGGTATGCATCGAGAGCTGCAGTTCCCGCTTTCGACTCAAGTCTTGCGGACCATGCTTGGGACGATGGAAAGGTAACTGCAAGCCACCATTGACTCAGATCGCGGATCATGGCCACGCTTGTTCCGTTGCGTTGGAACGGGTGGGCATCAGCGCGATCGTGCTGCGCGCCCATCATGCGTGCATGCATGCAGATCAGTCAAGATCAATCCGTAACCATCACCCACGCCACGTGTGAACGCTGTAGGCACGAAGTAGTCATATGCATCTAAGCCTCTAATCTACTATACTTTCTGGTCGTGGCCATTAACATGCCCGTTCTTCCCACTCTCGCCCTCGCCCTTCTTGGCTTCGGCGGCCCGCCGCTCGGCCGTGAGCACCGCCGGCCCAGAAATGAGAGGTTTAGGATCGTCGATGGCGCGCGGGTGGATGTCAAACTCAAATATGTCAAGGGGAAGAGCGACGCTGACCACAAAGTTGGGCTGGTTGGCCGTCGCCACGACCTTGGTCTCGACCGGCGCGGCTGACATGATCACGTACGCCTGTTCATGGCTGTACCCCTGATTCTGGAGGTAGTCCATGGCGGCCCAAGCCGCGTTGCGATATGCGACCAGGCCGTCGCGGTCTGTTTGAGCCCCGTCGGGGGTGGTGCTCAGACCGGTGAACACGAGCTTGTTGGGGAACGAGGGCTCGTGCGGCGAGGTCTGGTACATCGGGGCCTTCAGTCCAAGGCGGCGCACACCGTTCTTGACGACCCGCACACGCAAAGTCACGACGCCCGGCATCTCGATGGCAGTCGTAGGCTCGCCGTCGCTCTGGCAGAAGTGCGTGTCGCCCACACTCAGCTTAGCGCCGGGCACGAAGACAGGGAGCCACACCCGGCTTCCGCGCGTCAGGCTTGCGATATCAATGTTGCCGCCGTGCTCTCGGCCGGGCGCGGTGCGCGCGCCGTCCGCGTAGATACGTTCCCGCAGATCGTCGGGTATTTCCTGCCCCACATATGCGCCCCGCGCGAGCGGCATCGACACACCCACACCCCCCGGGCCATGCACGCGCTTTTGTGCATCGGCGACGGCACCCTCTCGTTCCACCCAGGATGCAAGGAGCTCAGCGCTGGGTGCTGTCCCGATAACGCCTGGGTGTGCACGCCCCTGGAACCGCACAAGCGGTACATGCCGAGAGCTCGCCTCGGCGCCAGCAAACTCCCAGATGGTCTTGGTGACTTCGGGCGGCGCACCGGGCTTGTCCAGTGACCCGAGGCCGGGGTACGTGATGCAGTAGCCCCATGGGTGGAGGGGGTGTTCCGTAACGCTGCAGTTAGCGCCGCGCTGCAGAGGTGCTCACTCAAGGATGTCAATCTCGAGGGCGTCCCCGGGCTCGGCTGTCGGCACCCAGAAGGGTCCCGAAAGATGGTGATCCGAGTCGTGATCCATGTCCAGCACGTCGTCGGCGACGTCGTCGTTGTTGACCTGGAAGCCCGAGTAATCCATGCACTCGACCTTGAAGGGCTTGTCGAGCTCAATCTCCATACACGCCGGAATGTCTGGATGCCATCGGGTGTGAATGTTGGGCTGCTCGTTGGCTGGCCGGAAGGGGTCGACGCGTATGAGGGTCGGGATCTCCCACGGGGACGACGTCTTCGCCAGAGGTGGAGCAGAGCTCATCGGTCTCGTCGAGGGCACAGCAGTGGGCATGTCGACCGCAGTGGTGAGGTGGTGCGGAGGGGAGAAAAGGGGAGGGAGGGGGCCGGCGTTCTCGAGAGCTTCCGCTGGTTAAAGCGACATCATAGGACAGGTAGGAGGACCAGCTCAACGGCGCATCTTGTCTCTGTAGCGCGTTAGTGCTTCGTTGCAGAAGTGGGCTTTGGCGATAGCGTTGACATTTTGGAGCGTTATCATCCGCGATGCGCGCGTATCGCAGCCGCGCGCTTCGAATGGACCAACATGCTCTGTGCCGCCTTCATAACGAGCGTTCTGATGGACCTATGCCTTGCGTCCTCAGCGCCATGCGAACGTTGAGTGCTGCCATTCCTGTTGCTCGATGATGAATGCCGAGAGCGCTCGAGATAATCGCGGACGGTGGGCAGCAGCAACGAGAAGTCGGGTCCATGGATCCGAAACATGCTACCCGCGACCCTCCTTGACATTTCCCAATGCCATTAACAGCTTCACATTATCCAAGTCGGGGCATCTATTAAACCTATGGTACAACAACTGACACGCGGCCTAAAAGAATGCAACTGACAGCCCCTCACGGACCATTTTGTCGTGCCAGTCGACCGCCCGGCCTGTCTCATCCATCTCCTCCCACACCTTCTCAACAAGAGCAATATTATCGAGCCACACACGCTCAGGCCCAGCGCGCACAAGGAAAGTCATGGAGCGCTCACGGTCAGCTTCGTCAACACTGAGCGTAGCGGCCAGGAACGAAGGCAGGGCGATGAAGCCCCAAAGATCGCCATTGGGCAACTGGGTGACGCTGCCGAGCAACGTGAGGATCTCGGTGCGCGCGCGACGGAGGACAGGGTGTAGCGGTCCTACACGATGCACGCTCTGGTAGAGAAGAACGAGGGCAGAGAAACGCCAGAGCTCTCCGGCAATGGTGCGCGATATCAGAGCGCTTGCGTCTACGCCCGGGGACGGGACGGGTGTCCACCCTCGCAGGGCGGCCTCGAGCTCGGCTGCACGCTCCTTGACCCGCTCTGGAGGGAGTGAGGGGCTGTCTGCGCACAGGTTCGCAATCTCTGCGAGAAGGATCACGATGGCGTCCGGCAGACCGAGATAGGTCGACCACGTCTCGTCCTCGCGTGTAAGTGGGAGTGCAGCCGCCTCGTCGGCGGTGTTGAAGCGAAAAATCGTCCGGCGTCCACGTTGGACAATGCACCGGCTCACGTCGCTCAGCCCATACAGTCGCAGACTAAAAGTCTCGCTAGAGCGCAAGTCGCTGAGTGTGATGGGTGGGTGGTCGCACCCGAAGACAGTGCGCACAAGCCGGTCGCCAAGCGCAAGCATGTTATACGAAGGCGCGGCGCCGCCGCGGATAAACTCGACGAGCTGCAGGTCAATCACCCCCCACAGGAGATCGCTGAGCTGCTGCCTGTCTGTCACAACCACTTGACGCAGCTCGGCGACCGCGTCTTCGGTCCATTTTGTGCTCTCAATGTCGCCAGCGAACGGAGTCGACACGTGGTCCACGTAAAAGCGCAGCTTCTTCACGGCCCCCGCGCCAGGTAGCCCATCCGCGTCAGGCCGTGTGCCATCCACTATCCCCGCGCCGCGACAGGCGAGCTCAACTAGCTTGGGCTTGGGCTGCGTGTCGGCCTTAGGATCGGCGTGAGGGTCGCTCGCGAACAGGAAGATGTACGCCGCCGCAACAGCATAACGCACACCACGGATGACACCTGACGTTAGCTAAACGGGAGGACATTGCGCGTACTGTTTGAGTCGTGCAAAGCCAGAATGCGGGCGCGCGCGTAGTCTCGTGTGGGGCCGGGGAGGCCGACGAGCCAAGATTCGACAACGCGGGCGTAAATCTCAGCGAGAGAAACGCCCTGCCGCATCGGCTTGTCCGAGTTTAAGAAAAGGACGCGGCTGGCGGGGTTGAGTGCACCGCTCCAGCTGGCATTGATGTCGTCCCAAAAGTCCTGCATGTCACTGAATTGCGGCTGGGGTGTGTCGATGGCAAGTGATCCGTCCGCGGTGGTGGTAAGCACGGCGGAGGGTAGCCCGCCCGGCGCCCCCGGCCAGTCAAACAGCGGCTGCGCGTTGAACTGGGCCTGCCGTGGATTCATCATCCCGTTCCATAAGGTGGAGAGGTATCCCAAACCGTCGCCCCCTGCCGTCGCCCCCGATCCGCTGAGCGTTGACGCAGCCGCCATGACGGCGCTGACACCGGTCGCCGTGGGGTGGGAGTTCGGTGGGCTAGAGAGAGTGCTGCCAGGCAAACTGGTGCGGAGACCAACAGGACTAACGTTCTGTGTGAGCGGCGCGCTGCCGTTCACGCTAGGCGTTACGCTCCCTACAGAAAGCGGCATCGGGGCTGGGAGGGAGGGGAGGCCGCTGGCGCCTACATCAATCCCCATCGCTTGGGCTTGGCCAGCGCTGGCAACCTCAGCGCTGCGCGTCGATGGGCCAGGCGAGCGCCCAGTGCACTCCCAGGGGCCGGCAAGGCAGCGCTGACAGAAGCCTTCCGGGCTCCATATCTCGTCACACTTTTTGCCGCGGCTGATGTCAGCAGGTGAGTGGATTGACAAAGGAGACGAGGACAAGGCCACGAGGACAAGGCTGAACGAAGGAGGAAGTTAGGGAGGCGGGGAGAGGGTAAGAGTGGGGAGAGAGCTTGGTGACGAGAGAATAGGATGGACCTTGGCTAGGAGGAGGTGATTGCGCATAGATGATCGTGCGCAGTCGCGAGCGAAAGCTAATGCAGCAGCGATGTCAAGATAGCACCGACCAGTGCGACGAAACCAGGTTCAATGGCTCGTCTCGCGGAAAGCCTTGCGCGCGTGAGGCGCAACGCACCCGACCCCCGGATCCACCCGCTCATCCGCTGATATGCTCACGTACCGTTTACACGTGCCGCCTGGAGTCAGCGTGCGCTTCAGACCAGCAACTTACATCCTGTCCGGGACCGCTTAAAAGGTCCGCGCCGCCGACGGATGACGCGCGGAGCGTCACTCATGGTGTTCGATGAAGAAGAGAGCGCATGCACACTGGCTGACCGAGAAAGATGGATGTAGCTGCGGAATTTCAAGACGATACTGCTGCCAGGCTCGGCCTCGGCACCAGCCGACCATTCCCCTGACTCGAACAACAAGACCTACGCGGCCGGACGCCACACGAATCTCCGTTGCGATCCAAGTGTTCGGAGACCGAGTACTCTGCATACATCGCTCCTCACAGGGCATCGACAGACATACGACGCGATCTGATCGGGCGAATGTTGTGTCCCATCCGCGCTTATAGCTTATGCCTGGAGCGACTCAATTTGGAGTCTCGACCCAGTGATGCGGGATGACCTGCCTGACAGTCTCGTAGAAGCCTCATTGACTGGCTGGAAGCATGCAACGCCAGCTTGCCCATGGCTAAACACAAAAGTGCTTCCAGATACGGACACGTTTGCAGTCACGTTGGATTACCATGCCACCCAGAGTAGGCGAATCTTCTGCTGACGCCGTGATCCTATCCCATAGTGTGGAATACAAAACTGACAACACCCCGTTGTGACCAATATTGCTTCTGGAGAGCCAACCATGTGACTTGTGCACGTCCTCCTCGGCAACCAGCCTTATCGCTATCACGACTGCGGCCCGACATTGCCGTTCAGTTTCTCCGATCATTCAAGCAGCTGCACCAAGAATGCTCGATGAATCGCGAAATTCCCCTCCTAATTAAAAACTACCCGTTCAAGCGCTCGACTTCTGGTATCAGCATGAGGCCGAACCGTGTTCCTGGTGCTGCCAAACCGTGCACTTGGTGCTCTGGCGTTCTCCCCCATTTCCCCACACGCACTCTACCGTTCACGCACCCAATAGTAAACAGATGGATTTTGACTACGTGTGTAACTCGACACTAGACTATAACACAAAAAGATGAGAGTAACCACATGAGTTACTGAGGATACAGTGATGGGACGTGCAGAGGGAGGGAAGGAGCGCGGAGCCAGCCGGCTGCCTCCACCGCCACTGGCACGCTGTGTCAAATACACTGCTTACAACGCCGTGCGGCCGTTGGTCTCCACCGGCAAGAACATCATGATGATGCCAGTGGCGATGAAGATGCCACCGGAGGCCATAACAGGGCCATCCGGGTTCTGCTTGAGCGACTGCGCAGTGATGGCGATTACAGGTGCAAAAATACCCGTAATACGGTTGAAAGCCGCGCACAGCGCGTCACCGGTGCCGCGAGACGGCGTGGGGAACAGCTCCGGCGCGTAGCCGTACATTACTCCGTAGAATGCGTTGGCGAAGAACGAAGCCATGCACGTCAGACCATTGACGGTCGCGTTGTTCTTGGAGGCGGTGAGGCAGAACAAAAATACGCCAGTCATGGCTGTGAAAAAAGCCATGGCGAACTTGCGCCCTCCACGTGACCATGTGACCAAGTACGCGGCGGCAAACGACCCGGGAACCCCGCATACGGCCTGGTATGTGTAGGCTGAGTAGATCGAGTCGATGTCCGATCCGCCGCTACCTTTTTCACCGAGCTTGACGCTGAGGTAGGTTCCCAGGAATGAGAAGAAGAGCGGGTACGCGATACCGACTGCACCGTAGCAGAAGACGATAAGCGTAGTCGACCACGCGAGCCGTTTGGTGGCGAAGAGAGTCTTGATGTGGCTGATGTTGAACTCGGCCATGCCAGACTTGATGAGCTCCATGGTGGTGAGCTTGGTCTCGTATTGAGCGTTCATCTTTTCCTCCTCGGTCAAGAACGGCTCAACGGCGCGGTGCAGGTCGTCGATGTGAAGACGAAGCGGGTGCCCGTTACGTTTGGCGACAGCGTTGATGACGTCCACAGCGGCCTGGTCGCGGCCGTGAGAGATGAGGAACTTGGGCGACTCGTAGACGGGCAGGACGAAGAACCGGCCGACCCAAAGAACGAACATGAGAGCGCCAAGCGTGTAGTAGGTGTAGCGCCAACCCATGTTCTCGCTCGCACTGCAGACGTAGTCTGGGTCCGTGACAGCCCGGTCGCAGTTCCACCTGGCGAGGAAGCCCCAGGCGATGAGCGAAGCGACGACTTGACCGATGGCCCACCAGACGGATAGCAACGTCAAAAGCCACTGGTGAGAGCCCGGCAAGAACTCGAGGTACATGGTTCCATCGACGGGCAGGTTGCCGCCTACACCGAACCCAATGCACGCGAGGAGCGCACAGAACGTAACAAAGTTGTTGGCACCGCCGGCAGCAAGACCAAAGACAGCGCCGACGAGAAGAGTGGCATTCCAGGCAGTGCGGCGACTAGGGAATGTCAGGACAATGATCGACAGATAGGAATGTCACTCACCCGATAATGTCAGCCGAGCAGCCCCAGAAAGAAGCGCCAGCGATCAGACCAGCATAGAGGGCCAAGGTGGTGAACTTGATATCGGGCTTCTCGCCGGCGGGGCGGTTCCACTCGTATGAGACCTGAGGCTGCACGATGGCGACACCCTGGAGCCCTGTAGAGTCAGCAGATGAAGAAGGTAACTTGTGGTGTCGGGCCTAGAGCCGGTTGCGATCATGTTCCAGTGCCTGCTCCGCGCCAGTCTTGGCGCCCGTATTAGGCGTTTTCCCCGCAGGCAGATGCGCAGAGGAAATGTGGATGCCCACGCGCATGGCGAGACTGACACTACGTGAACGCGTATCTCAACCGCCTGGACCGCCTCATTGTAGTCACGTCTTATCACCATCACGATCACCTACGGCTTTGGGGTTCGCCGTGATCCAAATCAATGCGACTCACAAATGTTGTCGGCAAACCAGCCAAAGCCGCCGGCGAAGAACAGCTCCCACTGGTACTTGCCCATGCCAATCTCGGCGAGCGCGCGGTTGATCACGTTGCACTTAGCGACAAAGGTCGGCTTCAGGCCCTCCTGCTGGGCAACCAGCGTGACGTCCGAGACGACCGACTCGGTGTCAATGAAGGCGCCGTTCTGTCTCTTGGCGGGCACGTTGCCCTCCACAGTGTCGGGAGGCGAGCTCGGGAGACCGACAGTGGTACCGTCCGGAGACGAAGTCTCTGTCTCGGCTTTCTCGCTCTTCTTTCCGAATCCAAACATATTGTTTCCTATTCCTGTCGTTGATCGGCTTCTGTTGATTTGCTTTCGGCCCGTGTAGCTTTGCGGGATGGCGACGGTGACTGGACCACGGGGCTCACACAGAGGCAAGCGCGGATGGTCGTGTGTGAAGGAGATGCGGATACCAGCGAGGCAAAGCGCTGATTACTTGACGAAGTTGTACGGTGTGATAGTAAATGAGGAAGAATCAAGACGAAGGATGGCCATCGCGCATGATCGCCCTTTTTCATGGGCAAGCACCGTTTATCGCGCACACTGGCCTGGGCCTACGCTGGCAGACATGGTCCGGTCAAGTGGGGTTGCAAGGTATATCGACCCGAGGTCAATGCTACCATACCCGTTGTGCTCGAAGCTTGGCTCGACTGGGCACCCGAGGCAGCAGCGCCAAAGCATTGCGATCCCAACTAGGGCCAAGACAGGCGGGCGACTAGGCAGGCGAGCCAAGGCGGGCAGACGATCGCTATTCAACAGGCAGGCTGGCTAGGCAGGCGACCTGGCAAGCAGGCCACAGTTGCGCGCTATCCGACCTGCCGGCGTACCCGTTTGCAGGCGATCAAGGTGCAACGGGGCAGGGTCAGGCGAGTGGGTTGCGATGGATGTTAGCGACAGCCCGCGTACGTACGACAAAGCGTGGTGCTCTGCGGCCGTACCCTGCAAGTGTTGCCCCTGTGCGGTCATCACCGCGGTGAGCGCTGTTGCCAGGTGGTGCCAGCGGGGTGCGGTGTCGTGTGAGGAGTGAGGAGGGAGGTGCGAGGTGCGGCGCCGGCCCCCGATCCGGCGTTGGCTCTGGCTGACATGGGTGCTGATAGTTCCCCTGGTGAGCTGCCTGTACTGCTTCGGCTCCTACGGCTCCTTGTCGCTTTGATCTCGCACCGCATCACGTTGACTCTGAGACTGTAATCAGTCCCTGAAGCGACCGGTCTCATCTTGGTGCAGCGAAACGTGTGTCACCAGGAGAGAGGTACGGGGTAGCAGGATCGAGGCGGATCACATCAGCATGGTCGGTATCAGAGGCATGCTCCCCTCGCCGGACATTTGGCTCCCTCAATTGCGAACGTTGGTACGTCAGTGGCTTAAGGGTTGTGCCTGAGATAGCACAATCAATCACAGACGTCCCATTCGATAATATTGACAACCACGTAATTTGGTCTGCTGGGCTTTTCGGCTGCTGGGGTAATGCCCGCACCATCACTTGCGCGATTTCGGCTGTCGACGCGAATGTCTCAGCTGCCGCGGCTGTTGGAGGCTGCGTCGATGACGCATGGTATGGGCATGTGATCCCCCTTCCAATTAGCACTTACCCAAATCGCAGAACAATCGGGGGTGACTTGCAGTGCGTGGCGCATCAGATAGCATTCGAGATGTCCATTGCTGTCCCTCTCAGGACCAGATAAACGCGCTGATTATCACTGTGAGCGCGCGTGAAACAGTTTGGTGTGAAGGTGCGGCACGCGGGGTGCAGGGGCCTTGGTAACGCAGTGCTTCATCAAGGTGTGCAAGCGGAAGATCCCAAGAGTGGGATGTGGGCATCATTACAGATGCCGAAGCCATCCGCCTCCCAGTCATCTTTGCTGATAAACTGCTCTAGGAGGGGCCAAGCCCGCAATGGGTGCCCACCACTTGCGCCACGGGCTGCACAACCAATTCAGGTAGGGTGTCGCGCCCCCCATTGCGCTCCGTACGCATCGGAAATGAAACGCCAAGTTGGCTGTGACAGTGGTGCCGTACACATTCGGACCTGGCCGCGTCGTGCCGCCCGTGAGCCTCGTGTCAAATTGGTGAGTCGCACAGCCCATGGGCAGAGTTGCGTACCCCCGGAAGAGCAGCGCGTGACAGCATTGCCTCTCGCTGTCGCTCTCTTGGCTAGGATACTATGTGCAAAGTATCCGTCCGTCTTTCGGGCCCTAACCATGTTAACCATTGTCGGGCACCGGGGCCTAGGTCCGTGACAGTGTACGGACCTGGGACGAGAGTATCGAGACGGGGGCCTGGGCGCCAAGTGATCACAATATTTGAGGACAGGCACGGGTTAATTGGCCAACCCGCTCGTTTTAGCTTCAGATGCCCCGACCCCGAGGACCGTTGCGTAGCAGCTCCATCGTCGTCCGGTTGAGGTACATGCTGTCAGCGGGAGGGGGATCAAGTGCACCACTACAGAACGGGTAATGCTGTCGGAGTGTTGCAGAGCGACGAGCTGCCGTCCAGGGAGGGCATTGAGTTGTGCACCCTGTCTCGGTTCACCCTCGCTGCCCGTGTCAATGGGCGGACTACTTTCAGTGGCCTTGGAAGCCGTCGAGTCCATGGCGGCGTTGACGGCGCGAGGGACGATGGACACGGTGACGGCGGTTGCAGAGTGGAGGTAAGAGCAGCGGGTGTATTTCGAGGGGGTATCCTAAAAGGCTTGGACCCTGAGCTCTCCATCTGATCCCGCTGTCGCCACTGGTGGCCCTGCAGGGCATTTCCCACGTTCGTCTCTCCACGAGGTCTGGTCTCGGCACCAAGCCCATGAGCTCATGTCATCGTCACTCGCCATCGCGCTTGCTTGGTCGCATGCCTGCTCCACTCTCGGATCGTGACTAGTGGAGTTTAGGACGCCGCGGCAGCGAGGCAAGAGATGTGAGATTGATGCCGGTCAGGCAGTTAAGGCAAGGACCAGCATTTGGTGGAGCTGCTCGCGGAGAGCAGCGACAAACCAAGTCGTTAGCCACGACGCAACGCGGAGCCGTTCTACTAGGAATGCCTGCCCTGTTCCTAGATGTTATGCGGCCCACAGTGTCCAGCTGGTCAGCTATCAGCGAGCACATACCGAGGCCATTAGGTCCGCATTGAGTGGAGAGCAGCCAGTGCGAGTGCGATTCGCTTACCTGTCACTCGGTGTGTCACGGAGGCTGACCAGCGCAGGCGTGCCCATCTGCCTCGCGCGGAAGTCGCAGTGACATCGCGGTGGGCGGGGGGTACAGCTTGAGCATTATGATGGGGGTGAAGAGCCAGCTTGATATTACAGTGTGTTGGGGGTGGAGAGCCACATACGGGGAGCTATCTGACTATTATAACGCGCCCAAGCAGCCAACAACAACGCTGGGGTCCTCGGCTGTAGGCTTCACATTGGTCAGCAACGCACTAGCACGCCAACGCGAACGTCAGTACGCCACACCACGGCATGGGGCATTACAGTGCCAAAGTTGATTTGTCTAGAGCTTCTCCATATCATATCTAGGGTCTGTACACGTCACATGATAGTGCTTGGCTTGCGTTTCACATCCTTCGAATCCTACACTCCCTCGGAGCCGCGTTCATGAGCAATGATTGGCGCCCAGGAGCCACCGGAGAGCACCCCCGGTTGATGGCATGAGGGAGCGCTTCGTTCAGTGGCGCACTAGAACGCTGGGGTTAATGCGCGTACTTCGGGCGTCTTCCCTCTTCGGTCGATTCCACTTGTCTCGTTCCTCAGGCTCCAGTGCCATGCTCTGCGAAGATTGGTGTCACTGCCACTTCGCCCTGGCAGCTGTGTCCATTTGCTCCTTCCTGGCGCTGCTCGACGGCTATGCACACTGGGCTGCAAACCCGCAAGACGCCCTACCCGCGACTGCTAGGAATCTTCAGCAGCCCACCGGCTGCAACGCTGAGGCCTCGCGCTTCGCCCTCCGGGCCTGACAAGCCAACTAGGATGGCGCAGCGCGCCAATAGCCATTGCCGGCCCCGGCGGAGCGTATGCGCCGCCTCTCACGCCCGCAGCGTGAACCTTCGCGGCTCCGGTGCACGACTCTCGCCTCACCACAGGCGGTTTTAAAACCAGGCCACATCCCGAAGCCACAACACCAAGCCGACGTGATCAAGTCAGCAACTCACCTTGCTCGAGAAGCCAGCCGCCATCAATGACCACATGTGCTCCAGTCTGGTACGCATTCGTGACAACTCCGAATATGCACTGCGCGTAGTCGCGCGCATTTCCGGCGCGACCGAAGGGCACGCCCCATTTCTCGCGCCACTCCTTGGCGTGTGCGGCGTGGTTGTCGATCGTGTCTGGCGGAAAGACTGACATTCCCTTGGGTCAGCTCGCCGATCGGCGGCACACTCACCGAAGGGAAGTAGCCGGGGCAGATGGTGTTGACGCGGATGTTGAGGCCGCGGCGCGCTAACTCAAACGCTAGCTGGTCCGTCAAGGAGATGGTCGCCGCCCTGAGATGTCAGCTAAACGCCACACTGCGGCTCACTTGCTACAGTTGTACGAGAACTGTCCGCGCTGGCTCGTGCGTGTGATGCCTGACATGCTGGAGATGTTGACGACGTTGCCGACCTCCTGAGCGCCTCCCTTGGTCTTCGCGGAGCATAGAAGTGGGACAAATGCCCACGTCGAGAAATAGTAGCTGGCGGTATTGATGCGGTACGCGTCGAGCCAATGCTCATAAGTTTCATTCTCGAACATCTCCTTGCTGAGAGCCTCGGGCGAGTTATCCGTTGAGTCGGGCTCGCCATGAGGTATCGACACCCCGTGATCTGTGGTCAGTCAGCATTGTCGCCTCGGAGGGGCCACTGATTGGCCAAAAGAGAACAGCTTCTCAACATGTCTTATGACGCTTGTGTGGATTGAACACACGACCGAACGAATTGGGCGGCTTGCGCTTCACTCGCTCGCTCTCCCACTGAGCTAAAGCGTCTTGGACGACGAGCCAAACCCCGGTATCGCCAGGTGCGGCGCCCCTAAGATCAAGCTCTGTAGCTCCATGCATGGGAGGGCGAGTTGGAAGCGCAGCTGTCCCAGACTTACTGTTGACAAGGAGATTGACCCAATTTTCCTCCTTGGCGACGGCGTCACGCATCTCTATCTGTCAGTACGGCTTCCCTCACACGTCGGGGGCAGGCGACTCACTCTGCGCGCCCTCTTTGGTCGCCGCGTCGGCCTGGATGGGGATGATCTTGCCGGACCCGCCCTTTGGTGCTGCAGTCTTCGCAGCAGCCTCAAGCGTTTCAAGACGGCGTCCAGTTATATACACCTTTGCACCATTCTCAGCCAGCGCCGCTGCGGTGACGAGCCCAAGACCTGTACCTCCGCCAGTCACTGTTGTCAGTCAGCAGCTGGACCGCGGAGGGAGCCATGGTAGGCCTCGTGGTTCGTCCTGTGAGGGAAGAGGAGGACGGAGTTCACAGCGCACATCCCATGATGAGTACCCACCTACACAGACCCATCCCTTGACGTCGAAGAGGCTTGACGCGCTGAGCGCCCCAGTCCCAAGGTAGGGCTTGGCCAGAGCAAACTCGGACTCCTTGCGGGCATCTGCGGAAGACATTGCAGGAGGGTTACAGGAGGGGGAAATGGTCAGTGGACGAAGTGTTCGAGTGGATAAGGAATGAGGTGAACAGAGCAAAGCAGAGAGATGAGGTAAGAACCGATGAAGTCGACATGTGGCTATAAGACTGTGACGCGGTATGATTTCCGGCCCGGATGTCAGGTGGAGGTGGGAACTGGATCCACACTCCTTCCCGTCAACTTGACCAAATCGGTCCGGAGACCTGCATCGGAGGCCGGGTACCACTTGGGGTACGCAGACCTGACAGCGCACGACCAGCTGTTTGTGGGCTCTACTGCCAAGATAGGCGGTTTCAGCCCAGAGCTGGCAAGACCGCTCCAAAGACCGCTCCATGGTGTCAACATCGGCATCTTCGGCCATTTTTCAATCAACTACCGGCGAACACCCGATATCGAATATCCATGTCTCAACGGACCTCTCTCATCCGACCAAGGTGCCACTCGACGCCCCCAACTGTGCTCATCGTAAGCGCTTAGAACTATGACTCCGTTCCCAAGTAAATTCCCACCATGGTACTAACCGAGCGGTACAGAGCTTGACTTCGTGGATCGGACGGGATACAGGATCTTCTCAGTTCTATGGCGGTAGATGCTTTTGTAGGATGTAGATGCATTAGTACTGGGTAGTGGCCAAAGATCAACGGGACACCAAGGCATGGGCGTTGGCGCTCCATTCCGTATGAAGCCTGTACGGCGTCGTACTCCGAGCCGAGCTTGTGGCTGTACAATTCTGGAAGCAACTCTGCACTCACGACAGACCTCTCGTCTGCTCTGCTGTCATCTGACAGTTCTCCTCACCGAATAGCTACCAGATTTTGAGTCTTTCGGACTGCATACACTTGGGTGGAGGTGGTCGATTTCTGGGACACATGTGACTTGCAGACAGCATTGTTGGCATATGGTCCGGGCTTTCCCCCATCGCTCAGAAAATTCGTCAGCTCGTATAGTGTAGGTGGTTATCACAGTTCGTTGTGGATAGATCATCCCATCCGAGCTAACCGCTGTTCGACTCAGCGTGCGAGCAAAGTTTTCTTTTGGCATTTCGAGCACCGCGGATGATAGTCAGGGTGGCCGGAAACCCCGTTACGTCGCCTCCCTTGGCCCCGCGCAGGGCCCCGTTACCCCGTCAGCCAATTCCACATCTCCACCGCTGGTGGGCTAAGAGAGCTGCGGGGTCTGGATTCCGAACCGGATCAGACCGCAGAGCTGCCCACCGCTCTAGACCGTGTCAGTACATACACCGTCACATGTCGGCAGGTCTGGCTTGGTAATACCGTGGTAGCCGAATGGCTGCACCTATCTCTGAATAATCTCCGCCGTGCTCCCATTCTGCCAGGATAAACTTGTGGCTCTTGGCTCTTCGAAGTTGACGCTGCACACTCTCTCTGACATTATGGACACCAACGCCGCCTCCCCGCCATCGCGCGCGCACTCTCCAGTGATGGTGGCGCTGTCGCGGGTCAGTAGCCTGGCGGCCAACCCACCACTCGACATCCATCGGCACGACCACCCTCCACGGCCTCCATCGATGCCTGGGCGCGGCGAGAGCAAGCGAATGCTCACCGAACTCGAATATACGACACATCACCCAGACACGCCGAGCGCGACGAGCACGATGGCGCCCGATGGATGTACGGAGGTTAAGGAGATGGACGGGGACATCGTCCACATTCCCGACGGTGGGCTTCGCGCTTGGCTTGTCGTCCTCGGCGCCTGCCACATTCTCTTCTCAACATTCGGATTTGTGGTGAGTCGCTTGGGACCTGGAGTTCGGGAACTAGCGCCGGCAGTCGCCTTGGGAGATTGGAAGATGCACGGCCCCGTGTGTGGGCCTCTTCTCGACAAGCTCTGTCGGCTGTTTGTGCTGTCCGTGTGGCGCGTGTGGTGCGTGTGTGTCCGTGCACCATCATGCGCGATCTTCGCAGCCCGTCACCGTCAAGAAACTCGCAGCATGTGAACGTATTCAGAAGTGTCAGGATGACACCGGCCGCAGTCGACACATCAACAGCCATGCCGACCGATGCCGGGCGCTCCACTGCGCCGTGTCGTATATCGGCTGTCTCCGAAAACAAGTCCCCGCCTTCATGCATACTCCTGAGTGTGGCTGATGGCAGAATGCATGGGGTGTATTCCAAGATTACTATCAAGCCAGCCTGTTCCCAGAAAGAACAACTAGTGACATGTGAGTGGCGCTTGCGTGCGGCACTTGGCTGTGCGTTGGCTGACATGCAGTGGATGGATTGGATCGCTCCAGTACATGCTCATCTACCTCCCAGCGCTGCCGATGGGGCGGCTTGTCGACCGTGGGCTGTTCCTGTACCCCTTCTGGACCGCGGCAATTCTCTACCCCCTGTCCATCATTCTAACTGCTGAGGTGAGCCCGTGTGCGAAGCAATACTGACGGCAGGTTAAGGAGTACTGGCAGGCAACCTTGTGCCACGGCGTTCTGTATGGGTTCACAGCGGGTATCCTCTTCTGCCCTGCGATCGCCGTCACGTCGCAGTGGTTCCACCACAAGCGCGCGCTCGCGCTCGGTGTGGTGGCCTGCGCCTCATCCTTGGGCGGCACCATCTTCCCGATCATCACCACCAACTGCCTCAAACATCTTGGCTTTCCATGGACGATGCGCATCTGCGGGTTCATCTGCCTGTACTGTACGCTATTCGCATCCGTGACGCTCCGCAACTGTCTGCCTCCCAAGAAGGCCGCCGGCGGCATGTTCAACCTCAAGGCCTTCAAGAACCCAGCATACTCGTTCTTTGCTCTTGGCTCTTTCCTCATCATGGGCGGCCTGTACACGCCCCTCTCGTTCATGGACGTGCTCGGCAAAGAGATGGGGCTGGGAAGCTACGCGTCGTACCTCGTTTCGATTGCAAACGCGTTCTCGACGCTGGGCCGCATTGGTCCGGCCATTTTCGCCGACAGGTTTGGGAGTATGAACCTCCTCATCCCGGGCTTGCTGGGTAGCGTGGCCACGACGTTCGCGTGGCCCTTCGCGCACAATAAAGGTGGGATTACGGCGATCGCGGCCACGAACGGTATTTTCCAGGGCAGTTTCGTGTCTCTGCTCGCGCCGGCGTGCGCTCACCTCGGCAACGTAGAGGACATCGGCCGCCGCTTCGGCATGGTCAACTCGCTCATGTCGTTCGGCGCGTTCCTCGCGGCCCCCGCGTCCGGCGCACTGCTCTCCAAGACTGACTTCCACGCGGTGTCCTACTACGCCGGAGCACTCATCATTCTCGGTATGTCGTGTTTTATTGCGGCGCGCCAGTACCACCTTCGCAAACTGTGGGGTAAGATGTGAGAGGCAGAGGCGTGAAGGGAGGGGTGGAGAATGCAATCAGAGACGGATAGATAAAGAGAGGCACATACGAGCTCCTTACCGCCTTGAGGATCTCCGCGGGCTGTTAGTTCACATCGTTTAACTTGGTCGCCACAATCTCGCAAAAGCGAGCAAAGCATTGTAATAAAAGCTGTATGCATGGGTACTCAGGATGCCTGAGCACCAGAGACACTGCGCAATGACGGGGCAAGGCGTGGTTCAGATGCATGTGTTCTCACAGCTGTTTTACAATCCCCAAGTGGTCATCGCGGTTTACCGCTTGTCCGCGCCACCTTATTCACAGTGTCTGCAAAACCCAAGGAAGCATGCAAGTGCTTTTCACCCAACCCGAGGAGAAGCTTATGGAGTTCTTGTTGCAGCCTTGGACGTTGAGTTCCCCACTCAGACCGGAGTCATGCGCTCCCGCTTGAGTGCTCTCAGGAGTCAGTCAGTCCGTGCAGGCATTAGAGAGGCGCCCCAGAGGTGGAGTGTGCTGTCAGTCGGCAGTCAGCGCCTCCTCACTAGTATATCGGTTAGTATATTCGCCTCTCAAAAGAGAGAGCCCAGAAACAAGTCTTGGCATCACCGCGAAAGAGCAGGGTTCAACTCCCTGGTGGGGAAGAGAAGCGCATGTCCTCTCAGCTTTTGAACCAGGAAGGCGCGAGGACGCATTCCCGAGGGACGTGCGCTTTTTGCGGGTGGTGGAAACTCAAAGGATGGAGGATGAAGAGGCTGCCCGCCATGTGTGGCTTTGGGCATGGTGATGTCATAGGCAGAGCCCAGTGGCTCAGCTTGGACTACAGGCAGGTTAGCGCGTACGTCGCAGCGAGTAGGGCGAACTGGTCGAGAGGAGAGCGAGGAGTGATGGACGTGCGTCATGATGCGGACTTCTACTGCAGGAGATATTCGAGGAGACGGACGATGGCGCTGCACGCCCTATGTCACCGGACCGAGACAGATACGCCAGACGGAACTAGCACCGGCGTTCCGAGGATATCAACAACAACATGAGATGAGGTGGATGCAAGACGCCGTTGTGCGGAGAGTCGGATGGTTGCCCCGAAAGACTGTGCCTGACCCCAGATGGCCTCAGCCAATCGCCGCCACTAACCCCGCCTCCTCCCACGCGACGATCCTTCAGTCGCCGGCGACTCCGCAAATCCTACTCTCACCTCATCCCCTCCATCCGTTCTCTCCCAAGTCACCGTCCCATTCTTGCTGTCGCCGTCGCAATCAACTCACCGTGCGCCGGTCAGTTTCTCACGCCCGTGTCCGGCACGACCACAACCGCGTTCGGGATCACGAACCGTGCGGAAGGATCCCGGCTTACCGTGTCCAGACAATCAGACTGGACCATGCAGCACCCGAGCGAGTGTGGGGGTGGAGGAGTGGGGGCGAGTGGGAGTGCCGGCACAAGTCCGGCCGGTCCCCGGCGGCGGGCGCCCAAGACAGCTACGGGAGAGAACAAGGTGTACGTGCTGGGAGCGGGCGCACTGACAGAGCAGTAGCTGCAGTGGTTGCCGAACTGTCAAGGTAGGTTGCAGCAACAATACCTCTGACATCAGTGCAAGTGTGTCGAGTCTGAGGATCCCACGTCGTCACGGTGTCAGCGCTGCACACGACTCAACATCGAGTGTGTGTACCAGGCGCACCAGCGCGGTCGACGGCGGCGGAACGAGACCGACGTGCGAGGAGTGAAGCGCCAGCGTAGCGCGGCACCGAGCTCGGCGGGCGCGTCGCCTGCCGTCGCGTTCGATCTGAACGCCATACGCCCCATGTCGGATGTGAGGGGGCGCTCACGCTCCCGCTCACGGCGGTACTCGCCCAGCGCTTCACTCGGGAGCTCAGCCGAGGATGAGGCACCCGAGGACAAGCCGCAGCTTAACAAGCCTGCACACTCGGTGTACCACGAGCTAGCGAACCGGTCGATCTTCAGCATCGCGGGCGTCATGGACCGAGAGCAGGGCGTCGACCACAGTCCCACGAACACGACAGAGCGCAAAGACGACCCCATCGGGCTCGGCATCCTGTCGATGGACGAGTGCGACTCGCTCTTCCAACACTACTTTGACCAGCTGCAGACTTGTGTCTGCCTGCTGGATCCGGCCGTACACACCGCGGGGTATACACGGCATGCCAGCCTTGAGCTGTTCACCGCCGTGCTCACGGTCGCGTCCAAGTTCTTCCGTCCCGAGCTGTACGAGACGGTGCTTGCGCTGTCAAATCGCCTTGTGTCCACCGCCATCGCCGAGTGCGTAGCAGCTATTGAGCTTGTTCAGGCCATCTGCATCCTGCACTACTGGAAGAAACCGACGGACGGGCGTGGCTGGCTGCGTCTTGGCCACGCCATCCGTCTCGGATACCAGCTCGATCTGCATCTGCCTCCACGTCGGCCGCTGCCGGCCGACGAGCGTGAAGCGCGTCTGGCGATCGACCGCGAGCGAACTTGGATCTCACTGTTCTGCTTCGACTCGACGGCGACTCAGCTCTCCGACCGCCCCAGCATGATGCACAAGGCGCCCGACGTCGCCGAGTGGATCCGCACCATACCCTATCCCCTGCCCTCCGACGGCCAGCTCGACTTTGCTGTCAAAACGTCTCTCCTCCAGTCCGAAGTACGGCAGCTGCAAAGCTGTAGGAGCAGCTACGAGGTGCTGCGCTCTGGGCTGAGGAGGGTGCTCGAGGATCTGCACCGCTCGCACGACTACCTCCGTTCTGACAAGTATCCTGTGACGTTGACATCCACGAGCGTGAGCATCAATAACTTTTCAACGCTTGCGGTGCAGCTGCTCGTTGAGTGCACGTCGCTGGCGTTTGCCCCTCGCAAGCACCGCATTGGCTTGTTGCACTCGTGCGTTGGCACGAGCTTAAAGCTGCTGGACATCGTCGTGGATGGCTTCGGGCGCAAGGGCATTATGCCAATGATCGAAGACGCGCACTCGGTTGCTGTTGCGTCCACGGTGGTGCGCTTAATCCGCTTCATGGCGTACCTCGATCAGTCGGCCAAAGCGAGCGTGTTGCGCAAGCTCACAAAGGGTGCGTTCAGTACAGGCACGGCTAACTCCAGTGGTGATCGTATGCAGAGAAGCAGCGCGCGGCGACGCCTCAAGCCACCCGGCGTACCTGGCGCGCTTCATTCACGCGCTGCTGGACAAAGCGCACCAGAGCCGCGCAAACTCGCGGGCGCCCTCGCCGCGCAACCCCCACCTCATGAGCTTGGCAAGCACGACGCCGACGCACACAGCGCCGGCCGCGTCTCCGGTCGTGAACACGGCAGTCGCGCCGCCCAAGACGACGCCCGACGCGTGGTGGGACGAGGTCGGCCAGTTTGCGTACCAGGAGCCGCTGCAGCCCGAGCAGCTCGACTTCTGGGACGGCTTCCCACTGCTCGCAGGCGCGATGAACTCGCTCGGCGGGCAGGGCCCCGCCCCGCCCGGCGCGCACGCGAACGGCGTGCGCATCCCGCCAGACCCGCTGGACCCCGCGGCGTTCGGCCTGGCATGGGACTCGGAATGGGACGTGGGCTTCCTCGGGCTGCAGCATGCGCCGCCTATGTGAATGTAGATGTTGTATTCATGCACTGTATAACTGCTAGTATGCTTTGGCCGCGTGGCGTGTGTTTGTGGGCGAGGGCCGTGGGCCATGGGAAGTGGCAGGTGGGCAGCGCGGATCAGTGCGAGAGCGTGCTTATAAAGGACGTGGCTGGCGACACAACCTTCCTCATTGCTTTCCACTCAAGCGCTTGATCAAGGCTCACATCAACACTCCAAGGTCACGGTCAAGATGCTCGCCCGCCCGGTCCTCCGTGCCACCGCCGCCGCTCGCGTCGGCCTCCGCCCTGCAACCCCTTTCCAGCTCCGCGCCTCGTCGACGGCCACGAGCGCTCCCAAGGTTGGCAAGGTGAGTCCAGCTTCTCCTTCCCTTATTCCCGCTGCGCTAACGCCAGATCAAGCAGGCCATCGACAACACTCCCGTGGACCTGTGAGTGACCTCGGCGATCGGCAATGGCGATGGGTGCCGGCGGCCCCGCACCACTCCACCTACTTCTTTCATCTCGGACGTCCGAGCGCCGCTTGGCGTCACCTCTCCATTTCGCCACCTGACCCCAGCTACCCCCTCTTCTTCTTTGTCTCAGCCGCCGTCGCGGGCAGCTTCTTCAGTGCGTACTGCCCCGACAACGCTCACACAGTGATGGGATACACCCTCGCCACGGACCCACACCTCCGCCTTAAGCCGACCAGCATGCAGCAGCGCGAGTAGTTTGAGAGCTCAACAGAAGAAGCAGTGATGAATGACGTGGAGACATTTTACTCTGCTTCTGGCCGCCGGGCGGGGCACTGACCTTGGTGCCCGTTGTAGAGACTGGCTCAGGCGTCAAGACATCAGCGGTCTATGACCTGAAGAAATGAGAGATCAGTCAGGTTGATACAAAGTGGCGAAGAACCCACAGATCGTAACAAGAAGCTCGACGCACCCGTGCGGACAGATGGACTTCCCCCCCTCTCTTCCGCACATGGACGACCTCCACCGGCGCCTCCACCGCAGTTTCCGGTCAAACCCCGCAGCGCCCTTCAGACCAATTTTTGCTTCCGGCTCTTCCCCCCCCCCGGTTTCCCCGCTACTCGACTTGGAGAGATGTCTTCGAACACCTCCTTGGCAGGCAGCAAACAAAAGACAGCCCTGCCGACGCGCAGGGACAAAATGATTCCCCGCCAGGGAGTTGAACCCTGCTCTTTCGCGATCACGTCGTGCTACAGCAGCCCGAGCGGCTCTCTACTGAGAGGCGAATATACTAACCGATATACTAGCGAGGAAGTCTTGCTTTCCAGACCTCTGCTAAGACCGTCAAATATGGTATTCTGTTGGTTTCGGATGTCGAGGGATACTGCTGCAGCTATCACCGAGCCGGGTATGAGCTTTTGGGGGGAAGATCAGATAGGGCAGTGCTATCAGTGATAGATAACAACGCTGGTTCCGAAAGCAGTCTGTCCTTTCCATCATTTTCGCTGTGCTCTACTGCAGCTCCGACGTGTCGGTATTGGACGTCCTGTACGTGCGGCAGACGGCAAACAACGACACTCGCGTATCGGGCCCGAAAGCTGGCTCCGCGACATTCGCTTTCTTCGTTGCGTTCCGGCGGGGTGATGGTGCGACAAGGCCCCGCCGTGGTCCGACGCCGCAGGCTTGGCATGCTCTTTGTGCTCGACTCCGGTCCCCAGACGCCGGCGCGGTGTCACGGGCCTCCTCATGTCGCCGGCGACTGCTGCAAGCGCTCACCAAAGTGTGCCTCTCTCCCAGACAACAACTTCCGGCTATGCCGAGCGTCGCCGAGCATACCATCAGTGTGGACGGCGACAAAGACGCCGCCCAACGACGTCAACAATCCCAATGATTTCATGAGAAGTGGACCTGCCTTTCAAGTGGAGGCCGTTGCAATCCGCACCAAATGTTCCAAGTCGCCGTTTTCCACGTGATGCACGTGAGATGAGGTCACCGTCCCTGTTGCCAAGATCAATTGGAAGTCACCGTCCGACCTCCAAGCACATGCTCCACCCGCACAATTTGCGCCGCATGCTCCGAGGCACTCTGACTAGCTCGATGCCCGGCGTACGGTGCAGGCGTTTGGCGCCCCGTTTCTCCGCCCGCGCTGGTGCCCCGGGCTCCGCATGTCGCGTAAGACATATATGAGAAGCTGCGCGACCCCGCACTGAAAATTATCTACCTCACCATGTCTGACGACCACCACGAAAAGACGCTGGACACACACGACGACCTCGGGCGCCGGCTGAGCCGCGACGTCGCCGAGCTCGACGACAAGCGCGCGCGCCTCGCCGGCCCCTCGGGCGTCGCAGGTCTCTTCAAGAACCCGCGCCTCCTCCTCATTGCCATGGCGACCGCGCAGGGCGGCCTCTGTTATGGCTACCAGCAGGGCGCGTACGGCCAGTGCATGGTCATGCCGAGTTTCAAGGTATGTGCAAGCTAAACTTCGCGCGAGCCGCGGAAGCGAAGTTGCCGTGGAGCAGGAGGCTGACGGCAGAACGTGGCCGCGTTCAGCCGCATCATCGACGACGCGGCGTACAAGGGCTGGACTGTTGCCGTGCTCGCGCTCGGCGGCTGGGTCGGCTCGCTTATCAACGGATACTGCTGCGACCGCTTCTCGCGGCGCTGGTCGATTCTCGGCGGCGCGATTGTTTCCCTCATCGGGGCGATCATCACCACGGCGGCGATGAACGCCGAGATGATCTTCGCGGGCCGCTTCTTCATCGGCCTCGCCGTCGGGTCCATGACCACCGCCGTGCCCATGTACAACTCGGAGATCTCGCCCGCCGAGGTGCGCGGCACCATGGTGGGCACCTTCCAGCTCTCCGTCACGTTCGGCATTATGCTGTCGTACTGGATCGGCTTCGGGACGAACCACATCAGCGAGACCAACTCGGTCGCATGGCGCGTCCCGCTGGCCGTGCAGGCCGTGCCCTCGATCCTTCTCGCCATTTCCACGTTCTTCATCCCTTACTCGCCGCGCTGGCTGCTCAAGCAGGGGCGCGACGAGGAGGCGCTGCAGGTCCTCTCCCGCGTGCGTGGCCGCCCTGTCGACGATGAGGTCATCCGCCTCGAGTTCCTCGAGATCAAGGCCGACGCCGTGTTCGAGCAGGAGATGGCTGCGGAGAAGTATCCCGACTGCATCGGCCGCCCCTTCGCCCTCCAGGTTGCCCAGGTTGCGGCCCTCTTCAAGTCGTGGCCCATGTTCCGCCGCACTGCCATTACCTGTCTCATGATGTGGTGGCAGCAGATGAGCGGTATCGATGCCATCGTCTTCTACGCGCCTACGATCTTCCTCTCCCTCGGGTTGGGCGGCACCTCGGTCTCGCTCCTTGCCTCCGGCGTCGTCGGCATCTCCATGTTCATCGCCACTTTCCCCGCCATTCTCTACATCGACAAGATCGGCCGCCGCCCCCTCCTGATCTGGGGCGGCATTGGCATGTCGGTCTGCCTGCTGGTGGTCGGTATTCTGACGGGCACCCAGTCGGCCAAGTGGGCCGTCAACGAGGGCAAGGCCGCCGCGTGGACCAGCGCCGCTTTCGTGTGGTTCTACATTTTCAACTTCGGCGCATCGTGGGGGCCATGCTCATGGGTCGTCATCTCAGAGATCATGCCCATGTCGGCCCGCGCGGCGGGCACCGCCCTCGGCGCGTCCACCAACTGGATGACCAACTTCTGCGTCTCCCTCTTCGTGCCACCCATGCTGGAGGGCATCGGCTTCGGCACCTATATCTTCTTCTTGGTCTTCATGCTCATGGGCGTGGCATACGCGATCTGGATCCTTCCCGAGACGCGCAACGTGTCTCTCGAGGCCATGGACCGTGTGTTCAAGTCGAGCGACGCGACGCACGACGCCGAGCGCATGCGGACTATTGTCGCCCGTCTCCAGAACGAGCACGGTATTAACAGGCCCGGCAAGGTGGAGTCGGTTACTGAGTCGGTATGAGGAAGTGTTGTGGTAGCGTAACAAGCGATGTATAATACTGTTCTTTACGACGAGGGACTATGGCAGGGAGAGTAAAGGGTGGAGCGGTGGGGAGGCAGCCATAACTGATTGATGGACGCCTTCGATATCGAGATTGGCAAGATGGCATATAGGAGATGATTGAGTATTGGAGTTGATGATACACTAACGGAGTTACTTGTAGAGTCCGATGCAGAGCCATGGAGGAAAGGGTGCCCAACCCTTGAAGGCGTTGGCGATATCCTCAGCTTCTGCAACTCGACCGAACTACATCTTTATCTTAAGAGTCTGTACAACAGGATTGTGAACAAACGTCGTCTATTTCCACGACTGTAGAACATGGCGTCCACCGCGGAGCCTGAGGATGGGACAGAGCGAGACGAGCATTAGGGTGTCTGCTCGTGCCGGCGGTTGGAAAGAGATACGACGGCGGCTCACACGAGCCAGTCTCCCACCCTCGCTAGGACGAGCACGGCATGACCTAGTATCCTGGGTATCTTAAGTCAGCGCCGCTCAGAAGTGGCACCCACTTGAGACTGCTATGTCCATTCAGCTGGAAGCGGACTCGCTTGCGTATTGACGGCGGTGGCGGGGGTGTGGAAGGCGAGGAAATACTCGTGCGCGACATGCGGCGAGCCAGGTTGGCGCGGTCATATGCGTGGTGGTGGATTTCGAGGGAGTTTCGGGGTGTGTGGCTGATCACGACGTCATATGCGTCGTTGGGGTGAAGGCTGTCGCGATGCTTGCGGGTGGAGGGTAGCTTGGGTGGCGGTATTGGGATGGGGGCCGAACTGGGGTTGGCAGGGATTGTGGGGCGAGAGGATGAAGTGGAGCGCTGGGTGGACAGTGGAGCGTCTCGGTGACGGCGGGTCAGAGGGTCTGCCGACAGGCGCCGCGAGTCCGTGCGCTGGTTGTCACCATTCACGACAGCGCCTGTTGACGACAACGAGATCGCGCTGGTGGGTGTCTCGTCCCCGAAACGGTACTCCGCAGGGGGTGGTCGCGGCCAGCGGACAAAGGCAGCGATTGCGCTGCCATGCACGGCTACGACACTGTCGGGGCGGAGGGCCTTCTTCTTGGGTCTTCGGTTGCACTTGGGGCAGACGCAGCCTTCACCATTGTGCTGCGCGAGGGCGCTGACGGTGAGGGGGGTAGGCACGGGCATCGAGGGGCTCAGCCCAGAGGAGAGTGATGATGCCGGGCCAAATCTGATAGGTTGAGGCCAGGCGGCAACGACGACTAACAACACGCTGAGCGGTTCGTAGGTAGTGGCTAGGATGGGCGCGGGAGTCGGGTCAAGTGGTGGCGAGTGGTGTAAATCGACGACGGCGCAAGATGTACGATGGGTGGCTCGCAATCTTGGTGGCCACAACTGTGTTGATCTAATAAATTGGCGGCTGAAACCCAAAACGAAGAGAGCTATATGAGTCTCATAGTCGTCCGTTCTCGAGACTGTGTCGGACGTGGCATATGCTGTGGTCCATGACGTGCGAGTTGCTGACAATGGGCCACCAAGGCTGATGGGTAAGGCTAACAAGCCTGCAACCCCCTCGATGCGGTCGTTACGAGACGTACGAGGTATGCGAGGGCTGATCATAGCGCCGGTGATCTACAGCTCCTGGAACGCTGACTCGTTGCGCCCTGGACCACAGGCGAAGATGATGCATCTTTCTGCACACGGGCCGGAGGGTGAGGCTCACGGCTTGGGGCCTGCAAGTCATGGTGGCAAACGTCCGTAGAAATTAGCTGCTGGAGGTGGGCAGAACGTGCAGACGAGACAGGCCCGCGCCCATGGCCCGCGAGGCAGGGACGCGGTGGCGGCTCGGGGCGCGGAGGAGGTGATGGTTGATGGCTGTGTGGAGTGTAACAAGGGTGGCAGACAAGCGGCGAATGCTCAGATGTCAGCACACCCAGCACACACAGCCCGTCCTCCTGCATTCCGTGTGTCTGTGCAGCTCAATCCCCGAAACGTCAGAGGGATCTAGATGACCGTTGGCCGTTGAAGCTGGAGAGTGATCTCCCGCCGGCGCTAGACTCCCCTTGCAGATGAGGTCCGTGCGCAATTGTCGAGATTCTGACCCGTTCAGCAGATGAATGCGCACCGCTCCGTGACGTCCCTGTACAAAGTAGGTGGGAAGTGATGCTGTCATCCCTGTACTTACAGCACGACGTGAACAGAGGAGGGCGGCAAATTCCCAGACAGCAGAGCGGCGAGATATCTAGACGCCGACGCCACATCGACTCCAAAAACGTGCAATGATCTCCATATACCTGCAAAAGCACACAGACAGTACTGGCGCATTGATGAGTCAGCTTCCCTGTGAAGATGCATACCCCAACGTCAGAGGTGCCGTGGACCGCTTGGGCTGTCATATGTCGGCCGTCTCCGCCGCTGACTTATGTAGGGCGCATGCCAGCAAGATGTGCAGTTCCTGATTATCGAGCAAGTGCATGACCAGCATAAGTATGCTCGCAATCGCCGTTAAGCAACCGTGGCAAGATTCTCTTACGTGAGAGCAGGTTGCCTGAGCCAGTGGGCATGGCAGTTGTCGCTGCACAGATGGAACGTGTCCTATTGGCGTGGGAGGGTTTCAGGCCAAAGACATTTCTACAATCTGGATTTCCGAGGCTCGAGCGTCGACTGGTCGCTCTCTCCAGCCAAAGCGCTTTGAAACAGAAATCAGCCAAAACCTCATATCATTCAATGCTGTTAAGCTGACCCCAGGAAGATATCGCGATGCATACACCAGGAGAGTTTGTGACTGAATGTCAACAGCTTAAAAGGGATGGCGGTACCTTACCCTCATGTGGTTGCGACGCGCTAGGAGTTCCGGCAGCAAGGCTGCACTCATTACCACACTGTAAAATTTCTACTGGAACTCAGTGGGTGACAAGGTCTTGAGCAAGGAGCTCAGGCCTAGACCAAAGTGCGAGCTGAAATCTGGAAGGTGACTCGCCGTTCCCTTTTAACATTCTGCCTTGAGCACGGCCCCACAACGAGCTCGACCAGGTCTTTCATAGGGCCCACATGTCTCAGGCGGATGTTTTCACTTTCCTCAAAGTTGTTGCGGCCTTCACAAGCTATCCGCCCCGCTGGATACAGTGTAAATACAATGTCTGGGGAGGAAGGAAGGGCTAGCCAAAGGGACGGCCACTTCTTGCCTAAAACGATCCATGCATATAGTACAACACGTATCTACAACCAATCCAGGCTTCACTTGTGTGGGACACCGTCGAGGATTCCGGGAATGACCCTTCGGCCTCTCCATATGCTAATCGTCCCTTTCGCAAGTCGATCGTTGTTGACTTCGCCTCTGTCCGTCACTGCCCCCACTTCCACCTCGCCGACGGACGGGCGAGTCTTCATGCTAAGTCTTCGGCCATCCCCAAAAGTTGTTGATGTCGAATGCAGCGAGCCGCTTCTCAGAAACCGCTTTGGCCTCGGTCAGATGCCCCAGCTCACGATAGTAACGGGCGAGGTCCGCCCAGTAGCGTGCCCACTCGTCGTCCTTGCCCTCGTGGATCTTTGCGAGGATGGACTCGTAGTTTGCCTTGGCGTCGGCGAGCTCCTTGGCAGCCGCATCTCTCTTGGCTTTGGCAACCAGGGCGTCGGCGGCTATCTTGGAGGCGTCCGGCTTGATCCACGAGCAGAAGCTCGGCATGCCGGTGCAAGGAATGGTTGGGGTGGTATAGGTGTAGGTGTGGGTATACGTCGTAGCGGGAACCTCGACCGTCACTGGAATCTGCACAGGCTTCGGAGTCGGGAGGGGCCGGCTCGGGGCCGGGACAGGGGCCGCGTCGATCATCCATTGCTGCCGGTTACCGGCCAACTCGTAGCGCATGTTCACATAGCCACCGAAGCCACCCTCGTGCGACTGTACGACGCGGCCACCGATTGTGCGATCCTCGTGAGCACAGTAGTGGTGTCCTCCGCCTCCGTAGTATGCCCAGTCGGTATGACGGCCGTTGCTGCTGATCCACATGGGGCAACACGCCGCCAGGTGGCAATACGGGACACCAGGACACATGTCCTGTGCGGTTGGAAAGTACGACTGTGTGCGTTTAGAAGGGGGAAGGGCAGTTGAGGGGCAGGTGGGACTCGCTCTACGCTGTAGTAAGAGAATGTCCGCCAAACGCAGGTTACGTGCTTACGAGGTCGTCACTGGGTGGTCCTGCAGGTCGGTGGCAAGACTTGACACCGAGGAATGCCTTGTTACAGTACAAGACCGAAGTCGATAGAAGGATCTGAACGCGAATGGGTTGGTCCGTGATAGGCGCTGGGGGGTCGAAGTGTGAAAGGCTGCGGGAAGTGCAAAGTGCAAAAATGAAAAAGAGATCGGTTGTTCTTTAGAAGGAGTGACTCGATCACTCGCCCCTTCGGCCCAGACCTTGCGACTCCGCCGGCCGTGTGAGCGTGTGAGTCATCACCTACACTGTATCGCCTCTCGCTTCCCACCTTCAAACGTCACCGCCTACACCCTCCACTTCTTGCCTTTGAGGGAAACTGAGCCGGGCGAGTGACGCGGTGGCGTGGAAGGCCAGCGCACGGACACACGTTGATGATTTTGAGCGCGCATCTGAGCCACAGGCCGCAATTGTACAGGGCAGTAAGGGGGAACAATGGCGCAGGAGGGACAATCCTCATGGTGATCAAGGCTGTACCGGTCCAAGGCGCAGAGCCGTTGTCCAGAAGCGAGGGTCCCAGCTTTGCAGGATGCAGCGCGATGAAGGGAACATATGGAGAGCGAGGCAGGTGCGACCGTAGCGCTCTGACGCTCTGAGGACGCCACGCCACTCACCGGATGAGCAGCTGACAGCAGCACACCCGCACCCGAGAAGAGGTTCAAAGGGTTCACCCGCACAGGCCCATTTCAGATGTCAATGGGGTTTACAGCCCACCTGTGAGGTCAGTAGTGTTCCATGACTGGGCTCCATGTTCGCATACGTGCGGTAGTAAAGGCTGTCAAGGTGCCACATATCAGCCTTGGCGGTCATGTCCAGACATATACATTACGGCACAAGCTGTTCGTTGGTCTTCGCCCGTGATCTTAAGCACTGCCTAAGGCGTTGGAGCCAGGACGGCCGCCGTCAGCAAAGCGCACTTTGCGCGGGCGAAACGCTGCGGCCACGGTGTCAAGAAGGCGCCCAGGCGAGTGATCGCGCCGACGAGGCCTCTCCGGGGCGGGCTGGGGAGCGTACACTTTGGGGGCGGGTGGGACGGGCGGTGGCACCTCTGGCGGCGGCGGAGTAATACAGTCGTGTTTGGGCGGCACAGGCGGGCGTTGCGTCTCGACTACGGGCACTTTGTGTGCCTCGTATGAAGGAGCAAGTGGCGCTGGCGTGGGTGCCATGCGCCGGCCACGGTTGGGCATGCTGGGCGCCAGCATGCGAAAGTAGTCGCCCCAACTGCTCTGGCGACGGAACCCGGGACGCGGAGGTCCAACGGTCTCCCCAGGAGTAGGTGGCTGGGAGGTGTAGCCCGGTGGCGGCGAGCGTGGGATGGCAGGCGATAGTGGTGGCGTCGCGCCTGGCGGTGGCATTCCCGGCACGAGACCACGTACCCAGTCAAGAGTGAGGCGCGCACGGTTGCGTGCTTCGGCATTGTCGCGGTCGCGAGAGGTCGCACGGCTTCGAATCTCCTGGGTGCGGGGCTCGTTCGGGGATAGGGATGGCTCAGCGTCCGGTCGAGGTGAGTGGGGTGAGCGGACCTCCTCGAGTCGCGTGTGACGAGAGCCGAGGCGTGCTTCCTCCCGGGAAGCCCGGCGCAAGGAGGACGATGATTCATTGGGATTTTGACGAGTTGATTCCAACTCGCTGAGGCGGGGTGGAGCGCGCTCAGAGAGAACGGACCTGCTCTCACGCTCGCGCCTGTCTCGATTCTGGCGCTCATTGCGGCCGCGGTTTTCCGGGTCGCGCTGCTCTCCGGGCTGTTGCTCACAGTCGCTGTCGCGGCGTCGACGCTCAATAGAGTGGCGCTCGTTAGCACAGCACTCGCTAGAGCGCTGTTCCGTCAGGCGGCGGTGTTCACCCGAACGTCGCTTGCACTCGCCAGATGGCCGTTCCTTAATGACTGGGAGAAGGACGCTACCGCTGCCGTCGAACGTGAGGGGTACCGTAACGGGGACGTACACCCGCATTGTCGGCGACATAGGGCAGGGCGGATGCTCAGGAGGGGTCAGGTATGCGGGGAAGGGGTAGATGTAGGGGGAGGTCATTGCGGTGGCGTGGGCCGTCATGGCTGCTGTCAGCAGTTTTTATATCTGTAAGAGCTGTGCGAATCGCTTGAGATCACGGCCACTCGCTGCTGCCGGCGTCAATCTTGTCATATACGTGGCGTGTGATGGGTGTAGCGACAAGCACCGGCCGCCCCGGTGTACCAGGTATTTACATCATGATCGGCTGAATACACAGTCAGACGCAGATGCTTCGGTGGCGGATGACGTCTGGCAGGTCGTCAGTGGCTTGGCATTAATCATCGCCTCTCTTCTAGCTTTGCGCTGCACGGCCGTGCGTACCCTTCACGTGGTAAATGTCAACCAGATACATGGCGCATCTTTGGAACGGCCTCGACGGCTCCGAACTCGTGAATCTCATCGTGTGCACAGGTCGGTCTCGCTAACCACTCGCGCTCAGCGCGTCTTGCGACATCACACATCTTACGCCACCTTGTAGGTCTGCACAGTGTACCCCTCGGGCTTGTCACCGAGCGCGTAGTGAATCTCGACCTCGAGCTCGCGCGTGTTGTCAGCCGACTTGCGGCAAAAGAAGCGCCCCGATACGCGCTGTCCGGGGGCAAGTGTGAACGGCTTGCGGAGGAGGAACGACACCTGTTTCCAGTGGGTCGGCTGGCCGCGCGGTCCGGTGGTAAAGGACACAGCGTTGGCTTCTGCACTGTTAAGCGGTGCAACCTCACTCTTGTACAGGTCATCGGCGAACTCGTGAATGTGGACGGGGTGGGACGGTGGTACATGCCCTTCCGTCCCCGGAATAGGGCTGAAGAACGTGTCGAAGTGCGTGAGGAAGGCGCGTACCGTTTCGTCATTGTTCGAATTCGAGACGAGCTCGAAATCGGCATGGAAGTCAAGGCTCTTCGGCGTCGCGTCGTGGCTGTTGATATCCCGCACGATGGCCTCGGACGTCACCACCTCCTCACGGTCAACAATGTCGATGACGCCTTCGGGATAGTAGACGCCACTCATCGCGCTGCTCATGTTGTAGCCGTACACGTTGCCCCAGAAATCAATCCGCTCGCGCCACACCCGATCGCCCGTGATTGCACTGATCACGAGGCGAGTTTGGCTTGGCGCCATCAACCCGCCAGGCGCGAGGAAACGATCGCGGGCGACCAGCACTGAGTCCAGCATACTCTCATAGAGCAGCATGTAGCCCATCCACTCCGAAATGATCACGTCGACCGCCTTCACTGGGAGGGTGATGTCCTCAACCTTGCCCTGGATCACGCTGCGGTCAGATATATCGTTTCCGCTCAAAACTCACGTAATGACGTCGCCGAGACCGTTGGCGAGAATGTTCTCTCGTGTCTTGGACGCGAGATTGGATGCCTCAATCGCGTACACGTGCTTTGCACCCGCCTTGGCAGCGAACACTGGGGTCAGCAGTGCCCTCTCACTCTCAGCTCACTGGAGAGAATGCCCGTCCCCGCACCAACATCGAGCACAACCTTATCCCGGAAAGCGCGCGGGTTGCTGAGGATGAAGCGCGCATATGACACCGTCCGCGTCGTGTCCTTGAGCATGATCTCGTGAATGTCGTTGTTGGTGTACGAGTCGAAATAATGGGTGTCATCGTCACGCTTCTTGCCCTTCCCCTCATCTTGGACACTGCGCTCAACGATACCGCGCAGCAGCTCGACCTCCTTGCGGAGACGCGCAATCTCGGCCGCGGCGGCTCCCCCAACCTCCTCCTCCTTGGTCGGCTGAGCGTTGTCCTCCTCGTCAGACCACTCGTCGTCATCGAGCTGCAAGAGCGGGTCATCCGGCACCACAGGGATCAGGAGTTTGTCATCCTTCAACCTCTCGTCGCCGGCCTCAATCTTCGCCACTTCCGCCGCGGCCAACCCGTCCCGCCGGATCAAGTTGATCAGCCGCATACGCCCGTACAGGTCGAGTCCCAGTCTACTTGCTGTTGCTGTAAGGTCGAAACCCTGCTCCTTGGCTGCGGCGAGCGCCGCCTCAGGCGAGGGGTAAACAGTGTCGCCGAAGAGCGCGCGTGTGTGCCGCGCGTCACCGAGCGATGAGGCCCAGTCGGATGCACCGTCATCCGAGTCTGAGGCCGAGCCGTCGCTCGGCGGAGGGAGGTGGGCAGGGATGGTGAAGGACATGGTGGTTGTGGATTGCAAGTACGGGCCAACGCCGAACCAGTTGGATGTGTACGCCCAGAAATTTGCGGTGGAGGCCGTGCCTGATCAGACCCCCATTCGACCTGCCCAGCTTTCCATGACTCTTTTCTCTCACCATGTTATAATCAACGACTTTTACACCAACTCGGCATTTGCAGGTGACGATGCGACTTCGAGCCGTTCTTTCAATGGTTTTGATCGATCTCGTCGAGCTTGTCGCACTGTGCCGTGATCCCACGTGGACCGGCAAGGCTGAAAGGCCATCGCTTCTTTGGCATGCCGTCCGTCTCATTCCTCCAGACAACGATCTAACTCACGGCTTGCCAGATCTTACTGCACACTCCTGCTTGCGCCCGCGCCACTGACGATGTGGGCGTTGCCCGCGCAAGCGCCCGGTCGTGGGCGGACCGAGCGCACTTTACACCGACCTGCCCGATCTCAACTCTTGAACTGAAGAGTCACATTAATCCAGATGATCCTTTCATCTTTCGCACTCGTGTTGCCTTTGGCGGCAGCAACATGGATTCCGGCCCACTCGCCGATACTCAACTATTGGCCACGTCAGGCGTGGTCGATCCTCGAAGAGGATGTCACCGTGGCTACGGCGGACTCGTCGACACCCGTCGGGGTGGCGTTCTCCTTCGTTGGATCAAGTTTCACTCTCCAAGCAGCGTGGATATCCATGCAGACGGAAGCCTATGCCACAGTTGACGGGGCCGCACGTTTGATAGGGTTTGCCACGCCGCTGGAGCTCGGAGCGGGCGCACACATCATCAATGTAACATTCGAGAGCGCCGTGCGCTTGATCGGCGTGACTTGGGATGGGCCGTGCGTGCCCAGCCAACAAGCTGACAGCAGAATGAGCTTGAAGGAGGTTTCTTTCGCTCCCGAAGAAGGCAACATCGCGATCGTTGATGAACTGAGCACTGCGGGAGATGGAGCGAGTCGGCAAAAAGGTGGAAGTTCGGTCGAGTTCAATGGTGCTGACTCCAGCGCTGTGGACCGTCAGCCGGTCAGACGCATCCGCCCACATTACGCTTCCTATGAACGTGACTGCCTTTCAGTTGCGCGGCCTCGTCGGGCCCTCCGCAGGCAGCTTCATTATTGCCTTCAACCCTTCAGTCGGCATCCCGTTCTCGGGCAATGCCACCTCTGATGTCACGGATCCTATAGCTCTGCTCTGCGCCGTCACTCTCGATCCGCGCAAGCACTACACGGTGGATATTTCCAGCGCTGACGCGGAGACTCTTCACCTCAGCAGCTGGGGATTCGCGGCGGACGAGTGAGTAGTTAACCGGTACAGCTAACCTAGCAACGGTGACGAGGTAATTCCTGTTCGTCCTCGGACGCGCTCAGCGAGCCGCACAGGGGCGATTGTCGGCGGCGTCCTCGGCGGCGTGTTTGGTCTTGTTGCCATTCTGACCATTTGTGCAATCTGCTGGATTTGGTGCGGCATTCGTCGCCGCCGCCTGCGTCGTCGCGCCAACCACCGATGCGAAGATAAGCGTGAGGATCACGAGCTGGGCCGGATTTCAGCCAACAAGTGAGTTGCACTTGCAAGCGTAGAAAAGAACAATGCCGACCTGACCCAGGCGCTCGAGAGGTATCCGGCCTCCTGCTCCGTCGCCCAGAACACCACCACTCGAGGCTGTCACCATGGGATCGGAGCCTCCCGAGCTTCACTCGAGACTTCAGGTGCCTCCATTAGCCACCCGCTCTGCGTCGCCACGACAGTCTTCTCCGCCTTTCATTCCGCCCAGAACTACGCCCAGTGGCGAGGCGCCTCTCACTCCTCCCAGAGCTACGCCCTGCAGCGAGGCTCGGATGTCGTCCTTTGCCGCGAATAATGGCCATAGCAATGAGGGGGCTCCCGACATCGACTCTTTGAGCAGTTCAAGCATTTCCCCAGCTAGATCGCACTACGGCACGGCGGCGAGCCATGTCGAGCAGGGTGAGGATGCCGACACTCCCACTGGCGTTACAATAGACGCGTCTATGCTGTAGTTGGCGTGTGTAGAGGTCCAGGCTGAGAGCAATAACGCTATGCAAAAGTTTGGGCGGCGTGGGTGGCGGGCCCCAAGAGGCGCTCACGGGGGCGCCATTGCTTGACTGGCGAGGGCCCTTGCGCGTTCGCGTCAATGTGCTGCTGGAATTCATCACGAGTCACAGATATTTGCTTGGTAAGCACCTTCCAAATGCCCAGCAAGAGAAGCAAGCCAACGTGCCTTGGCAAACGGCCCCTTGTTGGAACGCGCAGCACACACCGCATGTACCGCTGGTGCGCTCTGCAATTCGGCTTGACACATCACGATGGAAACTCGAGTTGAGGAAGCTGTGCTGTCCAACCCGTGTCCCTCCGAGTAGCCGAGTGCTTCGACCTACGCGCACCAGCTGACCCCGATGCCGTTCCGGAGACTTTCAATGGAGGGGCACGAGACATGAGGAACATTGCATAGCGCGTCCGTGGCACCAATGCCAGTCTTTATCCCGTCCACGAGTAAGCATACCAAATCTCGTGCTCTATGCATGCCAAATGCCCCTGCAAGCCGGTGGCATGGCCGCCGGCTGGCGCGCTTGGCAGTCACGGTGTCTCACCTCTGTTGCACTTTACCAGCACTCCGGGGTAAGCCGGCTGGAAGCCGCCGGCTCCGACCTGTTCCCCGGCTCCGACCTGTTCCGTTCCGCCACATTGACTGACTGTGATGTCACCAGCATCTTGATTTCGAACTTCTATCAACGGCGCCGGCCGCCTCCGGCCAGCGTGCATGCTTTCGCACCTCTGCGCAACAGGTGCTTTGCGCACGGTGCATGCACGATGGGCATAAATGGCGCGCAGCGACTAACCGAGTTGGAGCACTCAGCTTCACAGCAACTATGACTTCGTCCACTATCCCTTCATTTACACTGGGCCGCGTTCTGAAGCTCGGCTCCCTCGCCGGCTTGACCTACGCGGCCTTCGAAACCGCCCGCCTCAACTACCGCTATCCGCTGCACGTGGGAAGCTCGGCGCCGCCGTCTTCGGCTGCTTTGTGGCCTGCGGGCCTCGGCGCCATCTACGAGATCCGCGCCCTCACGCGCATCCCGCGTGGCGCAGACCCGCGTGAAACGCTCCTCAACGCCTTCTACGATACGTGGACACTGCGTGTCGAGGCCTTCATCTACCGCAAGTTCGGGGCGGAATGGGTGATTGAACCTCCCCCCGCATCCGCATCATCCCTTGCACAGCCGCAGAGGGCCCCCGTCAAGCTCGAGCCGCCGGACCGCGAGTTTGCCAGCCGACCGCCCGCGGCACCGTATACGCCTCCGCCCACACCAGCCTCGCCCGGCACCACCACTCCCACTCCCGAAACGCTGCCGACCGGATACGCGTCCGGCCTGTTCCCCGTTCTCGGCCGCACCGCTGAGTCCACGATGGTCTTCTGGGGCTCTATCAATAACACGGGTGGCGCCCAGCTCCTCACCTGCACCCGCGTGCCCAACTCGAGGTCTGACGAGGTGCAGATCTCGTTCGGATGCGCCGAGACACCATTCCTAAAGGAGGGCACTGTCATCGGTTGGGTCGGCACAACGTTCCACCGCATGTACATGCGCTTCCTCGTCGATCGTGCGGCTCGGCGGATGGAGAAGTGGGCCGGCACGGCTGACAGTCGTCAGTGATTCGCACGAGGATTTGCGCACTGGAGCTTAATGAGACCACGGACGGGGAGAATATTGTATAATAAAACTAGACTTTATCCGCATGTGCTTTTACATACTGCTCCCATCTGCAAAACTTGTCTGTTGCATATGTCTTGCAATACATTATGTACATACATTTATCTGATGCAAACTCCTACTTTCGCATACTTCAGCCCAGTAATTCTCTACAGAGCATTTTACTCGATCTCGCCGGCGCGGAAGGCCTCGACAATAATGCGGTCCTTGTCGACACCACGGGCCTTCAGGCCAGCGACAATGTCGTGCATGAAGGGGTCGGGTCCACAGACGTAGTAGATGGTCTTGGAGTCGCTAAGAGCGAGGAGGTCGGCGTCGAGCTTGTCCACCTGAATCATGCCCTCGTGTGTGTTGGGACCCGAAGCCGGGCCGTCCGAATAGTAGGCCTCTGACTTGATCTTTCCGTTCGACTTGGCAACAAGCTCGTCAACGTGCTGCTTGAAGACGTGGTGGTTCTGTGTCTGGACGCCCTGGATCCACGAGATGTTGACATCAGCGCCGTCCTCAACGATCGTGTTGAGCATCGACATGTTGGGAGTGATGCCAACACCGCCCGAGAGGAAGACGACGTGCTCGGGCAGAGGCGAAGGGAGGTTGAACGAGCCTGTGGGGAACGAGCACTGGATCGAGCTACCGACAGGAAGCTTGTGCAGGCGCGTCGATACCAGGCCTTCGGGAACCGAGCCCCCGTCAACATCCTCGCGCTTGACGGTGATACGGTAGCGGTCGGGCGAAGGGGCGTCGGACAGAGAGTAGTGGCGGCACTGGTAGACGCCGAGCTCGTCGATCATGACGCGGACGGTAATGAACTGGCCAGGCTTGTAGGGCTTGAGGGGAAGCATGGAGGGGTCGGTCGGGACGAACTCGAGCGACGCAATCTGGCTAGTTTCATCGATGTGAGCTGTGATCTTGAAGTCCTTCCACCCGTCCCAGGCGGCCTTGGCGTACAAGTCGGCCTCGGCATCAATGAAGATCTTGGCGAGCTGCCAGTAGGCGTGATACCAAGCCTCCTGGAGCTGGGGAGTGAAGGCGTCGCCGAGCACGCGCGAGATGGCGCCCATCAGGTTCTCAGCCACGACGGCGTAATGCTCGGGCTTGACGCCGAGCGCGGCGTGCTTTTCCGCAATGCGGACGACGGTCGGCACCAGCGGGCTCAAGTCGTGAATGTTGGCCGCGTACCCGTAGACTGAGCCGGCGAGGGCCCGAGGCTGCGACTCGTTGGCCTGGGCAGGCAGTGAAAAGATGTTCTTGAGCTGGGGATTCTTGCTGAGCATGACCTGCATCGTCAGCTGACCACTCTCCGGCAAGTATGGAATGCAGCGGTTCAAGCCCACCACCAAGTCAGACTCACTTTGTACATTTCCTTCGTGATAGTTACGCCGTGCTCAGCGAGGACTGGAGCCGTAGCGGCAACGGCCGCCTTGTCGGCCTCGGTGAGGGGGCGGACGTCCGAGGGGATCTGGAAGGCGGCCGATGCCAATCCCCTGATTGTCAGCACTGGTGTCCCACCCCGGCGGTATGGTTGCACCTACCTAACGTATAGACTAGGGCGAGCGACGCGAGTGAAGGGGCGGAGAGCGGAGCGCATGGCGAGAGTGGCAGAGTCGGGGGCTGTTGCTTGTGTCGGTAATGCTGACGTCGTCGTTCGACGTCGAGAGGGGGTGTTGTAGTTGCAGTTGATGTGATGGAGATGGCGCTGGCATCTGGAGCACAGCCGGCTTATGTATCTTTAGTTTCTCACTGGACATCTCTAGGGAGGGACATCCGATGTCGGCCTCTTGTTGCGCCTGCCTACAGCCTGCACATGCCATTGAGGGTCCGGAGAACAATAGGTGTTCTGTCAACACCGTCACGGCGCCACGGTCCGGAAGGCCGCGGGGCACGGTCCTGTGAGTGGAAGATCCGCATTTCCCTTAATATTGGCGTATTCAGGAGTCGGGCGTACACAGGCAATGCAACTGGGGATATTGCGATGCCGCGACAGTGCGGCTCTGACAGTTAGTGAGGTTCGCTGTTCCAGAACAACCATTGCATCGGAGTGCGTAAAATACTTGCGCGCTGCCGCACTTCTTGGTCTGCAAGTTGCAAGTGTCGTTCCACCGCTAAATCACTTACTGTCGAGACCAAAGACGGAGGGGCGCCGGATCTTGCCACACGACCTCGTAACCCCTACGTACACCTCAGCTGTAGGAGTAGGATTTGGCTTGCGGCGCCCATCGCTTCGTGAAACCTCGCGATCGTGCACGCTTGGAAATGGTAAATTTGGTGTGTGCGGTGATACCGACAAAATCCCATACGCTGACATCTCCTGAACCAAACGACGACGTTCAGGGGCGATGGGACCTACCGTTTGCCTTGGCCAGATCCGCAGCTGGCGCGACATTCAGATGGCGTGTCGACGACATCGTCTGCAGCATCGTCTGCGGCATCTCCGTCCAATTCTGCACGAAAATGAGTGACACACAGAACCAACGTGTCTCGGGTCATTCCGGGGCCCAACCAACGCGCATCCGGGCTGCGCCGAGAACAGCGACGCCAGGAATAGGCCGAGGTGTACGCCATTAGCGGTTCCCAATACGGGGACTGAGACGTTGACACAAAGAGAGAAACCGATATCCTGAGCAGGAGGACAACCCGTGGATGTTGACACGTGACGCCCGACGCGGAGTGGGCGGCCCGGTGCCTCGCCCAGTTTCATTGTTCGTCCTGCAGAAGGCGAAAACGCAGAGACGGGAGTTCCGCATTCGTCTGAGAGCAAGTTTGCATGGCGCATGTTGCGTGTCAAGCGCTCCCTGCGCGCTGGGAACCGGCGGGAATGCCCAACGCGCTTGATTTGTTGGAGCGCAGAGCACGGTGCATCGCAGTGGGTGGGAAGCGCCGACTTGCCAGCTGGAGCAGGTCAACGGCGCCAATCCTCCGAGCTGATGATCAAAGCGGAAAGCCGGCATCTTTCGAACACGTCATAGCGAGAGGAGTGCTCATGGCGCGCTGTGGTGGACATGTGTCAAACTCATTGCGGCCTGCCGACGTCAGAGGCAGCTTCTACGATTCCTAGACTCCAGCCATACTTCGTGCGCTTGCTGGCGCCGTGGAGAAGCAGTGCGGATTCCCCTATGGCGGACGTCGAGCGCGTCTCGGACGCCACGCGAGCTTATCATCTTCGGTGCTCAAACCTACGTGGACTTTAGACCGTGAGTACGCTCGACTTGTCCTAATGGCACTGAACGACGCCCTTCACCTTCACAACTGACGCTCTCACGAGTTGGCGATGTACAGTAGATCTGACTGTGCGCCCAGGCACCTTGCACACACCATCACAATATGCTTATGTGGCCCATATATCCATCCACCCTCCTCGCCAATCCCGAACGAACATCACACCAGCCCGCCACATTGGATGCGAGCACCTGCTGCCTGCAGATACACATAGAAAACACGAAAAAGGAGCTCAGACAGCTCTCTAGGTCATGACGGGGGTCGAACCCGCGATCTCCTGATGCTCGAAGTACTCCTGTTGGAGCCCAAATCGTAGTCAGACGCGATGCCATTTCGCCACACGACCCATGGTTTTGAAGGTCTCTAGGCTCGATAACTTATCCTGGGACACTGCAATAGAGAGCTGTACGGCCAGAGCTGAGTGTGTGGAGTGCGCTCAAGATTTAGATTCCAACACTTTGGTGTTCACGGCGCGCGACGTGACCACATACGCTGCTGTGTGTGATTAGATACAGACTGACCCCTGCAGTACCCTTGAGACCGACTGCATACCTCTAAGTTAGTCTATTTCTCCTCCACAATCTTGTTGATGAGGGTGCCAATCCCGCCGCTGATGTTGACACGGAAATCGTCCCCGTCGCGCAAGAGGCTCTTCGGCTCCTTGGTCCATCCGACACCCGCGGGGGTACCGGTGATAATGATCGTACCAGCTGGCAGAGTACTGCCCTGGGAAAGGAACGAAATGATCTTTGGAACGGAGAAAATGAGGTCGCTGGAGTCAGCTCAATTCAGGCTGGGAGGGCACGGGATATCGCCCCTGATGTGATGGACCGCTTGCCGTCTTTCCGTCCAGTCGATGGCAATTGCATGTACACCCACCCCACGCGTCAGACTCACTCCATGGTGCTCTCTTGCACGACCTTGCCGTTGTGAATGCCCTTGATGCTCAGTTTGCCAAACTCTTTGACGGCCTCCTTAGGCACGAATGCTGGACCGATTGGGCATGCCCCGTCGAACGACTTTGAGAATGTCCACTGCGAAGTCGCAAACTGTTGCACACGGGACGACACATCGTTGCACGCGGTGTACCCGGCGAGGTATTCGAGCGCGTCGGCCTCGGATACGTTCTTGGCGTCCTTTCCGAGCACGAGAACGAGCTCGGACTCATAGTCGGCTGCGTCGTCCTTGACAAACGCACGGGGAATAACAGTGGGTGCAGGATATGGATCGGCGAGCGCCTGTGCAGGCTTCATGAACACAGTTGGAACGGAAGGCACTGGCATGCTGACCTCTTCGGCGTGCGAGCGGTACTATGGTCAGTTGAGCTTGACAGATGCTCACGTTGAGACCAATGCAGCGAATCGTGCCGACCTCGGCCTGGGCGAGGGGCGACAGTAGGCGCTCCACAGTCGCCATCTTGCCAGTCTTCTCACCGGGCTGCAGTACCGAGTTGCCTGAGAAGACATTGACCTCGATGGGCTTGCCCTCGTAACTGGCGATGCCGACATCCATGGCACCGTCCACAGGCTCACCGATGAGCGGCGCACCGCCTGACTTCGGAACGAAGCGAATAAGACGCGCATACGAGGCCATGGTGCGAAGAGTTGAACGCATAGACGAGATGGAGTGTCACGGCCAAAGACATGTTGCGAAAGTGGGCGGGAATCACGGCAAAAGAAGGGTGCCGTTGGTGCGCCAGCCGGCAAAGCGGCAACGGCCGGGGCCGGCGGGCCGAGCGGCTCGGCGACAACGGAACGAGAGTGCGGCAAATCAAACTTAACTCAGCATTAGGAACCTCCTAACAATCCTAATACTTGTCACCTCCTGATTGCCGCACCTGCCGCATTGGAGGTGTGCAGAGAGGTGGGTGGCAAAATGCGGGGATGTGATGGTGAGCAGGCCGGCCATATGTACTGCGACAAGCTGCCATTCCTATTCCTCGACACACCGTCAGCATGTCTGGTCCGCCCGTAAATCTCGTCTCCGTCAACACCGCGCCGGAGCGCGCCAAGAAGGTCATTGGAGAGGTCATCGAGAACGTGAAGCACAAGTACGCGATCGTGCATGCCGGGAACTCCACAAGTGAGTCGACTCGGGGCGTCATCAACAACCGTTGACCGCAGCAATCGAGGATGTCAAGCCCCTGCTTCTCAGCGTGCAGCCGCCGCCAGAAATCTTGTTCTGCGCGTCAATGGTGCGTCCCCTTCAACGTGCATCTGACAGCAGTGGACGCCTAAGGAGCAGGAGGAGATTCAGCGGATCGCGCGCGAGACGATTCCCGGTATCAAAACGCATGCCATCCCTACCGGACTGCAGGTCCAGGTAGGGCCGGATGGGATCGTTAAGTACCTTATGGAGCGCATCGACGACATCATGAAGGCGTAGGCAAATGCATTGAGGTAATATTACAGTTCATGATAAGCACGATTTCGTTGTTGGCTTCTGAATCCCACGTCCCATGGGGCTCCGATCGATTCGGTTCACGACGTTACAATCTGCTCTGCGAGAGGAGGACTGGCCCGGACGAGGGGAAACCGGGGCAGACCTCAGTAAGACCGCGGCGACAGCGGAATTCGGCTGCTGACAGCGCGTGCCCCTGGGCGTCGCAGCAGCGCGAGGAGGGGACACAGCTACTGCGCGATAGGACGGCTTGATGCGCGATGCTGTGAGATAGGTGCAAAGAAAACTTGGCGCATGTGGTCGCTGCTTGGTCGCACAGGGCCATGGTCGAAGGCCCCAGGCAGCAGAGTGTGGCATGGCCGTGGCTCAGGCTCGCGCGAGGGCGTTCGGAGAAGACTGCACTGTCAAGTAGCCTTGTAGAGGCAACGGAGCTCGCGCGCGACCAAGAGCTGTCGGCGTGAGATTCGCCGAGACAGCAGGGGCTTGTGGGGCGCGAAGGCACAACAGTGGTTGTGGTACGAGGGGAAGGTGGCAGCGTCGAATACGTCACATTGGGTGACGCCGGTGGGGTTTGGCAGACAGCCACGCCGACGGCAGGTGAGGACGATCGAGGACAGCACGCGGCACAGGATGGCCGGCGCGGGCTGGGACGGCAGTGGTGGCAGTGACGGTGGACGGTCTCTGGCATGTCGTCACGCGTGCAGATGCTCTGGTCGGGACTGGCCCAAAGGACGACGAACATTGCGAGAATATATTTCTGGGATAGGTGTTCACGATAGATTTAGAAGCAGTGATGCTGGCGTGGAACTAGTGGGGTACATGGAGGACCTCGACGTGCAACATGTTGACTCTTATGTCTGACATGCTATGCGTCATGAGTCGGGGATTGCCGTGCTGAAGGTCTACTCGGCGCATGCACCTCGTCAGTGTCAGTGGCGAGCCGGAATGACAGAGGTCGAACGAAGATGCCTGCGGATGTTTGCGGATTGTGGTGTTACTCGCTTGGAGGAATGTGTAGCCCCTTCCAACCAGGCAGACTCGGCCAACACATACGCAACCCTTCGGAGGTGGCACCACTCGGCTCCGCATCCGCTGGCCACATGGACAAGGTTACAACCCCGACATCACCCGTTTGTCGCTGGGTAGTCACTGCACACTGTCCAGATGGGATAAACCGGGCCACGTTGACATTGCCCCGGCCCCGTATCCAGTCTTTGGTATGCTCCTACGTTTAACATTTCCTGTGGAGCAATGATTTGGCATCTTTGGATAGAAGCGAGTGGCCATAGGCGAGGATCGGAGCGTCGCAGACGCGGCGCACGTGTGTCCTCTGAGCTCATGATCTGCGCCGAGCTATGACGTGAGCTCATTCCGCCATGACTTCTCCAGTAGTGGATACGGTCAGCGCAGCCGCCAATTTTGGTCACCCGCGAGACGAAGCCAAGGGGTGGATAAATTGGTAGATACACTTCGCCATTATTCATCGGTGTCACCCCCAGACCTTCTGGCGGTGAGCACACGAATTGGAGGGGGAGGCGGGGAGGGCTCCAAGCATTACGAGCGTATACATGTTTGTATGTACAACTATATTAATCTACAACCCGGAGCAGATCGGAGGCGGTGGGTGGGCAAGACCGTCGGCCTGGAAGCTAGGTAGCCCGAGGTCTGCATTACAGGGGAAGCTTTTAAACAGCGGACTGCGCACGGGAAAGGCCGACACTCTGTCGACGAGAGGGAGGATTTGGATGCCGGCGCTAAAGGTGTAGAGCGAGAGGCATTGGTATGGCGATAAGGGATCGTGACGTGCTGGCTGCCTGGGTGGATCGTGATCTGGATGATGTCAGCGAACGATCCATACCGAGGGGCTAAGCCAACGTACTACAGGTAAAATGATCACAGCATGGACCCTCTACCTCAACATGATGTGGGTGGTGGGGAGTGGGTGGGGTGTAGCGGGCGTACAGTGGGAGAGGCCAGAATAGGGATGGGGAGGTCCGACTTAAAAGATGCTCAAATGCAGGCGTATAGGTAATCGGCGATCGGTTGAAAGCCGATTGATTGATAAGAACTCTCTGCCCCAGAGGCTGTCTGTCAGAGAAGTGTAGTAGAGAGCACGGGCGAGTTGGACTTCTCATCGCCGATTCAAGAAGAATGCGAGAGGTGGCAGGGCTATGGCCGACCGGTTCCTCCAGATCGCACCCTTGCTGACAAGACTCACCCTAGCCGTGAACCTCAGCGCGACCGGACGTGGCGCGCCCGCGTAATGACAATGAACGGCCCACCCAGCTGCCTTGCCGCTGAAGTGGTTTCATGGGCACCTCGCCGCAGCGGCTGCACGGTGCATTGCGCCCTAGTTTCCTTCTGATGCTGCCCTTGAGCCCTGCGTTGTGCGAACAGGTCGCCTGCTCGCCGGGCGTCCTATTTGGCTCTGAGGCGTCCTCCAGAATCTCCTGCTCGTCCTCGACCATGTCGATGCCATCATACGCCTCGGGCACGGCCTTCATGCTCAACGGACTGCGGTCCCATGGCGCTCCGACAGTCGTCTCGCGCGGACTCCGTGTGGGGCTATTGGTACTTGAGGCTGCGCTCCGTGTGCTCGTGCTACCAACAGTATCCGAGGACAAGCTCTTGTGAGTGGGTCGGATGATGGGGTCTCGCGTCGCCGCCATCAGGAAGCTGTGATCGAGAGGCTCTGCGCGCCTCACCCCGCTCCCAGGGACGGGATATCGTCCAGTGCCTTCGTAGTCGAGGCTAAGGAGGAATGACCGGGCGACGACGGCGTCGCTCGGCCCCGCGCGCGACATCGGCTTGCTTTGGCGTAACATTTTGGTCGTGGGGAAAGGCCATACCGAAATGGAGCAGGCGGTTCTTAAAGCATCGAAAATGGCTAGTGGGAGGGCGGCAGTCGCAGCGGTAGAATTCTGCTGCGGCCTGCGCTGCCAAGCAGCCTATATGGCGTCACGTCACTACTGCATCACCTGGCATGTAAAGTGGAGTCGGGCAACACTGCTTCGGGCATGTGCCTTGAGGCAAACCTCAAGCGAAACTGCGGGCTTTTCCATTTGAGCGCTTTTTGGGCCGTCTCCCTCTCGGCGTCCGCCTGCCGCAGATCTTTTAAGGAGATTATTGTTTTGATTTCGAGCCAAGCCCACAGCGGATACGAATCTCATCCGGTCTTGGCAGGACTTTGGGCTGCGGGAATGCAACCACCGTCGCCACCAGGGCGACGCAGCGATCGGAGACGCAGACCACTGATGCTTCAGATGAATGGGCTGCCCCTGAGCCGAGTTTCACTGCTCGAAGAGACGAGTAGTGACTGAATTGACAACTGCGGCCTGCGGTCAGCTGAATGTGCGGTGATGTCGGCCGACAATGCGCCTGCAGATCCGGAGTGCATCTGATACTACACGATCGGCAGCTCGACAGTGCGTGGACGCGAACGCGAACATTTGTCCACCTCGAATGATGCTTATCACACCCTACCGAGGATACGCATCATCACATCTTCGACGGCTCCTTAGCTCACATGCCTCCTCGTTCGGTCTCGGCTTGGGTGGTGTTGAGTATGGTGCTTACGACGTCTATGTGGGGCGTCGGGTTCTTTCTGATGACTAGCTTGCTAGTCCAACCTACGAAGGCGCTGACCTCCGTCCATAACCCCCAACGACTCCAAATCGCCACCCTCCTCCTCTGGCAAAACACGCTCGTCCATGGATGAAGACGTGTATTCTTACCCAGAGGAGTGTCAACGACGACGCAAATAGCCGCCCCACAGAGGGCGTCAGGCTCTGGGGCCCGTCTTCTTCGCACGGTTGGCGTCATGGCTGCTGCCGATGCTCCTCACTTTCGGCGCACAGTTCCACTTGGCTGAGCAGTGACGTCGAGTGGCCAACCACAGATCTGAATCTGTGGAACGTTGTCCCCACAACGCAAGCCATGGCGGTGACCACCAACCGACCTGGCAGGGCGCGTCGCTGCTCGGTCCGGGAGCTCTGCGGCCGTCGACTGAGGTGGGAGAACGGCTCCCGGACCCAATGGGTAACGGGATCAGCTTCCCCTCTGCAATGTACGTCTGTGCACGAGCCTTGTAGACGTCGCGACACCAAGGCAAGCGTGGCAATCGAGCGGAACCCCACGTCTCCCACCTTGAGCATCCGACCGCGAGACTCGTCATTGCCTATCTCATCTAGATTCGACTCCGCTTCTCACAACAACAGCCCCCGCCCTTTGCCGTTCCCGGTGAACTCTCCAGCCGCAGTCCTGTCGAGATGTCTGCCTCAGCTCTCGTGGACACCCTCCTCTCCCACTCTACCCTCACGAAGGTAGTACTGGCGGTGCTAACGCTTCTGCTCGCAGTGGTGATTGAGCTCGCCCGTCGGCGCGCGACCTATGCTCACCTTCCACCGGGGCCCTTACCGCATCTGCTGACAGGCAACGACTACCCAGCCACGTATCCATGGCGCGCGTTCTATGAGCTCTCCAAGACGTACGGTCCTGTCATCACATTGTGGACGGGCACGCAACCGAGCGTAATTCTCAACGATATGGCCAGCGCGACGTGGTTTCTCGACAAACATTCACGCGACACGTCCGACCGCCCCCCGCACTGGGCCTACATCTCCGGCGGCAAGCGCGTCATTCTCCAGCCCCACGGCGAGCGGTGGCGCCGCATGCGCCGTGCCCTCTACTCGATCCTGCAGCCGGCGCAGGCTACCCAGTTGCGGGGATACCAAGAGAGGGTGGCGCGGGGCGTTGTGCTGGACATCCTCGGGGGCGGCGAGTTCCAGGACCACATCAGGACATACGCGGCGACGATCAGCGTGCACATGGCCTACGGACGGATGGAGCGCGCGCGGTACTCGGACCCCGATATCGCAAAGATAGTCGAGAACAGCGCCCGCTTCGGGAACTTCCTCCGTCCTGGCGGGAGCAAGCTTGACGCGTTTCCCTGGCTTGCGTACGTGCCAGGATACATGCGACAGATGAACCGATGGAACGCCGAGGAGCTCGTCCTCTTCCGCTCGGCACTTGACGACGTCAAGGCTCGTAGCGTCACAGGACCTGAGCGATGCTTTGCGACGTATCTCTTGGAGCGGAAGAAGGAGCTCGAGCTGAGCTATGACGAGGTCGCTTACCTTTGCGGAAGCGTGTTTGGCGCGGGCTCGGACGCAACCAGTGCAGCCATACAGATCATTGTCATGGCGGCTGCGACTCATCCCGAGTGGCAGGCGCGTGTCCAAGCCGAGCTGGACCAAGCAACCGCAGGGCAGCCGCCGGGTTTCGATGACCTGGCCGTGGATGCCGTGCCGCATCTCCATGCCTTCGTTGCAGAGAGCTACCGTTGGCGTCCCGTCTCCGCTGGCGGCTTCATTCACCGCACCACTGCACCCGTCATGTATGGCGACTACGTTGTGCCCGCCGGCGTCCTCATTTCCGGCAATCACTGGGCAATCCACCGCGACACAAGCTACTTTGGCGCCGACGTCGAGACTTTCAATCCTAGCCGTTGGATCAAGGACGGCAAATTCAACGAGGCAATGAAACACGTACAGTTCGGCTTTGGGCGGCGCGTCTGCCCCGGCCATCATGTCGCGCATAACAGCGTGCTCATTAATGCTGCGCTGCTGCTCTGGGCTTTCAACATGACGGAACAGACGAACAGCAAGGGCAAGCTGATCCCTATCGACACGCTCGCGTTCACAAACACTGCCAACTCACACCCCTTGAAGTTTAACGTCAGTTTCCACGAACGCGTCGCCAACCTGGCGGAGCTCATGAGCGTCGACAACATATAGCCGGCCAGCCGAATTGTAAGTAATCTCAGAACATATGCAAGTGGTGGATAGGGCCGAGCCCATCATTGAGCGTCAAAGTTCAGTCATATCATCAAGGTCGTGTGGCGAAATGGCATCGCGTCTGACTACGATTTGGGCTCCATCAGGAGTACTTCGAGCATCAGGAGATCGCGGGTTCGACCCCCGTCATGACCTAGAGCCTCTCAGCAAGCGCGTAGTGCGAGCTGAAAGCATCTTTTGTTGGAGGTCGTCGAGGTGAGGGTCTCGGAGGGGCGAGGACAGAGTTTCGGGCGGACCATGGGGCTCAGGGTACATATCTGCACGCCGCAAATAGGTGTGCACCTTCAGCGACTGATGCATATGCGTAACGCGTTCTTTGCGCGCCGCTGAGCCTAATGGAGGATCGGTAGCTGTCTGTTGATGTTTCTCTCGCAAAAGATTGCGGAGGTGGATGACCTCCACTTTTCGGCCTCCCCAGCTCCCGACCAACCTCCACCTTTCCCTAAGATCTGCATCCCGCTCATGTCCGGCCCTGGATGCCTGCTGATGTCTGTCTGCTCGGCTGCTGCGCTCCCCTACCCCTTATCGCGTGAGTCAGGCGCCGGAGCAAAAGAGTATTCTCCACCAGGGAGTTGAACCCTGCTCTTTCGCGGTTACGCTGACTGAAGCACCAGCAACTCTCTAATGAGAGGCGAATATACTAACCGATATACTAGTGAAGACATGCTTATGTTCCACAGCAGCATGCATGTGGCCGGAGCGGACTGGCATACTTTTTGACGACAAGGGGTCCGTCTGTATTGCTGTTTACCGGGATGGCTTTAAGAAGTGGCAGAAGTCAGATGAACACGCTGTGGGCAGGGAAGTGGGAGTGAGAGTGGTTCAGCACGGCGCAGGGAGCATCTGTGCGATTGCCTCGTCTCTTTTTGAAGACAACGGAGACAACGGGGTGCTTAAACATCGCTCAACTAAATCGAGCGACAACAAACAGTGCCGCGGGATATTGAGAGACTGAAAAGCCGTACCGCAGGCGAGTCCAGTCGCCCAACATTAGCAGCGAGAGGGAAGCGAGCTCGTGGCACGGTCAGCGTGACCATCCGTCTCGACTTCACCTATTTCTACACTACTAGAGTGGCTCACACATTCCATTTTCTTAGAGCCGCTGATAGCATGTTTTTCTTGAGCCCCTCAGGGGTTGAACCGGCCATGATTGATCACAGTCCGTCGTGCTCGTTCATTGACAAGGGCACCTGCGTTGTCTGGTTCCTGCGCGCCCGCCCGCCCCTCCTCGCCTCGTACACCCGAACCGATACGAGATGCAATGTATGCCATGATGATGTCTTCTGCTGACCTCTTGACACCCCAGTCCCCCACTGCTTTCGTCCTACTAATGCCCCGGTTCTTCCAAGCTCTTGTTGACGAAACCCACGTTGAATTGCAGCAGAGAGTTGATGTCGCGCACCCACCCTGTTCCCTGGCCCACGCGCTCGACGCATGGAATCGGAAACGGCGACTTGCGTATCACAACGCTCTCGCGCGCGTTGAGCAGACACACCTCCCGACCGTCTATCGATAGCTCAGCGGGCGCGCGAGCTCTTGGACTGATCTCGAGCCTCACTACACCGTGCCCGGGAAGGATTATTGGTCTGAAGCTGAGCGACCGCGGGGCAATGGGCGTGAGGAGGAGCGCGTCCGCTTCAGGGTGCGAAATTGGTCCGCCAGCGGAGAGGGAATAGGCTGTCGAGCCTGTTGGTGTTGAGAGGAGGAGGCCGTCGGACTGCGATCAGCAGCCAAAGTGGTTCCCCCGCCTTCGCGTACTCACCACTGCCTCGGTCAGGTGCTGCCCGTCGAAATAGGTGTCGACGACTGTAAGGTGCGGGTGCCGCCCGCGGTGTAGTGATACCTCGTTCATGACCTGCCATCCGCTGCGGCTCTTAGGTCCACAGCGCTCAAGCAAGCTCCCATCTGGCGCCTGAGGTTTGCACTCCACACGCATCCGGTTCAGGATCGGCACGGGGCCAGTGAGAGTTGTCTGCACAGCCGAGGAGAGTTGCGAGATGTGGAACGGGAGGAGGAAGCCGAGTGAGCCCATCGAGAAGCACAGCACCGGTGGACATTCGCCCTGGCTGAAGAGGTTGGCGACGTGCAGCACAGTCCCATCTCCGCCCAGCGTGAGTACGAGATGTGTATTTTCTGGCAGCAGGTCCACGTCGCCTGCGGTCAGCTGGGCCTTGTGCCGCTCACACCCTTCTCGACAACCACTAAATTATCAAATTCAGGCTGGTCGCGCGCGGTATGTGGTTCGACTAGCAGGCGGAGATGCGGGTAAGTCTTGGTCAACATTCTGGTGTAAGCTTGTTCGTCATGGACAAGCGCACGAAAGAACATCTCGCATCGTCTTCCGCACGCGCTCGTCATCGGGCTTGTGTACAAGCAATAGCGAGGTTGGCTGTGCCGTCCAGCGCGTCAGGCGATAGCTGAGGTCAGTCACGTTTACAGATCGCAGACTTCACGATGACAGGGACCCGCTGCCCCGTGCCTCCGGAATGGGCAGCAACCTCGGTTTCCTGGTGTCAGCACGAGCAAGGTGGAGGTGATACTCACCTGAGCATCTGCTTAGCCGTAGGTTGGGGCATGTCCCGGAGGAGATGCAAGCCGCGGCAGCTCCCGGATTTTCTGCTTAGCCCAAGAGCGATGGACCTTGGTATCGCTGGTCGCATGGTGGATGGAGTAGACTTGACATGGCAGATAACACCTCCACTCCCTTGTTCGAGAGATCCGCAGAGTCGGTTGCGACTCGACATTTCCAGTGGCGTCAGAGGTACAGGGGTTGTGCCTGGATAGGACATGGAGATGGGTTGCAAGTCCGGGAAATCCGCCACGAACGAAATCCCGAGTTTGGTGAAAAATAACGCCGGAGCAGTTTCGTCCAGGATAGCGAGTTGGCCACCTACGGATTGCCTCCAAGCCTCAAGCCTCGCCCAAAACCCACGTCAACGACGTGAGTCCCGACGACGAGTAGCGGAGAACGTGCTACACGACGAGGTGCTGACCGTGCAGAAAACCGCGACTCTCGCGAACTCTTCTAGCAAAGCAATATGTGAGTTGCGCGCAAGGGAAGGCTGGGACAGTGCTAACAGGCAGGGCTCACTCCAACGTTTGGTTCTCCCGGTGAGTTGCGCGCAACGATCGCGATCGCGCGGAAAAGGCTGGGCGAAAGCGCGAGCTGGAGCGGCGGAGCGCTGGGGAGCAGACGGGATGGGCTAGGCAGGATGGTACGACAAGGAAGGGATCGCGTGAGGCTGCGACGGTGGGCACCGGAGACGACGATTCGACGACGCGCGGCATGAGTGGCGAGCCCACTCCGACATGCGCCGTGCAGCGACCGCGATCTGCGCGACGATGGGGGCATGGCGCGAGTCTGGCGTATCTTCAGCATGTTCGACATTGAACAACGATGCCGACAAGTTGAATTGACGACTCTGCCAAGAGCCTTCCCTATGTGCTGGCTCGCTCTGGCAACAACTGCTCGTCGACACGGTGATCACGACATCTGCGCCGCTAGATCGATCGACGCAAGGTCTGGTCTCGATGTGGAAGGGCCCAAGTTGGTCCATCACCGCCCGCACACAATTCCGCTACGAATCCTCCTCGACATTGCCCCTCTCCAAAATTCTACGCGCTTGCGCGTCTGGCCTGTGCACGCTGCACCCCGTGCGCGCGAACGATATCGTGCTCGAAGATTCGATCGGAAGCGGAAGTCGTCCCACGGACAAGCTCCTGCTGGTACATCGCACGCTCCAGCATCCCGCACCCTGCCCTGTGACCTCCTTCTGGTGCCCTCTGTCTGCTCCACTCCAGCGCCGGTCTCGCGCATCGCGTTCTGAGCCTGAATATTGTGCTAACCTCAGCCCCCGCAACTACGGCAAGGGCTCGCGCCAGTGCCGTGTCTGCGCCCACCGCGCCGGTCTCATCCGCAAGTGGGGCCTCGACATGTGCCGCCAGTGCTTCCGTGAGAAGTCCAAGGCTATGGGCTTCGTCAAGGTGAGTTTTGTTGCGGCGCGCTTGAGGGAAGGGACTGACATTCCAGTTCAACTAAACTAGCACACTCAGGTGCTTCGTTGGCTTGTGGGGTCTGTACGTGTGTAGATTCGATGGCATCCCATCTTCACTGCTGTATTTTTGGCGCCGCTTCCAATGTGCGCCGCGCCTCTGAAGGTCTTGTCAGCTTGTCAGCGTTATTGGGTGGCGCACTTGAACCACGCCGGAGACGCAGATGGAGATGAACTCCGGCGATTCGGAGAAAAGGGGAGAAGCCGAGCTGTGGCATGTGAAGCGTGTGGGGAGAGAGTGTGTGGCATCACATTTGATCAGAGTAAAAGAGAATCCTATTGAAATTTGGTTCCGCTATTAATGGAGGAAGAGGAAGCACGTATTTGCGCCCTGTGCGTTCCACACGCCCCACGCTGCACGCTGAACGCAGGCCACCCCAGGTGCCAGGTGCCAGGTGCCAGGTGCCCAGGTGCCCAGGTGTCCAGGTACGCAGGCCACTCTGGCTGAATTTTGCCTCGCCCCCTCCAACCCTCCCGGCTTGAAAGCGGGCGTTGACATGGCTGCGTCCGGCTGGCTGGCTGGCTGGCTGGCTGGCTGGCTGGATCTAGCGCTTGCAAAAACCGCCACTTGCAACACCTCAGACATTCGCCAACTCAATTCATTCATCACCAACCTCCTCATCCTCCCGCCCTCCTCATCCGGTCACGGTCACGACAAAAGAAAGAGTCTCACACGCTCTTTCACGTCCCGGCACTAAACTTGTTGTAGCTCTTAGCGAAACCCCAGCCTCCCCTTGCGCCTCCCTCGCCATCGACTCACCCTCCCGGCAAACCTCTCCATCCTCTCCAACCTTCTCCTCCTCCTACACGCAGAGCCGCGGTTGTGAGTTGCTTGGTCAAACCGTTCAGGATGGGGACTCGACGGAATGGGCTACGGACGCACTGTTCAGACGCTTTGTCATTGCCCTCCCCCATCGCTGTGGATTCACCGACGTTCATCACGCTGACAGTGTAATACGTTTTTAACACGCGCAATAACTTTGCTCCCTGCCCTTCCTTCCATCCGAACATTTTGTTCCTCCGACTCGACCATCATCCCGCGCTTCCTCACTCTCTTAAATCTGCTCTCAATTCAGACCCCTCGTCTCGCCTTTGCCTTTTTATTCGTGCCGGATCTCGAGAGTTTGGACGTGCGTTTTCCGAGATGAGCAGGCCGTCGTCCACCGCCAGGGACGATGGAGCTTGAAACTCGCTCTGCTGTTGACCCATTTTTGCTGACCGCCCAGACTCGCGGATCCCACTCCAGATCCTTCCAGACACACAGAGCATGACTACGTCGCCGCCCAAGCTCAACGGCATCGATGGCAAGCAAGGCAACCCCTCTTTTGAGGTGAACGGCCTTGCGTCCTCGCCCCCGATCGCAGAGGTATGTGTTCTTCCCGGACGCAACTGATGTATAGCGCACCGAGAGCTCGACTCCCAAGCCTGACAACCTTTCCAACGAGGAGATCCAGCGTATTGAGAAGAAGCGTCTGGAGCGTGAGGAGCAGCGTCGGCGCCTTGAGGCCCAGCTCTATGCTCTTAACGCCGAGGACAAGCTCGACGAGCTTTTGGTCAACGGTGGCAATGCAGCCAGCATTGCTGCCTCTGCGCCCACTTCGCCGCTCGGAGCCCGTACCCCGCACGGTGCCTCGGAAGAGCGCGCTCCCAGCACTGGTCCTGTCGCTCCCATCGGCCAAGGTCGCGACATGAACGGCGCCAAGAGCATGCCGGCCAGTCGTCGCACCAGCGGCTATGGTCCCACCTTTGGCATGGAGAAGCTTTCCCTCAGCGTCCTCGAGCCGGGAGGCAAGAAGTGGCACGATGAGGATGACGTTGATGCCGAGGGTGCCCAGAGTGAGTCTATCGTCGCCCTCCATGAGCTCACGCTGACAACAGAATCCGTAAACTACCTCGCCATCAACGACGACGACCCGTTCCCGTCACTCAAGGACTCAGGTCTGTCAGCCGCGTCGGCTGCACTCGACCTGGCTCCGCTTCCCCAGGCGTCGTCGCGTGCATTCGGCTCGCGCCCATTCGACACGACTCTCAAGACTTCCGAGTGGAGCCCCTTCCCCGCGCCTGGCGCTGGCCGCGGCGGCCTGACGTCGCCTCTGTCGAACACCTCGCTTATGGCCGGTGGTGACGACACTGCCCGTGACTCCATGATGAGCGGCAGCCGTAAGACTTCGCCCACTGGTCTCGCCGACAGTATCTCGAGCCTGCCTGCCATGCCTAGCAAGTCGGTCCCGTCTACGCCCTTCGGTCTGGGTGCCACCACTGCCAACATTCCCGGTCCCAAGCGCACGGGCACGAGTCCCCTGGGCAATGACAGTTTCACCCAGGCTCAGCGTGGCTTCTCTAACCCAGACCTCGCGCGCGCCTTTGCCAACAAGAGCGCTGCCGGTGGGTATGGTCTTGACGGTGCTCCTCGCCCTTACCAGGCCGACCCCCTGTACTCGTCCATGGGTCTCCCAGGTGGAGGCCAGGGTGGCAACAACTTCATGCCCCAGGGCGGTGGCTACGACAACTACGGCTTCGACGACGACTCGTTCGGCTCTGGCGCTCTCTACTCTGCCGGCATGATGGGCATGAAGAACAAGCGGGCCGAGGCTGACCGCGAGTTCAACCGCTTCTCTGGCATGCGCCTTGAGGACCTCCAGGGCGAGATCCTTTCTCTGTGCAAGGACCAGCACGGCTGCCGGTACCTGCAGAAGAAGCTCGAGGAAGGCGACCCCACCCACCGTGATATGATCTTCCGCGAGACCTACGGCCACTTCCCCGAGCTTATGATCGACCCCTTCGGCAACTACCTGTGTCAGAAGCTTCTGGAGCATGCTACCGAGGAGCAGCGCTCGGCCATCATCGACTCGGTTGCCAACGACTTGGTCGGCATCTCGCTTAACATGCACGGCACCCGCGCTGTGCAGAAGATGGTTGACTTCCTGGCGCAGCCCCGTCAACCCAAGCAGATTCGCACCCTGATCTATGCGCTTTCAGTCAATGTCGTCGCTTTGATCAAGGATTTGAATGGCAATCACGTCATCCAGAAGTGCTTAAACAAGCTTATTCCTGAGGACAACCAGTTTATCTACAACGCCATCGCGACCAACCTCATTGAGGTCGCTACTCACCGCCATGGCTGTTGCGTCCTGCAGCGCTCCATCGATCACGCGTCGCCAGGCCAGCGCGTCCAGCTTGTCACCGAGATCATCTTCAACTCGCTCTACCTTGTTCAGGACCCCTTCGGCAACTACGTCATTCAGTACATCCTCGATCTGAATGATGCCCGGTTCTCTGAACCCCTCATCCGCACCTTCGTCGGCAACGTCTGCAGTCTGTCTGTGCAAAAGTACGTTCATGGTGTTATACAGCAAACTGACATCAGGTTCTCCTCCAATGTTGTAGAAAAGTGTATCCGTGTCGCCGACCCCGAGATCCGCAAGGTTCTTGTCGCTGAGGTGCTCAACCGGTCCCGTCTCGAGAAACTACTGCGCGACAGCTACGGCAACTATGTCATCCAGACCATTCTCGACTATTGCGAGATCGGTCAGCGCATGGTGGTACGTCTATATTGCGTTCCGGCGGAATATGTGCTTACATCAGCTCGTCGAGGCTATTCGTCCTATCCTTCCATCCATTCGCAACACACCGTACGGCAAGCGCATCCAATCCAAGCTCCAGCGGGAGGATGCGTCGTTCAGCTACGGTGGTGGCGGCGGCGGTGGCGGCGGCGGTGGTGGTTACGGTCGTGGCGGTTACAGCAACCGCAACACTGGTGCCTACCACCCTCGTCACATTGGTCGCCCTCAGCTGCAGCACATCAACGCCTTGACTGAGGTCTATGGCGCGTCGGGTGGCGCTCCGTTCATGGGCGGCAGCGGCTATGGCCGAGGCGCTTCGGGCGGTCCTGCCCTCCACGTTCCTCAGGCCGGCGCCGGCCCCGCTTTCCACGGCCGCGAGATTCACAGCCACAGCGGTATGAGCTATCATGCTCCTGGCCCCGATGGCCAGCCGTGGCTTCACCTCCGCGGTCCCGGTGGTCACCCCGCGCCCAACTGGAATACCCCTGGTGCCGGCCCAGCCGGCATCGACCCCCTTCCCGCTACCGCGCCGTCCGATGGTGACCCGGTTCTCGCCGCCCAGGCTGCTGCTGCAGCCGTAACGGAGCGTCCGGGTCAGGGCCAGCCTTCGCTTCCGCTCTGGCAGGACCCATCGTACATGTACGCGAACGGCGGACACCTTCCCCCGCTCATGTAACGGAACGTTGATCGGCAACGAGACGGCTGTACCCCACCGGCGACGTGGCTGTACGCTGAGCGGCTGTATGCGCTGTGGCTGTAACACTTCTTCCGTGCTCCCGTGTACACAAATTGTCCGGAAATCAAGCAAGCGACTCGATAGAATCAAGAAAAACCCAAAACACCCACGAAGGATCGCTATACCCCACGCGCGTCGCATCCATGGCGGCGCGTGTCCTGTAACTCAGCATACGGTTGGCGACTTGCTGCCCGACCATCTCCTGTAGAGACGACGGCTTTTCGGTGCACTTGCTGGCATGCATGTCGAGCGGGTGCATCTTGTTGAGATTTGAAACTGTATGCATTGTTGCCGCGAACTGTGGGGTGGACAGCCTTCTTGATTGACTGGACTGCATATTCTCTGGATTCTAGATATTCTACTCCTTCTCGACTTTTCTACGAATTACTCGAGGGCAATGAGGACTACAGATGTGGCCTCGAGCTCCACTGACCCGTCGACGGGCTCCTCAACAACATCACCCGTGGGTTCACTCGTGGGCGTCTCGAAACTCTGTCCAGCCCAAGTAAAGCCCTTGGTTGCGTTGGTGAAGGGGGTGTGGAAGCGGCGGGCCTTGCCACGAACGCCATCAATCTTGACGCGGGTGCCGGAACGCTCGCCCATACCCTCGACGTATATGTCCGAGTTGATGATGACGAGGCGCACAAGCTTGCCATCCTCATACACGCCGTAAGCAGCAAGGGAGTCGATGCTCGTCGGAATTTCAACAACCTTGGCCTCGCCCTTCCCCGTGGCCTCCGCAACGATGAGGAGCGCGTGGTAGAGCGCCGAGACATGGGCGCCCTGCAGCCCCGTGCCATCATCAACACCAGTACCTTCGAGCGCGACCGGTTGAAGAACGTTGTACGTGAACCCGCGGCCATTGTGAAAGTGCATGCGCTTGATGCCAAGGCTCGCGATCTGGAGGAGGTGGTCGACGCCCCAAATGGTCTGCTCGCCGCCGTTGCTGAGTCCCGGAATGCCGTGGTGGCCGTACGAGTTGCCCTCGCTGAGCGTGTACTCGAGGCCCTCAGCATGAGTGGCGGCAACGTCTGCCGTCTTGACGGTAAGGTTACCGCGCACATTTTGCTTGCTCATCAGGCTGCCGATGTGGACGGGCATGCCCTCTTCGAAAGCGCCGGAGTACGTGTGCATTGAGAATTGGCGCGTGGCGGCGCGAATCTCGGGGTCGGCAAGCATGCCGGCCTGGTAGCAGGCAGCCGCGGGCCACTTCATGCCGGAGAGCGTGAGGAGGTTGGCGAACGAGCCCGGGCTGAGCGTCGTCGTCTCCCAGTCGAAGAGGGGGAGGGCGTCGCGCGCGCTCCGCACCCACGTCGCGGTGTAGTTCGCCGCATCCCAGTCCTCCCATCCCTCCTTGTAGATCCCGGCGCCGTGGCGGCCGGCGTAGAAGTCGGCCTCGTTGCCGAGCTCGACGGCGCGCAGGTGGACGTGAGCGAGCTCAGGTCGCTCAAAGGTTTCCGCGAGGTGGGCGAGCTGCGCGCGCGTCTCGTCCTGGTTCAAAGCCTTGAGGTTCACGCCCCAGTGCAGGTCCGTTCCGGGAGGCAGATTGGCGCTGAGTGCGTAGAAGTCACGCCCGATGCGGATCGCCGAGGCCTCAGGCGCCGGCACGGCGGGCGTCGGCGGCGGGAACTCCGCGTCCATGACCGCCACATCCAGGTCCAGCGTCGCGCGGTCCTCGCTGTTCGCGCCCACGCGGAGATACACGGGCTTGCCGGTGCGCGAGGAGAGCTGGCCGAGTGCCGTGTTCACAAAGGCGTTGGGTGCGCCGACGGTCGGGCCCGCCCAGTCCCGCCAGTGGTCCATCTCGATCGAGAAGGAGCCGAGCTGGGGGTCCAGCGGCTGCGAGTAGGGTGGCTCCGAAGCGGGAAGGGTCAGCGTCGTGTCGTTCACTTGCCCGCTGACCGGGGCGGCACGGGCAAGGAGGAGGGTGTTGAGAGGGAGGCGCATGTTGCTGATGGCGTTGAGGAGACTGGTCGTGGCGCTTTTATGTTAACGGAGTTAGTAGTCAGTGCGGGATGAACCGGCGCCCCATCCGGAGCCCGATGAGCCCCACCGAGGAACATCCGTGGACAGAGGACGGAGTGCATGCGGGGGGGAAGAGGAGGCGGCGGGTGGGGCTTAGCCGTGAGTCGAAGTGCAGCGATACTCCAAGCGACTGAGCCGCGCTTCAAGTGGACGGTGGGCAGCAGCAGTCTACTGACGAACAAGCTGCCGGCGCCGACGAGAGCTAAATTCCGCTTCTGTGCTTGGCATATCTCGCCAGCCTCATCAGCCTCTGCGTCCACACGCTTGTTGACGAGTTCGCAACAACGCCGAACGCCGCAGTAATGTGTCCACCGGAAATACCGTCCCGGAAGTAGATGTGGACGTAAGGCACGATCTCTGATCGGATCTGAAAGTCAACTCCTCCACATCGTCATGGCTGGCCCCTCCACGCGCGCAATTGGTCTCGCGTTCGAGAACCACACCCAGCGCTTCCTGAATGGAGACCTGCGCATGGCGCTGTCCCACGTTGGCGGGCGCGGCGACGGCGGCGTGGACCTGCGCGGCTTCTGGTGGGTGCCGCGGCGCCCACGGCGGAGGACGGCGAAGGCGACACCAAGCCCGCTTGAGGCTGAGGGTAGTGGGACCGGGAGTGAAAACGGCGCGTGGAAGCCTCCTACTCCTCCAGGGTTGAAGCGCGACGGCACTCCCGGCGCGCGCATCCGCCCGCTGCGCGTCGTCGCGCAATGTAAGGCCGAGCGGCGGGTGGTGGGGCCCAGGATTGTGCGCGAGTTCGAGGGGACGCTAGCGCATCTGGGTGAGTGCGGAAGGCGAACCCCGCTGATGTCAGCGGCGCAGGACGCGCGCGTGCCCCTCCTCGGCGTACTGGCAAGCCAGAGCGGGTTCAGCCTCGCGAGCATGGAGCATGCGGTGCGCGCGAGAGTACCCCTCCTCCTACTGCATCTGGAGGGCGGGCGACCAGAAGAGGAGGGAGAGTCGGACGATGCACCGCCAGAGAAGGATGTCGTGGAAGGGGCACCCGCAATATCGGTCACCGGCGCTTGGTGGAACGCGCCGCTTGGCGCTCTGCTCACGGAGACTGGAGTCGAGCTGCGCCGCGAGATCATGGACGGGAATACCCGTGTTGGCCTGTGGACCGCGGGGTCGCGCATGGGGCGGTACGGGCCCGCCGGATAGGCCATACATGCATTATGTGGTCGTACAATAGCAAAGGGGAAAGTGGTGCTCTAGAAATGGAGGATTGAGGTAAAACGGCATGGTAGCGATGAGGTCAGATGCAAGGATCGCCATAGCCGCTATGCGGCCGGCCGACTCAGCAGGTACACCGCGATCCGCTGCCGACCATCTCGCGGATCGAGATACTGTCTCGCCGCCGCCGCCGCCAAGGCATGCCGTTCAGCCGCCCACTCGACGAAACTGCGCGCAGCTGGCGCTCGCCGTACGACACGCCGCTGCCTGCGACGTCCGGGTCGATCGTGCCCGCGTCGATGCCCTCGAGAATCGCGCGCGCCGCGAGCAGGAAGGGCGTGCTCGCATTCTCTCCTGTCAAGGATGACGTCTCGACGAAGAGAACGCCTGAAATTAGCTAGGTCATAGGATGGGAGGTTGGGGTGCAATGTCGACTAGAGAGGGCGCGGTGAGGAGGGCAGCCCAGACACGGAGCTCATGCGACACGACTCTCGCCTACCAGTTGCCGGCGGTAAGCGCGCGCTCTCTCTCGCCTACACGATTATCCCGCGCCATTTACCCCCGCCGGCGGCCGCCGGCAATCAACGACCCACTCACCATTCTCTTGCGCCCACCGCTCGCCCTCCACATACTCCACCTCGCGGTCGTCGTCGCGATCCAGTTTATTCCCCACGAGCACGAGCACGAGGTGCTCGCTCGCGAGAGCGCGCGCATCCTGCAGCCAGCGGTCGAGGTTGGCGAACGTCATGCGCTTCGTGATATCATACACGAGGATGGCGCCCGCCGCGCCGCGATAGTATGACCGCGTGACGGAGCGGAAGCGTTCTTGACCTGCGGTATCCCAAAGCTGGCGTCAGTCATCTGTCGTCGGCGTTACCGTCACGGTCACGCCTCTCGTGCCAAGCAACGGCCACATCACGATTGAGCATCCGAAAGGGTGGCGCACAGCGATCGTGCGGCGCTCCAGTACCCACCTGTAGTTTGACGCTCCGGTCGCCTATGCGGATCGTTCGGCTCGAGAACTCGACGCCGATGGTGTGTGCGGCGTTCTCCTTGACTGCCGTCAGCTGGGCCAACAAGACACGAGCGGCTGCGTCACGGAGCTACACGGCCAGAGCTCGAAGAGAGTTGGGACACGGTGGGGGCGGAGCGAGCGCGCCTGCTCCGCTTGGTTGGGCACATGTGATGAGGCTCTCCCATACGGACAGGAGGGGCGATAGCACCGCTATAGCGCCACCGACGCTTCTGCGACTTCTCGCGCTCGGCATAGACGGCCGAGCGACCCCTTCCTGGCGAGCGAGTATGGCGACCGCGAGCCCGGTCCAAAATGGGCTGCGAAGCCGTCATTTCGGCGTGCAATGCAGCTCCATGGCTGTGTCTTTCACGGAGCGCCCATGCATCACACGGCGCACTCACACATTTCATGGATGCATTGGTAGAGAAGGCAGCTCTTGCCGGTGCCGGATTCGCCTGGAGTCAGTCTCGACGCGGCGTGGACGTGGATGATGCGCTCGGGCCGCACCTCCACCGCCGACGCGCGACGAGCGACGCACCGATAATGACGAACTTGAAGAGGTAGTCTGCTGTCAGCATGATGCGTGGGACAGTGGGCTCACCGTATGCCTCGACGAGTTCGGTGCCCTCGTCCATGCTGGCGCGATGCGACGGTGAGGGAGAGTTGGTGATGAAGACAAGTTGATGTCTTGGGTGGCAACGAAAGGCGGTTGGGCCATGTCCGCATGCGGCAATTCGAAGGCACTAACCGTCACGACGGCAATACTTTCTGTCCACACCAAAAATGTACATTCTGCATCTACACATCTCTAGTCTAAAGTATGCGCTCGTACGAGCGCTGCAAACTTACATTATACCCCTCAAGTCGCTGCGCGGCCCACCTTCATGCGCCGCTTGAGATTTTCGACTCGCTCCCACGGGTAATCTCCATTCCACACTTCGCGCCCAAGGATCGTCTTGATCGTTGGTAACCCGTCCTGTTCGATGACGAAGCTGGCTGCGACGTTGGCCCAGATGACGGCTGGTGTCAACTCAACGATGCCCGTCGTCCTGCGCCGACTCACCCTCGTGCATGTCCTTGCCCTCATCGAATGCAGCCATCAACCCTCCCATGAACGCGTTTCCCGCGCCTGTGGGATCGACAACCTTCGTCTTATACCCGGGCATGTCGGGGTGCCAGAACGCGGGTGCCCAATACACTGGTTGGATATGACTTGGTGTTCCTGGGTTCGATGTCTTCCTTGCCGCCGGATGTGGTGACGGTGTGCGCACGAGCTCAGATGTCAGTGCATAACAGCACCCCAAGGGCCCAGCGCGGATCACTGCGCCCATACGAGGTCGAAAGGCGACGAGGGAGCGCACCGCCCACTCGAGGACTGGCACGAGCTCGTCCTCCGAGGAGATAGTGCGACCAAACAGCTGCAGCGCCTCCGTGTGATTGGGACTGGTGTCAGCTGGGCAAGCGGAAAGAGCTCACCTGATAATGTCTACTTGCCGCGTGAGCTTGGAGATGAGCGGAAGATTCTCGGGAATGCAGCATGGCTCCTATCAGCGTTGGGCTTGCGCGGTCTTCATCATCGCTCACAGGTTCTGGCTCCCACAGCAGTCCAGGTTCCCAGCCCTCTTCCACTTCGGAAGATATAAAGGCAATATCCTGAACCACCTGATCCGCACGGGCAGGATAGGAGACAAGGTGCAGCCAGCTAGGCAGCGGAGTGTGGAAATCGGTTTCAAGGAGTGCACGCGGTGTCAAGAGCATGGGCGCACTCAGATACTCGAAACTGTGTGTGTCAGAAGGCATCGGCGTCCAGAGCCATGCCCCGCGTCCCGGGACACAAGCAACACAAGATAAGGCGCTATCTGGCCACTCACCCGCGCACCTGTCCGTTGTATCGATTCACTGCGCGCGTCGTGCCCGCGCCATCATGCCGCTCGCGCCACGCCCACATGTCAGCACCGTATCCCTCCAGCTGCGCCTTCATGGAGGGAGGCAAGGTTTCGGGCGTATAGTCGATGATCATGGCGAGCCGACTGGGCGGGAGGAAGATGCGCGCGCCGATGATCCCTGATGGTCAGTTGCAAGCGAGGAGGCGCCCGGGCGGGAGACGGGAGAAGTCCAGAGGTGGATGCCCCGAAGAAGACGGAGGCGGACGTACCATAAGTGCCAGCACCGCCTATCTGGGGCGTCAGCAAGGTCTGGGGAAGCACGTACTTGGTCGGCCTTGTCGACTGCGGACTCCTTCCCATCGGCGTCAACCTCGGTGAAGGTGTCAATGATGAACGCCTCTGTGAGGTGTGAGCTCGTGCAAGGCGCACATGGGCTATGGACTCACCTAATGTTGCAATGCGCGGTCGCTTTAATGTCATGGTGAAGATGTAAGAGGAGTGAGAAGGGAAGAAGAGAAAACGAAGGAGTAGAACGAACTGGAGCTACAATGAACTACGAGTCTGGCCATGCTGGCCACCCTCCACCAAGCAGGCACATCAAAACGCCACCCAATGTATTGGAGGGGGCCATTTAATCACCTCAGTGCATTGATGCTACTCATGTAATGCGGTCTGAGCACATGGAGGGGCACGGGCAAGTGACCAAGCCTACGCTCACGGTTGCCTGTGCGACTAGGATGGGATGCATTCGTCTCTATAACGGTGGAGAAGGAGTTCCTTCGAGCAGCGAAACACCCAGTGGGAGGGACAGGAATGGTAGTAGGGACGGTGATGGCCTGGTGGGATGTGGTGTTGCTACCGACATAACTGACGGCAGTTTGCTGTCTAGCTGTCCACTAGAGCTCGGGTCGTTTACAGGAAGGGCGGGTAGACAATCCACCTCTTGCCGGGGAACACCTTGGGGTCCTGCTCCTTCTTGTAGCGGCGGTACTTGCCCACAGCCCACGTGCTCATGAAGTACGACGCGATGGAGATGTAAACAATCGCTGTGGTTAGCGACGCGCGGTGAAGTGCGAGTCGCGTCTTCCCACTCACAACCAATGTCGCCGCCGGTCATGATGACCATGCCCAGGACGCCCATGGTCTCGAAGAAGTAGTTGGCGCACACAATCCACTGGAAGCCAAAGCCAGTGGGGTACTTGCGCGGCTCGCCGGGCGCAACTCTGAGCGTCGCCTGGTGCAGGTGGGTGTTGAGGTTGAGAGCCTCGTTAAGCTGGCGTTAGTCGCTGCCCCGCGAGATCCCAGTTGGGCAGTCCTTACGAGGATGAAGCCGGTCCAGAAGCGGATCCAGTTGGGCGAGTTAAGGAGACTGTTCTTAAGCGCCTCGGCTCCGTATGCCGGGCGGTACAGGGTCAAACCAATGAGCACGCCGGTGATGCCCCAGTAATAGGCACAGCTGCGAGTCAGCCGCCTGAATCGTCCAGCTACTCACTTGCGGAAGACGAAGGAGAGGGGCACCGAGGGTCTAGAGAACTTGTGCACAAAGATCGACTCGAGCTCACGCTTGACAAAGTGCAGCACGAGGAGGTTGCGCACAGTGCTGGGATTAGTTTCGCTGGCTGGCTGGCTCACAGCTGGAGGGACGAGGGCTCGAAATCGCCGTAGATCTTTCTGCTGAGCACGAGGAGAAGGGGGTTGATGAAGATCGGACCGGCCTACGGTCAGCTATACTGCACGCTGAGCTCGTTTTCTCGCAAACGCACATATTCCCAGATGTACAGCCAGCGGTATCCGACCTGCGGGCCGAGATCCTTGAGGCGGAGCGCGTCGCCGTCCGCCACGCCGTAGTCAGCGAGCGACTTGCGCTCGTCCGTGAGTGGCGTGGGCTTCTTCTCCGCAGCGGTGGGAAGGCCAAGACGCTGGCGCGTGGGATAGAACTGAAATTAGCAGTTGTGCTGAGCGCAGAGTGTAATGAGCCAGCTCCGACATACCTGAGGAAACTTGTTCGCGACGCCGGCCTTGACATCCCGCACGGTGACCTGCGCAGGGGTCTTGCCGGGAAAGTCGAGGGTGATGGTGGGCTTGCCCTTCGTCGAGACCGAGACCTTCATGGTGGAGAGACAGGAGACAAGAGATGTTCACAGGCTGCAACGTCACTTGGCCGGCACCAGGGGCACCTTCCTCTGACGCGGTCTGCATCACCGAAACGCGCCGCACGTGGCTTTCCTAGTCTCATTACAACCTCGGAGCGCATTAGCGGAGTCAAACCCACTTTTCCGTGCCGGCCAATTTCGGTGGGTGGTCCCATTCGGACTCGCGGACTGGCGAGATCAACTCGCGCAAGCTAGCATCCACACCACTCACCGCCATGCTCCCGCGCACCGCCTGCCGGGCGCTCCGCCCTGTGGCCTCGACGTCGCGCCTTGCGCTGGCGCCTCGCCTTGCCCCCGCCCCGCGCCTCGCCCTCGCGCGCTACTCGACCGAGACTGCGCGCGACGCCGACGCCGAGGAGATGTACCACGGCCCGCCCCCGCCGAAACAGACCAACGAGGCCATCATGAAGCGCTTCACCGGCCCCGGCTTCCCTCGCATTCCCGTGCGTCAACTCTCTCTCTGCTCCCCTCATCCCCTCGCATCCGCTAATAACAGGGTCTCCGCCACCTCGTCCTCCCCTTCCACCCACACCTGTACCAGGGCAAGCCGATCCGCGACCTCACCTTTGCGCGCCGGCGCAAGGGTGGCCGTTCTCCGCAGACGGGCCGCGTGATCAACAAGGCTGTGGGCGGCGGACACAAGCAGCGTATCCGTATCGTCGACTTCTACCGTCTTGAGGAAGGTGTCCACGACGTCGTGCGCATCGAGTACGACCCCGGACGCTCGGCGCACATCGCCCTCGTGCACCGCCGCGGCGCGGCGTCCGTCTCGGCCGACGAAGGTGCTGCGCTCGCTGAGCAGACGAGCGAGCTCGAGGGCGGGAGCACGGAGAAGCGCCTCCAGCGCAACGAGGTCAAGGCTGGATGGAGCTACATCCTCGCCCCGGACGGGCTGCGCGCCGGCGACGTCGTGCAGAGCTTCCGCGCAGGTATTCCCGACGGCATGGTGGAGGGATGGGCCGAGTTGGTCAAGGCCAAGCCGGAGACGAACGGCGAGGAGGAGGAAGGCAGCGAGAGCTCGCTCGCGACGGCAACTCGTGCCCTCGGTTTGCTGCGCACCATGACCCTCAAGCCCGGAAACGTCCTCCCCCTCAACCTAATCCCGCCAGGTACTCACATCCACAACATCTCCATGACGCCGGATGGGCGCATGCAGCTCTGCCGCGCCGCTGGCACTTTCGCCCAGGTCGTTGCGCACCACAACAGGAGCGGTCAGGCGCTGGGCGGTGCCGAGGTTCTCCAGATGGGCTCGCAGCTGCGCCCAAACGGCACCCGTGAGCCCCAAAACGGTACTGTCCTCGTCAAGCTTCAGTCGGGCGAGGTGCGCCGTCTCCCTCCTGCAGCGGTTGCTACCATCGGCGTGGTCTCCAAGTAGGTTCTTCCAGTTGATAAAGCTGACCCTGCAGCAAGGAGCACTCACAGAAGCAGATCGGTAAGGCTGGCCGTAACCGGTGGCTCGGAAAGAGGCCAAAGGTTCGTGGTCTCGCCATGAACGCTTGTGACCACCCCCACGGTGGTGGTCGTGGAAAGTCGAAGGGTAACAAGCACCCCCGCTCGCAGAATGGCTTGTTGCAAGGCAAGCGTACCCGTCGCCCCAAGGACAAGGATGGCAACAAGCAGGTCGTCAGCGAGCGTCCTCGTGGACGAGCATCAAAGCACGTGCGCAAGTAGGCGTGGCGTGACGCTTGCGGCTCTATTCTACATTGCATGCACCCTGTTCTACACGAGAGATGCTATTCTATCTAGCGTTGCCTAAGGGCGTCGGGCACGGACGCAACGCCATTTGTTCTCACGTTGAGAGCAGTGCTAATCGAGCTCGTGTCGCTCTCGTCGCCTCGATTGTCAAGTTCGATCGCGTCCTTCTCCTTCTTCTTGGACGGCTCAACTCGTGGAGGCGCGGCCATGGTGTAGACCATTGTGCCGCCTGATGTCAGTCTATTCACCACGCTCGGAACTTACCTAGTACCATCGTACCGCCCACAATCAGGCCCCACGACCACCCGCTGCCATAGAACCACAATGACAGGGCTAGTGACACGGCCTTACGGACGGTTAAAATGAGATTCACAGTAGTTGACGACACGCGCTTCAGTTAGATAACCCCACTCATTCGGCCCTGGCTCACCGATGTCAATCGATTGACGCCGCGGATGCACAACCCTTGCGTGACGACGTTGACTGCAAGAGCGAAGAGTGCGCCGGGAACGGCAAGTTCGCGCCATTTGATGAGCTCTCGTTTCGCGTCATCGACAGGAGAGAAGAGTGCCATGTCAGGCGTTGGCACGGCTAGCAGCGTGACAGGTGGCGAGGACATGTACGCGCTGAATGTTCTTGACAGCGACGCGTACATAGGAAGGAAGAAGGGAAGGGAGAGGAAGTGCTGGCGTCAACTTGCGAAGTCTACCTGGCAACTCACGTTGTAGAAGAGCGCCTCACGCCACTGATTTCCGTACTGTCGGTACGTGCTCTCCTGCCACAATCCCAGCCAGGCGGAAAGGAAAAGAGCCAGCGAAAGAAGTCCAATGCCCGCGACATACTGCACACTCTCGGAGAGGTACTCTTCTTCGGCTTCAGCAGCGGCGGCCGTAGTCGTGGACACCCGACGGGGCGGCTTTGGAGCCGACATGGTCGCGAGCACGATGCCAACGGTGATGACTACACCAGCGAACTGAGGTCAGACAGTGGAACCGGGCGCAGTTACACACAATCTGGCCTGCCGAGTATCGTTTCCGTCCGATGAAGTAGCCAGTAAGCATGGAGACGCACAAGCCTGCTGTTAGCGCTGGCCATCGAGACAAAGCTCACCCCCGGAGCGGAAGATGATGTGAACGGTGACGGGAATCTGGGATCAGCCGGTCACCCTTCTCTGTGGATCTGTCGGTTTGTCAGCTTCTCAGTCGTACCTTGAGTCCCAGGGCGTAGTTGTTCACTGTGATCAGCGAAGCCTCGGCGTAACGCACTAAGGCTGACCGCGAAGAAGAGGACAACTTGAACCATCCAGCGCTTGATGGGGACGACATTACGGCGCCACCTTGGGACACAGCTGCCCTTCTTCCAGACAATCTGGGAGGAGATTGTCTGGACAGCAACGTAAGCGAACTGGGCAAAGGTGAGGAAGGTGCCTGTCATCAGCCACCAGGTGGACCAGCACGGTGACGGTTTGCCACCCAGCTCGCCGAGCGACGTACCAGAGGAGGGGTAGTTCTTCAGGACAGCCTCAAGAGCCCACACGTTGCTGAGGTCAGTACAGTCGTCAGTGATTGAACTGCTACGCACGAGCAGCATCCGCCGAAAACGAGGGAGATAATGGCTGCCCATTCTCCGGCGGCACTTTCCGCCAGTGCTCCGAGGAGGGGTCGGTTGGACATGATGTAGAGTGGCAAAATAGTTGGGCGTCAGACCATAGAGGTAGGGACGTTCCAGAAGTATGATGGACGCCAAGGAGGAGGAAAGGAGTGTGGAAACAAGAGCTAAAGAGCGAGATGAGATGCTGAGGCGAATGTCAACAAAGAGATGCTGAAGCGCGTCGAACTTCTCAATATCGACACGTGTATCCAGGCACACACCGATGGTGCGCAAATGCGTAGACTCACCCACATCGGCTGAACGGCCCCACTAGCCACTGGATGCGGCCGTCAAGAGTGCCATTGCCGGTACCTTCACAGATCACAAAGACGTGTACGACGCGACGCGAATGGTATTGACGCCGTCTAGGACGGCCTCACTGCGCGGACCACCTCCAGCCTCCTCTGATAACGTACACGCAGTGAGCTGGTAGCTTAGACGATCCTTTCATCTGGTGCATCGATCGCGGGGGGAGAGGAGACTACAGAGTCACAGTTGCCTAGACTGCGTACGAAAGCCATCTAGTACAGGTGGGTGATGAGCCTTGCAGAAAGCCTTGTAACCAGAACAGACGGACGGGACAGAACAGTAAACGGGTCTGAAACGGGTCGAGCCGGGAAGCCGAGGCAAGAGAAGATGGGAACGAGGGAGATGGCAGCACAGAATGGACGGATTGCGGTCGGGCACAGATTGGGAAACTTTGAAACTTGGAAGCGACTTTTGGGAACGGGAGACGACAGATTCGGAACACATCGATCAACGCAAGACTGATACAGCGAACACACTTGCAGTCAGTGAGATGTTCGCTTCATGAATCACTCACTGGTCGAATTCAAGTAGCTTAGTACTGGCCGTAACCGCCCTGGCCGCCCTGGTTGCCTGTGATGTCAGCTTTAGTTCGGCCTTGAACGGAGAAGGGGATAAGCACCGCCATAGCCACCACCGTTGAAGCCGCCCTGCTGCGGGGGTGCGCTGCCGTAACCTGGAGTGGAACGGAACCGCGAGCAGGCCGATAAGGTGGAAGAATCGGAATGATACGGCAACGGGAAATTGAAACCGAGCGAGATATCGAATGTTCAACGACATCGAGAATGAAGCAGCGGAATTGAGAGAACGGGAGGATAAATGGAGGTCATGAAACACGAGAAGCCAAGTCAGAAATTGGCCGAAACCAACGTAGCCGCCGCAAGCACTTACCGCCCTGGTCGCCGCCCTGCTGGAAGCCTTGCTGGCCGCCGTCTGCAGATATTAGCAGACATTCTCGAAACTCGATCCGGAGTACTCACAACCACCACCGTAGCCACCCTGCTGGCCACCAAAGCCACCCTGCTGACCAGCGTAGCCGCCCTGGGCACCGGCGAAGCCCTGCTGGCCACTGAAGCCCTGCTGGCCGCCGTAGCCACCCTGACCACCGGCGTAGCCCTGCTGACCACCATAGCCACCGCCGTAACCACCCTGGCCGCCGTAGCCGCCACCGTAGCCACCCTGGCCGCCGTAGCCACCACCGTAGCCACCCTGGCCGCCGTAGCCACCGCCGTAGCCACCACCACCACCGCCGTCTATTGTCAGCTTCATTATCCTAACCGGGCAAAGCTTACAGCCGGAGCCGTAGCCACCGCCGTAGCCACCACCAGCGGGCTTGGAGTTGGCCATGTTGACGCGGACGCGACGGCCGTCGAGCTCCTGCTCGTTCATCGCGTTGATCGCGGCGTCAGCCTCAGCCTGAGTGGCGTAGGTCTGTAACGTCAATCGCCTTTCGGGAGCAAGATAGTAACGACGAAGCCAAAGCCGCGCGAGCGGCCAGTCTCTCTGTCCTTCATGACGATGTAGTCGAGAACCTGACCGTAGGCGGCGAAGGTCTATTGGTTGAAGCAAGGCATTGACACGGGACACGAGCCAGTGAGTAGCAGCCAAGTGCCAATGACGGGCCAGAATCGGAGAAACACGCCAGACGAAAGCACACGGGCAGACGAAGCATTTGAGACGAGCGAAACCGAGACACAGAGCGATTTGAGAGACCGAGGCCAGAGGGGACCAAGAATGGACCAAACCGAGGCAAACGAGACCGAAACCGAGACCGAGACGAGAAGAGCGCGAGCGAGCCAGGAGAGACGAGGGAGACGAAGACGAGAGCGAGTTGGACGATCATGTGCAGACAACACAAGAAAATGAGCACGTATGAGCATTACTAGACACAGGGAGAGAAGAAGAAATGATGCAGACCTGGTGGAGCACCTCGTCGGTAGTGTTCCACGAGAGGTTGCCTGTTAGGTTAGCGAAGCAGTTCAAGCCAAGACAGAGGGTGGAAGGGGGATGTGATCGAAGGCCTTGGGTGCCGTTAAACAACAACATGAGAGGAAGGCGGGCCCCACATGCGTGTTGGTACTTGGGAGAGACGCGCAGGTCTGTGCGATCGAGTTGCGCGAGGGCAGGAGTGGATGTGGAAGGGGGAGGGAGAGAGGGCCAGCAACGCACCGACGTAGACCTTTGCAGCGGACATGTTTGGAATGGTTAGTGGATGGAAAGGAGAAAGGGGAAGAGGGGAACGTGAGTGAGAAAAGAGATGGGAGAAAGAGAGAAAGGAGGAAGCGATGAAGACGAGAGGAGGGGAGCCAGCGTGGACGGGGGGAGGGGGAGGGAGAGGGAGAGGGGAGGGAGAGTTGATTCAGAGAGTGGGTGGCGCCGCGCGGCGCCCACGCAGAGCGCAGAATCATCTCGCCCGCATCACCCTCTCACCCTGGCGCAGCTGCACACCCAAATACGGCGCACAAAGGGGCCACTCTAAGATCAGGGGCGCAACTCTGCTGTGCACCCTCACAGTTACTGTTACTTTACTCAATCCACCCCTTTAGATCATGTCGTCATACTCCGACATGTGGCGACTTGCCACCCCCCCTCCCAGATCCTCGATCTCCTCTTCAACCTCCACCTGACGCGTCCACTTGATCTGACCGCCGCTATTCTTGCCCTGCTTTGGTCATTCCAACACCTGCAATGTCCAACACTGTCTCTCAGGCGTCGCTTCTAGCTCTGAAAGCAGTCACAGCGGAGCATGAAGAGCGCTTTGAGAAAGAAGGACGCGCGGCCAAGCGTGGCGCCGTGCGCATCAAAGCAGTCGACAAGATCAAAGACCCCTTCCTCCGACCTTCACCGGGGCTTGTAAAGCGACTCGCTCGCGAGGCCCGCAACGAGGCAAATAGGCGACACTTTGACGATGAAGGGCCGAGTGACGAGCAGCGCCGCGCTATCCTCGAGGCCAAGGCCAGGAAGTACGACGCACTTAAGCGCGGCGACCTTTCCGGCTTCACTGAGCGCGAGCTCGCCGAGGCGAACATTGATGTGAGTCGAGAGGAACCTTGGGTTTTGACTGAACGTACCAAAACTGACAACTCCAGTTCACGCGCAACGATGAGTGGTCTGATCACTCCTCAGATGTGGATGAGTCGGCGATGGAGCCGCGGCGATGGGGGCAAGACGAAGTGGACACTTTCGATGACATGGAGCAAGTCGAGTACGTCGACGAGCTCGGGCGCACACGCTTTGGGACCCGACGTGAGGCCAAGGAGGCGGAGCGGGAACGACAGCGCTCCAGCCGCGGGCAGGCATCGCAGCAGGAAGATCGCGGGGAAGGTGCCTCCTACACCGAGGTTCAGTGAGCGCCTGATGGAAGTACTAGCTAATGCGCAGGCAGTCGACAATTATCCGTATGCTAGTTTAATCGCGGGTGAGCTAACGGCAGATGGTGACCAGAATTACTTCCCGGTGTATGAACCGGACCCCGAGGCTCTCAAGAAGAAGTATATGGAGGCTGAGGCCGCGGCACGCGCACATCACTACGACTCAACGAAGGAGGGTGAGTTGAGTACCCCTGTAATTGACTGACAAGAAGTACGCGTGCGTGGCGCAGGTGCGTACCAATTCTCGCTGGATGAGGAGAAGCGCGCGGAGCAGATGGCGTCGCTGGATGCGGAACGGCTCGTGACCGAGCGCGCACAGAGGGAAGCCACGAAACGCGGCGGTCTCAGTGCTGCTCGGCAAGCATACAGTGACCGCATCGAAGCTCGGCGTACGCTTGTAGAGGCCAAGCGGGCCAAGTTGCTGGGAGGTCCTAAGAAGCTGGAGGAGCTCCGGCAACAGCGGCGAGAGGAAGAAGCGACCAAGCTGTTGGATGATTTCGAGGTCCAGCTCAGGAGAAGTGCGAGCCCGGCGAAAAAGGTGTAGACTCGTATGTTGTACGCATGTATAGTTGCAGTCGCGGTGATTGGTGATCAACAGCGATGACGGAGGTGTTGAAGCGACATTACGATGCCAAGTACGAGGCTGAGAGGCCACTCGATCTGCACCAGGCACCGAAATCGTAAAACGTGCATCGGCCCCAAATAGTCTTCGGCGTTAAGGCATCACGTGACTCCGACCAGCACTGGGTGACCGTTTTGGGTGGTGGCGGGAGCAAATGGGACACGCTCCGCCCAGAGGCTCGGGAGAGTAGTGAGTGCGTCCAGAGTTGCTTGCCTCGTCAACTGACTTAGCAGGAAACCATCAAAGTGCGTCCTCTCGACACCCTCTACTCCCCCTACCACTACTTACACGACACAGATGCGCGTCGACCGCTGCGACTTCTCCGGCTACAAGGTCTACCCCTCGCGGGGTAAGGTCTACGTCCGCGGTGACTCGAAGGTACGCGCATTCGCGGCGCGGGCGACGGCATCGGGCGGGCAGGCGAGATGGGCCGGGTGGGAGGCGGCGTGTGCGGCGTCGGCAAGGCGCTGTGTGACATGCGCGCGGCGGACAGAGGCCCATGTCTTAGGAGGAAGGTGGTTATGCCCTCCTCCTCGGCAGGTGGCAAAGCGCACATCGAAGATGTGGAACAGGAGCACGAAGTGGTAGAGCAGGACGCCCGCCCGTCGCCTGCACGATGCCGGCTCCCGTTGGCCTGCCCAACGGCACGCCGTGAGAATTGCACTCACGCCAGACTTTCCGCTTCGCTGGCTCGAAGAGCGAGTCTCTCTTCCTCCAGCGCAAGAACCCCCGCAAGATCGCTTGGACTCAGGTCTACCGCCGCATGCACAAGAAGGGCATCACTGAGGAGGTTGCCAAGAAGCGCAGCAGGAAGAACGTGAAGATCCAGGTGAGTAGCGCGACGCGGCTCGCAAGGCTAGCGACTTGCGAGCCTTGTTGCAGGATGAAGGTAGAACAGCGCTGATCCGCAAGCGTGGCGTTGTCGGTGCCGACCTCGCGTCCATCCTCGCCAAGCGCACTGCCAAGCCCGAGGTGCGCGCCGCCGCCCGCCAGGCTGCCATCACCAAGGCCAAGGCCGCGAAGAAGGAGAAGGAGACCAAGAAGGCCTCGCGTCCCCAGGGCTCTGCCCAGCCCAAGGTCTCCAAGCAGGCCGCCAAGGGCGCCAAGGGTGGCCGCTAATCGCTATCGCTCTCTGTTGCACCGGGGATGACTTGTAGGATATGCGGGCCGCGCATCGAGCGATGCACTGGTTTTGCCATGCCCGCCGCGGCGGAGTGAGAGTCTACTGATGACAGGGAGCGGGACGGTGTGCTCTGCGGTATTGACGCAAATCCGAGTCGTCCGCAGCGCAAATGGAAGTCAGAGCCGTTCACGTCCTTTTCCAGCATCACTCTTCTACGTTCTCCTCGGCTCATCCATTCGTCTCCACCCTCTCACCTCACAAACCTGCCTCCCATCTTTCTTCCCGTTCTCACCCTGCCCATCTCCACCGCAGCCCACATAGACAGTGCCCGTTCGTCGCGTCCTACGACGACCGAGGCGATCCGGTTAGCGAAGAGAACCATATACGTGTCGCTAAAGACCACATGTCCCAGACGAGGGGGACATGGGGGGGACTGCGATCCGACATTCCATCGTAGTGTGGCTGCAGCTGATGTATTGCTGTCCTCTCTGTGCTTGTACTGCGCCCAACTGCTATTTTTCTGCAGCCGGAACCGTCTGCGAGCCCTTCAGCGAAGATCTGCCGTCATGTTTGAACGCAGTCCGGATAGGCTCACCGGACGTGGCAAAAATACATGCATGTCCCTCTCTATCCCACACGCCTCCTCTTGCCACCGGCCTCGCCGAACCCGCCGGCCTTGAACGGCCTGCTCTTCTTCTCCTTGCCAGCAACCTTCTTCCTCTTCTTCTCCACGACCTTCTTGACAGCGCGCTTCCCGCCCTCCTTCTCGAGCGCCTCAAACCGGGCCTGGAGGAGCAGATCCCGCTTCTCGCTCTTCTTGAGGTACCACGCGCCCTTGCCGTCCTTGCGGCGCGCATTCTCCTCGCCGCGCACGCGGGCAAGTACCTCGCGCTCGCGCTGCTCCGTCCGCGCGCGATCGAGGCGCGTGCGCACACGCGCCAGCTCGCGCTCCACGTCCTCCCTCGCGGCCGTGAACCGCGGCTTCTCGACAAGCTTGCACGCCTTCTCGGCCTTCTTCGCCGCCGCGAGCTGCGCCTGTAGATCCTTCATCTCGGCCTCGAGGAGCTCGGGCACGAACGCGTACCGCTTCGCGTGCACGTCTGGGTTGGCCTTCTCCGCCGAGAGAGCGGAGAAGCGGGGGTCGCGCCGCTCCGAGCGCGGCACATCGATCACGGCACGCCGCCGCGACACCTGCTTTTTCGACGACATGGCGACGGGGCTACAGTCAGCAGGGTCATCGCAGTGGCCTCACGCATGCTTGTTGCTCCGCGACAAATTCTCTTCTTCGCTCTCGCTTTCGCTCTCGAAGCGCTTCTGGCGCCGCGGCTCGTCCTCCACTGTAAGAGCTTTGCCCTTCGCGCGCTGCATCTCCGCCAGCTTGGCCTTGGCCGCCGCGAGCTTCTCCTCCCGGCTCGCGGGCTGCGCGGCCGTCACCCCCATGCGCGCCTGCACACGCATCAGCGTCTCGAGCGGAATGTCGTCGAGGCCCTTCTTGAGCTTGCGCTGGGGTCAGCTACGCCTCTGGTGTTCCCGCTGTGCTCACGAGCTTGGCTGCATCCTCGCCTTCCGACTCGGACTCTGAGTCCGAGGCTCCCGCATCCCACTCGTCTGCCTCGTACATTCCCACACCATCGCCCTCGTCTTCTGAGTCAAACTCGCCGTCGCCCTCGAAATCCCCCTCGTCCTCGTCAGAATCTCCTTCGTCGTCGTCCTCATCGGATGCTTCATCTTCAGAGCCCTGCCCTGGCCGCCGTGTGGACGCGACGTAGTCCGCGAACTCATCCTCCTCCGAGTCGGGATCCAGAATATTGTCGTCCTCCGTGAACTTGGGTGGTGGGCGCTTGGGGGCGGACTTGCGAGGCATGGTTGCGTTGTTGATGGAGGTGAACTTGAAGAGTGGAGGTGAGGCTCTGAAATCTTGGGCAGCGGAAGTATTTGTCGTCATTTGCCACCCAATGGTCATTACGACGATCCCTTGTCCGTTCATTACCACTGATCGAGCGACAAGCAAATGAGCCGAGCCAGAGTTGACAACAACATGTCTGGGGGTGCGTTGCCGACGCTTCAGAAACACTTATCCTCTTGTGATTGTCGCGGATAACTAACGGTACTCTTCCAGAAATGTGATACGTCTCCTTCAGCAAGAGGGCAGCACGGTCACTCTCATTTCTATGACATGGCTGCAATTGCTCTCAGAACTGCATCTGACTCAATGCCCTGGCTCTACCTCCAACAACTTCAGCTTCCGTGCCGGGCGTGCAAGACAGATAGATGGTGTGACACCAGACTTAATAGCGGCTGCTGCTTACACCGCAACATCATTGCCGTGTGTCCGCATGTCATGTATGCAACCAACTTGGTGACGACCATCCAACACCCTTCATCGTCATGAGTCGTGCATGCCATAGATTTGCTTTGCGAGCTCTAGAATCTTACACGCGGAACCTCCGGCTGCCGTCAGCACTCCTTCACCAAGTATCCTACCTTCCAGAGCGAGAGAAGAAGGTCTTGAGGACCCAGATCTGTGCACTGTTGTTAGCTCTGCTACACACACAAACTCACAGAGACATGCCCACAACAGCGACACATTCAAGGATGGTGAACCAGAACAGGCGGCTCTGGGTCGACAGCACGGTCGAGTAGTTTCGGTGGTGGCGTGTGTGGAAGTACTTTTGCAGACGCTGGATAGAGGAGAGCAACCCATTGATCTTGTATGTGCTCTCCTCGAGGGCCGATGTGTGCTCCTTGAGTGGTGCCTGCGAAGCTGAAAGAACGCGACGCGGTTCGGACTCGACCATGATACTGGTGTCAGCGGATGGGTCTGACAATAAGGATTGACAGCAGCTTGCCCGGACGTGCAACCAGCTCAGGATACCCGACACCGTCATTGCGTTCGGCGTTGAGACGCGGTGCAGCTCCCTGCTTTCCGAGGCGCGACTCACTCAAAGTCGATCAGCTTGTCCGCGCTTCCACCGTCATTGGCAAAGCAGAAGGAGTACTCGCCCACCAACTTCGCGGTGAAGATGTAATCGCCTTGCCGTTCGTTGTCGCCCTCGATGATGATCTTATCCTCGGGGTCCATCACAACCCAGTCGATCTCAAAGTTGCCGCCCGACTGGATGGCAAAGTAGAAGCCTATGAGTCAGTGGGTCAACTCATGAATCACCGCTTCCAGGGTCAAAATCCTGGACTAGCACGGCGCGATGGAATGCCGAAGACGCACCGACTTTTTCGCCAACGCCGTCAACGTCAGCATAGTAGCACGCCTTGTCGCCCGCCTTGAGAATAGTGGTGAGCGCCGTCGCGTGCGCGCCTGCCAGGAGCAGAAGGGACGCGACCACGGAGATGAGGACGCGCATGCTGGGAGAGAAGTGGGTGGAAGGGAGCTGCCGGCGCTCGTATGTTGTGATCGTACAAGTCGTGTCGTGAGCGTGGCACCGGGACGAGAGTTGAGATGCCTGATGAAGAGGATGCGAAGAGGAAGAAGGTTGAGTTTGGATTGGAGCTGTTACTTTGGTGTGACGGGATGGCGTCTTGCCTGGAACGCGCATGAGCGACACGCTGGCAGACGAGTGGAGGTCATGTCGCGTGGCACTTTATTTGGCATCCCACATACGTCGCCAGGTGGAGGTCGTCCACAGTGACTCTGGACCACGAGAGCGGCGTCTGTCATGCATCCTACTGACCGCCTTTCCCCTACTGCCAACTACTGTCAGCCCAAATTGTCTCATGAACATCTCTGTAACACATTACAAGAGCTCATTGTCCTCATGAACCTGCCTCGCATCTAGTCGATCCGTCGTCCTGATCGCGTTCTGCTGATCCCCATGGCTCAAATGTCGCTCTCTGGAACTTTGGAGATCAAACAAGCGGGCTAACGAGCGCTCATATCGTAGCCTTCCAATCTTACTTTCCAGCACCCACCCCCTCGGTGAATTCACAAGTACGGAGGCATCTAACCAGCCCCCCGTGCTAGGCGACTTGAGATGGTATGAGTGGCGTACCGTCCATGTAAGATAAGTAGCAAAGAGCTTATCTCCGTCTGGGTTTATCACCACAAAATTGTAGCGCTTCTTGAGCCAGAATTCGCAAAATTCTGCTGCGTGATGAGAGTCCGGCAGGCGCGGCGACGATCCCAAGCTGAGAAAATCAAGCTGTCGGGAGAACCATGATCTAGAACAGCGCCCCGGACAACAAAGTGGCGGCGTGGTAAGATACGGCGTCGCGTCGCTCGGTGCGCGGCTTGATAACCAGCTGATGAACTGCGGGCAGCCTTGTGCGGAGGAGATAGACTGCGGGCGATCCTATTCCGAGCGTCGTAGTATGTGGTCGTAATCAGGAATCACAATCAACTGACAAACCAGCCGCTGGCGCTTGGACCAGGCATGCGCCGCATGGTCACATTATAACATAATAAACTGGCTTCGCTCTCCGTATCATTTCCTTGGACTGCGTACATCCGTGGACATCCGGAGCAAGTCCGGCCAAAACGGCGGTGCCTCCCGACTGAACGCCGTTTTGACCGACCCTACCCATATCTTGGCATGCCAAGGTGCACCCGGCCCGGATCGCGTCGGCTGCACATGCTTCTGCGCATGCTCCAGCACATGTATGCTCTCTGCCGTTACGCCGGTCCAAGTAATGGAGCTGGTCACGAGTCAGAATTGTGGTGTTCGCAGCAGTTCCCAGATGGGAATGCAGGATTGTGGGAGCGCAACTCTGGATAGCGGGATGGAAGGTAGCACGAGCTCGCGATAGGCGAAGCGTTGTCTAAATTGACTACTACACAGCCGAACCGAGCTGACCGGCTGGCGACGGCCTGGACCAAGATTTGACGCGAAACAATGCAATGAATGTGGCACTCGAGGTACTAGCGTGCATCATGCTCTCCTTCTCCCCTTCGCTATCTGCGTACAATATTACCCATAAATAGAACTAAACTGCACGGCCAGCAGTCACGGGCGCTGCGTGCGTGCGCGTGTGCGCTTAGAGGCGGTCCTGGAGCTCCTCCTGAAACTTTGTGTCGGACCCAGTCTCAATGTCGTGCTGCGCATGGTGGCCAGCAGGGAGGGCGACGTGAATCTTCTCCTCGGGCACATCCTCGACGTGGACAGTCTTCTCATCCTCGTAGTTGGACTCCTTGATCGTGCGGATGACGAGGAGGGCGAGGGGCATGGAGCAGAACATGAGGAGCCACGAGACGATCTGCTCGGTGAGGTACGGCGTCTTGACCGCGTCCATGCCGAACGAGATGGCGGCACCGGCAGACTGGACACCCTTGTAGTAGCCAGTCATGCGGGCGAGCTTGAACGGATTGTTGGAGAGCGAGGCCATGATGTAGTACGCGAGACCCTGGAAGAGCGAGTCGGTAAAGTAGTACATCTGGTGGTCAGCGAGATTTTAAGCGTTACACTCACGAAGAGGAGACCGTACGCCTCGGGGGCACGGCCCTGGTTGTAGTCGTAGCGCCACTGGTCCTCGGGGTTCGGGACGCGCTTGAAGAGCCTCTGGAAGTGGACGCCGCCGCCCCAAACACCGGCGAGGAAAATGGTAACGATGACCCAGCCGATGATAGCACGAGTACGGCGCTTGGCGGGGATAAGGTCAAGGAGGAAGCCGACGAAGAGGCCACCGACAACGGCACCGAGGTTGGTGATAAGAGACGAAAGAGCGCGCGAGCGGCCGTTGAAGATGAAGGGGACAATGGCACCCTGGTACTGCGGGGTCAGCGGAAAATCCAGGTGGAATAAACGCACGGCGTAGAAGTAGTTGCTGGCAAAGAACATGGGGAAGAGAGCGAGCATCCTCCAGTCCTTGAACTGGCGGAAGAACTCCCTGATCTCCTCCTTGGGCGAGAGCGTGTCTTCGAGCTCGACGAGGGTGCCGTCGGGGCGGACAATGTTCTTGGCCGGCAGGACGAGCTGCGAGGCGACAACACCGACAAGCATCATGATCAGGAAGGCGAGGTAGACACCGGTCGAGACGTTGGGCATGTCACCCTCCTTCCACTGGATGCCGAGAGCGATCGAAGCGCCAACGACAGCACCCGAAGAGAAGACGGCCCAGAAGATGCCGAATGCACGGCCCTTGTCCTTCTCGAGCGGGTACGCCATGATAATGGTGCCCTGGGCGGTCCAAAGAAGACCAGCGCCTGAACGTCAGCAAGATGCAGATCGGAGAGGGATCGGCAGATCGGCGGACTCACAAGCACCGAGGATGGCACCGGTGACCATCAGGAATGGGCGGACGTGGTGGACCTGAAGAGCCCAGAGGCCGCCGACGTAAATGGGGTAGCCGCATGCGCCGATAAGCAGAGTGAGACGGGAGCCGATAACGTTCTGACAGTCAGTGCACGCTCCATCGAGAGGTGTTAGGTCTCGCAACGTACGTGGATCGAGCCCGAGAAGAAGCCGACAATGCAAAACATGGCGTACAGGAGCGAGTTGGTAATGTCCACGAGCGCGACGTCCTGGGCACCACCCGCGCCAAGGTTCGAAAGCGCGTTGAACATGCCCGGGGTAAGGAAACACACGAAGCCGATGAGGAAGACCTGGACCATGGGCGAGTTGTCTGACGTCAGCCGTCGTCCTTGCGATCCCGCTGGTCGCCCCGCTGCGCTCACATCGTGTGTTGCCAATGCGGAGCGAGGCCATACGGTCCCCGAAGGATGCGAAGCGACCCATTGTTGTTGTTGGTGCGCGTGGGAGGTGGAGGTTGTCGGAAGAGTGAGAAGACTGGAAAGCGACCGGAGTGTGCGAGTACCGAGAGCTCTGAAGCCCAAGTGTGGAGGCTGCGTGGTGATGAGAGACAACCAACTCTCGCACGACCTTATAAGTATGTGGTGCGCATGCTTGGCTGTTGCTGCTTGTCGGCTCCGTAATGGTGGCAAGGGAGCGCGTGGTAGAAATTGCGGCGTGCTCGCCGATCAACCAAACTGGCAAGTGCCCTGGAGCCAACCGGCCAAACGCGACGCACCTAAGGCACCGCAGGCGCCGTGGGGCCGGCCGGGGGTGAGGCCGACATTGAATGCACTCTGAATGGCTGCCACTGGTGATACGGGGCTGCTGCGTCGGTTGTCGGGGCTGCCGTCTTTTCGTTTTCCCGTCGAACTTGGGCATGTGCCCACAATGAGGTATCCCGGAGTTTTCGCCGCAGCCACAACTCCAACCCCCACCTCACCCGCCCAACCGGTCCTCCGTGTTCCATCCTGATGATCGAGCCGAAGAGACGAGAGCCCCGCCAGAATCAGATCCCGTGCCGGACTCCCCGCCCGAGATCTACAGAGCGGATCTCCATTTTGCGGGGCTCATTTGCGTCGAACGGCGTACTCGCCGCATCAGTGTGGTTGACTCCTTCGGATGCCTCCGGATCTCTGCCAGAACACCCCGTTGAGTTCCGAGATGGAGAAGACGTCTGACATCAATGCGGCGCACTCATGCAGGAGGCGTCGACGGTGTACTCGCCGATGGGTAAACTGGCGAATCAGTAACGCAGTAGTGACGAGCTACAATCGGCGGCGAGCATTCTTCTGATGGCGCTGACGGCTGGAATACGCGCTAGGCGGGCTTGGGCAACCTATCGTTCGGCGAGAGATGCGCTTATCGTGGAAGACCGGCAGATACTATGGGGAGATCAGTTGGGGTTTGGACGGTGAGCTTGACGAGATCCTAACCGTGACGCGTGTAAATCGGCAAAGTACAGCGATTTGGTCGCCATGTCAAGGCGCACAGACCAGCCATTATTATCTCGAAATGTAGTTGATGGAATCACAATCACACCGGTCGCCCGTCTACAACGCACATGTCGCATCGGCCACTCGGACGACCAGAAGTTAGGGAAGGCGATCTTGGCTTCATTCGAGAAGCCCCCCCATCAAGGTCTAGGAGCGAGCCCTAGCCCATTAGTCCCGCGACGAAACCAAGAGTCAGGGAACCCACCTCGTGACAAGCTTTCATTCGCCTATCTCACGTCAGCATCTGGACTTGTGCCATTGTGCAGGGGGACGCACCTTGTGGCGCCGCCGCTGGCGGCGCTCGCTTACATGCAGCCCTCCCCACTGCCACATCACATAGCCAACCCAAAGTGCGAAGCTCCATCTTTCACGGAAATGACAGGGAGAAATGTGCCGGGGAAATGCCCACCGCACAGGTGGTCAGGAGAAAGGCCCGGGGCAAATTCAAGGTTCCAAACGCCAAACGCTGCCCGGCTAGGAAATTGCAGGTCGAGACAAGGTCTGTGAATAAACCTTGACGTGCGCTGCGTCATGCCCGCGCCGCCAGTGTGCACGCCAAAAGAATCGCAGCTCCCGAGAGTTGCGAGCGCTGTGCGCGGGAGGTCTGCGATGTGCAGTGGGCCTGGAGGACAGCGCAGCGCCGACAAAAGCGCTGTTGGAGCGCCACAGAGCCTTGGGCTGCAGGAGGGCCAGGAGAAGGACGAGTTCCAATTGCAGCGCCCAGGGGCAAATGTGTCAACAGAGGCATCCCAGTCACTTGGTCACTACCACTCGTCCTCTCTCCTGGCAGCCTCTGGTGTATCTCATGACCTCTTTCTTGGCCCCTACGCCTCCTCGCAGCCTCACCTCCTCCTATTCAGGCTCAGCACCTCATTTGGACCTGATCTCCTGACCTGGATCCATCAAGTGACGAGAGCACGTCTCATGTTGGCAAGGCTGCAAGAGACCGAGGTCGCTGCATCTCAACGTAAGAGCTCTATATGACATGATGCATCAGTGCCTTGTTACGCTGCAACTGTTGTTCTATTCTTCTGCTCTCTAATCTCCTCTGCAAACACTCCATCCCCCGTTCATCGCTCTCCATCGCCAACCATGCCGTCGTGGCTCCAAGGAGTCCTCAACACCTGCCCGCTCGCAGCAAAGTTCAAAGGCGAGCGCCTGCCTATCCCCCCCGAGCTCCGCCAACTGCCGTACTTTGAGAAACGGTTCAAGAACAAGTACGCACACTTGTACAAGGCGCATGACGAGCGCGGCCTCAAGTGTCCCATGGACGTCAAGACGATGGAGGACATGGTCTCGTTCTGCCAGCATGTCCTGCGCTCCGATGACATCCTCGCCTCCACAAAGGATGTGGCCAGAGTTTTCCTGGCTCGAGTCTTGAATGTGTATAATGGTGTGTAGCATCTAAATCTAACTGACCGACAGCGCAGCATCCAGTGCCCGGTGTGATGGATGAGGACGTCTTTGACAAAGAGGGGAATCTCAAGCACGAGGCCGCCAAGCCGGCACAGACGCAGGCGGCGACAGATGAAGTGGTACAGGAGAAGCAGCCGGCGCCGGCGCTCCGCCCAGAACAAGCCGAGCAGCTCGAGGTTGCGGCCGTACGTCTGTCAGCGGAACAGGACCGGCGGCGAATGCGAAGGCTGGAGCGGCACATTGTGAAGCTTGAGGCGCGGCTTACCCTCCTGGAGCCGGACAGCGATGCCGATTCTCAGAGCCCAGTCAACACGGGCGCCGCAAAGCCCTCCCTCGACGTTCCGCGGGAAAAGGAAAGAGACCGATTCGGCAAGGAGCTAGTTGTCGGTGCGGGTGGCTTGGCGCGAGCAGGCTCTACCGCCACGAGCGGAGCACACAACCGCACGCCGTCGTCTGGCGTCGGTGGCAACGGGGGTCTCACGCGCGCAGGGTCAGGTGCCACCGCGAACAGCCACGGCAACGGGACAGTAAAGGACAAGGAGGCGCGCGATAAGGAGCAGCGCGACAAGCCAGAACGGGACATCATGCGCGACAAGGACCTGCGCGAGGCCAAGGTGCTCCTCCGAGAAGTGCCCGTCCTGAAGAAGCTCGGACGAGGGACACCTCCCCCGCCGCTCCGCACACCGCCGCAGCTGCGCACCCCTCCGCCAGTCGTGCGGTAGCGCCGAGCGTGTAGCACATACGCGGCCACTGTACCCCTTAATAAGCCGCTGCGGGCTCTGGACATTGTACGTTTCGTCTTATGCATCGCCCCTCGTGGTCACCATCGCTCCGCTCCGCCACCGCTGTTGACATTGCGAGCATGACAGGGGATGCGGAGGCGAGTGGGGGCATGACGTTGTCTACATGAGGCCGTTCCTGCCTCATCCCTTCGGTACCCAACTACGCTCACTCCATCCCTCATGCACGAGGGGAATTACGTCAACCCGCAACCTCAAACACCAGACATGAGACGCCACCCCGCATCCCAAGCGTCGCCACTGCATCAGCCGCCCAGAGTAGCATGAACAGGCAGTGGCAGAGATTACCAGCATTCGCCGTCGTGTTTCATCGTTGGCAGTAACCTGGTGACCTGACTGCCGGCAACATGAGGAAATGTAGAAGACACCGACATAACGAGACATTTCGGGCATCGCTGGTCACCGTGGAGCGGGCTCCTGTGCCACTACTCGGTTCAGACTTAGGACATTTATCTGAATCGCCCGTATGCACATTACGATATGCCGCAGAAAGGACAGAAGAGGCAGAGTTGCCCTTACATGTCCGAGAACAGATGGTGTCTCAATCTCGGCTGGCCGTTCAACCGGTGATGATCTACGCACGCCAACATCCGCCGAGATCGTGCGCAGCGGTGTAGACGATTCCGCACCTACGTGACTTGGGGCGTCATGACCGCTCCCACGAACGCTTTTGTATGGGTCTGCGGTCATCCCAGCTCCAAGCAGCAGCCTTCTTGATGTACTGAGAACTCAGTTGCGACAGCCTAGGCGTGCGGGGAAGCGCTGAGAGATCTGCTCCAGCGATCAGTGTCCACCGCTCACGGCGATGCGGCATAATCCTCCTTGTTAGTGCAGAGCGGCAGCAACAGTCTATACACATGCAACAAGCTCGTCTGGTGGTCCAAATGTGAGGGGTCGGGTGTCGCTGAGTCTATGCGGTGCTAGCAGGCAGCGGCGCCTCGTGGTCAACAGGTGGATCGACGGGTGATGGTGCCGACCTGGCCTGGTCCGCGACCACCTCCTCGAGGTCGACCGTCGCACCGTCGTCGTGCGCATCAGTGCCGTCGCGTTTGCGCAGGGCAAACGGCTGCCCAGGAAGTTCAGCGATGATGCGCTCTACCTCGGTGTCGTGGTGCCCAAGGCTGAGCCAGCCGGCACGCAGCCCGTTGGACACGACTGTCTTGAGGGTGCGCTCGAGGGCCTCACTCCTGTATAGCGACATGTGCGCGTAGAGAGGCGGAAAAGAGCAGTCGTGGTGGCCACGAGTCCGTAGTGTAGCGTCGAGATTGCGATTAGGAGGGCGGGTCAGCTCTGATACCCGAGAGTTGACCAGTGTACACACGACCGAGCATGCGAGACGGATGCGCCGCACTCCAGGCCGCACCCTTCCCGACCTCACTGCGCAAGCCCACTGCGCAAATTAACTGCGCGACCCCACTGCGCCAATGCATTGCGCCACCCCACTGCGCAGTTGCACTCCGCACAAGTTGCTCGGCTTTCCGCCTCGCCAGCACGATTGTGGCGGGACCAACCACAGCGCTGGCGTCACGATTCCACCGAAATCCCTGCCCCCGCCGGTGTGCATCTCGAGTCCTCCTCACACACATGGCTGGCCGAACTCGGGGTGTACGTCGCGTCTCACCGCATGTCCGTGACCTTCCTCGGCCCCAAAAACTCACCTCTCCTGTAGGTGCCGCACGTCCTGTGCAGCGTGCTCGTTGAGTTTCTCCACGGCGGCCTCGAGGTCCTCGAGGCGATCAGTGACCTGGTCTCGTCGCTTCTCATTCTTCCGCGAGGAGCGGTATGTCTCGCCGAGGACAAGTGATGCTCCGAGAGCGAACAGGAAGGACTCGGCCATCATGGACGCGCCATTTTGCACGGCCCTTGGAATCAGTGGCTGCTCGATGGTCGCATGCCTACTTTGCTTCGTTGAGGGGCTTGATATTCTTGGCCTCCTCGTTCAGCAGCCCCATGCGCATACGCGCCTCCGTACGGTGCATCAACTGCTGTCAGGCTGCGTCAACAACGTGCGCACCTGGGCAAAGTTGACGCAGATGCGCCGGAAGCTGTCATGACTGCTGGGCGCAAGCGTCGAACGTGTTGTGCACGGGTATGCGGGATCCGGGTCATAGTGGGAGGGAGGTGCGATCGGTGAATGTGTTCATTGTCGGCGCGGACGACAGCCGACGGGAATCAATCACGCAGTGCAGGGTGGAGCGGACCGAACGGAGACGAATGCCAAAGTGGGGAATGACAGAAGCAAAGGGTGTCACGGGTCAGCTCTGGCAGCGGTAGCGTGAGTGCGCCCGACTCACGTCACGGCCTGCTGCTTGATAGTCGAAGCGATAGGCTTGGCAAGCGTCTGCGAAGTGAGCACTCTGCCCTATGCAAGCATGAGCTGTGGCGCACCTTGACGGCCAAGCTAAAGATCTTGACCGACGCCATGGTCGCGTGCGCAGAGCGGTAAGAGGTGACGAGGGTGGCTGGGGAGAGCGCAAGTCGAAGAGTGCGAGTGGAGATGGTTGGAACGGTGATCGGCAGGCCCCGCACGTGGCCGTCATTGCAAGGGCAAGCCACGCGTCACCTCGGCACCAAGTTTCTCCGCTCCGCTTCGCCTCCGCCCACTCATTCCGGTGGCCATGCATTCCGCAGTCCTTTATTAGAAGCGTAGAGGCCGTTTAGGCGCAACGGCGCTGCTCGGTTGGTTGCCGAGATTTTCTGTATTTACCAGCTGCAGTTGATGTGTTATTATACAGCTTGAGGCGGATGTGTGCCTCTGCCAATGTCTGCTGATTGGCAGAACAGGTTGACTGACAAGCCAATTACAAAGGAGTGTCTTGGAGAGATCTGCACGTGACCCATGACCCAATCGTCTTGGCATGTCGGCCAAAGATCGAGATCCTGCCGCACCCGCTTGCGGCGCGCGGCTCATGCGAGAGCTCGTGCGAGGGTCCAGAAGCACAGGGGCGGAAGCGCAGCGGCCGCTTGCGCCTCGGGCCATGAGGCGCTCGATAAGGCGCAAATCTTCTTTGTCTCACGTACACCTATCTAGATCATCAAACACGTGCGTGCTTCAACACGGTAGTACGGTAGATTCCGGCGGCTGGTCGATCTTCCGCGTTCATGACGCGATCCGTCGCGCCTGGCATGTCGCATTCTGCAAATATCCCATGAATGGCTCGGCACTCGCCGCACTCGCCGACCAAGAACGTGGGAGACCGCCCTGTTCCAAGTTGGGCGCCATCAGTATATGGCTCCCAACGTGCCAAGCAAAGATGTGCTAAATGCAGATAATGTGCTGCGGATTGGATAAAGAGTTCAACATTTACATTTTGCTTGGCATTTGCAAGGTACGCGCGGTCACCGAGGCTCGGTTGGGACAGTTGATTGAGTTGGTCCAGACATTGAGACGGGCTCCGTCCGTACGCTGCCGCTTCCGCCTCACCCAAAGACCTCCACTTCGCCCTGCTCGCCTGCGCCCACCTCACCATGTGCCCCTATTCGGCTCCCGGGGTATTCTCCCTCCAGGACGCAACCGGGCTGTCGCGTGGCCGGCTGTCTGCTCGGTTGTGTGGCATTCCAAGAATCCGACGAACGTGCGTCAACAAAACTCATCTGTCCACTCACCACCGCGCCTTCGACGCCACACCGATCTCTAAGAATGCTTGCCCTCAGCATTCTGCGTGACATAGTAGAAGCAGCTCACTCTGATTCTCTGATGAAATGTGGCCCGCCTAACGTGCCTGACGCCGCCAGATCCGCAGTTGGAGCTCAAGTGTAGGTTCCGCGGCGCTCCAGTGATGAAAGCGCCGACACGAGTCTTGGCCACGCACGTTCGATGTTCAAAGAGCACCGAAATATCCATATCCATGCTCGGCCTCGTGTGACCGTAGCCGCGGAGAGGCAAGAGACCGCTCACTGCGGGCAATGCGCTCGGGTGCAATCGCCAGGCGAAAGAACTGCTCGAGCGAGAATGGCGCATCCTGACCGCTCACCGTCTTCGCCTCTGCAACAGCTGCCTGTATAAAAAGACAAGGCCTTGTCGCACTAACCCCATCACAACCTTCACAGACGCCCTCGCCACTTCAGCGTCCTTTCATACACTCACAGCTGGACCAAAAGCGGAAGACTATCCGCCTCTCTTACTTCTCAGCACCCTTCCTTTCCTATCCGATCTCCACAGTACATCGGCGCCGTCATCAACATGCCGCTCCACCAGTACGACTACGTACTTGCCATCGGCACCTTTTTTGCCCTACTTGACGCATACAACAACGGTGCCAGTGAGTGACCACTGTCTGGCCCGAATATTACAACTTTACTGACAAGCGCAGACGATGTTGCAAATTCATGGGCCACTTCGGTCTCTTCTCGCTCGGTCAGCTACCGGCAGGCGATGATCTTGGGTACCATCTTCGAGATGCTCGGTGCGATCACCGTCGGTGCCCGTACTGCCGACACTATCAAGAACGGCATTATCCCTAACTCTGCCTTCCGTGGCGACGCCGGTGTCCAGATGCTGGCTTTCACCTGTGCTCTTGCCGCCGCCTCGAGCTGGGTGATGTGGTGCACCCGTCACTCCGCCCACGTATCTTCCACCTACTCCCTCATCTCCGCTGTCGCCGGTGTGGGCATTGCCACTGTCGGTGCGAAGAACGTCCGATGGGGGTGGTACGGGGTATGTGCACGACAAAGGTGGTTGCTGACAGCAGGGTAAGGGCCTCGGCGCCATCTTCGCCGGTCTCGGTATGGCTCCCGCTGCCGCCGGTTGCTTCGGTGCCATCATCTTTTCTCTGATCCGCGTCGTTGTCCACGTCCGTCGTAACCCTGTCCGCTGGGCTGTTTTCACATCCCCCTTCTGGTTCCTCATCGCCGGTACCATCTGTACTCTGTCCGTTGTCTACAAGGGCTCGCCCAACCTCAAGCTCAACAAGAAGCCTGCTTGGTACATTGCCTCGGTCACCCTCGGTGTCGGCTTTGGTCTCGCTCTCCTTTCTGCCCTCTTCTTCGTTCCTTACCTGTACTGCCTCGTCATTAACAAGGACAACGACATTCGTTGGTACCACATGTTCCTCGGCCCCCTCAACTTCAAGCGTCCCCGCCCTCAGGGTGAGAACGAGGCCCGCGTCCGTGACTATGCCGTTGTCCAGAACGACCCGGACATGCCGGAGGAGAAGACTGTCTACGGCAGCGAGTCTCCCAACGAGGAGGACTTCAAGGGTCTTCCACCCGCTGCCATCGATGGCACCCCCGCCATGATGGCCACTCCCGCCACCCTGGTTCACGGCCGTGAGGCTCAGCAGCTTTCATACCGCGAGATCATGGCCCGCAACGAGGAGCGCTTCCACGCCAAGCTCCGCAAGAAGCGCGGCCCTCTTGGCTGGGCTATGCGCACTCTCCACGAGAACCCTATCGGCAAGGGCGAGATCTACGAGAAGCACAACATCATTGCTCTTTTCAAGCGTATCCCCGCGTACATTGTCTGCGGCGCTCTCTACGGTCTCCACTACGACATCCACGCTGCCCAGTCCGGTGTTTCCGGCACCCCCGAGGGTGACCGCATGCAGCGCGTCTACGGCAACGCCAAGAAGTACTCGAACGAGGTCGAGCACACCTACTCCTTCGTTCAGGTCCTGACCGCTTGCACTGCCTCCTTCGCCCACGGCGCCAATGACGTCGGTAACGCCGCTGGTCCTTGGGCCGTCATCTACACCGCCTGGAAGACTGGAAATGCCGCCGCCGCCAAGGCTCCCGTGCCCATCTGGCAGCTCGCCTTCCTCTCCGCCACCATCTCGGTCGGTCTGATCACCTACGGCTACAACATCATGAAGGTCATGGGCAACAAGATCACCTACCACTCTCCTTCGCGTGGCTGCTCGATGGAGATGGGTGCCGCCATCACCGTCCTCGTCTTCTCGCAGTACTCGCTTCCCGTCTCCACCTCGATGTGCATCACCGGTGCTACCGTCGGTGTCGGTCTCTGCAATGGCACGCTTAAGGCTGTCAACTTCCAGCGTGTTGGCCTCCTCCTCTTTGCCTGGATCATGACCATCCCCATTGCCGGCACAATCGCCGGTCTCCTCATGGGTGTCGTCCTCAACGCTCCCCACTTCCGGTCTTAGGCGGTAGAGGAGTACATCCTGGTCCCACCAGCATACATAGAGCCCCCGGACGCTGGCGGGGGACTCATAGATACATGTTCTATATTTGGGATGCCATCGCGCATGTGTAGCATCAACTGTCGTCGCCGCGTGCTTGTCGAGTGCCCCCGAAATGTTTTCTTGGATCCAGGTGGTTCGAAGTGCCACTCGTCACGCCACGGATGATTACTATAATAGGGCGCGCGTTTCATGTTTCCAATTGCATCATCAATTGGAGTCTCCACACAATTTGATTCCGCTCCTCCTCTTATCTTGCGTCCGTCACCACCACAGATCGGCCTCCACTCTGTGTGGCTTCCCTCGTCGTGCCATCCCATAACCGGGCACCGCATCCCCCTTTTGCATCTCCTTCTTCTCTACTCTATCTTCTCTTATTATCTCCAGCCCTCCCACTCTCCCGCTCTTCCGCTCTTCCACTCTTCTACTCTTCCTCTCTTCTCGACTTCGGCACTGCTATCCCTCTCGCAACAACAAAACGATGCCGGTACCCCCTCCCACGTCCCTCCATGGCACCGTTTCGTCCGCCGAGTGGTCCTCGGGAGAAGAAGTCAAGCCGCTGTCCACCATTCCCATTTCCGTGTCGCCAAAGACCCCACGCAAAGGCATCCAGTTCAATGGCAATAATCACACCCCAGGAAGCGGTAGTCGACATCGCATGGTCTGTGCTGACGACAGGTCGGAGTGCAGCGGGGCGACTTGCCGGGATGCAGCTTCGCACTCCGAACAAGGGCGAGGCTGCGCGACGTGCAGCTTTATCATCGCCTTGTTATGACGCAAGCTTTGCCACGACTCCCTCGCAGCCCTCCGGTCGCGGTACCAGTAGCGACAGATCTGATAGTAGGGCGAGGACGCCAGGGGAGATAGGGTACGTCCACGTCCCCCCGGCTGTCACTTCCACGCTCTCGTCTTGCATTACCTTGTGTCACTGCCGTTTCTTCTGCAGCTACTTCTGCCTTCGTTAGACACTAACAAAGCAGAAGTGTGACCCCCAAGACTCCCTCCACTGTCCGACACTATGACAGTTCTTGCCGTACTCCGCAGCAGGAAGCCCGTTATGCCGCCCTCCAGGCAGGCTTGAACCCCGATCGGAACTTCCCGAGGCGTGCCATACTCCGCCCCCGCTGCGAGGCAGCTCTGTACTGACAACTCGGCTCGAAACCTCACCTCGGCGTTGCAAGCGGTGGTGCGCGATCGCAAGCGTCCGTCTCATCACTGGAGCCCCGATCACCCTCTAGACGCCATCTCTCTGGAGGACACCTTCCTAGAGCTGGTACCTTCCAGCCCGCTCCAGAACGTGTTCAACTCGCATAAAGTTGCCTATGGAGTCCAGTGGGAGCTTGAGCGCACGCTTCGATCTCTCCATTCGTCGGTTGGAGTGTCCATGAATGACATCACTCCAGGTGATATTGTGCAGTTGAAGGGGCCGGTGATGGACGCCATGCACCGGATTCCTGCCGTCGTTCGCAGTGTCTGCTGTCGAGCCGATCCAATGGGAGGCGATGTTCCACTGGGCTTCAGCCGGCGCATCGCCGCTTGGGCAGAGATGGATCGCGAGGAATCTGTAATCATGGACAATTCCAAGACCTTCGACGGCGTGTTCAATACAAGTGCAGAATGGCCGTACGGGGGCCGACTGGTTTACGCCTTGGGAATTCAGTACAACAAGGACCGGTGAGCAATAATGCTGACCATCTGACGGTAGCCACCGGGCAGGAGAGTCTTTAGATGCACTGTCGTCCCCTTTCAGCTTTGACCTCCTTCCCGTCACATCGCCATCGACATCAACCCGCCTCGCTCGCCGCTTCGGATCCCGGCGTATCTTAACTCTGCGGTGCAAGAATGTTCCTCGCAGGAATGGCGCCCGTGAGAAACTGTTCACTCTGTTTCGAGGAAGGGCGCTTGTTCTGTTCGGCCGGGTGTTCCGCGTCATGTGGATAGGGCCAGACTCGGAGAAAGCCATCGCCATCCAAACGAACGAGGTGCCTCCCTGCGGTACTGCTCTTGCCGAGCCGCCCATGCCTAGCTTCTTGAACATCATTTTGGGTAAGAAGTCAGCCATTGATTTGCTGACAGCACAGGGTTCAATTCTTTAGACGCAAAGCGGTCGCAGGCGATGGCCAAGTGAGTGTGAGGCCGGCTAGGTTGACCTCCAGATGGGCTTCTCGCATACAACTCATCCAATCCGACTCTGTACCAGCCGCCATTGTCGATGCCGCAAAGATCATCGTGGTGCGCGACCTTACTTGCGACGGTGCCGGCTCTCAACCGGGTACTACCCAAATTCTGACAGACGGGTGCGGACTGATGTGTACGTTAGGGTCGGGAGTGTAGCCTTGCTGACGGAAGCGGCAGCGCTTGCACTGAGGATTAAGCAGCATCCAAGCTTTACGTATCTGCCCGCGCTTCCATCGGCTATCCAGATGCGTTTAGGCGGTGCCAAAGGCGTCCTCGTCGTCATGAGCCCTCAGGAGCAAAACGTTTATCCGGGCATAGACGTCGTTCTGCGAGACTCGATGGTCAAGTCTCATCCCTCAGCACGCTTTGAGCACGATCCGTCAAACTTCACCCTCGACATCCTCAAAGTTGACGGGCTGCGCATCGGTTCCACATTGTCGAGCGAGCCGGCAATTGTCATGGCTCACAATGGCGTCCCACAGGAGGTGCTTGTGGGGAAGGCACGGAGGAGTATTGCTGAAATCGGCGAGGCCTTCGCAGCAGCACCTCACGACGACGAAGACGAAGTTTCCGCGACAGCGCGACTGCTTCTGTCCGTGTATCGCAGCGGCGGAGTGGGCACTGAGCAACGCAAGCGCGAGGTTCTTCGAAGAGGACAATCCTGCAAGGTTGCTGGTTTAGTGTCACGGCAGGTGGACGCGGACGACGAGATGGATGATACGGATGACGGAGATGACGGAAAAGATCTGTCTCCCGCAGAAATGTACGTGATGAACGTGACACTGCTGACTTCAGACTCTACCGCATCATCCGCTCGGGTATTCAACCTACAGCCGATGAAGGAGGCTGTGTCTACGCAGCAACCCAATTGAGGCAGCTCGTTAGCACACTCACTCTTCGAGCGGCCTGTGAATATCGCATCCCAATCGAACAAAGCTTATCTGCTCTCATGGTTCCGGATACAGCCGGGGTGTTAGCACCCGACGAGATCTTTGTGGCCTTTGGCCAGGAGCAGCCTCTTAACCCACTTGACTGTCGGGTGCGTGACGCCAGGAGCCCAGCTGATAAGCAGCGAATGACCTTCCTGGAAGGTGACTGTCTCGCCTACCGATCACCTTGCAAGTTGCCGACAGACGTCCGCAAGTTTCGGGCGGTGGTTCACCCCGCTTTGCTGCATTTGCGCGACTGCATCGTTTTCTCAGCGCATACTGCTTTGTGTGGCCAATCTCCAGCCAGCTTCCTCGGTGGCGGCGACTACGACGGCGACGTTGCCACCGTTATTTGGGATCCCGACATCGTCGAGCCTTTCAGCAATGCACCCGACCATATGGCTGTTGAGCCGCCGGGATTCGAGAAGGCAAACTTCGCCAAAGAGATTGTGACAGCTGATCAGTTCCTAAAGGCGCTTGACGGGAAAGAAGATTCGGTCATTGCTGCAAACCTGCAGCACTTCCTCCTCGGCCACCTCCTAGATGAACAGCTAACAGGGCAATGTGAGCCTTTCTGCGTTGCTGACTGACAGAAGACTCCGAGATGCATGCGTGTGCAGCATACACTCGAGGCGTCGAACATCCAGAAACCCTGCGACTGGCACGGATGTGAGTCGGCCATACTTTGAACCAACTCACGGCAGGTTTTGCCAAGTCCTTGACTCCAGAAAGAGCGGTCTCAGCGTTCTGCCAGCGGTGAAAAGGCAAGACATGCAAAAGTTCAGCCACAAGGTTGCTTGGCGCACGGAGAAGATGAAGGCTAAGGGCAAGGACGAGTACCTCAATGACGATACATGGGAAGCCGTCCGCCCTCATCACCTACCCCCGTTTATTGTGAGTTCCAATAAGTGATCGCCGTGAGCGTTACCTCAATCAGCCGCTCACATAAGATGGACGAGATCAGCGCCCAGGCTCAGGCCGCCCGTCTGGAAGTTCTGCGTGACTTCCCAGGACCCAACTTCCCCGGACGCAAACGCGAGCTCATCCCTCTCGCGGGGATGTATAAGGATGCGTCCTTAATGGCAGACAAATGTCCCGCAATCGCCGAGCAGCTACGGCTGGTCGAAAGGCACGTGAAATGGGCCTGCGATGTCTTTCCCTTAATTTTCCATTGGAAGAATCTGGATCTGATACAGCACTACGCCGACACCGTGCACCGTTCTGTGCCATCTGCAGCTAGTGACGGCAACCTAAGCCGACAGTCTAGCACTGTGAGCTTGGCGACAACGGCGAGCTATGCGAGTCGCGATTCGGGTCCTGGGAAGGGACGGCGCATTCCACCAAGCATCACACGGGCTCGCCTGCGCGAGCTGCGACGGATTTGGCGAGACGGTCTTCGCCCAGCGGACGTGCATGACTTGGTGGTTTATCGACACGAGCGGACGCTCGCCGAACTCAAAGTCTCGTATGCTGTGTACCTGTCCAATGCGGAAGGGCGGTCTGTGGTCGTGCCGTAGGTCCAGCTATGTGGCAACCTGCTGACTCGTAGCTTCCATGTTGACCTGGAGACAATCTGCAACATGGCTGCGGAGGCGAGAGGCCCGACCGCGGCGATGCCAGCAACAACTGCTGCGCTCTTCCGGCCACGGCACTAGACGGTACATGACAAGCTGTTTGTCTGTAAAATCGGATCTCATGAATATTTGCGTAGCGACAGCTCATATGTGGGGCGAGTGATCGGCAACTTATCTGGCTCGGTGTTCAACCAGCTCGCGTCACCCCTGCTCTACCAAGCTTCTCGCTCTGTTTACCCCTGGTACTACGGTGTTTCCTGCGAGTGCAGCGCAGCCGGCCACGTTGATTCTCCTGGGCCAGAGGTGGGAGAATGTAGCTTGATGACCGAGAGGCGGAGCCCGACCGCCGGTCTCGGAGCTAGTCCGGTTATCCCCGTTATCAGAGAGTTGAGCCTAATCAGGCGTTCCATGCCCACTTATCATGTTCGTCATTCCTTCGTGCCGAGACATGTGCTTCGAAGCCGAATCAGCACGTCCGTGCAATCGCCGGCGATAATCGATGATGGAACCGGGTGTGTTCTTGGCTTGCCGAGGGCTTCACCGCGAGCTCCGCCGCGACCCGTGCATCCTCACTTCAACCGGCCGCCGGCCCGGGTCTTAGGTCCTCGTTGACCTATCCTAGGTACACGTCGGGACCTGTTCGGCGTCTCTTGATCTATTGAGCGGACTGGCATTCCCACAGGTCATGGAGCCTACCCCGCCTGCCCACCTCTACTGTTGTCACGAGAGCACACGTTCACGTCACTGGTGGGCGCGAGGTGAGCATGGTCTTTGTCATTGGTATGATACGATGTGGCTGGCATGCTTCCCACAAGCAGGGAACGGCGAGGGGAGCAACGAGGACCAATTGTGACCTGTCACCTGACCTAGACGACCTCGGCACTCCATACGTCCTTGGCGGTCCGCTGCGGAGTGTGAGATTAAGACCAGTTATATATAGGCAGGCTTAGCGACATGGGCTCTCCCACACACCTCCCACTCAACTCATCATGGCCAAGCCCGACGGAAAGGCACTTGCTCAGAAGGCGATCGCTGCGCGCGACGCTACCATCCCCCAGGAGTACCTCCTCCCCAAGTCAGCCTACCCGCTGCCGAAGAATCGCCGGGGGCTGCTGGAGAGCTCGGGCATCCTCAAGCCCAAGGAGCTTGAGATTGTCGACCTAACCCTCATCCCACTCGCCAAGGCCATCGCCGAGAAGAAGTACACGGCGGTGGAAGTCGCCACGGCGTACTGCAAGGCTGCCGCCATCGCGCAGCAGGCGACCAACTGCGTCCTCGAGCTGTTCCAGGACGAGGCGCTCGCCGAGGCGCAGAAGCTCGACGACCACCTCGCCAAGACCGGCAAGGTCGTCGGGCCGCTCCACGGTGTCCCCATCTCGATCAAGGACCACATCCGGCAGAAGGGGCACGCGGCGCCCTGCGGCTTCCTGTACGCGGTCGACCAAATCGCCGAGGAAGACTCGCACCTCTTCAAGGTCCTCCGCGCCGCCGGCGCCGTGCCGTACGTCCGCACGATCAACTGCCAGGCCGTGATGCACCTCGAGTGCCGCTCGGCGTGGGGCGCCACGCTCAACCCGTGGAACGCCGACCTTGTGCCCGGCGGAAGCACGGGCGGCGAAGGCGCCCTCCTCGCCATGCGCGGGTCACCGCTCGGCGTCGGCTCCGACATCGGCGGGAGCGTGCGCTCGCCCGCGGCCGCGTGCGGCATCTACTCGTTCAAGCCCTCGATCGGGCGCGTTCCGAACACGGGCGCCGAGACGCTCTCCGCTGCGGCGGGGTATGAGGGCATCATCTCCACGCTCGGGCCGATGGGCCGCAGCGTCGAGGACCTCGAGCTCATCATGCGCATTATTGCCGACGCTAAGCCTTGGGAGTACGACCCGAGCCTGCACGTCAAGCCGTGGCGCGAGATCAAGCGGACGGGCAAACTGCGCATCGGCGTCCTGCGCGACGACGGAGTCGTGCGGCCCGTTGGTGCGATCAACCGCGCCCTCGAGTACGCCGTGGACAAGCTCAAGGCCGCCGGCCACGAGATCGTCGAGTACAAGCCATACGAGTCGGAGACGTCGTGGGATATCATCGTGAGCGAGTGTAATAGAAACACACTGACGCCAGACCAAGCTCTACTTCCCAGACGGCGGCAAGCTGGTTTACGACTCGCTGAAGAAGGCGGACGAGCCAGCCGACCCCATGACGGACTGGATTGTGGGGCAGGGCCGCGAGCTAGACCGCGACGAAATCATCGACCTCGTAGCCCGGCGCGACAAGTACCGCATGGCGGTGGCGGCACACTGGCAGAAGGCGGGCATCGACTGCCTCCTCTCGCCGGTGGGGCCGACCCCCGCGCCCCTCCCCTTCACGGCCAAGTACTGGAACTACACCAGCTACTGGAACCTCGCCAACTACCCGGCGGGCGTGTTCCCCACAGGCCTATTTGTGGATGAGAACGACAAGAAGGACACCAACAAGCCGCGGAATGAGAAGGAGGAGGAGATCTACGCGTCCTACGACCCCGCCAAGGCGCAGGGTGCGCCGCTGTGTCTCCAGGTTGTCGGGTATATCGGCCACGAGGAGGAGACGCTCGACGCCATGAAGACGATTGTGAACGCCGTGACGAAGTAGCAGTTGTAGAAGTATGCAATTGGTCAGAAGGGGTGGAGCAGTTGAGTCAGCTGGCCGCGTTTGGTTTATCGTGGATGAGGGTTGGCAGCGCACGGCACCGATGAGGCATGCCTTGAGAAGTGAATGCTAGTGGGGTGGCTGAGAAGTTCCCACAGAAGAGTGGGTTGCGAAGCCACAGAGAAACGATCCACAGATGACTGGTGGCCTTGAGTGGGGTGTCGCTGTGATACGCGATGACCCGAGCCGCCTGGCAATCGCAATGATCTTCACTCCGCTCACGGCAACGCAAGGTTGAAGTACAAGCTTCAACCCACGATGATGGTATTTCATCCTTGCTCATCGCTCGCCCTCAACCACACACAACAACCTTAGTTGCTCCCCCAAGCGGCCTCTGTCCTTACCTCCCATTAATTACTCCTCCTCGCGGCGCACTTGTGCAGGAGACCGGCATGGCAATAATGCGGGCGGTGAGTTTCACCCCAGGCTGCTGACCCAGGTGTCTGTCTTCTCCACATCGTCGGCAATAGCAGCCGTTGCCTATGCTGTCTCCGCGATCTGTGATGCAGCGATCTGCGCCTTGTGCACCCGCTCGGTTGGAGAGTGTGGGATTGCACTCGCATGCACTCTGACCACTACTCTTGTACCTCAATCATTGGTGTAGTGCCTCCATTTGCGCTTGCTGTGGGTGTCTCATAGCACTGGCCACCCTCATAAGCATGCTTTGCATCGTTGGCCGGCGTTGTGCATGCTTTCGCGTACGCCTTCTTTGCTTTGCTCCAAAGAAGAGACAATTGGGAATCAAAGGGACTCGTCGCACGTAAACACTTTGTCGCCCTGTTGCTCTAGAGGACGCTGATGCGAGACATCAGGTGATGCTCTCACAACTGGCGTGACTCCTCACACTCACACTGTCTGGTTCGCTCTCCTCCTCCCCCTCCCCCGACAACACACCTCCGTTTCCCGAGGAAGCTCGTGCGCGCTCGGCCTCATCTCTCACCCAGTCATCATGTTCCCTGCTCGTACGCGGTAACCCGTTCATGGGTGGGCCTGGAATTTGGAGCAGCCTCCCACACCAGTGACACGTGCAAACGCCAAAGCGAGCGAACACAGGGCAGCACTGGCCTGCCATCAGCCTCGTGCAGCACAGACACTCACGGCCCATGTTGACGCCGGCCCAGTTGCCGCGGCACTCGTCCGGGTGCCATGTATCGGGGATGGACGACTTCTTCTTGGGAATGCTCGAGGACGGCCACTTCAGCGGAGACATGATGGGATCGGGGCGTCTGAGGACTGTGCCCGGAAGCACGTGAAGGGCGAGGCTGCTTTGGGAGCGGGAGCGGGAGCGCGACCGCGACCGCGAGGGCGAGGTCGCGTGATAAAGGGATGTAGGCGGTCTGTCGGACTGAGGGGTTGGGCATTGGGATGAAATGCAAGAGGAGGGAAGGGAGGGGGATGTGGGTGGCGTCTCATCTGATGTTTCGCACAACGTTTCGCCCGGCGCTTCATCTGACGTCTCACCCATGTGCATGACGGGCCGAGTGTCTCTGGGGGAACCAGAAGCAATGCGGGGAACAATGTTGACTGCGCGCAGTGTGGACTCGCTCGCAGTGGAGACAGATGGGGAGGAAGAGGCGGACGATGCCGCGTTTGCTGTCCCGCTGTTAGCATTTGGCGCGTTGAGGCCGCTATCAATTTGGCTGTCGACATCCTGCACGTCGTTCATATCTGCACCTTCGCCCTTCGGCAACATGGGCTTGGGAGAGAGAGCCATGTGCTGGTAAACGAAGGTGGAGAGCAAGGAAGGTGCGCGAGTCGGTCGGTAGGTGTGATGGAGTATGAGATGGTGGATGAGTCGATGGGTAAGCATCAAGGGAGTAGCACGATGGCCAGATTTATATTCGTGAGCGTGCGCTGGCGCGCTGGGAAGCTGCACGCACACGGAGCGGCACACGGCACAGAGCGAGAGAGCGGGGAAAAGTGTGGTGTCAATGTTTGTTGGCGTTTGGCTGCCAGCCTTTAGTACTGTGTGTCACCCCCCGGCCGCGACGCGCGGCGGCCCTCCGAGAGACAATGGCGGGACAATGTTGAATTGGTGAAAGAGGCACTAATGATGGCGCGTGAAGAATGCATACCAGCCGACGTGTCCTGTATCACGTGAGCGAGATGAGAGCTCGCGGCGAGCGTGGCGAGCATGGCTTGAGAGCTATCGCCAGCGACGTGCTCATGCGAGCCGACTGCCGCGTACCGAGGGAAGGCGGAGGATGTAGTATTCAATTCAATCGCCAACGGCCGTGGGGCCGAGATGTGCTTCGATCCACGCATCCAACGTCTGCTCTCCTCGTTCGGGGAACCAGCCGTAACGGCGCACATCGATGCGCTCGCCCAGCCCCGCGACTGTCTCAACCTCTACACCCTCGGCTACGAGGCGATCGCGCTGGCGGGCGACACCGAGACCGCCATCTCCTCGGGGCGAGATGACGCCCTTGGCAGAGATGACGCGCTGGAGTGAGCGAAAAGAAGCTGATCAGGAAGAGGTGGACCAAACGACACGATGCCTGAGGGGGCGGGGAGAGGTGTTGCACGGAGAGACAGACGAGAGCGCGATGAGAAGACACCATGCCCAGATTAGAGCAGTGGAAGAGGTTGCGACACTTTGCCGACCTTCCCTGCCCAGCTGCTCATGCCACCCACCCCAGCTCTCATGCTCGGTGCATTTGACGCAAACTTACATGCCACGGCACCGTGCTTTCTGTTGGCAGCGCCTTCATCGCGTTGCCCACATGTCTATCGTCAGCGCCGGCCGCCGAGAAGACGAGTGAGCTTGCGATAACTGAGCAACGGGAGTTCCAGTATAAAAAAGCGGGGGGGAAATAAAGACCAAAGATTCAAGAGACACACCGTGAGTAGTTCGGATATCCAGCAAGCTTGGCGATGTGGCCTGCGTTCAGCACATTTCGGCATACAGGCAACTAACCGTACGTCGTGACTCGCCCATGTGGAATAGCGTGAGCGATTGCGTAGGCTCGCGCCGTGAGCTCCGCGACGTTGTCCGCCATGTCGAGTCGCTTATGTTCCGATGAGAAGACAAAGTGAGGAGTTGAGCTGACGGAGGGGAGGAGGTCGGTCGAAGGCGAGGGTGGAGGTGGAGGTGGATGAGTGGATGAGTGGACTTTGGCTTCGGAAAGGGGCGGCCTGCTCCGCATTCCACCCTGCAGAGTCAGGCACGTGCATGTCGCAGGTGATTCATCAGAATAACAGCAATCCTAATCTGTCTTAATTAAAGCGGGTTTAGTGGTTAATTCTGTTATTTAGCCCCTCCTCAGCTCATGTGCGTCCAGGTTCTTCCGCGATCCCTCGAGATCTCCGCCCTCCCGCCATCATCAACCTGCCCCTTCCTTCCCCATTTCACTTCCATCATCACCGTCTCCTCTCAACGACTCATTTAACATCTACACCAGCTATCGAGGTGGCTTTGCCATCTTCCACCTCCTCTGCTTGATCACCTCCTCACCCTCATTCTTCGCATCACATGGTCATCACCGAGATGAGTATCCCTCTCTCCGTGCTTGCGCCGGCCGCCCCTAGCCCCACCCTCACACCGCCAGTGGGGCCGTGGGTACCGTCCGAGCCTCCGAGCGACATGCACGTCCAAGAGTGGAAGTGAGTGATACATCATGGACGGAGCCAGCGGGTGGGAAGAAGGTGGCATTTCCAGCGCCGCGCGCCAGAGCGGGAGGATCTTCGAGATGCCAGCGGCAAGATGCCACGGCCCGGTCAAGTGGACACTCGCACCGACCAACGCCCTCCTTGTGCCCGCTAGCCGACTCCATCCTTGAGACCATGGATGAGCACTGACGCCAGGTATGAGATGCGTCGCGAGGCGCAAGCCATCTTGCCCAACCTCTTCCTTGGACCGTTCCAGGCAAGCACCAACTTGGGGCGTCTTCGTGAGAAGCGCATCACACACATGTAAGCCTCCGGGTGCGACAATCAATTGACATCAGCCTCTGCTTGCGAGACTCTGTCGAGGCGCGCCTCATATACCCAAGGTTCCCGACAGAGTTTGTCTACTTGACACTTGATGTGGCCGATTCGGATGTGAGTCCGACGCCGGAGATGAAGCGCTCACAACAGGGCCAAAACATCATCTCGATATTCCCGCGCTGTAGGGAGTTTATTGACATGGCAATGGACGCAGGCGGCGCGGTGCTTGTTCATTGCAACAGTGAGTGGCAGCAAGTTGGCAGCGTGCAATGCCCCGCTCGGTCTCTCGGCAGCGGCCGCTCTCAAATCCCCCCAGCTAATGCCAGGTGGCATAGCGACAGCGCCAGCGATCGTGATGGGCTACCTCATGTGGAAGTTTGGATGGGATTACCTGCTCGCCCTCACCTTCGTCCAAAGCAAGCGGTACTGTGTCGCACCTGCTAGTGTGAGTACTCTGTCGCATCCTGACTGCCCCACTTCGCTCTTCGTCGTCAAGCCATCACACTAGCCTCCGCTGCACAGTGATGGTAGCCTCTGCTGCAGTCATCTCTGTGTAGCGCGAGATGCGTTGAGACACTAGTCGAGCTGTCGCCGCTGGCCGGTCCAAAGCCTGGACCTAGCTTCGACACCCTGACCGTTCGCCGAATAGAGCTAACGACAGTTCGAGGCCCAGCTCCGTGAGTACACTGCGATTGCGCAGGCCCACAAGGCGTTGCCCGCTGGATCACGCTCGGGCATCGGCGATCACAAGCGCGCCTTGGAGCAAGACAACGAAGAGTGCGTCATCCAAGCTGATATTGATGTCGACATGAGCACAGCTGACAACAGGGGGGCACCACCGAGGGGTGCGAGCAAGCGGCGCCTTACGGACGATGAAGACGACGTCGAGATGGAGTAGACACACGGGCTTGGCGCAGCCCAGAGGCTCTCCTTGTCCCACAGTAACATGTCCCGGTCTCGTCTTTTCATTCTGTCCTGCTTCCACATCAATCAGCCTGTCGAATTGCTCTGGCCGCCTATCGCTTCCAACAATCCGCGTTCTGGACGCCACATCACGCCACACGCCACCGCCCACCATCAAGTACCCTGCATTGCCATACCAGTGTTCCCCTGACTTCGGCCACGCCTCGGCACTGCGCCTAACAATCTTGCGGCTTCAATCTCTTGTTCTTATTCCCATGTTCTGTTGTACAGGAAAGATCGTTACGAATGTGCATGTCACAATTACCACTACAAGGAAACCCAGGCGCGCGACCCAGCCGCTGCCTGCTGCTGACTTTTCGATTACTGCGAGCTACTACACAAATGCCAAGATTATAGGCTGCGCCCACCCCAAATACCTCGCCAACGCGTCCATCGAGCCGTGCGTGGCACGCGCCTAGATCCAGCCGGGCTGCGCGACCTGCTGCTGCACGCGCGGTGACCGGCCGATGTGTGCCGAGTTGACCGCGTGCCCTGCACTGGGCCTGCGGACGATGGAGGGGACGGCGTGCTGCGCGGGCACTGCGGGCGCCTTGGGAAGGCGCAGGGGCGCCGTGAACGAGTGCTGCTCAAACTCGGCCGCGTCGTAGGGGTTGTACGATCCCGGCGCCTCCCACGCGCCAGCGGGCGCAAACACGTCCGGGTTCTCCCACTCCTTGCGCGGCGGCGGGCCGACCATGCCGGCTTGGATGGCGGCCTCGACCTCGCGCCGCTGGCTCTTCTGCCGCCATATGCTGACGGCCTGCGCGATGCCCTCGGGCGTGTGCGGGACCGGCACGCTCGCCGCGTCCGAGTGGTACCCCGAGTGGCCGTGGCCGGAGGAGGAGGCGGCGCGGCTCGCGGGTCTCGAGTGCCCGCGGCTGCCGTTCGACGTGTTCCGGCTCGGCGGGCGCTGCTCGTAGCTTCTCGGCGCGGACCGCCGGGGCTGCTGCGGCTGCGGCTGCGGCGAGGGCTGCGCGTACGGCAGCATGCTCGGCGCACTGCTGCCCATGCTTGGGCGGCGGGGGTGGGCGTAGCCCTGCACCGGTGGCAGACGCATTGGTGCGTCGGGGAGAGGCGAGGTCGACATTGCGGGCGAGGTGTATGGGCTCGGGGCAGAGCGGAGAGGCGCCTGCATCATGTTCGAGGCGTAAGGCCCGGGAGACGGGGCCGAGCGCGGCTGCATATACATTGATCCTGCGGAGGAGCGGGCAGGCGCATAGTGCGACGAGGAGGACGAGTTGGAGCGGCTCTTCGTGCCCGAGTAGGGCTTGATGGGAGCCTCGAGGGGCGATGTGGGGGCCGAAAAGTCGATCACTTCTTCGGGAACCTCATCCTCGACGGGAGGTGGGGGGAGCGCGCGGCTAGGGGAGCGGCGGCGCTGGGTCACGATGTTGTCATGGCTCGCGGGGGAGGGCGAGCTGAATCCGGGGAGGAGGCTGCTGGGCGTCGAGGCCAGGTTGGACGAGGGGTCGAGTAGGGGTTGGTGTTGGGCGTGACGAGCACGTCGGGAGAGATGCTGGAGTGGCTCACGTCGTTGGGGTAGGACCCGCGAGCACGGGGGGTCATGATGAGGCTTTCGGGAGGTGTAGGAGCGCGTTCTCCATTGTCAAGCGTCTCGAGCGCTTGACTGTCCATTGTGCTTTGGGACCGTGACTCGCTGCCACTGCGCTCACGACCGGACGCCGCGAGGGGCGAGCCAAAGTCGAGCCGGCGGGAGGGCGGGGACGGGAGGGATGGGGAGGCGACGAGGCGACGAGCGGAACTGGAGCTGGGTGAGCCTGGCAGTGTGGGCGTACCGGCGCGCCGGATGTGATCGTGGTCTAGCATGCCTTCTGTGCTGAAGAGACCACCACCACCACGCCCACGCCACCCCGGCTGGGCGGCGGGAGAGCAGGGGAAGATGAGCTCATCGAGAACGGTCTTGGGGGTGCTTGGCTTCTGGAAGGCCATCCACGCGTCGTGGCTCCGCCACGGCTGGGATGCGAGGTCGCCTGCAGAGGAGAAGGGAGCGGCAGCCTTGGCTTGATCGCTGTCGGCCCAAAGAGAGCGGGAGCGGCGGCGTGTCTTGTTGGCTGCCTGGGCTTGTGACTGGGCCTCAGCCTCGGCGCGGCGAATGTGGTCTGGAAGTGGAGGGAGTTGGGGCGGCGGGGTGCGGCCGCGCTGCTCGTCCTTTGCGGCTTTGAGAGACGCCTTGGAGCTCTTCTTGCGGAGGAAGAGGCCCATGTTGGCGGTCGGGTGAGGTGGGAGGTGGTGGGGAGGGGAGGGGAGGTGCGGGAGTGGTGGTAGTGGATAAAGAGGATGTGAACAAAGGGGGAGGATGGGAGATTGACAATGGCCAAGCCTAGACGAAGAATCGAGAAAGGATGGGCGTGAGCGACGGAGCGACGGAGCGACGGAGCAACGGAGCGACGGAGGCCGAGGAGGGCGAGGAGTAGAGTGATAAAGTGTTGGAGAGAGATCAGTACGACGAGAAAGAGAGATCGAGAAAGAGAGATTGAGAAGCGAGTACACAGACGCTCTTGATACGCTCCCCCGCTCCTCTCCCCACCATCCACAACAACACACACTCCTCTACTCTGCCTGTCTGGGCCATGGGCCTCGCCTCTCACGCAACCCTGGCTGGGCTGCCTGCATTGACTGCACGTCAACTCTCGAGCTCTCGAGCTCTTGCCCTCGCGTGCCTCTCTTTCCCGTTACAACCAGAGTGGGAGGAGCCGCAGCAAGACGAGGACGAGGACGAGGACGAGGCCGAGGAGGAGCGTCGAGAACAAACTTGGGGAGGCGGGGAGACGACAAGAACTGCCAACAACAGGGTCGCAGGGCGCGTCCTCTGCCCTGCAGCCGTCCTGTCCGATCCGGTAACTCCCTGGATCGTGGCTTAGTCTTCCCTGAACAGTGGAGGTCTCTCCTGAAGTTTCAGTTCCAACAGACGTGACACCTCTCTCGCACTCTGTGGGCCTGGGCCTGGACAAACCTCTATTTTGTATTGTCCTTTACAACCAAATACTAATGGATGCGAGTGCGAGCACCTTGATGCACCACAGCTGTGCGCTGTGCTCTTCTCTCTTCCATCTCCTCCGCCATCTCCGTCTCACTCGTCCGTCTCCGAGCAAACATCCATCTCGGACTCTCACCAGTCAGCCAACGAGAAACTCTGCGCCTCCGACGTGATACGTGAACATGCCAGCCAGACCCCACTCTGCTGCCCAGCATGCCCAGCATGCCCAGCATGCCCAGGCCCATCTATTCTGTGCACCCCAAACTGCCCGATCCGTCGTATATACTTGGCACCGGTATGACGGCGTTGACGAATGACGAACTCGCGAGAACTCATCTCCGACGCCCAACGCCAGACGCCGTACGCCAACGCCGCCAACGCCGCCAGCGCCTCATGCCTGCGGCCTCATGCCAGGAACGGGCCGGAACGGTGTGCCTTGCTCTCTGTCTGCTTGTTTGCTGCTTGTCGTTTGTCGCGGCGTCCCGCACTCGCGTCGTCATGAGCAGCGGCGACACGGACCATGGATACGGCGCTGCATGTCCTGCATGTCCTCCTGCATCCGCCTTGTGTCCTCTGGACATGAACATTGCACCTGCCCACAGCGGGTGACGGCAGCGCGCGTCCGCGGCGCTCAGGGCTTGTCTCCCGTGACTCGCGTCGCCCCAAAGAGACCGTCTCCCGCCCATCCCACGTCCATCCCTCGCATGCCTCGGCGACACCCTCGCGCCTCTCTGCTCCGCCCGCACCCTGCGCCCGTCCGGCGTGCACAATGGCCCAGTTCCGGCCCCGGCCCGATGCGACCCACACGGCCTGGCGCATGTCGCATGCGTCGATGGTAGCGGGCAAGCTTAAATCCTCCATCTTCGCCGGGCGTGCCTCGTCAGCAAAGTTGGTGGGCCTGGCGGCGAGCGGACTCGGCAGCACCGCCTGAGCGAGCCTGCGTTCGGCCCGTTACAGGCACACGACGCATGACGCGGCATGCGGCGCTGATGTTTGAGTCGCCGTGATGCGTGACGTGCCGGCCAAACATACAGTGGTCATGGAGAGGCACCGCTGGGTTTGAGGTGAGGGAACTTGTGGTGAGGTACATGCCGGTCTTCTCGCAGAACACCGAGCGCAAGTGAGACTTCGAGAACGCGGCCGGCGTGGCCGGTAGAGTGCCATGGTCCCTTGCAGCTCTTCGGGGCAACCGCGATCAAAGTAGAACAGAGATATTAACATGGCGGTATATACTGATGTCGCTGTTATAAGTCGGGCAGAGTATCAAACGGCTACAAGAGAACGACCACCGCGCCAAGGACGACGGAGAGGAGGACCGCCGCGGCAGCGACAGGCGCACCAGCAGCGGCCGCGCTGGTGCCCTGCCCGCCCGCGGGGGTGGACGAGGACGCGGGCGGCGCGGCGGTGCTGTTCGTCGTGTTGCTGTACAACTGCCAGTCCCACTTAACCTTGTCGCCCCACAGGCCGGCGGGGCATGCGCCGAGCGCATACTCGTTGCCGATGTTGAACACGTCCGCCGTGGTCGAGTTTGCCGTGAACGCGCGCCAGCTATCGCCGGGGTTCCCGGTCTTGATGAACGCCGCCCAGAGGGGGCGGACGTCGTTGGCGAGCGCCGAGGCGTTCGCGCTCGCCGCCGCGGTCGCGTTCGGCGCGCTGTCAAAGGTCGGGTAGATGTCGTCACTGTGGCACACGGCGCCCGTGTTCACGCAGTATCCCCCCGCGTCGTCGTTGAACGCGTACGTCGTCCCCTCGGTCCATTCGCCGAGGTAGATCCTGCCGCCGGCCGCCGCGTACCGCGCCGCAACGGCGTGCGATACGCAGCGCCACACCGCGTCCGTAAGCGAGATTTCGAGCGAGGTGCGCATCCCGTCCGGCCCCGCGACGAGCGGATACGCCCCCGAGTCGAGGAACGCCTTCGCCCGCTCCGTCCCGAACAGGCGGTTGAGCGTGAGGTTGAACACGAAGCTGTTGGCGATCTGCGCGCCCGCGATAAAGCTGTCGATGAGGTATCCGCTCTCGTTGCGCGTGTACGTCAGCATGACGGGGAGCGCCGAGACGTTCGCGGCCAGGTTGGCCGGGCTGTTGAAGAGCGCAGTCGTCGGGTCTACGGGAAGCGTGCTCGTGTTGAACTGCGGCCGGAAGACCTCGCCCAGCGGCACGCCCGTGATGTTGAACGGCGCCGAGGCTTCCACCTCCTCCTGGACAGAGAGCAGCGTCGCGAGGCTCACATTCTTCAGGCACTCGCCCGTGCAGTTCGCCAGCGTCGCGTTGCCGTACACCAGCTTGCGCAGGTTCGCGGCGTTCTCAAATGTCTGCGTGCCGTAGTTGATGGGGTCGGACTGGAGGATGAGGCCGCGGAACAGGCCCTTGGCGGCGGGCACGCCGAGGAGGGCTTATGTCAGTGCGGGGGACGAGATTGGGGAATAGAGGAGCTCAGCTGCATTCCGTGCAGATACCGTGACGTAGACTTACTCCTGGTAAGTGATGCACCCGCACTTTGTCCGCCAACAGTCACGCGCTCCGGGTCGCCACCAACCGACGCGATGTTCGCCTTGACCGTGTTGAGGGCAAGTACGACGTCGCGCACAGCAAGGTTAGGGTCGTTGACAGTCGACGCGCCATCGGGAGGGAGGAAGCCAAGCACACCGAGACGGTACTGCAGGAAGACGACGACGATGCCGTCGTCGATGGCCATGCGAGAGCCGTCGAAGCCGGCATCCGACGCCGAGCCGCCAGTGTACGCGCCTCCGTGGATCCTGGCGTCAGCCTCATCCCGGCGGTGCGTGCCAATGTGCTCAGGCCGGCCAGCGTCCGTGGGGCAGGCATCTGGAGATCTAATATTCCGTTGGGAGCGCGTAGCCGGCCCACCCGCGGCAATCCACAGCCGTGTTTCGCTCAAAATAAGACTCACCAGACAAAGACGGGAAGTTTGGACTCGGCCGTCGCGTTGGCCGGCGCATACACAGTCATGAAAAGGCAGTCTTCGTCGTACGCCTGCGGCCCGCCGCGGAGCGACTGGATCGCGTTCTCCTGCGGGCACATCTTGGGGAACACGGCCGCATCCACGCCGCTGCCGTCAGCCCCGCATCGCACGCACGCACTCCTGGTTCGCCGCGACACTGTGCTCCCACCGCCCGGCGCGTCCGTAGCGCACCGTCCAGCGGCAGGCCGCGTCCTCGGCAGCGCCCGTCAGCTGTGTCCCGTTCCAAGTGCCGGTGCACGCGGCCGCCTGCCGCGCTACGTGCCGGTCCTGGTATCCGCCGTGCGGGGACAACGCGCGCGGCGCGCGCTGCAGATACTCGGGCGTGGCCGAGGCCGTCGCCGCGAGCGCGAGAGCGAAGAGGGGGGCCCACATGCTGAATGGAAAGAGTTGGGATCGCAGGTCGGCCCATCGCCGTATATATTCTGTAAGATTAAGGGTCGCGATATGAATAGCGTCATGTGCCGTACGAAACGGCCATGCCCGCCGGCTGACGACCCCGGTCAAAAACAGGCGATCGGACTTGCGCAGTTGGATGACACACACGTCGGGCCCACATGCCTCATGCCCCGCGGGGCGGACGGGCGGCGCGGGCGGCTTGGCATCTGTGGTGCGACGGAGTTTGTGTGCGCAGCCATGCACAGCACATGGGGACAGCAGAGTCGGAGCGTCGTACGCAGCGACGCAAGCTGTAGAATCTGACTATTCTCGCTCACGTACTCATCAATCCAGCTGTCCGATTATTCGGGTAAGGCACTTGCATGCGGTTCCTCTGCGACGACGCGGATGCGGAACTTTAGCCAGATGTCCAGCATGGGCAGAGGCAAGTGGGCAGCAATAGGCTCAACTGACATCAATGTGTCCGATCACTTGTCCCTTCACGACCCCTACTCGGGTACAATGTGTCCGACGACGGTGCGTAAGTATCGCATTCGGAACTCTCGGATCCTACATCAGCTTTACGTCAAGACCGCTCTCCTTCTCGGGTCTGACCTAGTCCAGTCGACACACGCCATTTCACGACGCTGACGTACGGACAGACCACACACTGGGCCAGCCAGTGGCACTACTAACTGTCTACTGACACAGGTCTGCTGGAGGAGGCCTCAGTGCTCTTTCTGCCCGATCGCATCGTTGGGACAGACGGCGGCTTCGGCGTGTGTCCTGTTTCGCACGAGCAGGTACGGGCTTGCGCGGCCCCGGTCGACGGTGGGAGACGCGCCTAGCACCGAGCTCAGGCTCGTCGTGCGAAGTAGCGTACGGCGACGCTCGGGTCCTCTCGGTGTTGATGGCGGGTGCCGCGCGCAAGAGGTCGCGACGGAGGGAGAAGTCTTGTGTGAGTGTGAGCGTTGGACGGCGTGGGATAAGGAGTATGGGAGAGACATGCGTTCATGAAGCGAGGGAAGGAGATGTGAACATGGGAAGGTGGATGAAAGATGGGAAGGTATGGGTGGGGTGGGGAGGAATGGGGAGGGATGGGGAGGAGGATGCCAATGGACTATGCCCCAACCAGCTCCCAGGCTGTAGTCCAACCACTGCCTGCGCTTGCGGGCCGACCAAGTGCGAGTCCGCTGGCAGGTCATTGGCGTGCCAGCGCTAAGAGAGGAGCGAGAGCGAGCACATCCGCGTTCTCACTGACAACGCCAGGGAGATTGCGGGACTCGTGTGCCATCCATGGCTGGACGGGAGCGAGATGAGAGCAGGAAGGGAGGAAGAGCCGAAGTGCAGTCGAAAGATGCGTGGTGGCTTGGACTCACCGACAGGAACGGCTGCCGCGACCAGCGCAGCAAGGACGGCGAGCAGGGGTCCGCGCATGTTGAATGCGATGAGTGATGCGGTGGTTACGACAACGACTGGACTTGACCTGTGATGACAACGGTGCACAGCGAGCAAGTTGATCACTCGCTGTGCAGCCGTCAAGAGAGCTAGATCCTGCGATCATGTGAATGAAGGGGGAGGCCTGCGGCGGCATGAGAAGCACCGCAGCAAGCAACTTGTGTTCCTTGCTGCGTAGCGCGACTGTGTGTCGGTCGACACCATACACATCCAACACGTCATATGTGGTGTGCGGAATATCCACAGAAATGAAAAACACTCGCGAAAATACTGTCCAAGAGAGCGTCACACCGAACTGTGGTTGACACAGCTCTTGGACTCCGCATCCAGTTTCGACAGTGCAATAGTCGCAAGATGAGATCCTACTTGGCAAGTGGATGCATGTACGAGTCTGCTTTAATATACATATAATCAGAACCGGGTGCTGCACAACACTCAGACCCCGTCCCAGCCACAAGTTGTTGCCGGAGATTTGGCGAAAGATCTTCGACTATTGACTCGAGATGCGCCACATGATAATGCCTTGCCTATTGCCTCGTGTTCGTCACTTTGGAGGAGCCCACACAGAAGGCTGTAAATTGATGAAAACTACAACGTGGCAAGGCTATGTGGCTGAACAAGGTTAGTTGGGGTAACAAGCTGATTGTTCTCGGTACATCACTGAGAGCAAACCCGTCAAGGCCGACCATGCTTCCACCCGAATCTCTTGGAGTTTGAATCGCATGCCAGCACATGGAAAGGGAGCGCTGAGAGCGTCGCTCACCGCAACTCGCCCTGAGCATGGTCCATTGTGGCTTTCCCGTCGATAGCTTCAGAAATGCCTGGTCGCGCGGGAGACATTTCTCACGCTCTGTACCGTAGGAGCGAGCTATTTGCGTTCTTTTCACATGTTTTCGGTTGATACTCCAGGATTGCCGTCCCACGCCACAACCCATCGAGAAGGAGGATGTGTAGCACTTATGGGAGCTGTGCCACACATTCTGCTCGCTTTCACACTCAACACACTCCCAGGCTCCCACTGGTTATCCCACCACCTTCACCAGACGCTTAAAATGCGCTCGAGTTCCCTCACCTTTTACTCCTCACCACTACTTCCCAACTCTCCACCACTGCCACCAGCTCTCCGCCCCAATAAACATCCTCCAGGCTTCAGCCTCCAGCCTTTTTATCAAATCAAAAATGAACGACCACCCTCCCCACCCCCCTCCCGGCTACTACTGGGAGAATGTCTGCGCCGGCGACCCCTTCCAGCGCAACCTTAATAGTGAGTTTCGGTCCTAGGCAGATTCACTGACACCAGAAAAATGCAGCGGCTTCTGGAACGGCTACATGTGGGTGTGCCACTTTTGCACCCGCACTCTCCGCTGAAGGGCAACAAACCCTTGCCCACCGTTAATAGGCAGCGGAGAAGGATCCGAAACAGCGGGCCAGAAGATTATGTAGGGGAATGCACGAGTTAGTTGAAGGTGACAAACGCTGCCGCTTCATTAAGCTGAATAGCCGACGCCTCAGTAAAGCAGAGGTCCGTGCGCGCTCGGATATCTCGACCAGAGTATAATACCATCGCATCTTCTCGTCCCTCGTCCAACCTGAACACTGCACATGACCCACACCGCCACGACCATCACATCGCTCAGCACGTCGGGTACATGTACGCGAACCTACACGATGCCACCATCTTTCCCACCACCACCACCACCTCCGGCTTCCACCACCCTGGGACGGCCCCCAATGGGCCCGCTTCCGGACCGGTCGGAGGCGGCCACGCCGCCCACGCCACATTCCGTCCTTCCCCGCCTCCGCCCGCCGCCGCCTGCCCGCACCATCCTCCGCGTCCCACTGTGTCCACACGTCGTCGCCGAATTCTCGCACCCCGACAAGGCAGTCGTCTTCACTGCAACGTGCAGCCGATGCCGCTGGGTGCGGTGTCGGGTGTCTATCGGGCCACGCGGCATCATACAGCAGGTCGAGGAGGTTGGGCCCGAGGCAGAGGTCGAGAATGAATCACAGGCTCCTCCCGTTAGCCCTGCATAAACCGGCAAGATGTGGCGCGTGTGCATCGCAGGCACGCACCCTCTCACCCGACGGTGCCGGACCTACCTCCTCCTTTGCCTGTGCTTTTGTCCGCGCGACATATAACCATGCACCGATGACCAAACCCGCCAAAGTCCTTCTGTCTACCTCGAGCTGCGGTCCCCTTCACCACAGCTACGCACAGCTTGCCATCGCACCTGCATTACAGCCAAGATGCGCTTCATCGCCCCACCACCCCGCGTCGAGATCAACCCCGGGCCATTCTGCACCGGCGAGTTGGATGACGAGAATGAAGGACGTACGTTATGGAACGCATGGGAGATCTAACTCTAGTCAAATGCTGTCCTCTCGTCGGTGAACGCGAGCCCATCTGCGTCTATTGCGGCCACCACTTGGTTTACGGTTGAGGTGGAGAGAGAGTGGAGATGTGTTTGCATTGTAGTTCTAAGGCCAACTCGGGTTATGTTTGATGTGTGCTTCTTTTGCCCTTGGGTTCACGTCCTTTGTCAGTGGAAACGTAGTCATCTGTCAGATGTCAGCACCCCAGACCCAGCTGTGATGCATGATTCTCCAAATTCCGATCATTTGGAACCAAACATTTCGATTGTTACCTAACGCCACGCGCAACTCGCGTGGCCTTCCGCGCCACCCTCAAAATGCCCGAATCCCCGTCCTCCGGCACCGCAGCGCACCACTCACCTGACGCCCATTACTCGCCACCTAACCGACGCCGAACACCATCACCGAGTCATCATGGTCAGCCTCGCACGGACGATCCGGCATGCGCGCAAGGTCGGGCTGAAGGAGTGGTTCTACCAGCTCGGGTGAGTGAATGCTCGGCGAGGAGGGCGCGGCTGACGACAGCACAATCGGTGACGCCAAGGCCGGAACTATGGGTGCGTTGCGCGCGCGGCGCGCGGGTCAGGCGGAGACGGCGGATGTCAGCTGGTCTTTGGGACGGAGAGCGGAGGCAGCAGGGTGCGGCGGAGGCTGCGGAGGGTGAGGGAAGGCCCGAAGTGGACGGAGGAAGGCTTCAGCACGCGATGGACGCTGCGCCGATGCGTGGCGAGCTCGCGTACCCTGAGTCCGCTGCGCGCGCGGCAGGGCTCGAGGGGCAGAACAGCGCAATCATGTGCTTCATGCGCGAAGCGCCGGTCGCCATGTCTCATCGGGGACATGTGCGCCGAGCCTCCACCTCGGATTCACCTCCGATCCGCCATGAGTCTTATCCACCTCGGCCACCTCCTGACCCCCGTTGCGCTTACCGTCGCATTCTCCGCACCGTCGTCGACTCAGAGCAGCCGTTCGCGAAACTCTCCGACTTGTCCCGCCCGTCTCCGAGAGGAGCTTACGCTAACCCTAGTCGGCAAGGACCAGTTCGGGAACCGGTACTTCCAGGAGTACGACGCGAACGAGGAGCTGCCCGGCCGTCAGCGCTGGGTGCTGTACGAGCAGTACGACTTCAACGCGTCGCAGGTCCCGCGCGAGTGGGCTTCGTGGCTCAACCACATCCGCATGGAGCCGCCCACTGAGGACCCCGTTGTTAAGAAGAGCGAGCAGCCGTGGCAAGTGCCTTACTTTGAGAACCTGTGAGTACGACGAGGCAGCGGGGGCGAGGGAGGAAGGGTGGGGAGCGTCGAAGTGCAGCCGCGCCGATGGCGGCGGGGTTGACATGAGCGAGAGGGACGGTGACGGTGATGTGGACTGTTTGTGACCGTTGAATACGGGCCCAGGTTACGCGGGCTGGGTCGGGGCATGGGCTGGGTCATGGCTCATCATGCCCGTCTTTGGCTCAGGTGCTTGGTAGTTGAACAGCGCTTGTCTCGGTCGCTGCAAAGTCCCACAGGAATCCAGCCGCTGACCGCAGTACCGGCACGCGTGGCAAGTTCACCACGTACTCGACCGTCAAGCCCAAGGTTGAGGCATGGGAGCCCAAGATCAAGCCCCGCTCATAGGTCAATCTCATAAGGAGTATGCATAAGTAGACTGGTTGTGCGTGGCCTGGTGGCGCACGCCAGCGAGCGAGGGGATGTAGGACCTAAGTGGGGATATGAATATTACAGTCGGCGGCACGTGGCGGGAGTTGCAGAGCCGATCATTCAGGCACGGAATGCTTCCGCCAGGACGCGCTGCGACTGTTGACATCGCGTCGCATTCCCCGTCCGTCTTCATTATCCAACAACATGTCATCAATCACGCCGTTTACTCCACGGCCATCGCGGAATAGAAATCATTTGGGACTTTCTCGGGCTGAGGAGAAGCGCGTGCGTTGGGCGCTGGGGCTTCTGGCGGTGGCTGACGGCAGGTCACAGGTACGCTCGCCTCAGTTCGGCGCGTCGGCACCGCGGCTATACGCGAGGAGCTCCAGGACACACCAGATGCGGCGGCGATGGCACTGGGTTAGTTTTTCCTTGCAAACAGTCTTCTAACGGCAGCGGAGGCGCGCATATCCGAGCGCGAGCAGCGTGATCGACCAGATAGTCGACGAAGCGAGCGACCTTCATCGCGTTTCAATCTCGACCGCGATACACGACCATCTTCCTCCGCATCTCGACACCGGGAACCGCCACGGGGCGGAGAAGGGCTAGGACGCGAGCGTGAGCGGAAACATGAAAGTGAACGTGACCGCGAGCGGGACCCACGAGAACGACGAGATGTGCGGCGCGAGCGTGTGATCGACGTGGAGATCCGACACGTTGAGCGGGAGTCACCGGCGCCAGGCAGTCCCGCGCAGCCACGGCGACTGCTAGACGGTGTACCGCTGCCGGTGCAAGAGGCTTGGGTGTGCGAGGACTTTATGTACCTCCTGCAGGGCGTAGAGGGGAGTCTCATCACTTACGCGGAAGGATACGACCCATTGGATGCCGAGCAACGGCTCAAAGGCGCTCGGTGGCGAGTCGACCCAAGTCTCGACCCGTCGCTCCTCAGCCTCGTCAATCGTCTTCTTCCCCTCGCCACGTTCTTTACGTCGGTCGAGGCGTCCATCGAGTTGCGCAACTCGCCTGAGTTTGGGATGGTGTCACACGCGCTTGGGAGCGGAATCCGTGGCATGCTCAAGGTAGGCCAATTCTGAATTGATGGCTAACGGCAGGAATACCGTGTCCTTACCGCCCAGCTCGAGTCATTGTTCAACTCGTCGTCTACGTTCACCCTCCAGACGCTTTACTTCCATCTCCACCCTACACTGCACACGATGTCGCTGCTGAGTTCATTGTGCCTCGCACTTGAGACCGAGGAGACAGCGGGCGAAAGCGAATCAGATGACGACGACGACTTTGGTGGCATGGCTGATCAGCTCGGCCTTGGCGGGGAAGGGCTCAAGGGACTCATGAAGAACCTCAAGGCGCAGGAAGCTGGCGGGTTGATAGGCGGCGGCGGGCTCGTTGTCGGTGGCGAGGTGCTCGGAATCATATGTGAGCGTGAGGCTACGATGAGCGGCGACCCAACAGCGACAACACTTCACTCTCAACTGCTCCTGCACGCATCTCAGCCGTACGTGCGCATGCTCCTGCGCTGGATCACGACCGGTTATCTGTCCGACCCTTTCGACGAGTTTATGGTCAAGGAGAGCGGACACATCACCAAGGGTGTGTTGGAAAGCGACTACACAGATGAATACTGGGAACGGAGGTATACGCTGCGAGACGGGTCATCGCTGGCGGCCCCTAAGGCTGGGGGTGGCAAGGCGCCATCCTTGACTACCGCCGTCCCAGCCCCGCGCACCGGCACGAATCGTCTACCTGGCGGCGCCTGCATTCCTGCCTTCCTGCAGCCGTGGAAGCACAAGATTCTCCTTGCCGGGAAGTACCTGAACGTGATGCGCGAATGCGGGATCGACGTCAAGAGGGAAGCGACGGCCGACAGCGACGAGCCCGTCGTCATGAACGAGGCCAAGTTCTCCCGTCGCATCGAGGACGCATACATACACGCCAACCAAAGCCTGCTTAAACTACTGGTCGAGGAGCAGGAGCTAATCCCGCACCTCCGCTCACTCAAACACTACTTTTTCGCAGACCAGAGCGACTTTCTCACAAATTTCTTGGACCTGGCAAGAGCCGACCTTACGCGCAAGCCGGCAAAATCGGTGTCAATCGTCAAGCTCCAATCTCTTCTCGACCTTGCCGTGCGCAACCCGGCCTCGAGCTCGTCGAATGACCCGTACAAGGACAACCTGAAGGTTACAATGGCCAGCCAAGGTCTCTACGACTGGTTGCTGAAGATTGTCTCGCATCAGGGGACCACGTCCGAGGGCGACCTCGACTTTGGCACAGGCCTTGACTTCGACAAGCCCGAGGCCGCATTAATGGGCATCGATGCCGTGGCCTTCGACTACAGCGTAAAGTTTCCCTTGAGCCTCGTGATCAGCCGCAAGGCAGTGACACGCTACCAGCTTATCTTCCGCTTCCTTGTGCACCTGCATCATCTCGAGTCGGGCCTCAGCGAGATGTGGCTGGAGCAGAAGGGCGAGCTGTGGCGTTCGTCCACAGGCAACGCCGACATGGAGACGTGGAAAGTGCGCGTCTGTGCCTTGCGCGCGAGAATGCTCGTCTTTGTGCGCCAGATGCTTGCGTACGCCACGGCCGAGGTGCTCGAGTCCAACTGGCGCGCGCTCGAGGCCAAGCTTGCCCACGTCAGCACTGTCGACCAGCTGATGCGCGACCACGTCGACTTTCTCGACACGTGCCTCAAGCAGTGTATGCTCACGAACAGCAAGCTGCTGGGCGTGTACGCCAAGCTTATGCGCACGATCGCCGCATTCGTCTCGTACCAGGACAACTTCAGCCGCGCGCTCACGAGCTTCCGCGATGACCCGCTCACAGAGAGCGACGCATACAAGTCGCAGTCGAGATGGACGATCCTCGAGAAGTTCGAGATCAACTTCAACCACAACGCACATGTGAGTTGCACCGCGTCGGCCACTCCGCTCACACCAGCTCCACCTCGACGCCGTTACTCACAACGCTGGGTCCGAGAACGTGTCGCTCCTCGCCCTCGTCACGCGGCTGCACCAGACGACGAAGCGCATGTAGCCGCGCGGCGCCACGGACCGCGGGCATACAACGGAGAGCGTGCGATGCGGGGAGGAAGACCATCCGCGCTGTGCGGATCGTGCTCAGCAGGGGAGAGTGCGCCCACGCCGTAAACTCGACGTCAGCGGCGCTCGGTTCGTGAGTCACGGAGATCGAGCTGCCCGCTTCAGTGATGGGCAGTCACGCATGTGACTATGCCGAGAACATCACGCATCACGCTTCAGGTGATTAGATGTCTACATAACATGGTGTATCAGTACGCGACGACACGAGGTATCAAAATGACAAGTGTCTGTCTGACACGCGGACGAGAGGCTGTTGACATGTTGACATGTTTTTGCCCGTGTTTCAGTTGGGTTCCAGTGCCTTGATGGCTGCCACTCTGCGCTCTCTCATCACCATACATGCGGTATATCCACCTGTACAGCAGTACTACAGCCAAACAAACTACGTGGTATCACATGACGGAAATTGGACAGGCGGTAGACCTAGCTGGGCGCTGTCGAAACACTTCGAGACATGACAAGCCCGCGCGGCCCACCTCGCGCACCGAGGCGTGGCGGGGCGCGGGGCATAAACCCCAACGAACGAAAGGAAGGCAGGTATGAATCTACAGCGCCCCAGCGGCCGAAGTGGCGCGGGGCGCGCGGCTGGCCGAGTCGGCCGGGCCGGCGGACAAGACAGATAGCGGACACGGGACGACTCTCGCGCTCTCTGGCGACGCATCCGGAATTAATGGTCAGATTTCTTAGAAGCACTGCTGTTAGCGGACATTGAGGAATGAACTTGCCTTGAGCTTCTGGTCTGACCGCTTGTTGACCTTGCGGTCGACGGCACGCTCGAGCTGCGCCTTGTACTGCAGCACCTCGTTGCGCGCACCCTCGAGACGCTGGCGGTCGGCTATCCGCTCGTATTGTGCGTCGGCAAGCTCGTTTTTCATCTCGACCACGTCGCGGCGCAAGCTGTCGCGCTCGCGCTTGAGCTCGGCCAACTCGCGGTTGACATCGTCGACGCGCACCTTGAGCTTCGAGTTGGTCTTGCGCAGCTCAATGAGGTCCTTTGTGAACGCCTCGTTGTTGCGCTGCTCTGTCTCGAGCTGCGACTTGAGCTCCAAGAGTCTTTCCTCGGTCTCGGAGATCTGGCGAAGTGCCTCCTCGCGCTCGGCGTACGCCCGGTCGCGCTCGACCTCGGCGTTGGTGACCATGCTGTCTGGGCGCACCACAGACGCGTGAGACGCAGATCTAGGGTGGTGCCCGTCGTGCGAGTCATGGTCGTACCGTGATGACCGTGCGCTCTCGATTGACCCCTCGTGGTGCGACATACGCGGAAGAGACGAGTTGGTGAGCGTAGGCGACATGATCGCCTCGCGGCCCGCAGGCAGTGGTGGCAAGGGGGCGGTCGGGGGAGGACCGATGGGCGGCAGCTTGGTGCGCGAGCTGCGGTCGATGATCGAAGTCTTCGAATCACGGTTGCGCTCAACTTGCTGCTGGAGCGAAGCGTTGTCGGCAGAGAGGGTCGAGCAACGCTTCTCAAGCTCGGCGAGGCGGTTGAGGTCACCCGAGCGCTGCATCTCGTGCTCGTCACGTATCTTGGAGAGCTCGAACTTGACCTGGTCGGCGTTGATCTTGAGTTGCCTCTTCTCGTCCTCAGCGGCGGTGAGGGCCTTCTCCATCTCCTCCATGGCCTGGACGACAATGTTGTGCTCCTCGAAGGGTATCAGGTCCTTGACGTCAGGACGGTTGGCAAGGTCCTGCTCGGCACGCTCCTTGGCCTCAGTGGCGGCCGCGAGCTCCTCTCGCACCGACTTGAGCGAGTTGGCGGTCGCCGCGAGCTCGCCCTGCAGAGCAGCGAGAACGGCTGCGTGCCTCTCCTCCAGCTCAGCCACCTTACGGTGATGCTCTGAAGTGAGAGTGTTGCGTTCAGTCTCGTGACGGCGACCTGTGGCAGCGACCTCCTCCCAAGCGGCATCGAGAGCAGTGCGCAGCTCGGTGACCTCGCCAGACTCTGTCTTCTGGCGCTTCTCGAATTCCTCCATCTTCGACTTGTGGGAGTTGTGCAGCTCCTCGAGCTCGCGGGCGTGCTGGTCCTTGGTCTTGCTGAGCTCTTCCGAGACAGACTTGAAGGTCTGCTTGTGCGTCTGCTCGAGGTCCTCCATGGCAAGCTTGTGCTCCTTGAACATCTTCTGGATCTCGTTCGAGTGGTCTTCCCGCAAGCGCTCGATAACCTCGTCAGTGTTCAGAGGCGAACCGTTGGTGAAGGCAGAGCTTTTCTCGAGGGACCGCTTGAGGTACTGGATCTCGGCCTCGCGTTGCCGCAACTGAGCCTCACGGTCGGCTACGGTCTTCTGGAGAAGGGAGAGGTCGATCTCCAGCGACTGGACGGAGCGGAGGGGCTTCATCGAGTCAAACGGCATCGACTGACGCTTGGGGAAGCGCTCGGCCTTAGGCGAGCGCTCGTACGTCATGCCATTGCCATTGGACGGAGACGCGCTCCACGAGTAGCGAGGCGAAGACGAGCCGTACGCGTACCCGGAGAGGCCCTGCGAAAGCGAAAGGGGACGGAGCAGGCGGAGCGGCTCAGACCGTGCCGAGTTGCGGAAATCGCCAGAACGAGACTGGGCATAAGGAGAGCGCATCATGGCCTGGTGCAGAGGGTCGTCCTGGATCTGCGGCGAGACAGCCCGGCTGGTGAGCTTCGGTGTCTGGAGAGTCGTATCCGACTCGCTCGACTCGTTGCCTGTGCTGCCACGTTTGTTGGGTGAATCAGGGCCTCGGGTGCTGTCCTCGTCCTCTAGTTCCTCATCCTGCTCAGTAGGGGGCTCGAGCGTCGGAGTTGCAGGGGCGTGCTGCATCTGCTCCAGACGAGCCTCAGCTTCCTGCAGGCGAGCGATAAGGACTTCATTGTCCTTGCGGAGCATGTCGACCTCGGACTCGGAGTCCTCGGCGATCGTTCTCAAGACAGGTGGTGTCTCGGGAGGAGTCGATGGCCCCTTCTCGGCAATGGTGGCAAGGTCGCGGCTGCTGCTCACTGGAGTGGGCTCCGAGTGCTCCTGGAGACGGGCCTGTAGAGACTCGATGCGCCGGTCGCGTGACTCGATCTCCTCCAGCAGCATGTCAACGTTGTGTTGGCCGTTGACCAGTGAAAGGCGCTCCTCGAGCTCGCTGATCGCCTTCTCGCGCTGCTCCGCTTCTTGTTCGTACCGCTCAACAAGTCGGGCGAGCTCACCGCTACGCGCCTCGGCGGAGGCAATGCGGGTTTCGAGCTGCGAGATGTACGTGTTGCTCTTGACCGAGTCGGTCTTGAGCTGCTGAATCTCGGAGGTGAGGCCGGTAATCACCTCAGTTTGGCGGTCATCGTTATCGGTGAAACCACGGAACTTGGTCTCAAGGTCGCGAATGTAGGCTTCGGACGAGTCGTTGCGCTCGGTGAGCTTCGCGATGCGACCCTTGAGCTCGGTCACATAGGCCTCGTGCTCGCTAAGGCGCTCCTGCGTTTTTGCGAGATCGCTGGCCTGCTCCTCACGGGCCTGGTGGGCCAGCGCGGACGAAGCACGTTCCTCGGCCAGTTGCGATGTCAAGGAAGCGACAACTTTCTCGTACCTGTAGAGTCAGCGAGACCTCTATACCCCATTTCCAGTGTACCTTCGCGGTACCTGGCGGCGAACTCACTCCAGAACAACGGGCTCAATGGTCTCGTTGAACTTCCTAAGCTTGTCGTCCTCATCTTCGAACTGGTCGGGGTCGCTCAGGGCGACAATCTCACGGCATTTATGGAAGTATTGGTCCTGGAGCTAAAAGAGGGTCAGCTCCCCGTGCCTGCCAAACTGCACACAACGGCATCGGGCTGGGGCGGCAAAATGCGTCGATCCCCCTTCCCCACGACGGCGACTCACATGGCTAAATTCATCTTCCAGGTCAGTGAGCTTCTCTTGGAGTTCGACGACTTGGCGGAGCAATGCCTCCTCGTTGTTGGAACCATCGGCACCGCGGCCCCGCGTTTCACGCGGACCCTCGGCTTCTATCGTCGCAAGTTTTGAACGCAATTTTGTGACAGTGTTGCGCAGGTGGTCAATGTCGTCCCACCCCACCTCAGCCTGGTTCTTCTGGACCGAGTTCTTGATCCTCCTCGCTCGTGAGGCATAGTTGATGGTGTTGAGCGTCTCGCTGATATTATACTCGAGCGGTGAAATGCAGGCAATCATCGTGGTCATTGCATTGCCCCCAATGGAGTCTGCGAAGTTAGAATGTAAACTCTAACCGTGCTTTGCACTGCCCATGAACGTACCTTGGAGCAGGCGAGTGAGCTTCGAGTCGCGATACGGGATATGACCACGGTTCTTGGCGGGTTCAGAGAGCGCGGAAATGACATTGCCCAGGGCAAGGAGACCGCTGTTGATGGAGATACCCTCCTTCATACGTTCACCTTGCGCGGCAGTGCGCTTGAGACGCTCCGAGCCCGCCAAGTCAACCATGTTGAACTTGCTGGTCAGAATGACCGTCTCGTCATCGGAACCGCGGCCCATCGCGCCCACATGCACGCTGTTGGGGCGGCCAGCGAGCTTGCCAAAGCTGGATGGGGGAACGCGAGAGAAGACCGGAGTCGAAGAACGCGACCCCGGGCCCAACATGACAGACTGGGGCCGGCGGCCATTGGGCGTTCGAGGCCCATCCTCACTACCTGGCGAGCTGTCAACGCGACGCGACTGGATCAGGGTGAGGGAGAAGATGGCGTGGGATCGAGACGATGTGGCGTTCATGTTGGTCTCGCCGGTGCGTCGACGCGTCGAGCCCTCGCGAAGGAGGGTCATGACCTCGGAGACGTTGGAGACCTTGATCTCGCGCACGCCCGACCACACGATGCGCCCGTCGGCGTTTTCGCGAATGGACACTGGCATTCCAGTGTTCGCCAGGAGATCAATCATGTCCTCGTTATAGAGCTCGAGGAAGGATACCCGGCATTCCCACGAGGCACCTGCACCGGAGGCCAAGCGGATTTCCTCTGCACGACGGAAGACTGTCTCGACGGTGCGGGGAATGAGACCGGCTCTGGAGTCGTCTCCAAAGTCCAAGTAGTCGGCATCCTCGCCTGTCGTGCCCATCGAGTATGACTTGCCCGAGCTAGTTTGGCCATAACTAAAAGGTGTCAGTGTGATCTTGTTGGAGAGCTGGGAAGAAGGGGCGGGAGAGGGGGGTTGGCTGAATCCAGCGTCGTCAACGCGGGCGCACGCGGCGCTTGGACCGGCTGAAGGCATGTCGACACTTACGCCAAATATGTCACATTGAAGCCGCGAAGGAACTCTTCAATGCGGTCCTTGGACACGACCTCGTACATGTCAATTTGGGAAGCCTGCTCGCCCATGACACGGTCAAATGTGAAAGTGGGGTGACGCTTGGTGGTTGACACGATTGTGTTGGTGCCGGCAAGAACGGCTGGGTCGACGCTAACGCGGACCTCATTTTGCGAGATGGGATGAACGAGCACCTGGCGGTGACGGGGTGCGATGGAGGTGTCTGCTGGTTCCGAGGGGCGAATACGGAGGACTAGACGTCAGCAAAAACAGTGATCTCGACATGTCAACATGGGCTGGGCTCCCCGGAGGATCGGGGAACGGGTGGCGTCGGCCGGCATCATCCCTGTGGAACTCGCCCGGCTGCATACCAAGCCGGGCAGAACGGGTTGATAGCGGGAAGCCACTACGAAAAAACGCACCGACGCGAACCTGGCCCTTCTCGGCGTCGTCTGCAGACGAAGGGGTTGAGGAGGCCATGGAGTCGGCTAGACTTTGCATGGGCATGCCCATCTTGTAGCGACCGGATGCGGATTGGGGGCGGGGGATGGATGAAGGAGTGGGAGTGGGAGAGGCGACGAGCGACGCCCTGCGGCGAGGGGTAATGGCCGTGCCCGACATGGCTTTGGGCCGCGCGGCGGCGAGGGGAGGATGTGGGTGGGCGAGTGGACGGGCTGGGGGATGCTCAGTAGATGTTGGGAAAGGCCTGCGGCCTGCAGTGAGCAGCGCTAGAGAGGGAGATTAGATTCGCCGCTGGCCGAGGGGTGTGTGAGGTGGAGGGGAGACGCGCGGCCACCAAGACGAGGGGGAACTGATAGATGGAGGGGGGACGTGTGTGTGTGTGTGTGTGGGTGTGGATGTGGATGTGTGGATGTCGCAAAGAGAGCGCGCGCGTCTTTGGTGTGGTGGTGGAGGAAGTGGAGGTGGATTATGGGGGAGGGCGCGTTTGGATGTAGTCAAGGTCGAGGTCGAGGGTGGGGAGGGGGGCAAAGGCGAGGGCGAGGGCGAGATTGGAGATGATGATGATGATGATGATGATGATGATGATGATGTCGAGGAGATTGATGGAGATGGAGATGTGGATGGGGGTTTGTTGTTGAGAAGAGAGACGAGTGAGTGAGAGATGTGGGGTGAGGTGGATTGGGCCAAGGAAGGCAAAGAAGTGGCGGGAGGAAAGGTGACCGTGGAGGGAGCCTGTCGAGCTGTCTGTCGAGGATGGTGAGGGAGCCCTGAGCAGAACGCAGGGGATCAAAAGTGCAAGATGCACAAGTGGGTTGGAGGAAGAGATTGGCGGGAAGGTGGATGGATGGACGCGTTGCAGGAGCATTTGTCGCACTGACAGGGGAATCCTTTCCTTTCTCTCTCAGCTGTGCACCAGTCGTGTGGGGGGGGCGGCTGCGGGTGGGCCTGGCTTCTGGCTCAGAGGCCTTTGAAGGGGGGGGGGGCAGGAAAGCGCACGCCGAGGAGACAAGGGGCTGGGGGATTGCGCAGGGGCATCATAGATGTGCTGCGATGGAATCGACGGCAGCGACGCCCTGTGCTCCCTGAGACTCCCTGTCTAAGCCCGCTGAGCATCTGCCAGTCTGCCAGTCTGCAACCTGCAGCAATTCATCCTTCCCCGTGTGCTTCAGAACTGCCCTCCTCCCTCCCTCCTTTCTGCAATCCCCACGAGGCCACGATCCCTCAGCCCACAACTAAGCTCCTCCCCCATTAACTCTTTTCCTGTATGCATGTACTATCCTCCGCCCGCCGCGTACTCCTCTACCATCCTCGATCAACAGCTGGAACCCACCATGATTGATTTTAATCATCAGAACCCGACGCCCTCTTCTATGAATTGCAGGTTGCTTGTCTCCTCCATGGCCCCGGTGGCCGGTGGCCCGGTATGGGCTCGGTATGCCCCGGTAAGCTTCCCAACATGGTCAATTCACGAAAAACGCCACCGCCACGCCGCCACCCGCTCTCTCGGGCCTCTCGGGCCTCGCGGTCTCGCGGGTCTCGCGGCCTCGTTGCCTCGCGGGCTTCGGGACGCTCATCTCGTCCCAGCATTTCCCTCCGCTCTCATCTCCATCTCCCTCTCCTTCATCTCCACATCTCCACATCTCACTTCCTCGCCTTCACATGCTTCATCCGCCAGCCGCCAGACTGTCAATGCACGCGCACACGCGCGTTCCCTCACCCGCTCATAGCCACGCGTGCACGCGCCGATGCCTCGAGATGCACCGTGTGACGACAGATTTTCATTACTTTCCGCTCTGCCCCTCTCCCTCTCTCTCTCTCAGAGCTCACGCAGCGCACACAGCACGCAGCGAACACGTGCACGATTACAGCATCTGTGTGTCGCTGAAATCCATGCCGAGAGCGGCACGCCGCCTCGCCTGGATCGCCTGAGGCTAGCATGAAGCATGCAGCATGCAGCATGCAGCATGCAGCAGCAGGTCAAGGGGCACTCAATCAGCCGCGGGTCGAGCGGGAAGAGAGCAATCCGTGCCATCCCATCTACCGCATGCTGGCCAGCTGGCCACTCAACTCGGGCGCCCTGCTCGGGCCAGGAACCCGCTACATCCAATAAATCTAGCCTGATCTGGTAATTCTCTCCAAACCTCGTGTTTTCTTCACCATCAAAATTCAGAAAATACCTATGTACCCCCCATCATCCTGTGATTGAGGAGCCCTGCAGCCTGCATTAGCGACAGTACATTACGACGACATCAATTTACAGGCTGATTGTGTCCACAATCATGCTACCTACCCCTGGTTCCCTTCTCGTTCAAGCCTGTACAGTAGGCCTGTAACCCCGCCTAGTGGCCATTCATAATTACGTCGTGCACAGACTCGACGCGTCAGCCCCCCCGCCAGCCACCAAGATACCAAGACAAAAGTCCTGTTTCGTGTGCAAAGTCTCCTTGCGCATCATGTCTTTAAGACATACAACGCCCAGTGGCATCTGCACATTACAACAGTAGTCTCACCCCTCCCGCCCGCCGCCCTTCGGCGCCCGCGTCATACCACCGCCCATTCTCACAATCCCTTCCTTACCCCACAGCGCCCTCCGCAATGGTCGCAGTCACCCTCACTGTCACTCAAGACTATCTGCCCGCTCCACCCCCCAGCTTGAGCCGAAGTAACAGTTCCTGGAGCTCGGCGGAGCCCGGAGCAGCGTGTTGTGATTCCGCCCTATCGTCGCCCTCTCCATCCAGAAGAAGCTGAAGATCCGCTTCTTCATGCGTCTTCTCCGCCCGCCGATCAAGGGACTGCGTCGTACTCGTCCGCAGGGACAGCCGTTCCAAAGCGTGCAGCTGCCGCGTTAGTACGTGCCTCGCTTCATTCCACATATATGTGGGCAGCATGTCGAGTTCTTGCCGCGATCGTTCCGCACGAACGACTCCCAGTTAGCCACTCACGAAAACGGCCTTCTTGTCCATCCAGTCCTGTCGAATTGTCGACACGTGAAGCGCAGCGTCTTCAACAGTCATTGTCTTCCGCTCCACCTCAGCGACTGTTTTTGCCAGGTCGAGAATGAGAGAGAGTAGCGACATGAGGATCTTGAACGTGACTTGGTGCCCTGGCTTGTCACTGAGCAAACATGCACGAAGTATTCGGTTCAGGATGATGTTGTGGTACAGCACTAGCGAGTGCGCAGACTGCAGTTGCGACAGAGCGCCAAGTTGAGCCGTTCCCTCGTCCTCGGCGTCACCTACCGCCTCGTCAAGCTCAAAATCGAGGTCCTCATAGTCGTCGTCGTACTCAGCAGCTGGTGTCATTGGGCGCGAGTCGGTGCCCGTGGCCATAGCTGCCCGGCGGCGTAGCTTGTCCAGGCGGCGGCGCATCACATCCCAGTTCTGGCCGACAGCTGTGTCAAGCACGTACCGGCTCAACGTGGAGATGAACCAAGACATCTCGTAGCGGAGAAACAGGGCCATCTGTTCTGCCTCCGAGCCGACATGGAATGGGCCAAGCTGCGCTCGAGATGATGATCCGATCTGGGTCTTTGTGCGATTGTACTTGCTGTCCACACCCGTGTTGAGGGGCCCGCCAACTTGTGCAGCCGACGGACGGAGCACGGAGAAGTATAGCAGACGCAGTACCGCATCGGCACGTGAAAGCCGCAGCAAGAGGTTATGCACGCGCTGGTATTTCTCCATAATGCTTGCTGGAAGCAGATTGGCGATCACGGTCGGTGGTGAGTAGGCCAAGTAAAGGAAGTCGAGTGCTTCAATGGCTTGAGGATTGAGCCAGCGTGCTCGTCGCCCGCCCTCCGCCTCATCGGGACGAGAGTGGACGGCGAATGAAACCCGATCCTCGAGATTCTCCCAGACGGGACCTCGGTGGCACAAGTTGACAATCTCATCGTCAAGCAGTGCCGTACGAAGAGCATAGGTCAGCTCAGAGCCGCCTGGTGGCCACTTCCTGCGGTCACTTAGGCCGAGGCCGAGCCCCACGCCCCACTCGCCCTCCGGCATCGCGACGACGTCTCCATCGAGACCCAAGCGAGCGCGAGTGCGCGCGCGTCGTCCCAGTCCCAGCGCCTCTCCAACGCCAGCTTGGCCCTTGCCAAAGAGCGCGGAGCCGACTCGTTCAGCAAATCCGGCATCGCCGCCAAGCCAAAACGCCCTCAGCACATCAAGATGATCGAGGAAGTGGAGGTCGTCGATGTATAGGGAGACAAGGGAGCGAGAGATAAGTGCGGAATGGGCGAGTAAAGGGGCAAGAAGATGAGTGGAGATGTACAGCTCGAGCGTGGGCGAATCATGTGGGAGGAGTGGCTCGTTCGGATCAGAATGCCGATGCACGAACGCGTCGAGCTCGACGAGCGGGGCAGGCGCCCACAGTGAGGTCGCACTATTGCGTTCCATATGACCACCAGGAGGCAGATCGAACACGGCCCAGAAGTCATTGTCCTTATCCTTCCCTGCCTTGGTCTTGACCGGTGACGATGGGGCACTCGCGCCACGCGAGGAGGGAGGAGTTGGAGTATGTGCAGCACGCCGCCTCGAATTGAGACTGCCAAGCGATGATGCTGAGATCGTGCGCGTCCGAACGCCCGAAGCGCCGCGCCAGTGTTCAATCTCGCGCTGCACGCGGCGGACATGCGCGCGCACGTCATTGGGCTGTCTGTGGCAGATTAGTGAGATTTGTCAATACGTCTTACTCATTCACGCGCCCCCATCCCCAAGACGCACGGAGGGGCCAATCGGTCGAGCATAGCGGATGAAGCCCCTTCGATGCCTCCCGCAGCGCGCGCAAGCTGCGCCCCGCCTCGAACAGTGTGCGCCGGTCGTTGCGAGGAACAAACGCGGGCATGCGGCGTGCGGAGAAGGTGTAATCCCATCGCACATCTTGTCCATCGACGGGTGGCAGTGGTATACGAGTGATGCCGAGGTCAGCCCAAGGCTGCGCCTCGGGATCCTCACACTCCTCCGTGCGTGAATCGTTTGCAAGCCCAATCCACTGATGCAGAAGATCAATGAAGGGTTTTGATGCGTGCGAAAGAAGGTATGCTAGCGAGAGCACGACATATCCACGCTGCTGCTCGGCGCTGGCGGTCGAAAGATTCGCAACAAGATGTGCGTGTAAAAGGGAGAGGACTGAAGCGGGTCGTGCTGGCAGCCCGACGGGTTTGGCTGTGTTAATGGGCTGGAGTTAGTGGAGACGCGGATCGCCTCACCCAGCACATAACCTCGCACAGCGTGGTTGTCAACTCGCGAGTGCCCGCCAATGCCGTGCTGCGGCGTAGCCACGGAGCGCTGGGATCCTGTTTCCGAACCGCCGCCTCGACGCCGGCAGCGAGTCGGTCCTTGACGTAAGTCAAGATGGTGGAAAGAGTATAGAAGAGAGCGTGATGGGTGGGTGTGAGAGGTCTGCTGTCAGAGGGGCATGTTCAAGAAGGTAGGTGAGGGAAGGCAGGCAAGCGACTTACGTAGCCCTGTGTTCTGACACAATGATCTCGAGCCGTCGAACGGCGGTCCCAATCGCAAGAAACTCGTCCATCACACTGTCATAAGCTCGTCGGCGCCATGCATGACTGACGATACCGCGGTTCGTCGCTCAATACCAGATGGCCGTGCACCAGTGTCTGAGTACACAAACCCGCCACTTCGCGAAGACCAGCGCACGGTACCGCTGAGCGCTGTTCCTAGCGTGGCACGCATGAGAAGGTCAAGGACGGATCGGCCAGGAGATGGCGCCGCGGTTGTCGGAGGCCGGAGTTTGGGGAGGGCGAGGGGCGGCTCGGAGCTGGAATTAGCTTGCAGAAAGTTGACCAGAGCTCACGCGGTCAGCAGCGCCTCAAACGCTGGCGACTCTGAGAGAAAGTGTGCATGTTCCCTATCCCAAGCCAGTGGCTGGCATTAGCAGATGCCGCTCGTCATGTGTGCACGCACCTGTGTACGCGACGGACCTGCGACAGGATCGGCGGCGGCGCGCCATGTCTCCACGCCGCGCTTCAGCGCAGTAGATGACGTAGGACTATCTTCATCTTCTTCCGCCAGCGGGGCATCGTATACCCCCACATCAAGGGCGGGGAAAATTCCATCGCCGACGCTTAGGTCAAGCTCGTCAATAGCAGGCAGTGAGGGAAGAGAGGTTTCTTTGGGGATGGCCGGCTTGAGTAGGGAGAAAGCTGGGATAGATAATGCTTGTCGTCCGAGTGTGCCGAGGAGGCGCTCGGCGCCCGGCGCGTCCTCCTCGAGTGGGGGGAGCGTGAATGTCGACGTTGAAGTGGGGGCGAGGGGGAACAGCCCCATTGCAATGATATTACGCGGTATGCAAGTTGGCGAACAACAACAACACAGCCTGGCTGTGTCGAGTGGAGGTGCGGGATCAAATGAAAGTGGGGCATGGTGCGCAACGCCGCCGAGGTGGAATCTCTCTCCCTTCTGACCTTCACTCACTCTCTCCAGTTCCCCCCTGTCCCCCCCTTGCCTGAAGTGAATGGCATGAACCCACCGGTACTTCTACACTCACCTGTGATCAGGTGTTGACAAATGCGCTGGGCTAGCAAATCCTCAAGGGCACAGGTGGTCGGGAAGCATCTCGCTTTGCGCACTGGCAATCGCATCGGAGCAGCTGCGGCTGTCTCTGCGTGGAGGTGAAGAACGCACGTTACGACATTTTACATCCATTCCATTGCGCGGCGTCAAAGCAAGTGACCAGTGGAGTGCAGACTGGCGTCCAGGGGGTTCCTTCTGATTTCTGAGCTCCAACTCCTCCCTCGCATCACACATCTGGAGCTGCAATACTCACTCATCCCCCCATGTCGTGACTAACCTCAGCACCCCCAAATACCGCGTGGTCCAAGCGCGTGCAAGAAGGGAGGAGTTCCCAGTCCTGGTCCGAGCGGCGAGTGGGACATGCACCTCACATCACTTCTTCATCATGCAGATTTCACGCCTCACCTCATCTGACCCATCACCCATCAACCCAACATGGGAAGGCGCACCAGACGCCGAAATGGCGGCATCGCTGTGCAGCGTGCGCCCATGAACCTCCGCCTCTTGACCAGTGTGTAACTTTTCCGGCGGTGCTGACGATAGCGCGATATGGCGCTTCCTCCCAGCCACTGAATCTCAACGCGTCGGCACATCATCCCCGCCGCGAAAACTGGGATGACTGGGTAGCTGTCGACGATCGGCGAGATATAGGAACACTTGTGAGCGCGCTCAAAACGTGGTTCCCTTCTCTGGACAATGCGTTTTCCGACAGCGAGTGGGAGGACCTGGAGAGCCTTAGCAACAAACGCGCAAGCGTGGAGGAGAGCCGGCACGCGAACTCGAGCAAGGAGAGAGGCAAGGAGTGGGTCAAGGGAAAGGGCAAAGGAAAAGGCAAGGCGCGCGCAAGCGAGGATGAGGGTGAGCGTCGCCCGTCCACATCCTCCCTCCAATCTGTGCTCGAGGAAGATGAAAGCTCCATGTCAGGCGCGGACGCCGACGTCTCCGCTGAGGGCTCGTCTCATCTTCACTCATCATCCACGCTTTCAACAAGCAGCTTGTCGCTGAACGGATCGGGCAAGGAGAGATGGCAGTCTTCCTCCAGCGACTATGAGCGCTCGCCCGGGGCATCGTATCTCACCCCGCGATCGTATCCGACCATGAGTTTCAGCACGGAGAGGACGGAGCGCACTACTCAAGCCAGCTTCAGCTCACCCAATGCATCGTTCGCCACCCCGCGCCCCCCACTCACAAGCTTCAGCACTGACCGTGTATACACGCGCCCGAGCTTCGGTTCTCAAAGCACGGAGAAGGCGAGGGAGCGTCCCAGTATTGAGATTCTGCGCCCGGCTTTAGCCGCCCCCTCTACGCCTACACGCCAGCTGAGCTTTACGACGGAGGACTCGATCGAGTTCACGCCCATCGGGCGCCCACTGACCCTGTCGCCGTCGTACTCTCGCTCCCTAGCCCCCTCTCCTTACTCAGACTATGGCGAACACCCGAACTCATCGCCCCAACGCTCTCTCAACACAGCCGCAAGCTTCAGCACACAGCGTAGCACGGCATCGGCTAACAATGCGAGCATGGGTCTCGCGCTCCGGCTACAGCAGGTTAGCGCTGTGCCGACGCTCACGACGCTGCCGTCTCCCTCGGCCAACACATTCCAACGGCCCGCTAAGCCCGACATGCCCTCGTCGCCCGCCAGCTGTCCGATCATTCCTCCCATCGAGACACTTGCCGCAGATCCTGACATTTACATATTCCAACGCTCATTAACACGCAATCCCCCAAGTTCGCCGGACACCGCCCCAGGCTCAGCTTCTCATCACGTTTCGTACCTTGGCTACGCTACAAGCTCACATTCGCCTCTCCTCCCCTCTCACGCGCCGCCCACAGGTCTGGGCGCGTTACGTAGGTCGGGCAGCTTTGCACATCTTGACAAGAGACACAGTCTGCCTTCCAAGACGCAGCTGCATGATCTTGACACCCAGAGTCTGCAGCACTCGCGCTCGCTCCTCTCACTCCCATCCGTGCCGTCCGTGGCAGGTGTGGGACTATTTCTGAATGATATGGACGCTATCTCGCTCGGAGGGACGCACGAGGGGACGCACGAGGGGACGCACGAGGGGACGCACGAGGGGACGCACGAGGGGACGCACGAGGGGACGCACGAGGGGACGCACGAGGGGACGTACGACGGCCAGACGCGAATCCCCGTCAGCAGCGATGGGTACGGCGCAGGACGTCGCGAAGCCGGTTCGCATGGCTCCGTCATCACCTGGCCGCACACGCCGCTGTCTGCCACTCCCAAGACAAAAGTGCCTGCCCCTGTGCTTGCAAAGTCTGGCTCCGCGCCCAGGACTCTGGCGGAGGAGTATGCCGCCCCCGTTGCGCAACGCCCAGCCCACTTCCTAGACTCAACGGGGCAAACCGTCGGGCGCGTTGCACGCACCCTCCGCAGCATCCAAAGTCTTGGGGCTCTGCGCCCCGCCGCATCTCTGCAGTCGCTGCGAGCCAAATTTGCAAAGCGGCCAAGCGACAGTGCTCCACGCCCCCGCCTAACATCGAAGGAGAAGAAGCGCGCGGTGCTCCCGAGTCTGTCCGACCGCCCACTGCCTTCGACACCGAGCAGTTACCGGGGAGGCGTTCCCGGTTCACCCGCCCCTCGGCGCTCTTCCCTAATGCCCAGAGAGGGTATAGAGTCCTCCTCTCTCCGCTACAACAAGACCCCTGCTCAGGATCCAAGGAGCAAACCCCCTAAACCTTCTACGCGCCTCCGTCTCCGCCGGCCAAAGTCATATCTTTTGCGGTATGATGTTGCGACGACTGAGGCAGAGGAAAGTGAGCGGCAACTCCTCGAGCGTATTGAATTGCACGGGAGGCGACGCAAGAGTCGACTCAAGGCGTTAAACCTGCATGGGATGTTGTGAGTAGACCTGGGCGCGCCGCAGAGTTAAGCTAGAGAAGAGGACGGCTAAACAGGGCGCTGTGAGGATGAATGTGGGAACTCAAAACAAGAACAGCACAAAGTCGCTGCGCCAACGCTACTTGTCGCTTAGCTAGGACAGGCCGGCGTGGCGCCTCTGTCGAAGAGAGGTGCGAGGACGTTGATAGATCGGGTGCGAATGAGTTCGGTATTTCGGGGATGTACAAGTCCCATCACGATATCCAGATTAGACCTTTGTCGGCACAATTGACGGTGTGCCCCGAGTGCGTTGATGAAACCGTGTAGGCAGGAGACATGCTGATGTAGTGTGATTGTTAGTTTTTCCGGAAACAAAGAAGGCGAGACAATTAGCTTATTGAGAGTGGCAGTTCGCATTTGCTAGTCCCCTGTAAACATGGAGATTTAGTCACCACCACGGGTGCGAGACGTTGACGTCTATTTTGTCCCCTACACATCGCGATCCACATCCCGTCTACGCGTGAGCAGCATATAGACCCTCAACACCTCCTCTCGACCCGCCACCTTCAACCACCTCATACTCCTACTTCAACACCTCTACACTAACCTCCCACCATCTCACTCTCAGGTTCACTTTTGAAATGGACCCCAAGTCTGAGCGTCTCTGCCCTGGTGCTAACAACGGCCAGAACATTTTCAGTACGTCTTTCCTCGCACGCCTAACATCAGAGCCCTGTTCTGTCGTAGTTCCCGTGGACCCAAACGCTCCCGCCTACTGCCCGTATTGCCGGATCGAGTGGTAGCCTCCAGTACATCCCAATTGACACCTGCCACAAGGTTGCTCAAGTCACTTGCAAATATCTGAGTATCCCGGTTCGGATGCGTCTAGACTCGACTCTGCCTCGCACCGCTGGATCTCCATTATCATCACAGACCTCATGCATAATATATACAGCACCTACGATGCTTCATCCTCAATCTCCAAATCTCCAACCTTGAACGTCTTCCCTTGCCTCTTGTTGTATGACGGTGCGTCGTGGTAATTCTTGACCCGTGCGCGCACATACTCGAGCCCCGTGACCACCTTCTTCTCCCCTTCCTCCTTCTTTACCAATCCAAGGCGCTCCAGAAGCGGACTCTGCGCGGGGGCGATATCCACTTGATTACCTGGGCGCACAAAGTAGAAAAGACCCTGGCGGTAGAGGTGGGCCTGGTCCTCTGGCGGGCGAATAACACGGTGGACAGTGCTCTTCAGGTAACCTGCCGACCAGAACTGAAGCGTGTCGCCGACGTTGCAGATGATGCCGTTGTCTACGGGGGGAACGTACTTCCACTCGCCGCTGTCTGTCTTAATCTGCAAGCCCGCAATGTCTTGAGACCACAGCAGAGTGAGCGAGCCGAAGTCGGTGTGTGCGCGAGACCAGCAGCCGTCGACCTTGGCGTCGTCCTCCTTCGAGCGAGGGTGGTAGGTCATATACCGCAGGTGATCCTCGGATGCGTCCTCGTACTCGTGCCGCGAGGAGAAGTAGTCCTCGGGCAACTCAAGAATGAGGGCAAACAGGCGGAATACCTTGGAGCCGAGTGCAAGGGCTTTCCTTGAGAACGCCTCAATCTCGGCCTTGGCAACGTTCAGGTGCGGGTGGAATGGCTCTCCCTCGTTGGCGGGGATGAACTTCGGCACGTTGAGCGACTCCACATTGTCCAGCACCTCGGTGTCGTACACGGTCTTCTCAAATGGCTGTTGTCAGCGCAAATGATGCGGGGGGCGTACCGGCTTGTACCCGAAGTAGTTGCCCCGGCCAAAATCAACGCGATACTTCTCTAGCCCCTTCTCCTCAGGAGGAAGGTTGAAGAAGCTCTGCCCAATGTCATACTGCCGCTGCACTTCGTCTGGCGCGAAGCCTGTGTTGGTGAGGGCAAAGAAGCCCGTGGTGTGGACCTGAGGTCAACGGCGTCGCCGATATCTCCGCTTACTGCTTCACGCAGCTCCTCTGCGAGTGCCTCTTTGCCTCCCGGTTGGTCAAACCTGGAGATGTCGAGTACCTTAAGATTCGCCCATGGAAGGTCTGCAGTGGTCTTGGCTGGTCGTTGCCACTTGGGCAGGATGGGTGGAGTGGGGACGTTTTCGACAGCGACGGGCATGATGAGTTGGTGAGTCGCCATTAGTTGCGCAGCGCCAACATAAATACTATGTCAGTATGCCGAAGGTAGGCCCGGTGGACGGGGTGGACGGTGGACGCTGGATAGTGGAGGGGGTCGGTGGAGCAGTGGCGAGCACGCCTTCTGCTGTGATTACCTGTACTCTCACATCAGAAAGCTCTTAGCCACCCAACAGGCTCTACGGACATCGCAACGCCGTCATGCCGAGTCCGCATCCCTTGGCTTTTCCAACATATCTCGGCGTCGGCCGAGCCCCGCCTCGTCCAGCATGCAGTGAAGATGTGTCGGCAAACGGACCTTTCGACCCGCGGCATCGGTGTTGCCCGGTAGTGACACACCATAATGGTATGCGATGTCGCCATTGATAGCGATGGAGTTGAGGGGCGGACTCAGATTAGGAGATTAAAAGTGCGCCACCATGCGATGGACAAATAAGGTTGTCGGAAACTAATGACGTTAGATTGGCATTCCTCTTGGCGGCTCCCACTCTGTGAATTCGCGCCTCTTCTCTGATCGCAACGTTTTTGGAACGAGCTTGCGTTCGTCTGTAACGTGCTTTGGGCCGCGCATACTGTCAAAAGAGTGCCTGGATGTTGCAGAATATAATGCAGGGACGGCGAGAAGAGGAGGTTTCCCACACAAGAGATCAAAATCAGTCAGCCATGTCCGACTCAAAATTGTCACCAGCACTCTCTGTCCGATCCGCGAATGAGTCGGCCTCAGTCGAGACCAAGGTCGACGCTGCGGTACTCCAACGTGCGCACCGCAAGCTCGACAAGCGTCTTCTCATCTGGTACTCGTTTGTGTACCTCATCATGCGCATCCACGTGGGCAACATCAGCAACACGGCAATCATGAACCTTGAGGAGAAGACCGACATCAAGCGCCAACTGGGTAATCTTACCCCGCAACAGTGGGCTTGGGCACTCTCCATCTTCTACTATCCATACATGTTCTTCGAGCCTGTATCCACGCTTGCGCTCAAGGCCTTCACCCCACGCAAGTGGATGAGCCGGATCATGCTCACATGGGTGCGTGTCAGCAGTGTGGCAGTGCTGACGGCAGGGTATTATTTCCATGTGTCAGGGTGCCACCCAAAACTACGCAGGCCTCCTGGCCTGCCGCTTCTTCCTAGGCCTCGCCGAGGCCGGCTTCTACCCCGGAGTACTCTACCACCTGTCGTTCTGGTACTCGCCTGACAAGATGCCAGTTCGCATCGCCTTCTTCTATGCGTGCGGCATGTTCTCAGGAACAATCAGTGGCCTCCTCGCATACGCCATCAGCTTCATGAACGGTGTTAGCGGTCTCGCAGGCTGGAGGTGGATGTTCATCCTTGAGGGTATTCCCGCCATTCTCTGCGCAGTCGTGACCTTCTTCTGGCTCCCGAACTGTGAGTCTTTGCCCAGGCTTAGCTAATAGCAGACCCCGAAACCGCGACGTTCCTGGACGAAGAAGAAAAGAATGCCATCGTCTCCCACCTTTCTGACGATGCACCAACGATGGACGCGAAGTTCTCCGTGGCGCAGATCAAGGGCCTTGTCACCGACCCCTCCTTTGTGCCCTTCCTTCTGATCTGGATCACCCATGGCATCGGTGGCTGGGGCATCTCCTTCGTTTTGCCATCCGTGATCTACGACCTCGGCATGACTACCACCGCCATTGCGCAGGTGATGACGATGCCGCCATACACGCTTGTCTTCGTCATCTTGCTCTCTCTGTCGCTTTTGGTGCAGAAACGTATCATCAACGCATGGACGGCCGGCATCGCCCTCGAGTCTGTTCAAATCATCTGCTTCATCCTCCTCGTGACAATCAAGAATCCAGTCGGCAAGTACATCCTCGTTACAGTCGCCACCGCCGCCGGGCAAAGCTTCTTCCCAATCATTTGGCCTGAACGTATTCGTGCGACGAAGGGCACAACCGCTGCTGGACTCGCTATCGGCACAACTAACGCAGCGTGTCAGCTCATGGGTATTGTTGGCCCCCAGATCTACAACCTAAAGTTTGGGCCGACGTACCGCGTGTCGTACTGCGTTTCGATTGGTCTTCTTTCCGGGACGATCGCGTCCCTTCTCCTCACCTGGTACGCTGTAGCACGATCCGACCGCCGGGCGCGGAATGCGACGAGCGCGGACGAGGAGAAGGAGGCGATTGGGTCCGCAGTGGAGAATGAGAAGGCTTAGTTGGACTTGGAACTTTTTGGGTGTTATGATAGATGCAATCGTACTTCAGAGTTGGTGATGTATCGGGCCGCCATTGACCAAGACCGACCAAAAGGATCAGAACTTCGTCACTCGGACTTTTTGAAAGACTGCAGCTCGTAAGCAGTTGCACGACCTCAGTATGTCTCGAGCAGATTGACTTGAAGGCCACTTACACCATGGGGTAACCACCAGCCTCGGTACTGCCACTATAGGTTGATGGTGCTGCTCCCTGCCGGTACAGCACATGGGTTGTCTCGGGCTATTGCAGCCGCGCTATCCATCCTGACATTGTGGGTATTCCGCATGAACTTCCTACAACTTTCACTATTCATGCAGTCGGGGGCTTCCACGGAGGTGTACGAAATGCTCGAGCAAAACAATCAAAGGCAAGATCATGCGCCCGACACTAGCTCGCGGCTGGACACTGCGCCGGAGGAGGAGGAGCTGCTCGAGCATGACGTGGGTCATTACGCGTCCACATCGAGGCCCGGCCCACAACTTTTACCAAGGCGCTCCTCGGCAAGAACTGTCGCGCATGAAGCTGTCGAGAAGAAGCTGAATGACCGGAGCAGTGCAGCGAGCCCAGATAATGACTGGTGAGCACTCCTTGTTGCCAAGTAGCTGAGTTCAGTACAGCTCGGTTTTTGTCAGGCGGTTTCTACCCCGTCGCTGAACTGGAGCCACTGCAGCCACCCATGCGCCGACTGATGAGCAAGAGGATACATAAGGAAATCACTAGCTTGCCCTGGTTCTGCTTCCCCTCGCGCAACCCGGCAACGCCGTGGGTGCGCGATGGCCGGCAGCCCAATGAGTGGCTGAAACTGTTTTTTGGTGAGATATTCCGCGTCAGTGTTGACGAAAGACCTTGCGGTCGCAGCGGTGCTGTCCGTGTTTGCCACCTCACACGACCTGAACACCCCCGCCGAGATCCCGGACTTCCTCGCATACTTTACTATCATTCAGTGGATGTGGACCAGTCAGCTGCACTACGACGGGCGCTACGAAATGGACGACAGAGTACACCGGCTCCTGAAGGGAGTGCATGTTCTGCTATTTGTGTTTATTGAAGCCGCCAGTGGCAAGTGGAACCTTGCCAAGATCGTTAAGCCCCGCTATATTCCGGGAGGCCTGCGCGATAACCCTGCAGAGCGGGTGGCGCACGGTAAGATTATGCAAAGCGACACTAACGATTAGTCCAAGCGCATAACAGCTTCCTCACGGTTGCAAGGGCAGTGGTTGTGCAACGCGTAATCCTTGCTGGGCAGTACGCTCTGGGTATGTGAGCTTGGTTACTTTGTTAACGGTAGCCAGCTTCCTTGCACGCCGGGCGAGGCGACCGACCCATGGCCTCCGCTGGCAGGTGGGGAGCCACATTCTAGATGCCGCTATAGTGCTGGCCGCGATTGTGATACCCGCCCACTCCAATGCGATGTCCTTGGCAAATGGCAAAGATCGGCGTGCTCTTCGGAGACATTTTTGTCAGCATCCGCGGCCTCCATTCTGGTCGTCACTTTAGGCTGGATTGATGATGCCGATGGTGGCATCATCGCCGATCGTTACGGGACGCTCACGCTGGTGATCACGTGGGTGGTTAAACTTGGTGCCAGCTAACAGACAGTGGGGAGGGCGTGAATCATCTCGCGCTCTTCTTCCAGCGGTCGCTCAGCGCATGGGATCAGGTGACTGCGGCCTTGTTTGGCCAGGTCCTCGTTGGTGAGGTGTCCTTCCTGAGCTCGGTCCTAACCGCAGCTATTGGAATTCTCTACTGCCTTTGGGGCTTCCTCTTCTCCTTCTTGCGCATGGCGGACAACGTTGACCCGGCGCGCACCGCCATATGGGAGTATCTGCACTGGTTGCTGCACTTCGGCATCTTCCTCCTGTACGCGGTGATCACTGTAAGCGGACTTATGCGCACCTCTTACGCTAGAACATGTCCGGCATTTCCGTCTGGAATCATGGTATGGATCGTGTGGCAACGCTTATGTACAAATGGAACCTTGAACCTTGCAGTCGCGTCCCTCACGCAGTTGGATGACGCAATCGACGTTGACGCATTGCTTGATTCGGACGCGACGCAGAAGCTCTCGACGCTCCTCTCCCGCCTCGACCTCGACCCGGACTTTCGTACCTCACACGATCCATTTTGAATGTTTCCGAGTCCAATCAACGCAACATCCTGACCCAGATCTGGCAGTATGCCGGACAAACATACCAGAAGTCAGCGCAGGTATGTTGTGAGCTGTATCTAATTGACCTTAGTCTGCGCTCATGACCATCCCTGACTCAGCCAAGGCGACATACGTCAACCTGACGTCCATCGCGCTCAGCGATGTGACCCCTCCCGCAAACAACACGGCATACTTTTATGCGACCAAGTATCGCCATCAACTACTTTCCGAAGCGTACAGGGGGTCATTGTGGCTGTATCCAGTCGCAGGCAGTATACTCATCCTGTGTGCTTGTCAATCACTCATCCGATACCATTTCGTCGGGCCGATGCATTGGATCAACCATGGCATCACATTGGGTATGGGGTCCGGCTTGGGGCTGCTCGGCTTCCTTAACATAGGATCGTCTACCCTACCAACAGACTACGAGATTTGGAAAACAGCGTTCTTCGCAATGGCACTGGATGACCTCGAGCTTGACAATCTCATGGAACCAGACGATCTCAAGCCCGTGTATAATCTTGTCTCCGTGGACTGGGCCGTTGCCATCGTGTTCTTGGCATATCTTCTTACGACACTCCTGACATCAGTGAGTGGCATAAGCTCTGAGCTGACAGAAGGCTAGCATGTCGTGGTCGGACTGGCGAACCAGGAAACGAAAAATGCAGCTAAAGTCGAGATCTGGCGTTTAGACCCTGTATAACACCGCCATCATACCGCTGCAAGAGCTCCTGACGATAACGCGATTGTCAAAATGGTCAGGAGCGCTGGCAGCTGCGAGTTTGCACAGTCTAAGACAAACCGACAACAAAACGATGTCGACCTGATTCGAACAGGCGCTCCCGAAGGAAATTGATATGTAGAACAGCTCACTGGGTTCTAGTCAATCGCGTTAACCACTCCGCCACGACACCCTTGACGAAAAAACTGGGCAGAACACATGGGTGTTGGAAGTCCTCAAGAACGTCTTTGGCTGAAAGAAAGTGGATTCAAAGTTCGGGAGCTTACGACGCCACCGCGGAGTATCATTCTCCGAAGGAGCCACGTGTTTTTGGGTTTTCGTATCATCTCTCCAGTTTAGTGGCACTCCCCGTTCCAAGGAGGGGAAGTCTATAATGACCCTATCCTCCGGTCCGTCCTAGTCGTGCTTTACGTGACTGTTGTGCGGCCCACTTCATTGGCAGGGTTAGCTGGGTTCTGTGAGAGTGGAGCGACATCGATCCTCCTATTTCATAGCATTTTGTTAAATCTGAAGCAGCCAATTCTGTGTATCGCCAATAATCATTAGCGGCTAGCGGGGGATGTCCCATGCTGACCCGAGTCGTCCCGATTCATCTTTCCAGGTCGCTCCGAACCTCATAACCTGAAGGCGTTCCCTCGCTCTAAACGATCTATGCCGGGGGCAACCGGCCACAGGGGGGCGAAGCGTTAGATGTATTCGCCCGTGCCAGTAGAAGCGGAAACTAACGCAACAGTCGCGGAGAGCATCGCCCGTGTGATGATGACGTACTTGCAAAAAGCTTGGGGCGCAGGTGGCGAATTTCGGAAGCATGCATCCCGTGGCCGTGATCGTGGCCGCGTCAGCACCTCGACAATGTGCATACCCCACAACCTGTCCAGCTGGGGCACCGAGGAATGTGCTGTCATGTGAGTGACACCTCACTCTGAACTCTGGGAGGCCAAGCTGTACAAGCCGGCCGAGCCGGGTGTGGCCTGCTACCGGGGGTGAGATCGGTGGTGGCGCTCGTGACGTGACTGACTCCTAACGTGCCCCTTTGCGAATACGACCACCTCCTCGCCGCCTAACACGCAGACTTCGGGCCGAGCGGTCGGCGTCATGCCATTCCTACTTTGGGGTACAGAGTGTGTGTAACCAGCGGCCGATCACAGTTGTGGTGCCGGCAATGAGTCACGACCGTCGTGCTGTAGCGCTGCACCAAGCGGCCGTGCTGGAAGCAGAGCGCTTCTTGGGCGCACGGAGTCGGGGTTCTGCCCGCTTCGAGTTGATGGGGTTTGGAACACCTGGACATGCCGGTCGGGTGGACACCGCCTCACCACGACTTAAAATGGAACGAGGTCCGAGTGACGCCCGTCGGATCCCCTCACAACTCTCACCACCACTTCTCCACCCACCATCATGAAGATCGTATACTGCGGTGGGAGCGTGGTCGGCGTTAATCGCGGGAGTATGTCGCCCAGCGGCGACAGTCACGCTGACCGCAGACGCCTGTTGGCCCCATACGCGCCACGACGGCCAGATCGTTTGCCGCTTCTGTGGACAGACGGTGGAGCGTAAGACGTGACTTGGAGCGAAGGTCACCCCAAGTGCGATAGCGTGGATGAAACAATATGAGGTCGGGGCGAATGCAATTACTGCACCCGTGTCCTGTCAGTCGTCCGCTGTCTGGTGGGGGAAGATCGCTGCCCTCCCCCGCCGCGAGGAAGCGATGCCGCACCGCTCCACGACCATCAGCCACAAAGGAATAAAACGTGGTGCCGTGATGCCTCCGCGGCGTTGTCGGCCAGCGGCGAGGGCAGAGCAACATTCCGAATCGGCGGCTGCAGCGCACGGACAAGGGCACGCCATCGGTGCGCTCTGCCCTCAAAGCTCCGCGAGGTGATCTGTGTAGGCTTAGGACCTGCCAGTTGCGGTACACATCTGCATTACCACTTCAAGTTGGGTGCGCTGACTGCCTTGCACCTCACGCCCCACATGTGACGGCGCGAAGGGGTGGCTGCCGCCACCACACTGCTCGACGACTCGACCTCCTTTATGTGATGCCTTCCGCACATCGTGTGCCAAGCTCCGTAACGATCTTGCACGAGTCCCAACGCATACATAAGGAAGTCAGGCGTCCAGCCTTGTCCACCCATCTACACCTCTTAACCAACACTCTCAACCAACCACCCCCTGCTTACTCCGCATTCCCTTCCCTTCAATCCAACATGAAGCTCGTTCAGCCCACACCACTTCTTCACAACAGCTCGTGCAGCGGCAACCTCGTGGGAGACAACCGCGGGTGTGAGTACATACGGACGAGTGATGGGTGGCAATTGAGTCGATTGGTGGAGGTGGTCGGACAACGGACGCAAGCTGATTTCAGTCGAGTGCGTTCCCACCATGTACAACGGCCATTGGGTGTGTCTGTACTGCAGCCGCCGCTTCTAAAAGCCCCTGTACTGGCTTTCCTTGCAGACAACGTAGATACATTGTAGAGCACGCCCACCTATGCATTGTACGATCATGACGAAAACGGAAGCAGTCCCCAAGTCAAAGGCCTCGTGGCGTGTGGCGGCGGTGTGGCTGTGCCTGACGTTTGAAGTCCGTCAAACCACGAAACCCATCACTCCCAGCAATCAGGTCTGCTTCAGCTTTGCGGCAAGTGATCAGTAAAGTCTCATTGAACGACAAGTGATCTGTACAGTCTTCACAAAAGCTATAGGCCGGGACGACATGCACTGGATGTGATGCGCGATGGCAGTGAACTCGACAACGGAAAGTGAAAACGGTGTCAAGCTGCCACCTCCTGATGCATGCAAGCGCTGCTGCAACAATATATGCGGACATCACAATGCAACTTGAAATCAGTCGTTCAGAAACTCTGAGAGCACAGCTGCTCATCAGCCGAGCTCTCAGCAGTATTTCATGTGCGTGGATGAGCTGGACGCTAAGCAGCCTCCTACATCCTCAAGCCCTCCAACATCTCTCCACTGCCACCCCGCCTCCCCACCGCCACAACATCTCACATCGCTATGAAGTGCACCAACACGCTCTCGCTCCACCGGTTCACTTCGACCGTGGTTCCTATCCAGTCGTACAGCACCGCCTGCCCCGGCGATTCGCTCGGCCGGAACCGCGGCAGTACGTCACTCCGCAGAAGATTGCTGACACCAGTGCCCTGCCAGCCGATGTACATGTACTACGCGTGGTGCTGCATGGCCTGTGGACGTATACTTCCGTCCCCCTAAATACGTTTGTCGTTATGACATGTTTCGGAAAGCCTACGCTCGTAGCCATATGAATTGTGCAATGAATGGCAACCCAGAAAACTAGTGCTAGCCTGGAGATGAAGTGCGGAATGGTCATGCTATTGAGTTCGTCTTCATGCCCTGCCTTCCGCTCGTTTGGTGTGTTGTACGTGTGAAACAGGACCAATGCATGCGTTATTTCAGTGAATGAGTATTGTAAATTGAGGTCTAGAAAGTTGTGCCTGGCAAACAGCAAAACGTTCTGCACGCTGGCGTGTCCTCAATGCAGGAGCGTTCTCTGCGCTGAGGCATCACATGCAAGTCTGGACGAGAAGGGGAGGTGTCGCGTATTCTGAATAAATAAATGGACGCCGTCCCGAGAGGCGACCAGATACAGTACCGAAGACATATACAGTTCGCTGTGGCGGCTGCGTGCATGAGCCCTCCTGTCGATGTCATTCGTCGTCACGACGATGAGTGCTCAAACAATGGTATGGCGAGGCAAACATGCCAACGCGACAATTGAGAAGCAGAGACGGTAACATACCGACCTGAGCACTATATGACAACTGGGAGTGATGACTACATATACAACATGAGAATGAGACAACCGACGTTGGATCGGGGAGACCAGAGACTTGCGTAGCGCGGCGCTACGAGGGACCCAGGTACTTGCGGCAGAAGAAGCAGACGTATACACCCCGTTCATCGCGGATAGCAAAGCACCATCCTGGGGTTAGTTATCATCAAAGTGGATAGCAGTGAGTATCTTCACCGGTAGCGTTGTCGCCATTGGCGTCGCCTGCGCAGTTGAGGACGGATGTAGTCATGCTTCTTTAGTGAATGGATGGATGGATGAACGAGGGATGGATCGACTGATATTTAGATTAGGTAGGTTTGTAGGTGATGAGAAGAATGCGACGTCAAGATTGTGGATGGGAAGGTTTATGTATGTATACGTGGCTGGTAGAGGAATGGCGAGTTTTGTGAATTGTTGCGATGTATGGCAGTGGGAACAATAGTTGTGTGGGTGGCGAATGTTGTGAATTAAAAATCATTAGTAGTACATTGGACAGTTATTTATTCGCAGCACGAGGGCGTTGGTTATTAGTCATGTGCGTCATTCGAGTTGTGGGTATTCGGCATCGCGGCGCGACTGATTAGCTTAGCTTCCGCACAGTGAGGCGAGGCGCGGGTATGCCACTTTACTTAGTGCATCAGTCGTCAGGTTACTGTCGTCAGCGGTAACACACTCAATACCGATCCATCGTAAGACAATGGGGATACTCACCTAACCACAGGTGATATCTTGCGTAGTGAGAGGCTCTACGTTCCCAAGACCACTGCCGCAACACCCGGAGCCAAAATGGAGTGTGCGAGCTGGAGAGGGCGTGTGGGCACAGAGTCGAGTGCGCATTGTTGGTGCGGTCGAACCACCGATCCACCAAACAAGCCCACGAAGCCCACTTACGCAGCGTTCTCATGGACAGTCACGTGATATTGCTGTCATGGCGCACATCCACCGCTTGCATTCGCTGTGTTGCCGCTGCCATCCTGTTAATCAATAATAATGGGATGTTAGTAGACGTTTGAAGGATGGGCACCCAAACACTGCCCGTCTCGCTGCATTGTACCGATGCGTCTGATCTCAACGCTGCGTGGCTAGCTTGCGCCGTGAGCCGGCTGTGGCGAAGAAGCAGCAATGTCTGATGATGTAGGGGTAAACGGAATCAAAGGTGTGATGTCCGGTCGACATATCTCCACACGATCTCGCAAACTGACATTGTTTGGCCGGAGCGGACCAAGCTGATGGATGGCATGGGCCAGTGACGTGGAGCCCTGGGCACGATTTGTGAAGGAGGGCTGCAGCGAACGGATCTGCTGAGGGTGATCCGGTGGATGGGTCGACGCATTTTCAGCAAGTGAATAGGTCGACCGTGGCACGTAGAGTGAGGTCCCTCTGGAACGTCACATGGGGCGGGGGTGGGGAGATAGAAGCGCACGGGGTTTCCAGAAGTGGTGGGGAAGAAGGCGAGGGCTGCGGCCAACACGAGGGGCGGGGGCGAGTGGCGTCCGTCCACATCCTCCCCCCTGCGCCTCTCGAGCTCTCAACCCACTGTGCGGCTGATCAGCTGCGAGCTTACCGGCGTAGTGGCACCCAAGAGTAGGGGCCAGGTAGGTCACGGTCCATGGAGTTCAGTTATTTTGATCTGTTTGTTGGCCTGTTGGTCAAAGCGGTTAGGTTGTTGTTGACATTGTGGTGGAAGTGGAGGATGGAAACGCATCATCTTGATGATCCAGCGGAAGCCTGTGCCTGGTTCTGGAATGGGTTGACGTGATCAGATTTGCCACCGCCTCCACCGTTTATCAGCTGCGTGCCCCCATGCTCCCAACTGCAATCCATAGAACACCGCTTCTTTGGGAGGCGGTGTCGCCGACACCACGGTGACGACAAGTCGCGGCGCATCGGTTCTGAACGCATGAACGATGTGGGTTGTGACTGCCAACGTGGCCGGGGTGACGCGCCCGCTCAGGCCGCTCAGAGCTGGTGGCCGTCGGGCGCCGGGAGTTGAAGGGGGTGAGGCGGAGGGAGACGGGTGGATGCGCGTCCTCCAGTACCTGAGCAGGCACAACAGCCAATAAGCTTGCACTACCCTCGCAGTCCTTGGACGCGATAATTGTTTGAGGCTCAGGGTTGAAATGTAAGCAGATTTTGAAAGGACATTAGAAAAGATTAGGAAGCGCGTTGATGTATCTGGATTGAGGAACATGGACCGAGCGCCCCGAACCCACGGGCCTCGCAAGGGAGACAAGGGAGCCAGGGGTAGGGAAGGGCGCCCGCTGTGGCCACCAAAGCCCCGCTCGTCCGCCCCCAAAGTTGAATCCGCAGGCCGCCCACCCAGGCCCCGCCCGGTCCAAGGCTGTTTAAAATGCACGCTGCCACGATCATTTCCTGCTTTCTCCTCACCACAACTGCTCTCACCCAACCTCTGCTCAACAACACAAACCCAGTGCTAAGCACCCCATACACTCGCCACTACCCAGGCGTTGATGTTCTCTAACAGCCTCTGTTCTGCTCACAACTCCCACCGGTAAGTCTCCTCATCGATCGAGCCACGTCTCCACCGACGAGTGCACTTCCCTTCACTTCCTCTTTCCCCAGCAGAGCGCTGACTTTCCCAGCGGCATCCGTCACACGACCGCGACCCCGCTCATAGCGTTCTAATTGCCCTACTACCACCTCGGATCAATCAAACTTCATACATACAACCATGTCGCCCGCTGCCCTTCACATCAACGGTCACCACGACTCGTTCTCGGTCCCCAACGGGTCCGTGAACCAGGCCAAGGTGCACCCGAGCGCCCGCCGTGCCCCTGCCGGTGGGCTCATTAAGGTTGACAGCGACAACACTGTCTACGAGGATGGTGGTATCAAGGCCCGCTACACGGACCGGGGTGCCGACGTCGTCAGTGAGTATCTTTTGGGGAAGGCGCAGCATCACGAAGGAACGTGCGCTGACTATATCAGAGGACGCGGATGGGAGGCTCAAGGTCACCAAGACTGAGAAGACCTTTGAGTTCTACACCAAGTCGAACGTTGGCCGTGTCGGGTAAGTCGATGTTTCTTGCTTCCTACGTTCGACTTCTGACGCAGCTCAGCCTTATGCTCGTCGGAATCGGCGGCAACAACGGCACGACCGTTATGGCCACCAACCTCGCCAACAAGCACAACATCTCGTGGCACACTAAGAACGGCGAACAGCAGCCCAACTACATTGGCTCGCTCGTTCGTGCCTCGACCGTTGCGCTCGGCACCGACCCCGAGACCGGCAAGCAGGTCCACGTTCCCATCTCGGACATGCTTCCTATGGTCCACCCCAACGACTTCGTCATTGGCGGCTGGGACATCTCGGGTGTCCCCATGGACCAGGCCATGGCCCGCGGCAAGGTCCTCGACTACGATCTCCAACGTCAGCTCGTTCCTTACATGAAGGACTACAAGCCGATGCCTTCGATCTACTACCCTGACTTCATCGCCGCCAACCAGGCCGACCGTGCCGACAACCTCATCCCTGGCGATGACAAGCAGGCTCACCTCGAGCACATCCGCAAGGACATCCGTGACTTCAAGGCTGCCAACCAGCTCGACAACGTCATCGTCCTTTGGACCGCCAACACTGAGCGCTACGCCGACATCATCCCCGGCGTCAACGACACGGCTGAGAACCTTCTCAACGCCATCAAGACGTCGCACGATGAGGTATCGCCCTCGACCATCTTCGCTGTCGCGTCGATCCTTGAGGGCATGCCCTTCATCAACGGCTCGCCCCAGAACACCTTTGTTCCTGGATGCATTGAGCTCGCTGAGCAGAAGAAGGCCTTCATTGGCGGTGACGACTTCAAGTCGGGCCAGACCAAGGTCAAGTCGGTTCTTGCCGAGTTCCTTGTCAACGCCGGCATCAAGCCCCTCTCGATTGCGTCCTACAACCACCTCGGCAACAACGACGGCAAGAACCTCTCGTCGGCCAAGCAGTTCCGCTCCAAGGAGATCTCCAAGTCGTCGGTCGTTGACGACATGGTCGCAGCCAACCCGGTCCTCTTTAAGACCGCCGCGGACCTCACTGAGGAGACTGGTGTTGCTACCAAGAAGGGCGAGCACCCCGACCACATCGTTGTCATCAAGCACGTCCCCGCTGTCGGTGACTCGAAGCGCGCCATCGACGAGTACTACTCGGAGCTTCTCATGGGTGGCCGCAATGTCATGAACATCTTCAACGAGTGCGAGGACTCGCTTCTTGCTACTCCGCTCATCTTCGACCTGGCCATCCTCGCCGACCTCCTCACCCGTGTTACCTACCGTGAGGTTCCCAAGACTGGCGAGGCCGGCGAGTTCCAGCCCCTTTACTCGGTGCTCTCGCTCCTCAGCTACATGCTCAAGGCGCCCCTCGTCAAGCCCGGCACCGACGTTGTTAACTCGCTTAACCGCCAGCGCAACGGTCTCGACCAGTTCCTCAAGGCCTGCCTCGGTCTTGAGCACCAGGGCGACCTCCTCCTCAACACCCGTGTCTGGTAGAGGCGTCGGCGTTGAATTTCAATCTCGTTGATGTGGAATGCTTTTCGCTCTATCTTCTTGACGTGTCTTTCGAAGTAGTACTCCCTTTATGCAATAATACAAAACGCAAAACGCCTTAAGGATTATACATCCTCTGCCACACTGCCAGGTCCTGACATGACACTCGGAGGTTGCCGTCCTCTGATGGTGGAGGAGAAGTCCAGCAGTGAGCCAGTCTACATATCTAGTCTATTGTAGGGCTCACTGGATCTCCCTCCTCACCTCCGAGGCGGAGCAGGGAGGGCCTGCCTCAGGTCCTCGGGCGGAGGCACCGGGGTACCGCCGCGCGGCGTTTGGCTCGCAGTTACAGGTGTGCTTGTACCGCTAGGCCCAAACGATGCGACGGGGGGGATGTCGTTCTGGTTCTCGCCATTGTACGTTGCGGTGATGTACGCGCTGTTGTTAGTTCATGCTGGTGTTGCATAGCCAGGCTAACGGGAGGAGCACTCGCACAGCTCGAGCAAAGGACAGACCCAAGTGCTAGACGGACCGCGCGATCATAAGCGCAGCCTTCCGCCGCGTATGCAGGGTTTCTTGCGCTTCACGCCTCCCACTCACTTGAAGAAGTGTCTCCAGCTCGCCTTGGACGGCGTGAAGTGCCCTCCGGTGTGGTACTCCACCCGCGAGTTCTCGCAAGCGTCGATAAGGCTGCGCGACCGCTCCTCGCTCACGACAACATCAGTACGACCGATAACGTGCAGCACGGGCACAGCAGCCGGGATAGGGAAGAAGGGGGCAAAGTCGGGAATCTCAGAGGAAGGTGCGAATCCACCGACGGCGATGACAAACTTGGGGCTCGGCATCGCGGGCTCGGCAGGCCACGACGCGTGGAGGCCGGGCTTGACGAGCAGCGCTGCAACGAGGGACGCCATGCACGCGCCCTGGCTGAAGCCCATGATGCCGTCGAACGGCCCGTTCTTGGCCATAAAGTCGTGAATGTAGGCAATGCTCTCATCGATGCGCTGGTAGACTTTGCGGTCCGAGTCTGTAAGCCACCATGCGCGTGGCGTCGTCTCAGGCGTCTGCCGCTCTTCCTCGGTCGTGGCGTTGGATGCAAACTGATCAAGGTTCTGGTTCCAGGGCATGTCGGCCTTGTGCACGATGATGGGGGGTTCGAGGAAGACGAACTCGGCGTTCTTAGCTGTCTTGCGGACGGCTCCGAGCTGGCATTAGACGGAGCCGTGTAGAGATTGGCGGAGCTCAACTCTGGCGGACGGGCAGCGGCACACTCACCTGTTTGGAATAGATGTGCGCATTTTGCGTAAACCCGCAAAGGGCGAGGACGCGGATAGGAGCAGCCATGGTGAGATGGGCGGAAGACAACTTTGAGATGGTGATGGCGATGGGGAAATGGGGTTTCGGGTAGTCGCCGTTGTGGGGTACCCCGCGGCGCGTGTTTTAGGCACAGCAGGTTTTGTGCAGCTGTGCTCATGTGCGAGGAGCACAGAGACATGCATAGAGATATGGGGAGCACGCGAAGCACAGCGTGCAGAGACGCATGCAGTGCAGCATTGCAGGAGTTGGAGAGGCTAAGCGATGCTATTGCGTGGAGGGGCTCGCGTCAATCAACCCTCAGCGTCCAGCCTCCACCTGGGCGACAGGAAGGAATTCCGACGCAATGTCCATCCAAGTGGAGGTTTCTCTTCATCCACCATGTCGGACGCGGCAGCTTCAGGCTCCGGCACCGGCAGCGGTAGCGCCAAAAAGAACAACGAGTAGGTCGCTTGAGAGCCTTCGGTGCACTGACAATAGCAATGACTACTACTTCAACTTTTACGCGTCGCTGCAGAACCAGTGCGTCAACAATAGTTTGGGGATCTCCTCGAGCGAGCAGTGCACGCAGCTATCGCGAAGCGCCGTCTTCTATCCTTCGGACTTCTTTTCTTGGTGGCGGACGCAGACACGCTCGTTGAGCATGCTGCTCATCTTGAGCGAGAACTTCCCGCACCTTCCTCGTTCACGCAGCTCACACCAGGGCCAACATGATCGGCGATGTCTGCCGCACTGGCACGTATCGCAAGGCGATATTGGGCAATGCGGCGGTCGCGATCACCAACAAGACGGTGCTGGATCTTGGAGCAGGTGAGTTGCGAGCTGCGGAGCCATGAAGCTGCATGATGGGCACGGAGCGGCGAGGACGAGGAAGGCCGGCACATAACTAAGGCCGACTGTTGGGTGCGGCCGCACACGTGCACGGGCTGCCTGGGCGAAGGTGGCGTAGCCTCTGCCCGACTTGTGAGGGCTGGAGGTGGTTATGGGCCGCGTTCGCGTGCCGCGATTGCAACACAGGCTTACCTCAGGCTCCGGGATTCTATCGTACATGGCTGCGCAGGCGGGCGCGAAGGAGGTCATTGCTCTCGAGGCGTCGAGCATGGCGGAGAAGATCCAGATCGTGAGTGAATGCGATCGGAGATCGGAGAGGGAGGGCAGTGTTTAGATCTGCACGGCTTTGGGCTGCTGCGGGTGGGGTAACGCAGCGAGCCTACAGATACTCACACACCCCCTCCTCTAACTACTCGCTGCTGCGCACCGTCTACCGGCACTCGCTGACATCAGCTCGTCGATCAGGCCAACCGCGGCGGGTCTAATCCGCATGTGCGTGGGCGCGTGCGCATCGTGCGCGGCATGGTCGAGGACAAGAGTGTTCAGACCGACGTGCTACGCAGCGGCAAGGTCGACACGATCGTGTCAGAACCGATTGGTGTGATGCTCTTGCACGAGCGCATGGTAAGTTAGCGCGGCATGACGAGCCCTCTGCGGCCGGGCTGGCTCAGTGAGAGTTCGTGCTGAGTGGGCTTGGCTTACTCTCCACTTTGCACTTGTAGACCGCTCACGCCAGGTCGAGTCGTTCCTTCTGGCCCGAGACCTCTTCCTCAAGCCTGGCGGCTCTATACTCCCATCTGCAGGGAGTATATTCTTCGCGCCCTTCTCTGACGAAGGGCTGTACAACGAGACAGAGCAGAAGGCGCAGTTCTTCAACCAGACTCTCTTTGGCACCGACTACAGCGCACTGTACGAAGTCGCGCGTGCTGAGGCCTTCGCGCAACCCGTGATTGGCATCTTTCCACCTGGCACGTTGATGGGACCTGCTGCACCGCCTCAGACGTTTGATTTCTACACCTGCAAGCGCGAGGACTTGCTCGACTTCAGCGTCAAACTTGAGTTCGTGGCGACTCGCACAGCGGTAATGCACGGCCTGGCGAGCTGGTTCGATCTCGACTTTGAAGCGAGCACGAAGGATAGGCCCGCAGACGAGATTCCCGGCGACGCGGATGCCGAGTCCGCTTGGGAGTTCCCCGTCGGACAGGCGTGGCCGTGGAGCGCTGAGCCGCCGCTCAACCCCAACCCGCCGCCTGAGGCCCCGCGCCGCGGCGTCAAAGTCACCATGTCGACAGGGCCGAACGCACCTCGTACACATTGGCAGCAGGCGCGCTTGATTCTTCCCGAGCCTCTCGCAGTTAACAAGTCCGAGCGCGTCGTCGGCACGATCCGGTTCAAGGTTAATGACAGCCGGTCGTACGACCTCACTGTCGACATTGGTGTTGATCGGGGAGGCGCGGGGTCACAGTCCGACCTTCTGCGTCGCACGGCCACCTTCAACTTGTCTCAACAGACTTTCAAGTGAGTCACCTCTCGGCTCCACTGACTTTCAGCTATTCGTACACTGGCGACCCGATTCCCGGGATGGCCGCATAATTCACTCGCATGTACACCCTCCCATATGAGATATCACTGTTACTTGGCTTATCTGCTTATCGTCCGTCTGACTCCGCTATCAATGCGGACTGACTGCGATATGTGGCGCGTGAGTACTTTACGGTACCTTGAAGACGGCCGCCGACGGAGTTAAGCGGAGCGGCGATAGCGGCGACGTACGGACGGCCGCGAACTGCTTTATTCTTGTGGTCTCCAAGGTGAAGCTGAATGAGGCCCTAAATCATATTCAGAAGATAACGCGGCCCGTCACAGAATCGTCTCCACACTGTCCACCAACTCCCCGCCAGATCGCCGCTCCCCCTCCTAAACTTGAGACGTTGTTGATCTCCTTCCAACCAGGCACAGCAGCCCCGCGATCAATCGGTGGCCGAGGAACGAGCACCACCACGTCCTGGAAACCGCTGCCGGCATGCAGTCATGAGTTGCATCAATACAATGAGCGTGGGCGTGGCGCCGGAATCACCGGCGCGGACATGCAGGGGTCGTCTTGTCTTGTCGTAAGACTGTGCGGCTGAGACTTGACTGGGATCAACATGATGAAACAAGGTTGGCGGCGTACTTGTCGGGACAGGGTTCAGGCCGCGTTCGGCACCTTGGGCGCCAGCGGGCGTCGGGGCTCTGGCGGCGTATGTTTGGCGCGTCGGGAATTGGGGCTGTGAGCGCGCTTTGTCTTTGCCTCAGGCTGGGATTTGGCCTTGGACTTGGACTTGGGTTTGGTTCTGGTTTTGGGCTGGGACTGGTGCGGGAGCGCGAGCTTGTGGACTTTGGACGTGCTAGTCCGGGAGGAGTCCGCTGCAGGGGTACGTATCGCCACGGCGCCTTTACGCTTCGGCGCTGGCGAGCTCACCTCGTCCGAGGAGGGGTTGGCGCCTTGCACGCGAGTGCCTCGGACGAGCGCGAAGGTTGGCACGTTGATGGCGCGGTAGAGGTCGGCAGTGGTGGCGCGGGCTGGAGCGGGCGCGTATGACGTGAGCTTGAACGTGGGCGTGGCAGCGGCGCGGAGGACGGGAATATCTGCCTCTGCGTCGGCGCCATCGTCGTCGTCATCGTCGTCGCTCTCGTCAAACACATCGGCTTCGTGCGCGTCGTGGGCGCGCGCCCGCCGGTAGTCGTCCCACGCCACGAGCCGAAGAGGCGCCATGAGTAAGGAGGGAGGAGAGGGGGAGGGGGAGGGAGCGGGAGGGGGCGTGAATACGGTCGTGAAGCTCGTGCAGCTCGTGCAGCTCGTACAGTAAGGTCGTCAGCGGACGACGGCCGAGGCCAGCTCGAGCCAGAAGGCGAAGGAGGTGGGGAGAGTGGATCCAAGAAGCAGACGGCCAAACTTTAGTACTTCGGTACTTTGGATTTGGGCATGGTATGCGGTACGTGCGCGCGTTTCTGCTCGCACGGATCATCAAACCATCAGCCCGTCAGGCCGCAGCCCGTGCCACCGTGACTGATGGCCAGATTCGCGCCACATGCCACAAACATTCCACCGAGTCTCTCGGCCTGACGGTCTAGCAACCTGGGCGAACGGTGCTGTGCACGCGGTGCACGCTGCACACAGCTGGTGCGAGCGCGCCAAGCTTCCGAAGTGCGTAGTGCGGGGTGTCACCCTGCGGGGGTGCGGTGCTCCGGACACGGCGCCGAGAACAACGCTGTCGCAACCACCCGTCGATCTGGCGATCTCAACGCGACGCGATCGCGACCACGACCGAGGCCATAACCGAGACGATGAGCAAGCACTCCGTGCCCCGCCCCGCGGATCAGCTATTTGCTGAAACGCGCCAAACTTTAATGTACGCCCGCCAAGAGCTACCGCTGCTGCTGGCACGAAACATGCCGTGTTCCGTGGCGTAAGAAGCGAGCCGTCGGCGCCACGGCACTGGCGCTTATCAAACGTCGCACGCGAGCACGCCGCAGATGTCATTGCATGAGGAGCTCACTGGCATATGGCTGAGCTCGCTTGGCCGTTGCTCGTGCTGCTCGACACTCACTTCTCAGCCACACATCACGCGGTGCACGGCCCAACGTCCAGAAGCCTGCGGCTCGTGAGCGGACTTGGTGCCTCGTCGATTGGCCGCATGGATTACACGGGCTCCAACGATTGGCGGCGACACCTCGTTTCCGTTCCGGTCACGCCAGACTGACGACGTGCTTGCTCGCTCGATGACGGGGACGGAGCGGGTCAATGGAAGGACATTGGGCCCGGGGGCGGCGATATGGCCTGAGGTCATCACGAACGCTGCGTAGCGACCGGAGAGATGAATCTTGAGCCGGCGCAATTGTTTCCATCCGTGGCGCTCGTGGGATCATGGTGGCGCTCGCACACATGCAGTCTCGGCCTCTGCGGGATCGACGTCTGTTGTGGCGCCTCGAGCATGCTTCTGATCTCCAGCTGCCAGACGACGTCTGCTATCCTCTTCGCCTCCTCTGTCGGCCCCAGCGGTGTTTTCGCTCCGCTCACTCCAAGCCCCGCTCAACTCGCGACGCCGCGACGCCGCCTCGCATTGGACACCCGTCGGCGTTCGGTCGCCAAGGTTGAACGTGTGTTGCAGATCCATCAAACTGTCTGGCGTACAGAACAGGCATCGGTGTTCACCCTGGTCACCGCCCTGTTCTTGTTCCCAGACATGATCATTGGACCACATCCCCGACACCAATGCCGGCACCCCGCCCTTCGGTGCCCCGGCGACCCCTAGCTCTGCTGACCTCACGAGCGTGGCATCCGGATATCCGCCTCGTTGTCGTTTGCTCTGGAGGAGAAGTAAGTCCCTGCACAATGGGCATGTACGTTAAGGCCCCCGCCATACTTGGGGGCGAGTTCGCTACGCTGCAGCATGCAGCAGCCATGTCTGCGGAAGAGCCTAAAAAGCCAAGTGGGTGGGGGCATGCGACGAGCCTGAGGTATGAGGCATGGGATGGAGATACTTCACTTCAGCAACAGTAATAGTCCTATTGGCCGAGTTGATAGAATTGGGTGAAAGTGTTTGAAGGAAGAGTCTGTAGTCGAGGTATGGTGGCGGGATCGGACAGGGTATTATGGACGAGTCAGGGTTCTGGAAAGTGAGCGAATCATCACGGGGAACTGACAGCGACAGCGCCTTGCAGCGTGCAGGCAATTGCAGGCTTCGCAGGCCTTGGTCTCCGGCCCTTCGGTCCTCGGTCCTCGGTCCGCCTGCAGCCTGAAAGCCTGGCCGCGTCGGCGGCCTGCGTACACTGCACTGCAAGCTGCACGGCCTGCACGGCCGGCGTCCAGCCTGTGTCTCGGCCATGATCGGCCACCGCTCGCTGACTGCAGGCGGCCGTGGCCCTTGAAGGGGGGAAAAGTACAGTATTTACCTATACCGGCAACTACAGTACAACCGCACACTCTCCCCCTCTTGGCTCTCTCTGTACCTCGCACACTCTCGCCGTCATCTGGCCGCTGGCCGCTGGCCATCTGGTGGTGCTCTCCTCTCCCCGAACTCCCCCTATCCCGCCTCGCTTTTGCACAGCGCTCACCATCCAACACCTCCGTCACCCTCCTCACCTCCTCCATCTCCGTTTCGCTTATACTCTTTTTGTCTCGATTAATAATCCACTTGCTACCCCGTTGTCATTGCATCTCATCTCTCGTCAATCCGACATCCCACACCCCTCGCCACTTTCCCATCGCCGACGCCACCTCGCCACCTGCTGCCCTGTGAGATATAGCACGTTGCGCGTCAAACGTCCTGGCGTACTGGCATAGTGGTCGCGGCTGGCCGACTGGCGTCTGGGTTCAATCCTCAATCCTCGAATTCGGCCTATCCGTACCCTGGCGGTGTCCTTAAACTGCCGCCGCCACCGCGCAAAGGCTCGCCACGCAATCCTCCACCTCTCCTCACCCCTCACCCCACCTCCTCCCATCCCTCCCCTCCTTCCTTTCTCCCCCTAAGCCCGCGCTCTTCCCTCTCATCCATCCCTCATCCTCCCTCATCCTCCCTCCCATCCTCCCTTCATCCCTCCATCGACATTCTTTCCATCCTCATCATCCTCATCCTCGTCCTCGTCCTCGTTCTCGTCCTCGTCCTCCCCCCCTCCTTATCCTCTCACCTTTTCATCTCTCTCTCTCTCTCTCTCTCCTTCGCCACTCTTCCCACCAGTCGCCGGTTCGCCCATTCCGTCCGCCCTCAACTCATCTCAACACATAGCCACCGAGCGCTTGTGCAGCCAAGGCGGCAATCCATCTCCGCATCGCGCGCGCCAAGCACTTCGCACCTCGGTCTTGACAGAGTTTCCATCCGGCGGTCCCACCTGGCCATCTGGACACTTCGAGATCTCCATATCTGCAGCTTGCATGTCCGAAACACGCCGCTGCATTCTCATTCCCACCAGTTCCCTCAACAACTGTCACCCATTTGACACCCTTCCCTCGCACACCTGAGTCTTGCACCGTCCCCCCCCCCC